GGTGGCATACCTGGGCTACCGGTACAATAAGAATCCTGGGCTGGATACGGATGGTGACGGATAGCCGTCCGCGGTTCTTCACCTTATCGGGGATCCTAAGAATGAGAGTCCTGCCTGTAACTCCATGGAGGCAACTGTGCGTAACTAGATGCATATCATTTATTCGGGACTTGAAGTCGGAAAAAAAGCTACAAGGCCAGAAATCGGATATCATTTTCATTGGTTAACTGAAGGGAAGGTGATTTTACAAGAATTTTCGCCCGTGGTAACGTGAAACCAAGTTTGTAATCTCAAACGTTCACCTTGGAGGCCGACGACCTTGGATTGTGACTTTGATTTCGGCGTTCTGGTACTGAGTCCTACTCTTGTCTGATATTAAATAATGTATAATTGCTTATAGAATCAAAATGTGAGCGGCCGCTGAAGGCTAGCGGCAGAAGTTCTTGTACCTGACCTACTAAGTAGGCAACTGCATCACGGTGACTGCACCCGATCCGGTGCGTATAGCTGCATAAAAACATATTTTACAGCCTGAAATGTGGCCAACCTTCACGCAGCATTTTAAGTTACGTCTCAATCACAACTAGACCGTCACCGCCGTAAAAATTGCCCTACATAGCTTCAAACAAATCAGAAGGTAACAGCGTATATAGACCAGAAAACTATGAATCGCTTCAAGGTTTCATGCCCGAGATCCGAAGAGCGAAGATGGCTCGGTACTGGTAGGACTACAGTGGTGGTAGCTACATTGTTATGGAAATGGCGGAAAGAGGAAAATCAGCACAAGGAGGGGTGCGGAGTTTTAATCAGGTAGTGGTAACTAAGTGGATTCGGTAAGCTGGCATCGACCTTAAGCCACAATACTTGATGTCTTGGAAACCCAGTACTCTGAGGACTTCAGCCCTAAACCCCATGTTTTTTCAATCATCTGGCACGGACCTGGAACCTCGTGGTAAAATCTACTAGGATATATGTCGCAGTCTGCAACCACCGATTCCGTTGGTAATGCTTGTTTCGACCAAGGGGACCACATTCCTTTACGTCTATCAAATCAACAATCAAGGACCCCGCTGGCTGACGTCGTGTTTTAGTTTCACCATCTGTAACCTTTTCCCAGCACTGGTCTCCCTCAGCCAACATTGTGCGACGATGCAGAGGGTGACTAGGCGTGTGTAACGCACCTCAGTGATCTGGGTCAATAAGGTTTCATAACCTCTTCAACTGACGTTCCTTCTCTACCTAAGACTTTGAAAGCAGCTTCTACGTTACGTGGTGGCGCCTCGGCAAATGACCTGTGCTACAAAAGAAGCAGTGATCGAACACCGGAAGCCTTCTCCCATCTTATATCTTTAATGGGCAGGTCTCATAGCCAAATAGGAGAAAGGAGAAAACTGAGGTGCAATCAGATATCGCGGTGTGAGTTGGTGAAGGTGAAGCAAATCGTCATTATGTGTACAGGGATGTCCACGGACGCTGACCTACTACGGCTGGTCCAATTTCCGAAGCCAGTCAGGCGGTCAATGCGCTCAACCACTTCAATCACACGATTCACTCGATGCACCAGCGAAGATCGGTCCTAGAATAAAAATGCGAACCTAGGCGGTAAGGAATTCATCTAAAACTTACTCAAATTGTCTGTCAAGGTTTCTGAAGATTGCATCTTGTCAGCGTCTTCGCTTAACACCACTGTGTCATCCATATGCTTTAGGGTTTTCCCCAGGGCAAGACAAACCGCTGTGAACTCAGACGACAAGAGGTAGATCTTTACAAGTACGTCTGTGACGAAAATTGGATAAGAATGAACATAGTGGGCAGCTCCATCCTGTGTGCAAATCATATAATACTACACCGTCGAACATAAAACGCCCACGGGTGGCGGATGGTGGTTGTAGATCAGAGGGTTTCAGAAATTACGTCCTTCATGCTGATCCCCATTTTTTCCACTGCCGGGAGATTCCCCTCCTTCCTGAGGGACGAGTACAGTCGGAGGTCGATACTAGTCCGAGGGGTTTGCATCTGCAATGAACAAGGGTTAGCAGTCGAAGGAGCTTGTAGTACACTTCCTCTGGATGTGAACGATTACTGTGTGAATCTTCTATCCAAGCAAAATACGCCGAATGTTTGGCGGTGGAACGAGAGAAGCTCCCGCACAAACGGCTTACGAGGCTAGATTGAGTGAAGAAGGGGATCTAGGGATACGTGAGAAATAAGCAAAGCATAAAATAAAGATCACAGGTTTCTAATAATGGGTTGCAATCAAATGATATTACCTCAAGTGTACTAATGGCCCCAATGGTATAGCCGAAAAATGACTTACAAGAACAGGTCGCTCAGAACCTGTACGACTTTTGGAAGTGAAAGTTACACTTAAGGTCCATAATTTTGTGCTCGGCTTCTCAATTATGATTGTCCTCCAATGTTACGACAGAATAGCTAAGGGGCCCGTAACGAAGATTTGGATCCAAAGCGAAGCCAGCCAGATAGAAAAAGCTTAGTTGCCAAACAACGAATGTATATTCAAACTGAAGATGACCTCTGTGGAGGATTGTTGTTCAAAGCAAAATATCTGCACAAAATTCAGTCACTACAGTGACTAATATTTGGAGAGTATAACCCTGAGTTTTCATGGCTACTGAGGTTTCTGTCCGAAAGGAAATACAATAATGACACTAGTCAAAACAAGTACTTCAATGCGACTGACAACCAAATTGAGTGAAGCCAAAGAAGCGAAAAGCCAGTGTTTTTGGATAAATTGCGAGGGTAAAATCAAGGCACACGTAACGCTTGGGAGATTTGCATTAGAGCTTGGCTTAAGCAAACGGGGAAGCAGGTGTCCTGAAGTACTCAGAATTTCGCAAGTCGTTGTCAGATAACCACTCAGTCATCTGTACTTCCAGAGGCGCAAATGAGTTGCTGCCGGACGATCCGTGCATGTTTTGAGCGTAAGTCCCGGAACTAAAATTGCGTGAACCATTGGGTTACATTCTTATTTGAAGTTTGGAATTTTTATTTGAGACCACGTGAATCTAGTAGGCCCTTGGTTTGAAAGCCCATGATCGAAGTGCCATGGGTTTCTTCGCCGGGTTATGAATGCCAGAATTTCCTGGAACGCATTTTCGTCATAGTTAGCTTATGATTTGTAGCCATAAAAGGCTATGGGCTTCCCCTTTATCAAATATATCTTCACATGAATTTCATTGAATATGATCGTGTAAAAGGCGTAATGCTGTAAATGTACTAACTAAGAATTTTCGGGATCTTAGGTTATTCCGTCGCAACCTGCACAGTGCTGAAATTGTAGCGCCACACACTTCTCCAAAATAAATAGCCTAGGGTTCGACGAGATCCAGCATTGATGCTGACCCTCATAGTTTAACTGAACTGAAGGCGCCCGGTCAGGCATCCAGGCCATTTGGCACGCTGTCGTGCTACGTTGCACTGCTCGGGATCGACTGTCTAGCCAGTTAGTTGCAACTAATAGGTATTTCGGCTCTACCTCGCAAATATACTGTTCCATCGGACTACGCTATTGTGTTATTCCCTGGTCTTGTATTCGTGAGTATAAAACAAGTTCGAGTAATTAGTTACTGGTCTCTTCGTCTACCAAGTTCGTACCGGGACTGTTCCTAAAAGGTCAAATCATCTCGTAAAGCGAGCATGTTGTTTTAGACTCTGATTTCTCTCAACAGTTTTACACCACCAGCGAAGCTTGCAGCTTCGGGAGACACCTAAAGAATTAAGCCTTTTTGGTTGACTGCAAGTCGAAGAGGCCCCAACGTCGAGCCCTGGAGGATTGCATTAATATAACTCGTTTCTCTGGTCATAGTAGAATTCAGCCGGACCTTAAAGAGGCTGATACCTAAGTATGATGATTGCCAGCTGACGTACTATGAATCGGTTCGTATAAAACTCAAATTTTTTATGTGAAGTCTCAGTACACGCTATCAAGCGCTTTAAGTCAATCGAGATTTATGTGTGTATCTTACCTCGGTGATCCTCAAGGCTCGTCCATTTATCTGAAGAGGTCAGTTTACAACAAGTGGATCCTTCCCGAAACCAGAGAATTGAGGGGGTTTCAAGCAGTCGGGGCAATTTCTCAGATTAGTTGCTGCATCACCTTTGGAGGTTGTGGATAAAAATGTCAAAGGCTAAAAGTCCTGCGACAGACTCATAGACCACTCCTAATGATAAGTTTGAATTATCTAAATGGTTCAAAGGGTTGTCGATGGAATGGAAGAAGCTTTCGCTTAACTGGCTTCCGCGTCTACAACCCGCAGATCACTACTCCTTTTGGCTGTTAACCTGTTGTATAAGCAAAGAAAGGTGAAAAAGTGGCGATTAAAATGTGAAAATTCACTTACTTCTGGGCAGATCCCAGAAACACATGAAGTGGGTATCCAGTAGGCGTTTAAAAGATTCAAACGAAGTAGCCTGGATCACATCTTCAGGAAGAGCGTTCCAAGGTTTAGCAACTATTGGGAATGGAAGTTGTGCCTGACATCCAGTCTGCTATGTTCCAGGCTTAGTTTCTGTGCATGCTGTCTAAGATTAGCGTTGCAGCTAAGATTTAATAGGTGACGGAGTGGGTGGCCAGGCCTGCTCCGAATGTAGTACGTCATTATCAAGTATCCTCTTAGCCTTCTGTATTCCAGAGGATACCGATCCAGTGCAACCAGCCGTTCATCGTATGTTTTGAATCTGAGTCCTTGAACAGATTTTGTCGAACGCCTCTGGATGGGTTCTAAGCTCAGTTTGTCCTTCTGGAGATAAAAGGGGAGACTCAAATTTTCCTGTTTATGCACAAGTAGAAAATTAAGAGCAAACTGGGTTAATTTTAAGAGCATCATGATCGCTAGCTTTACGACCTTATTTTTAGAAAACACCTCTCCAGTTACTTATTAGAGATTTGAAGGTCATTGGAACGTACAATGTTGAGCGGCTGTTCAAAGCAGTTGGAAAATGGTTTATAGGTTCCTAGTTTCCTATCTCTTATTTTTCTAATGTCCTCGGATTTTATTCGTCCACCTCCTGCTCCTGTTTTTTACCCAACGCTTGAGGAGTTTACTGATCCCATAAGTTATGTACATCGTATTTCCCCAATAGCATTTAACTACGGTATTTGTAAAATACACCCTCCTGATGTAAGATCATTGTTACATTGGTGACCAATTAATAATTACAGGATTGGAAGCCACCATTTTCGATTGATGAACAAAATTTTACATTTGTACCTAGAGTACAGGAGTTATCCGATGTGTGTGCTTACAACCGTGTGAGATACCATTTCATCACATCCCTAATAAATTTCTGGGAAGCCCAGGTATTCTTAACTACTCCTCGCTTTAATTCTCTAGGAAGTTACGCTGTTTGTCCCTCAGATCAAAGGCAGAAGCATAGATATTTATCGTTTATGGAAGCAAGTGAAATGTGCTGGTGGTTATGAGACCGTTTGTGAGAAAAAGCTGTGGTGTAAAGTTTGTGAACAAATTAACTTACCGGCTATCCCATCGTTTGCTTCCGCTCTTTGTTCACACTACAAGAAATATTTGTTGCCGTATGATGCATTTATCGCCAGTGAATCTGTATGTTTAATTCTCAATAATTTCATTTCTAGGTAATTAATGAACAAAACTTGAAGCGTTCACATGCAAATCAATCTCTTCGAAAAAAGCCATCGGTATGTATAGTTTAAGAATATCTCATTACTTCTAGGTCGATAAAATGGTGTGTTCTGTGTGCAATCTCGGCAATAATGATGAGTATCTTCTATTATGTGATGGATGTGAAACCTATGGAGCTTGTCACACTTACTGTCTCGACCCACCCTTATCTGATGTACCGAAAGGGAACTGGTACTGTCGTTCCTGTGTAATTAGAAGATACAAGCAACTAAACCAGTTCGAGGTGTTTGGTTTCAAAAGTTCAAATGTGAAATACACTTTACACACATTTGGAATCCGAGCTGATGATTTTAAGGTGAAGCACTTCGGAAAACCAACACATGTAAGTTGTCTGATTACCTTAGTCGGAATGTTCAGATGGTTTCAACTGAAGAGGCTGAGACCGAGTTTTGGCGCCTTGTTGATTCTGAAGATACCGAAGTCACCGTCGAGTACGGTGCTGATTTGAGTGCTCATGAGCATAAGTCAGGTTTCCCAACTTCACGACCTGGAAGGGTCAGTCAGAAACTGAAACATTATATAAATTCACCCTGGAACCTGAATAACACCCCTCTATTAGATGGTTCTGCCTTGAGATTCCTACCAAGGGATATATCGGGGATGATCGTGAGTCGTCAAATTTTTGTTTAAAAATTTTCATTTTATTATTAAATGCTTGAAAATACTTTTATTCTCTGCTAGTGGGATAGTCTCTTGAAGTTTTGTAGTTCTAGCCGACTACTAATATCACTTTTTTCGGGTTTCTGCATTCAGATGTGGGAAGATTTTTGACACTTGCATTGTTTCTTCCAGCTGTTTATTTGATGAGTGTTGAGTAGGAATTCCTTAAACATATTTCAAAGGTTATAGGGTTAAGGTAAGTAGAAAGTACTGTTGTAAAGAAGTAAGAAGATTGTCACGACCAATGCTCCACAATTCAGCTAATTTTGTCAAGCTGACCTACTGTGACTTGCAATCGTCACCTCAAACTTCGGATGGTTTGAGCAGCAGGGCTAAATAACGCTCACTTCTGAGTTCAGTCAGACTTATCTGATGACCTTGAATGCACATAAGCGCGACCGCACTTCGCAGCTGTTGACCAATGATGTATCAGTTACGTGCCTAAAAATAAGAATAACTTTCATGTCATTTGTGATAAATTTTTTTAGTGTGCAAGTGGAGTTCAAATTTCACTTAGGTGTTATGTCGTTTGTGACCAACAAGGGACAAGATTGTTACTCATACAAGAACATGCACAGTATTTCCATGAGAATCAACTACCTTTCTTGGAATACCAACCTGAAATCAATAAAATCCCCACAAGCCTCGAAATCGACTTAATGGAGTGCTCATTGGTGACTAGCTTCGATAGGTGATTCCTGAAGTTCCATTGAGAAGTCACGACCAGCAGAGCCTGTGAAGTCAAACATGAGGACAGTTACCCAACGATGGCATTGAATAGAGGTCACGCTATGTCGTGAACTGACACAATTAGGAAATAAAGACCATTGGGTTCTCCGACCCAGTCGCTCAATGGTAATGTGCAGGCTGCGGAACCTAGAGGTCTTGTGTTCGATCTGTGGGCGGGTTCATAGATGCGAACTGCTGAGGAGTTCCACACCAGGACGAAACAGCTGTCTAGTGCTCTCAGGTTTCCAGTATTTGTCCAACTGATGCCAGTCTGTGATGAATACCAACCTGTAGTCCATCTTAGAAATATTGTAATCAGCCTAACTATCCCGGCACTATTTGTATCAACATGAGGTGGTTTCACTAAATGCCATCAATAGACTTTAAATCTGTGGGGAAACCGTACCTTTTCCAAAGCTATATACATTACGTATTTATCTTTATGAAACGTAGTACAAGGAGTTAACCTCGCTCACTGATCTTAAAATTTAGTTTTGAGTCACTGGGTAGGGGTTTAAAACTAATACACCTACTGAGGCATGCGCAAGTCATTAGTGTTACTAACTCATCACGCCACGTGGTTCTGTTTTATACATAAGCCTGCGAGTGATTACGAAGGAGAGTATCAGGATCTACATTCCTCGGTTGCAATTTGGTTTCAATATCGTCTTATAATTGGCCTTATTATATGTTATGCAGTGATGAATATAAAGGTACCTACCAATTTTTGCCTGTTTCGTTTTTCTATCAAACTCAGTATCTAATACTTTTGTATCTAAATGCGTTTCTGAGTATCTACTCATTTATGGATTGAAGTCAAACTTTTTCACCATAGTAACATGCATGGTTCCAGTCGTGTAAACTCTGTGAACTGATATATATTTGCTAAGGCCATACAGTAGCCACTAATACGTATTCAGCTTTGTTGGTGGAAATATTTGTTGAATTGTAGTTGGGTGTACACTGGATCGGAGTTGGCCAAATCCCATAAGTGTTAGAAAGCTTTGACTTTGCTCATTCACTGTACTCAAGTAGAAATTATCTGAAGAATTTCAATTGACAGAAAACAATTTACTGAAGCAGGAATATCAGATTACGGAACGACTCTTTTATCTGATAGATGTTTCTTTTGTGGATTAACCGACAAATACTAAACTCAGCAATCGCATACATCTTCATGTGCTAGGTAAAAAACCATACTTGTGTGGAGGTATATCATACTACTTGGACACCTAAACCTCAGTAAATGGAGAAGGGTTCGAAACGGTGACTCGCTGGTTGAAAGTACATTTGTTGATCCATTGGGCCATAGCTACACAAAATGCATGTCTTAAAAAACTATTAATCTCAGACTGTATTATCAGTAAACACCGGAGTGGATCTCAAAAACAGCAAATCCTAGAAATTTGGGTAGGTTTCAGACCTGGTCGTGAATGCATCAACCAAATATTCACTATCTGTTAGGCTCTGGAGCATATACATACTTGCCGGCGCCAGACTAACTGTATTCCTCTAAATGAAGGTGACACTAAACTCCGTCAATCAAGAGCTCTCACAGCAGTCTATCACTGAAAAGGATACCAAATTAAAAACCAAACCTGTTTTCTGAAAGTCTGTAGTTTTAATTTGTGAATGTATGCTACGTTTCTAAAACATACATACAAGACCCACCTGGCTAATGTAGTGAATCTGCAAGATTTACTCTACAAGTGTCCGGAGACTAGGTGGCTCCTTCCCTCGGAATCGCTGATATAGGTGTAGTATTGTGTTGAAGAGTAGAAAGCGAACTTCTCAACTGACCATTAGTCGATGACCGTTTATGCGTTGTCCAGCTAAATGAATCTATATAAACCAAAAAGGATTGGGACACTTGTGGATTGAGGTAAAAAACTACCGATTAGAGTGACCGCACTACTAACTAGGGTACTATAATCAGATTTAGTTGCTTGAGACTGATCTAGATCGTGGACTGTTCAAGTTCTTAAGGTAGGAGAGGTATATGCATGCGAAAACCTTTGGGGTAACGGTTTGGCTAAGAAGTTCCAAGATCCTAAAGTTAATGGTCATTCGGCGCCGCAACTGTAGCTTGGCAAAGCTGGAGAAAACCACGCAGGTTTCAGACTAGGACCGAAGTTCATCGATCAGGTCTTCACACTTCGATAAGTTTTGGAATTGAAGTAAACTTTCTAGTGTCCAATACTAATCATATTTTCGTCCAAGTGCCTCTACCGAAATTCTAATTATGTTTAGGTTACTTTCTGCACCTATTAAGTGTACATTAATGCTTCGACACTGGTCGGCACTAACGCCTAGTGTATGAATAGGTTGTGATGTAGAATGGATCAACCACTTCACTACCTTCGGTAGTTTTGTGAGCACAAACTGGTTGGTTGCTGACGAAGTTTTACCTGGGATATGAAAGGCCATTTCCGCGTCCACCAAAACCACGTCACTTATGACATCGGTGAGGTGTTCACATTTTTTAACTCTGTTCTGTTGTATGACCGTTCTGACTGGTATACTAGCTGACAAGCTATTATATAAATTTGTTATCGCATCTAATAGAAATTTTCATGCTTTGAGTCTAGAAATATTTTGAAGTAAACGTTTATGTTTCATTTAAAATTATTTAGTTGTTCTACTTTAGAAGTTGACACTATTCGTTCCCACTCATCGCTTCCACCTTCGGGATTAACTCCATCTCTCCCTTGTGAAGGGCTCATATCGGCTGTTTTGGTGTGTTTAAACTGAAAATGTTTATAAGCAGACTGAGGTAGAACAGCGACAGACTCAACAACTACCAGTTTATTTAGCCACGCTCAAACCTCACAACATTCGTTACGTCAGAGATGTCTGTGGTGTTAGATACGAATTTAGTATGCTGGGGAAAGTTATCACCAATAATTTAAATCTAACTATCGGGTTGATTCCATTTGGAATCATAGTGGGTCAAAATCTGTTACCTTTCGTTTTAAACGACAAGGTAACAATCCTGAGTAAATGTTACCTACATCGTAGTCTACTAATATAGATATATTAATTGCATTTGCTCGTTTATTTATTCCAGCCTACATTCAGGATAACTACTATAAAATGACTTTCGAATTCGCACATCTTTTCTTAGTGTAACACTAAGAATTTCTATTGTTAAAGTTGCTTTACATTTTACTTTATCTAATTGTTATTTCTGATTTCAGATACCGTGGTGCTACGTCGGCATGGCTTTTTCCTGCTTTTGCTGGCACACTGAAGATCATTGGAGTTACTCCATTAACTATCTGCACATGTAAGAATCATTGTTATCTTTTCATTTAAAATATGCCTCCTGTACATGTACTGGGTGAACTTTAGTTCTTCAATAAATTTTTTACTTTTCTAAGTATGAACTATCATCTCTCTGGTGATCACTTCCATTGCATATGGGTATTAGCCTGTCAGTAAAATTGATCTCAAACGGTATAGTCCGAAAGGTTGTCACTCAGTATGGTCTTCTTGTCCACTGAAGGTGGTCGTCCAGTCACATCTTCTACGTTATATATATATATATATAAAATATGGTGCAGTCGATGTGCTTGGCTCCACGGGAGGAAGTACACTGAAATACACACATGCGCCAGCTTATGCAACGTGCTCGTGAGCATTATCCAACTTAGCTGACAAAGGGTGAACGGAAATGTATCATCAGCTCTGTAACTAAGCATTTAGTAAACTCAGGACATTTGGCTCCTTTTGAAAAGTCCATCAAAATTCTGTACAAAGTGCAACCAAGCCACTTGAAAGGGCGGAGGCTAAGACATCAGGGCATAGCTGAAACATTAGCGATTCAAAAGTTCGAACCATAATTATGTACAACCTCTTTCTTTGCCATGGCCATCTTAGATTATCGATCACTCTAGATAACCTACATTTGACGTAACGATTTTTGTTTTGTAGTCGATTTGTTGATTCCTCCATTGCGTAACTTTTCTTTGTGACGCAGTTTATATTGACCTTTGACCGTTAATCACTCTGGAATTTCCTATCCTTTTTAGTATATATTCACAAATATACAGCTAGGAGAATAACTTTGTCGAAACATGTATATATATGGTAGGTCATGTCGCGGAAAGCCGATTACAGTAGCTAAGATACCTCCACATCTCATCTCAGTTTTTAAAATCTTATTGTGATATATCTTTTCCGTCCATACATTAATTTTACTTTCTGCTTTCGTTTATTACCTCTGAGATGACAATTTTCACTTTTTCTTCTCTTTTGTTGTCTTTACTTCTATACACTGGTGTGAAGTGTACAAGTCCGTGATGCCCTATGTTGTCTGTGCATATCTGTTTGAATGGTTTCAGTCATTTTAAGCTTAATTTTCGTATTCACATATTCTCTGTAGAAAATTTCCTCTAGCCCGATGCAGTTTGTTACTCGGTGACAGTGTTTACCACCTCACCCTACAGGAACCAGAGGATTTTACACGAAGGTATTTAACAAAAATTGATATGAAAATGCTCAAAACTACTGTTGTGGTAAAACATCCTGATAGTTAAGGATATAATATGGCTGTATACTATGTGTGCATGTATCTGGGTAACCACGAAGAGCATGGAACTACATTGAAGGATACTATTCTTAAATTAACTTATGTATCCCGTTTAGTAAAACCACCTATCTTTATTTTCCTAAATTTTTCATGTTTTGTTGTGACATTCAACACACACTAACACATCTCAATTGCCATAAAGTGATACAAGCTAAAAAAATAAACATATGTAAATGACCTCTATTTTCACCAGTTCACTGCATGTTTGTATCCTATAAAGTTGTGGCTCACTGGTCTGGGTATTCGACTTTCAGTAAGTGTGTCATGGAATCAAGCCCCGACTAACGTACCACGGTTCGGACAGCCAGACAGCAAATCAGACCTGAAACAGGGATTAAGGTCCATAACCTGCGGTGGGGAACTTGTACCTTTTTGCTTGATTTCTCTTATATTTTATCATTTTTGTCTGATTAGGTTATATCAGAGCCTATGATACTAATCAGTTTCGCAGGCCTAAACATATGGAGATTCCTGAAGATAACATGAACGAAGAATATTTTTCATAAATTCTCATCAGTTTCTGCAGCTTTAACTGGGAAGAGTATTATTCTTTCATATTACTTTTGAATTAGGGAAATTGATGGTATTAGTTTGAACTTGAGACTCAACGGTTGGTCGTCAAGCCCTTAAGCCGCAGACAATTGAGTAATAAGGAATACAGGTGGAAAGCAGGTTTCCTTTTATTGTCATATTTTGATATTTTTTTGATTATCATTTACTTCGGCCTCAAAGACTCCATCTCAACGCTACTCTCACACGACTTACGTCAGCAGAGTTGTTGCTCAGCTGTTTCTCACCGTTTATTTTACAGTACTCCATTTTTACCACGATTTAGATAACCGGCGTTTTTAGATGTCATCTGATTTCGAGGTATGGACTTTGGTAGCATGCATGTTGTTAATTTGGTTCACTTATTGGTTTTATTTCTCTTACTTCAAATATAAAGGGGTGAGCCGAAGACCTGGTATGGAGTTCCAACGGACTATGCTGATGCTTTCGAAATGGCTATGCGTTCCGAAGTCCCAGAATTATTTGTCAACTCTCCAGATTTATTGCACCATATGACTACTATGGTTTCCCCATCTAGACTTCAGGCACATGGTGTCCCAGTTTATCGCCTTGACCAAATGGTTGGTGAATTTGTAGTGACATTTCCGCGCGCTTTCCATGCTGGTTTCAACCAAGGATTCAATTCGCAGAAGCTGTTAACTTCTGTCCTCCGGATTGGGTAAGCATACACTAACCTGTGAATTTCCCCATTTTCGCCCGATAGATTTCTTCCTTTTGAGAAGAGTCTTAAAATTATTTGGTCTTTTGGAGATTCATTAACGTTTATGCAATGAAATCTGACAGAGTCGAAGTTTGCTTTGTTTCCAGCGGTATCGTAGGATGTTGGACATTACATTAGTTATTTTGTTCAGTGGTTACCGATAGATTTGTTTTCTTGGAGAGGGAGCTTAACCTTCTTCAAACTGAAAGAGGTGCTGGATAAGAGTTCAACGGTTTATCTGGACAGATGAAATGTGACTAATCCTGCAGGTATCGCTTCAAAATACTCACAAAAAAAGTTCATCATGTTATTTATCTTAAACCGAAAAATTATTTTCCAAGCTGCTACTGATTATGCCATCATTATTTTCTGATTGATAAGTCATATTATAGAAAAATTTGTCATGCTCGAAAGATATTCAGGTTTTGTGTTGAGTTATCATCTTAGTGTTTATCTTGATTCAGTGGGTTGTAAATTTATCTAACTGACCCTAAAGTGTTGATTGCTTTGATGTTCTCTTTATATATTTCCAAAGTCGGTCGGTGAATTGAAAATAAATTACCGAGCAGAAGTCGATAATTTGTGGCAGAAACGTGATCATCGAAATTCTGAACAATTTTAATGTTATTTGCTACTTAGGAATATCGTCATGTCGTCGATATTTGCGTTGTTAGGATTTCATAGAGCTATTAAATGATCACAGTTGGTAGTTATGCACTGCTAGATGTTATTTGATGTCATTTCTAATCTGTGGGAGAAAACTGGTTCACCTGAGGTTACCGATATGCTTTTTTAACAAATGCCAAGAAGCACGAATCTTCAGTTTACGGTGTCAAATCAACTATCAATCTATTGTCATATGTACTCAATCTAGTTTAATCTTCTCAATGTAATACTGTGTTTGCAATGATTTGTGTTCAGTGCTTTTATATGTTAACATTACAATGTTTCTTTTTTGTAGTACTTTGAAAATTCTTTGTCGTTAAATGCTGAAGAAATAAACGTATACGATTTTGTAAATTTAACGAACGATAAAGCACAGATATATCTACATCGTTGCTGTAGATTTCGGGCTGTATCATTTAAGGTTTACTACCATTCGTTTCTAAATTCAAATTGAGCCCAAATAGGTAGAGTATATCATGCATCAGTGTCATACGTTAAATTCGTTGCTGTTTACTTTCACCACTTATTGTAAAGGTAGCCGCCAAAATCCCAGATGTTTATTGATTACTTCTACCACACACAGTCTTCCTGCATGTTACTACTTCGGATACCAAGCCTTTATGTCAGTGAAACGTGGATTTTTTTTATAAGTAGGGAAGTTTGACCATAATAAGGTGGTGGCTATTAGCACTATTAAAATCCAGAGTGACCTAGGTTTCTGCAAAATAATTTCTTATCATTTTCTTTCGCGTTTCAGGATGTAGATATATAAATGCTATTTCTTTAAACATATGTCTTCATTCATTGCTAGTCGAGTATTTTGGGCGTCAATTTCGATTCGTGGTTAATTTTTTTTTTTACCTATAAAGCATGTCTAAGTAGCTAAATTTGTTGTAAATATGATTACTATTCTGTCTTGTATTGTTTAAGCTTTTGAATACAAATGTAACCCTCACATATTTTTGACCATATTTATTGGAACGTTTACTCGGGTTGTGATGTCGAAATTATTTCATGGAAGCAATGTAAAACGGTATATTTATAAAAAAATTATCAACAGAGTATGCAAAACTGTGTTTTTTTAGTGATGTTAAATAAATTACGGAGGTTGCTAAGTAAAAAATTCATTGAATTGAGGAGGAACTTGTTTTACGTCAAGATTGTCTTACATTTCTACCCTTTACCTACGTGAATAAATCAGTTTCATGAAAATCTGGAAATTTAAGTCAACAATTGCATACGGATTCATGTATTAACCAGTGAATCAGAATTATTTTGTATAGGTTGGGGTACTGTTTGGTTACCTAAATCTTGTTATGTGAATTGGGGGTGGTTTACTGAAATTATACCCGGTAAATGTATTTGTTCAATAGGACATGAGCCATACATATTATGTGAGGTCTTGCAATAATTCTGGGTAGACTAGGCCAAAGCATATGGAATTGGTTTTGAACCTCCAGGTTCAAACCCTTGACCCTTTTCATTGGTTAAAAGTTGACCGCCTAATCAAATGACTTACGTCTGTAACTGTAAGTTTCTCACCTGGTTGAACTTTTCTGTTATACACTTTGAACTTATCTTTAGAAAAATACTAGCAGGTATTCAAAGATTTCTGTTTTATATTTACTCGATGTGCGAAATTACTGAGTTGATTTTTGATCATTTGCACTAGAATAAAGTGTGTCAATAAATATTGGTCCACAATTCTGAGCTTATCTTATAGGTACTGAAAGTCAGTTGCTGCCAACCAAAAAGTGAACGATTATTAGAAAACAGGATTGTTGAGCAATCGATTGTGTTTCTTAAAACGAAATAGTGTGGTTTATATCCAACAGATGCAACATATCAATGAATTAAGTGTCACACAGCAACTGAAAGTAAAATAAACATCATTGGTTAGTCGATTAGTTCCTGACAGTGAATGTAAGATTCCATCCATATCCACTATGACAGACCTTTCACATTCAGAAATTTCAATTGTGATTTTAAGTGTCTACATTTGATGTGATGTAACTCGTTTACTGTTATAAAGTAGAGTCCAGATTACCATAAAAGATCAATGTCGTTTCATCTAGTCAGTAATCGTGCTCCATTCTGTTATTGTTTTACCACTTAGTTTCCTTTTAAGTGTTATGCATATGCTAAACATTGACCAACACTCGATATATATTTCTTTCATATTGTTTTTTCCCATTTCAGCTTGATTATGGCCGAAATTGCATTGAACACTATGCCCTTCTACACAGAACTCCTGTCTTTTCACACGCAGAACTGTTGTGTCGGATGGCAAAATCTGTTGAACCACTTAGTGTAGAGTTCTTAGCCGTTGTTAGTAGGCAGTTAGAGGATCTACTAACGACAGAACGTAGTCTTAGGCGTCATTTAGCAAGAATTGGTGTCAGACTTACAGAACGAATGGTCTTTGAGAATTCAGACGATGAGAAAAGGGAATGTGATTTGTGTCGAACAACGCTTTATTTATCCTCATTAGGATGTAAATGCTCAGAAAGTAAGAAACTTAACAACTTTTTTTTAATATTTTGCAGCATTTGTATCACTACCATGTTATTCTAATGGAGTTAGTCACCTAGTATCAACTTGAGGCCTGACACCACTTCAGCACATCATGATACTAGGAAGCGAAATGAGACGTCGTAGATAAGTAGAGGGATTCTGCTATTAAATGCTGTAGAGAGTCATAAGAAAAGGGAAAGAGGAAGTAGAAAAAAACTGAACGCGATCTTAGCCATATCATCTAGAGTCTCTTATCGCTGCTGACATCCGTTGTTGTGCGACCTCCATTGTCGAAGTCTACATTCCTCTGTCTGTCTCTGACAAGTTGCCATAGATTTCACAGACTAATACCATAATTTAGTCTGAGTTTTTACCATCCTAATCCAAAATTTTCTAAAATTGCGCTGCGTAATATTCACCACTTGCTCCTCGCTGTTCACTGTTGATTCTTTATTTTCTGAGAATTTATCGTCAAATTGATATAAAGGTAACGTTTTGATGGCTTATTAAGTTTTGTTTAGGTGTCTACAGGCTGCTTAAAGTTCAGCGTGCATCAACTGAATCTTTACTCTTGGTTAAATTGTAAGATACAGCTATGCTTACAAACCATACACAACATATTTCTCTTCTTTAACGTGGGATTCGATCCTATTAGTCAAGAAGTGCGGTTGCATTGCCTGGATCTGTAAAGGAGTATCGATCAAGTACATCATATCTTTTGAAACTCTCTACTAAAAAAGTTTGTTTGAGTAATAGCTCTGAAGTATCAACTTTCACCGCTTACATCTGACTTAATCTTACGTGCATCGATCCAGATAATATTTTCCACGTCCGAATTGTGTGAGACTGATCTCTTATCTAGGCATCGTGTGGTCCTTTCAACTGATAATCTTGTCAGCTAAGAATACTTGAAGGGTTCCCATGACCTCTTGAAATACAACCTGTGATTGTATGGTACATATTTTGCATCTATCTATCAATTGGAAGATAATGTTGATACTAGATGATATTTGAAGGTGAAATGAAAATTTAGGCCGTGGAGGGGTTCGACCCAGCGACCACCAGGTTTCCGTCCCGGTACTCTACCAACTGAGATACGAGACCCGACTGCTGACGAGATTTTTATTTCACTTCGATCACCAAGGGTTTCGTCCGACTGCCATGTGAATTTATGCTGCACTGGTTCGAATCCCCCCGTGGCCCAAATTTTCCGTTGACGCTCAATCATCACTAGTCTGCCAAATCACGGATATCTCAGATAGTCAAAATGATAAGGAAGATAATGTATCTCAGTGATCCACCTTTGTTGTCTTGTTATCTAGTAGTATATATTCTACATCTTTGATGTTCATTGTCTTGACAACTTTTCCTGCGACGTTGAGTAGACAGCTTATTGCACTCTGGACATTTTCAGCTGGTTAGGTTGAAACATGGAGATTTAGAATTTTGTTTTGATACAGCGTCAATCGCATTGTTAAGAAAACGACTAGAAAGTAAATCTGTGATCAAAATAATTTTTTATTGGTTATTTCATGTAATCAACGTTCTACAGCATTTTCATCAAACCATATAATTTTGTAATTATGATTTGTAGGCATGATTCCTAGTTTCTTTTTGACTCTATTTGTTATCGTATTCTTTCTTCATTCAGAAGTGACCGTTGGTGTCTTTTTTCAGTATCCCACTCAATTTTTAGAGTAAATTTCTTAGATTATAAACATGCAGACCATAGTTGTTACGAATGTCCTGGAAAAAGTTAAGCACTGAGTCTGATCCAATCATTATATTGAAATAAATTCCTATAAATAACTTAGGTTTGTAATTTACCCAATTGTTGACCTGGGAACTCAAAGGTATAACTAAGTGAGTCTTATCTTTGATATGGGACATATTGAATCGTAAAATGCCAGCACTATTTATCTTGACCTTAGTCGATTCGAAGTACGGAAACTGGAAACTACTGCTTCACTGACTGTGTAATCTATCAAATATGGGACATCATTCGTATACTTCACTGAATATGCTCATTAAATGATAGAACAAATAGTTCAACCATTGAAATCCTTCCAGCGAATTTATTTTCAAAAGCTGGAGGATCATATAAATGTTTTTTTCATTCCTAAAGGAGTGCCGGTGTCTGTATGTTTTTTCTCTTGTTTCTGTTTTCGACCAGACTTTATGGTAGTGAATTGTGTATGAAATCGATACATGGTTTTGTACATATTTCGAGGTAAAGTAATTCATATTGAAACACTATTGATAAATGATAATATTCTAAGTTAATTCATTTTTATTTCTAAAAGAAACATTTCTGAACTGTTGTTTTGTTGGTGGTACATTTGTCATTTTTATCCTTTCCCTTTACTGATTTTGGATCACTTAAAGTTTTTATGGATTATCTTCTTTCCTACCTGAAGAAAGATGATTGATCTTGGGGACGTTCATTCACTACTCGGTAACTTTAAGCATCTATCATAAGGAAGCTTACCGAGAATGTTTGTCAATTTTATGCAACATAAATGAGTGTTTGAGTGATTTAGAATGGAGAGTAGTAAGCTCATTATGATGTCCTTAATGCTCGAATTCCACCAAGTGATTAAAATCTATTATTATAAGAGTAGAACTTGGTCACTGTGGTAAAACACGATTCCATTTTACTTGGTTTATTTTAGATGTATCATATAGCGGAACAGTATTTTCTTGCTGGATTACGTTATGGACATAATTTATTGTCCATAGTCATATCATGTTAGGATTATAGACAACAGATGATGACTTAAACGTAATCCTGGAGGTTTCCCTCTCGTCGCCTGATTACACAGACGTTGACCTAATCGGTGGAGAATTTTCGTTAGACCTAGAATGTGCAGATGACATAGTCCTGTTAGGTGAAGATGCTGACAAGATGCAGAGTCTTCTGAACACTTCGAGTAGCAATTTAAGAATGTTTGGGATGCGTTTCTCACCACCCAAATGCAATTTGCTGCTCCGCGATTGGTCTTCAACGGTGCCACGGCTAACAATAAAGAATGAAGTGGTTGAGTCTGTTGACCACTTCACTTACCTGGGAAGTAGGATTAGCCCTGGTGGATCAGTTGCCGATGAAGTCTCTGCACGCATACAAAAAGCTCGACTGGCTTTCGCCAATTTACGCCACCTATGGCGCCACCGTGATATCCGATTGTCTATTAAGGGTCTCATGTACTGCAAAGTAGTCCGCTCTGTTCTACTGTATGGCTGTGAAACATGGCCATTGAAGGTGGAAGATATGAGAAGACTTCAAGTGTTTGACCACCGTTGCCTTCGTAGTGTAGGCCGTATTCCGCGGTGTTTTCTCTTGACTGAATTTTCTTATCTTCATCTTGCGCCTCACTGCCTTTTTACTTGATGCACTAATATCAGGTGTGGCAACTCGGACCATTACGCAGTAATGCCTGGTCCTAGGTTGATCTGGATGGATGGATGTAAACAATACTGTTCCACTGTGGGATACTTCTAATAGATTAAAATCTAATACGGAGTTGTATCATTTCCATGCTTTCACTTTTCTGTTGTTGATTAGTCTACTTGAGACTACGGGACTTAGAAAATACAATATAGTCAGGTTTTCTATTGGTTGTCTTTTGGTTTCATTCAGATAATTTTGTCTGTATATCAGATTACTTATGTGTAAATCTCTGAAGCGTAGTCATTCTTACTTAACAGCTTTAAAGATATGAGTTTTATTTTTGTTTGATTTGTGGTTTTGGAAAATTGTTTCGAGACGTCTTCATGGATAGAATTTCGTCGATAAGAATTGGGTAACAGTTAGGTACATTTCATGTTTCAGAAAATTAGGGTGTTGATAACAGTCGTGTCGATTTTTTTACGGATTTATTATATCATATATCGTTATTTCGCTAAACGCTTTCCCTCGTTACTTTATAACCTCATCCTATTGACTTCCGCTCTGGTATTTTGATATGAACTATTACAGCTCTGTTCATTAAGAAGTTATATTCGGTCTTACGTCATTCATATCTCTGCCTGATGATATGTTAGTCAATGTCAGGGTGTAAACAAAAATAGCCGACTTTATGTATTAGTGAAAGAAAGTGGTGTTTAGTAATCAGGATTCACATGTAAAGTTGAAGTGTATGAAGCGAAATTAAATTTGTATGAAATCACCTGTTTAGTGAAATGTTATTCACCAATACTTCCATTTTCATCGTATTGTCATGTTCTTGTTGATATCCTGCTTAATTGGATCGCCGAAATAAGTTATTCTTGGATTAAAGGTGTATTAATAATGGAATTCTTGTTTGTTTTTGGATGACTTGTAACCTGGCGAAACCTTACTGAATAGAAGTGTAAAGTGGATATATGCTGAAAGTTGAAAAGTCACCTACTTCACGTTTCGAGTTATTTAATAAGATCGTGTTGTCTGTATATTGTCTATATATTATCCAACTGACTGAATTCCTAATTGTTGAAGATCTCTGAAATCCATTGAGTTATGATAAGTCTACTGCTTGTTGATACACAGTAGGCTACAACTTCAAATGGTAAAACCGTATGCTAAGAGTCTAATAAGTTTTAGTCGAAAAACGTTTGTATAGTTACTTGCTCACTGATAATAGTTTAGCTTTTAACTAGTACCTTAAATAGGTAATTGGCACAGAGTGAAATTAAACTCATTCCGATATAGATCGATTTTCAGAAGCAAACTGCATCGTTTGCTTATGGCACAGTGAATTTCTTCAATGCTTGGATTGAAAGGAAACTAAATAAGTATAGATTGACTTCAATGCTACTGAAAAAGTTGAACAGAGATATTATCCTATACTCCTTAAGTATCAGTGGTGTTACTTTATTAGCATTTTACATGCGTCTTCTATTTTCACTCAGTATTATTTGTAGTCGCTTTCGATTTTTATCTATGCATGTCATATTGCTTTTTATCTGCAACTTAAATGTCGATAGTTCATTTCACATCATATTCAAAATTCCAGGAAAAGTGGTATATCGTATTAAATAATAGAAAAAAAGAAATGTGATCACGTATATTATTGCATTGGTGGTAATTGTTTTCAGGTCAATATGTGTGTATATATTCGGCTATTTTCAGTTCTCTTATAGGTTGGAGTTTTTCGAAGGTCATCCTTTCAGTAACAATGCAAGATTCACCTTGGACGTTACTCGATAGACACATAGTTTTTTTTACTACAGTGACTAAGTCGGATAGCATATGAAGTAGGTAGTTAATCATTTTGGGGCTGTTATTATCTTGGTTTAGAAACTTGAATTCCTATTGATGGGATACAGATTTGAATTTCACTATACCAGATGATAACTAGACATATCAATATATCACTGTTTGTTGGTTTGCACTACTATGTATTGTTGCATTCTCCTCTTTCATAATGATTAGTCTAAATATGATTAGTCTATAGTTATCTATCTCAATGAACCAACGATCTTCACTGGCTATACCGAATCATCCTTGATATCCTACCATACCAGTTCTGTTAGATTGTGGTAAGACTGAAAGTAACTACCTTCCTGGTGTCAATAACTAACGCTGCGGTTGGGGTCTAAGTGCGAAGTCGTACTGCTAATTGTGTGGGAGTAGTGAATGAAATGTCTCCTGATCATAACTAACATTCCATGCTGAACAACGGGTTAGAAACTGACAATCTTGAAAGCATCACACTTTTCTCTACCATACAAACTTTTGATACCAGCAGTTAGAGTCTCTCGTTAAATACAAATGTAACATTGGGTGACTAATTTAGGTTCATAGTAACTGACATTCTGTTTTCAAATATAAAGTGAACACATTTTCTCTTTGATGTTACATTGAAAGTATTACCTAGTGGATGCTCTTCTGTAAATATTCATGAAGTCTTCGGGTGAATTTTTAATTGTGCTAAGGTACTTTCCAGCTTTCATCAAATCATCAGCTTTAGTAATAATAATAACACTTTTTTCTTACTTTGCTTTGCACATCATTATTATTATCAGTATTATTCTCATTATTATTTCACCTCATGCCTTTCTTATAGGTATGGTATGTTTAGCTCATCATCAGATACGTACCTGTTGCTCACGTGATAATCAAGTAATGCGTTATCGTTATGATTTAGACGAGCTGACTGAATTCAAAGATAAATTACAGTTAAGATTAGTTGAATATAAAGAATGGAAATATCAAATTGAAAATGATGTATTCGCTGTAATGCATAATAAATCTTCAAGTAATAATAATCCCACAAAACTGCAATCATCCACTATCACTCTGGATTATGATAATCATTCTACTGAATCTAGTAATAATTTAATAGAATTGAATGATCATTTGAAATCTGTGGATAATGATAACAATGCCGGTAATTCTAACGATATCAGTAATGAAACTGTGAAAGCTTCAGATGATACTATCACTGAACCTAAACTTGAAGATAACAATGCTGATGAAGTGAATGAACTTATTCATGGTAAGAGAAACATAGATGATTATTACTGATTTTTGCTAAACTATTCATTTTGTGCATGTTATAAAAAATATTCATTCATCATTAATAGTAAGTCATAGTAGATTGATTCCTCTTGGATAACTTATTGTGTTTTTATGAAAAGCGTAGCTTTGGCTACCTATCAGTCAGTTATCTAGTATCTAGATGAGACTTGGTACTACTGAATCTTGGTTCAAGTTTTCACACCTCTGATCAACTTATTAAGTTCATAAGGCAGCAAGATGAAAGAGAATCAGAGGCGGAATGTAATCAAGATTTGTAAGAATTGATAAAAGAAAATGTGTATAACACAAACCAAATTCAGTATAAATACTAGGATAAAGATAATGTGTGGATGCATCTGTGCGATATCGCCGGATGTCTGTAACCGTCGATTTTAGTTGTCATGCATATGCCAAACTTGGAGTTTTACACTTCTCCATATCGCTAAAAGCGACAGTCAGAAACGGTATAGACTGTTGCCATGTTTTAGTCTCATAAGTTAATTGAGCCTTTTGTGTGTTTGTTCGGAAATCCAGTATATTAGTCTTACTTATTCTGTGAATACTTATTATATTACCCAGTTGTCTTAATAATGGTAAGTGAAAGATAGTTCGAGTGCTTGCCCATTGGTTGAAAGGTGAACATTTACATCATAGGCAAATGCCGATGTGTATTACATTCTTACTAATGCATGTCGAAGTTACTTTCACGGTATTTGTTCTCTAATATAATATCATCATCATATTTATGACATTTCAGTGAATTTAAAATCTTCCACGTCATCACAAGTGAAACAAGAAGAACGTCAAAAGTTAACACTGGTTGATTTGAATGTGAGTTGTTGAATGATTTCTTAACCCTTAAAAAACAACTTAATTTTTACACTTCCTAGTTGTATACATTAGCTGAAGTCAATATAGAAAGTCATTGCGCCTTCATCAGTTCTAGAACTTTAAAAATATGTTTGAAATATGTCAGTGAGAGATGGGTTAGAATCGATTCTGTCTTTTATAGAGATAACTCTATTCAGTCAGTATGCATCTAGTTGCCTAATGCTATTCAAACTACAGGAGTGTGTTATTCTTGCATAATTTTTTTTAAAAATTAGGTTATTCCTTTCATTGTGTTTACAGCTTCATAGAATGAATCCTTTTGTACGTATTAGTTGGATTTTATCTTACCAAGTGGAGATTATCAACTACTTGCATCATTACCACTGCTTGGTATGGTTTTAGAAAGCATTTTGAAGGGTTACTGTGTGATATTAAAACGAAGCTTCACATTCATATCATGTTTGAAATTACTGTGTTGACGTGTGTTTGCTTCCACTGTAGTCACTTACCTAAATGAGAATACTTTCATTATGCTGAAACAATCGAAACGGTAAAACTATTCAGTCGTTTAAATTACGTACATTCGTGGAGTAGGCAATGAGCCATACATATTGTGAAGGCTATTGATACCACCTGACTGCCCAAAACTCATTAGGTGTAGCAGGGCTGCAACCCATGACCCTATTGGTTGATAATCATATCCCTAAACCACTGAGCCACATCTCTTTGTCGACTATTCAGTCGATAGAGACACATTGTAATTGAAGTATGTAGTCGATATGTATTCACGTAAATATAATTTAGAACTCCAAATGTTGCACATAGGTGTTTCTTGACACGATTAAACTATTATAATAGTGATTCTTATTGTTCATAGTCCGGACTATCTACATACTAGTGTTAATCGTTATGAGTCTGTTGTAAATTTAAATACTGCGTTATTTCGGAAAATATGCAGTACAGTGGGCCATTTTCCGAGACTCTGCAGTCGTATTTATAGTTACAACAAACAACTGAGTTTGTTTTTGGTGAATAAATTGTTGTTATGCCATCGAAAAATGCTTCTATGGGGAGTAGTAAATTCTCTTTATAATAATGAAGCGGTTGTGTAACCTATATTACATTTGCGAGAATGACATACAATTAAAGAAGGGGAATATTTCAAGTGTTGGAAAAAATGAGGAATTGAAAGTTAAAAATTAGCAAGGAAGCAATTCAAAGTAAAACTCTTCGTCCCTATATTTTATAATGATCAATATAGATTAGCAACTCAAATTCAAGATTGTATAACTTAAGCCAACTTTTAGACTACTGTCCTCAGTAGGCATAACTGATGAAATTGTTACAGTTCTGGGTTCGTTCCCTCTCGAAGTCATGGATGGCCACTGCTGAGGAGTCACATACTAGAACGAAACAACTGTCTAGTGCTCACGTTTCCATTGTTTCTCCAACTCATGTCAGTCCATAATAAATACCAATCTGAAATCCATAGATAAGTCCACATAAACCTCCAAGTTGAATTAATCTAGTGTTCATTGGTGACTAGCTTCTAGAGGTGATTCCCTAAGTTCCAATGAGAAGCCGTGGCCAGTGAGGCAAACCAAGTCGAACTGTAAACAGTTACTCAACGACGGAATTGGCTAAAGGTCATGCTATATTGCAAACTGACAGAAATAGGAAATATCGATCACTGAATTTCTGCTCAGTAGCTCAATGGTGACATTACTGACCGTGAAACATGAAGTTCCTGGGCTCGATCCGCAGTGAATGGGGTCGTAGGCATGCATTACTGATGAGTCTCATACAAGGATAGAACGGATGTTCAGTGCTTCCAGATTTCCAGTGTTTCTCCAACTGATATCATTCCATGGTGAATACTAACTCAATCAAAATTATTTGTAGTTTTGTAGTACAAATTCCTCTGTAGCAGCATTTCTAAATGTAACATTGAAAGGGCGTAGCCCTAACTTCCTTTAGGTTACGCGTATTTTTCAATGGCTGGCATCATTTAGCTCCAAGGCTTCCTACCACCTACCTTTGATTATCCAAATCAATTAGAATTTCCTGGGCAATGTATTTTTGAATTATTGTCTGTATATGTGCGTACAATATATTTTTTTTTAGGTAGTATTCATCACAAACTGACATCAGCTGGAGAAGCATTGAAAACCTAGGAGCACTGGACAGCTGTTTCTTACTAGTATGGGACTCCTCAGTAGTATGTACCCACTTTCCGGCTAGGGGTCGAACTCCCAGGTTTTTAATGGTTCTCCAACTGATGTCAGTCCATGATGAAGACTTCCGCAAAATTAAAATCCTCATTAACCTTAAAATACTTTTTTCTCTTTGAAATTATTAGAAACTCTTGAAAATTGGTCAGACACGTCAGTATCCAAACCCAGTAGTAGAGCGTTTAAGTCATATAGTTCATACAATTGGTGAATGTTCATCAGTAGTGGGCAAATTGATTACTAGCTATAAGAAAGCATGTGAAGAGATGAAAAGTACTCAGTCAGTAGCAGTAAAATCTCCTAAATCAGAAATGACAGATTCAGGACATGAAGAAGACGAGAACAACGAAGGACATAATTCAGGTGATGTAGAATTGACGCACAGTGGTAATCAACCTGTTAAAGAGGTTTTACAATCTTCCGCATCCACTAAATCTAGCTCAGAGTCAGACAATGAAACAAGTATTGAAGACTCTCGGAATTCTACTAATACTTCTCTGACTAAAGTCAGTCAAATGATGAGTGAGGGTGGTATCGGTGTTGAAGTTGAGGAAGAAGAGAATACAGAAGAGGCAGATCAGGAAGAAAAAGCAAAAACTATGTGTGATGAAAAAATATTGAATACAAGTTTGGAGGTGGTGCACAATAATTATAAATTTCGATCAAGATATAACAATTACCCTTGTTCAAATTGGAAAGGAAATAAATTTTCTGCATCGAAAGCTCCTCTGATTTCAAAAGTGAGTTTTATTATTCGTTTAACAACTATATGTGTTGCTTATAATTATCAAAGTCAGTGACAGTTCAGTTTTTTGCCATTGTATGTAGATAAGCTATATGATCTACTAGTTTGAACATGTGGTACAACCTTTGGCAGTTGTGAGATATAAATAAACAAATATTTTATTTTTATGGTCTAGGCAAACTGCAATCACATTAACTAATGCCCACTAACCGCTTCACTCCTCATAGAAACAAGCTATTTTTTTTACCTCGAATAACTATTATTGCTTGTAGCAATATAGATGTCCATAAGCCTTCAGATAGTCTGAATACCTTGATCGCGTTGCATCTGATTAGGTTTATTAGATTTGTTGCTTGATTGTTGGTGAGATGAACCAACAATTTCTAACGATCGTAGTAACTAGTTGTAAGATGCTGAAAGCAGGGAGAATCTCATTGCAAGATTTCTCGATTGTTTTTTTTTTGACTCGGAAGTGTTTACATAATATACGGTCTTCTTATTGACACCGAGAGTAAAAACTGTACAATATATACTAATAATTTGTATAGTTAAATTGACAGACAGATAGAATCAACGTAGAACCTCGCACATAGGTGCGACGGCTCAAGTTGTACGACACGGAAGTACACAAAGAACAGGTGGATAAAAAAGAGTCATATCAAACTAGATGAAGTAGTGTGAGAGAATAAATAATCTGAAGACAAAGATGAGTGCGAATATTCAAGCTTTAGAAGATGTCAGCGAGTGAACACATTTACACCATTGTGACTGATTTCCTGCCAGTCACTAAGAGTCCAAAACTACTGATTCCTTTCGTCTCAGTGACCCAACCAGGCAGTCTACATCTTCCCATACGGCTCAAGCCAACAATGAGAGACTCCATTGACTGATGATAACACGTCTTGGTCTGGCCACCCCTAACCCTCTCCCAACTTAATCCAACTTCCCCTAGCAATGGCAGGTCTAGGTAGGTGTTGCTCGCCATGCGCAGTACATGTTGAAGCAATCTCAGTTGAATTAAGTTCAAAACCTCATCAATAGGCTTGTCTGTCTTACCTAGTACCCTTCGCCCGACATCAACATTTCTCACACGGTGACTCCATCAAACACAAGCAATGCTACGAAGACATCTGTGGTCATAACCCTGTAATCGCTTCATGTCTTCTACCTTCATAAGCATCATACACTTGTTCAGTACTCGCTACACAGGTAGACACTGACGCAACATCTCACAGTCGAAAAAGTTGAATACCGCCTACATGTCAATAAATACGGCAGGTCTCGGCTACCGGTAAGTATACCTATGTTTCAGAACCTGATCACACAGTATGGTCAGTGTACTTTGCTACACAGCGACAAGTAAACTTTTAGATACCCATTGAGGAGGGCGGGAGAGTGGTATTCTATCCTAAATACATTTATGTATTAATCGTCTACTGAATAACTTGATTCTATCTGCATTAAGTATTCTTCGTCAAAGATCTTGAGAGGTGATTTTTGAGTGTTTTAACTTGAATGTTGTTTTGGATTCGAATATCATATGAAAAGTTTTCCTAGAGACTGTCGATAAGTGTTGTACTTGTGGCTTTTATTTCATATTATAGTCAATGGAATATATTTAGGTGGGAAACCGTTAGCATTAGGAATGTTACGTTCAAAGTTTAGGCCTCTGTCTAGTCCGTATTCAGCTTAGATCTTTTCTCTTTTCTAAAGAGAGGAATATAGATTTTGAAGTTGGTAAATCGTCCAGTTTACGTTAATTTTCTGCACACTAATCTTTGGATATGATTGTCTAATCTTCTTGTTGGAAATATGAAGTTTATTCAACACTCTAGTATGAATTTTGTAAATAATGGTACAGTTTTGAAAGTGCTGAGAAGCTTGTTCAGGTCGACTTCTTCATCACATATATTATAAAATGTCATCGAAGTATCACTTTTAAGCGTGTATTTGACTGACTTATGGATAAAGATCACAAATTTTAAGAGATAACATAAAACCACCAGCCAGAAGTTAACTAAGAGGACCCTGTCGCCACACCATATTTCTGCGTATAAAATACTCTGTTAAATGTGCATCTGACGTGGTTATTTCAAGTAGTTGTCAGGTATAAAAATGTCTAAGTCGTTGGATTCATTGTGATGATATATAAAGCAGATAGTCGATTTAAGGAATATTCGTAAAGACGAAAGTAACATCCTGTGTTTTTTTCTCCAACACGGGCATTTTTCGCTGATTAGATGAGATCAAAATTGCCACATACTTCCTTACCGGTTCAAGTTACCAGCTTTTTAGCAATCAAATGATATGCAGAATTGATCATATCTACTTTTAGTTGGATTAGGAAGATCCCCTTTAAGCATTTTAGGTAATCTATGTAACCTGGGGATGATCAAACTGCATGGTTTAATTTGTTCATGCTGGTCTATATGAATCACTGATTCGTTCATTATTTTTTTTTCAGGTTTTTTAAAGCAGCATTTCTTGTTTGTTTAATTGTGTCTTTTTGGTTGGGTGATTGAATTCGATTTGTAGCTTTCGGTTAGGAAATCCAAAGCAAGGGAATAGTCAGCTAATAGTTCGGCTGAATATATTGTTAACAATGTCGTTATTTTCTTTCATGTTTACACTTAATATCAAGTTACATTGATAACAACTAGTAAACTAACCGACTGTACATTTTTTAATACTTTCCACTTATAGCTTACACTAAATGAATTCGCCAGTTTAATTAAATTGGCTACAAACTTACCAGTAGTCTTACCTGAATTAAATGAATTACTAGAATTTGTAGATCATATTACTTTGTGGAGAAGTGAGTTACGCAACTTGTTGATGCAACTAAACAAGAAGCTAAATACTATTGATGATGGTGATGATGTTCGCAGTGATACTGACGTTAATATCAATGGTATTACTACCGCTACTACAAATAGTATTACCATCAATGATAATGGTAGTATATTTGATCAAACTAATGTAGAAGTACACATTCGATCTATTTTACCGTCCGTATTGAAAGTCGAAGAATATATAAATTTTGCCAGTGTAATAGACATTGAATTACCGGAGTTAAATCAACTAAAAAGAGTAAGTTTAAATGTATTTTTATTATCTTAAAAGACAATGGAACTGTGATTAACATATCTGTAAAAGTTAATGCTTGTAGTGAAATTTATTCCTGATTAAAGTAAACAGTTGGAAGCTACGCATACACAGATAGACGGGCGGACATACAAAAAAAACCAACGCTTAACCTTGCACAGAAGTATATCAGTTCATGTTACCACAATTCACAGCAGAATGCAAAGAAGAAGTGGATAGAGAAAGAGTGATATCAAGGTGGACGAACGTGTATATGAGGAGAAAGAATTAAACGTAAGAAAGTTAGTGAAAATGCTTCAACTGTCGAAAATATCAAAGAGTGAAAACATTTGTGCGCTACTGTAACCGATTTTTTGTCATGTCACTAACAGTCTCCAACTATCGGTTCCTGTTATTTCGAGGATCCCAAACAACACTATGACATTCTCTCTTCTAACAAGACTAACTTTTTTTGATGGTAATGTCCGACGTTAACACTGACAGACATTAAAATGCTCTAAGGCAGTTATAGGGTCTTTCAGAGTCCTCAAGTTACGTTATCTCGATAATTATTTGACGTTCTACTGATTATTATCATCTTTGGGGATTGAAACTAGCCAAAAACACCTCATTATCGTTAGCTTTATCTTTCCTGTTCACATTGACTGGTCATTTTAGTTAATGCTGAAGTACTGATAATCTTTCAGTGAATGAAGTCAGCTTCATTTGTTAGCTAAATATCACAAATGCTGTTGATAAAGTTTGTTATTTTCTCAGCATTGCTTTACGAGATAGGATTGATTGATTTTTGTATGATAATCTTCCTATCTGAATACTTGGCTGTTTTGACCGATTGTTCCATGCCACTTTTATGATAGTTATGATAGTTTTATGATAGTTAGTCAGCGGCTCACTAGTTCGATATATCTACATTCTATTTGGATAAATATTTATTATATTATTATTATTATATTATTTTTCCCTTGGGTTCCTAGTGGAACGTAGGGCTTCAGTAGTACACCTCCGTTGCACTCTCTTCTCTGCAGTCTTTTGAGTCTCGCTCTACGACCGCCCAGAAGCTTTCATTTCTTCCTCACATGATCTCCTCCATATCACTCTCACGTTGGACGCCCAACTCATCGTTTCCCCTTTGGATTCCACCCGACGGCCTGGTGCGTGATGTCTCCGAATGGTTTTATCAGTGTATGCTCAATCCAGTCCATCCCCACTTTCTTCTACATATTTGTTGAGTGATAGGTTCTTGGTTGGTTCGTTGCCAGCTAGGCAGACTTCCTTGCTGTTTATGCGTTCTGGCCATCTGATCTGATCTTCAGTACCGAGCGAACGTAGGCAGCTGTTGATGACTATCTGTAGTTTGTTAGATGTGCTTTTGGTGACGCGCCAAGTTTCTGAACCATATATCAGCACTGACTTGACTTGACGTTGATGTTGAAAATCTGGATCTTGTTCTTTGTGCTGAGTGGAGTGCAGTAGATCTGCACACTGATTTCAGATTAATGAAAGCCTGTCTTGCTTTTCCGATTTGGATAAATATAAATGCTATCAATTTATGACATCAGAGGTAGCTGTGGCGAAGATGTTGGCATTGTGTTCATTTCGATGTACATACTCGACTAAAGTTTCAGAGTTTAGAAGACATATGAATGAAAGTTAGTCGTTTTATTGTATCATTTTTCCAAAAAGAAGGTTTAAAATTGTGTCAGTTCAGTGTTGTAACAATCGGCAGAATAACAGGCGAGTAACTCGTAAGCTTGCTATTTAATATTTTGCTAGGACTCAAATTTTCTCCCAAATTCAGTTATTTCCTGTATATATATAGTTCGATAGATAGTTTTCGTCTGTGTACATTTATTCTTTACAATTCTTTCTTCATCAAGGTTCATGATTGCTTAACATGGTTCGAAGATGTGGACGAAATACTAACCTTCAAATATACTGCTATTTGTACCGAAAATAATAAAACAAATAACAAGAAAAAGGATGTTGTTGATCAGAATGTTATTAACGAGTGCGAAATGGATATGACATGTAAACCTACACTGAATGATCTTTGTGAATTACAACTGAAGGGTAATCAAATTGCCGCGTCTATTGCGTATGCAATGAATAAGCATGAAGATGGATATGCTTATGATTTTTCTTCACATAGTGTATTGGATGCAGCATTAACCGTTCAAAGTCGACGTCTTTTAGAAACTGTATCTAAAGTAACGTTGGTGGAAGAAAGATTGAAGGAAATTATCAACGCTGAGTATGTAATCTTTGTTTATTTTTCTCTTTCATAGTTAAAAAACATAACTTGTACGCCTAACGCTAAGTCTTTTTTGAAAATGAGTTGTTGCCTGGTACTTTATGGAGATTTGATATTAATGATGGATAGCAACTAGCAGTGGAATCTAAGATGTGCGTTTCCTCTTGTCTGGGACTCGTCAGCTAGATGTACTTGCCTCCTAGGGGGTGTTGTTCCCACTAGGACTCTAACACCAGAAAAAAATTTGAAGGCTTTTTCAAAGACAGCTTTCATCAATGAGTGAAATCGCTTGAAGGAGTATCAAGGTAGTTGTCACGTTCGTACACAGAACACCTCTGGTGTAACATCCCTACTGACACCGTTGCACACCTAATTGTAATTAGCAGCTATTTAGAAAGTTATTCACTATAGAAATATTCAATGTTTATAAAATAATGCTAAAGATATTCAGAAATAATGTGACAAATGCCAAGTAAACGATCTTAACTCCCTGACTTCACAATAACACCTGGCCACTGTAGTCTTGGAACCACTTTCAGGTATCTCTGCTAAAGAGTTCCAGGCAAATGTAAAATATTTGTACCATTTTTCAAAAAATTGTGATTTTTTAAAATTTGATTTCTGAAAACTGATTTCAAACTAGTCAATCCTGCTGAAATTCTTTACCGAAAACAAAAAAAGTGACTAGAATTTCGGATCATGGATCATCGAAGTGAGTACGGAATGATAAGAGATTTGGTTTAGTGTGTTTGTTCTGTGTTTTACACTTTAATAGTGGTTGAAGATATTATGTCATACACTGGGGTATGTCTCTGATCAATAACTGCTTCCAGTACTACATATGATGTATACTAAATACTTCATGCGAATCCAATTCATCGATTCACATTATTACATTTCTCTCATTCAGTCATCCCCTAGATTTTTCAGTATCTTCTTAATACCACCTCTTGTTTTTGTAGCCCACTTATGATAGACAAGTTAATTAAATACGCTTGGATGTACTCATTTTGTGGATGACTGAACGTTGGTGCCTAGATACTCTGGTTTTATATTTCAGCTATGGCTCATTGATCTAGGCACTCGACTTCCATCCTATGGGTTACAGGTTTGAGCTCAGCTCTGCCTACCAAGGTTTGGGTAACCAGGTGGTATCATAAGGTCTCATACAATATATGTGGCTCATTACCTACTGCACGAATGTGCACAAGGTTGCTGTGATGAGTGGATTGTAGTTCTTTTTGGCACTAAAGTAACTCCGAGAATATCAGAAAAGCAGTGAAACTTGTGCTCACTCACTTAATTTCATAAGAAAATTATGTCTTTTTTGATTAGATATTCCATCCATATTCTTCCGTTGTATAGCTATAACCAATGAGGTGGGTTGGAAATTGTTAGGGTTTTTGTTTGAAGCTGTATCCACCGAAAACGTTCGACTTGGTCTCACATGTAATCGAATTTAGGGGGTTTAGGGGGCTTTAGAGATTTTTCAAGTTGGTATTCATCATTGACTGACACCAGTTAGAGAAACATTGGAAACCTGGGGGCACTGGACAGGTGTTTCGTCCTACTGTGGCTTTTCAGTTGTGTGCACCCACGACCCCATGGCCACTAGGTTTGCCCCACTGGTCACGACTTCTCATTGGAACTTCGGAAATCACCTCTCGAAGCTAGTCACCAATGAGCAAACCCGATGCCCATGAGGACAAATATTCAACAATGACATTGGGTAATGGTCGCCCTGTGTCGTGAACTGACTGAAGTTGGATGTAGGGACCATTGGATTCCGACCCCGTGGCTCAATGGTAGCGTGTTGACCAACGGAACCTCAATGTCGCGGGTTCGATCTTTGTTGGGTCATAGGTGCTCACTGCTGAAGAGTCCCATAGTAAGACGAAATAGCTGTCCAGTGCTCCCAGGTTTCCAATGTTCATCCAACTGATGTCAGTCCATGATGAATAACAACTTGAAAAATTACATGTAATCAACGGCCTAGATGAGAATAGTTCAAATAAAAAGGGCATAATCAGACCTAGATAGCTTTTTTCATATCTAAAATATGAAGAAATTTACGAAGAAAATTCTCCTTTGTTGAACGCTTATAGAATTAGTGTTCAGTACGAAAACAGTTTCAGTAATATTGCTTAGTGGGAATACACTTTAGCTTCGCTGCATATACAGTTGAGTTGTATGAGATTTTCACAAGTCGGGAACTACAGTGTAGTTAAACTTGATAGGTCTTCCACATACTCATTTTTCTAATAGTATGATGGGAATAAATTCACTTTTGCCTTTGAAAGTTAATTTTGAAAACGTTATCACGTCTCTTTATCGTATATCACCGGTCATAGTAAAGACTGACACTTGCATGTCCTATTCAGTTCGTTTCAGAAACTTACTTGAAGGATTTAAAGATCGTTTAAGCTCTCTAAGATATATTTTGTTCAGCCAACTAATCTCAATCAAGGGAGGGTGTTCATTTTGAAATTCAAGTCTTCATTTGGTTGACAGTTACTCATTAGCTTGAAAACTACTTTCAATGATTGGGTCACAAGATTAAAACTAGCTTCATATGCTGAAGTTCTAGCAACCAAGTAGTGTAGAATGGCTACAACTAGTAACACAGCGCTCTAAAAGGTTATGTTCGCTAAGTTACATGTATTTCAAGCTGCTAAAAACAAATATTGAACTTGTATCTCTGCGCTATTTTTCCATAGCATCAGCTTCATATTTTTCCATCTAAAAGCAGGGTTTTGTTTTACGGAAGCCCTGTATATGCTTCTAGACAGAACTGTTGTCCATTGTTCTCTTACTCGCACCCCTTACGCTCTTCTTTTTATTATTTCACAGACCTTGTAGTTTGTCTTTAGTTACTGTGAAAGAACAGTTGGCAATGGCAATGCAACTACCTATTCATTTAACTGCTACTTCTGATGTTCAGGAGATATGCGAGAAGGCAGAAAAATATGAGAAACAGTTTAATATTCTTGCAAAATTACTGTTTGAAAACAATAATTTATCCATTAAACAAGAACTAGATGAACAACAGCAACCAGCACATACACCGCGTGATGAGAATAAAAGTAAAGAAAATATTCACGTAAAAGACGATGAAAGTTCTAGTGAAGAAAAACTAGATGAAGTTGGATTGGGTTCAGTAGACTGTACTCCATCTAAATGGCAGTCTTACTTTAACACCTTAGAAGAGAATATTCAAAACTGTGTCATAAAATTTCCACAAATCGATTCTATCAGAACATTGGTGAGTGCTTTTATGTTATTTTGTTTTTTACCATTTTTCTTTTACTTCCAATCTAATCCATTTTGAATAGTGTATCTCAGAAGTCAATACTCTTTAAACGGCTATCGAAAAATACTTAGGGATTATTTTTTCCCGTTTTTCAAACTGAATTATATGCACACTTAAAGGTCATCTACTAAAGTTAAGTCTAAGATCTTGCTGAGTATAAGGCCTGTTTTCTTTTGAATTCTTACAGTTGTAAGTGCTTTATGTCAATGGGTTACATAATTTTCCACAATGGCTGACATATATTCAACTATGCAGTTGATATACTTTTGAGTGTCTCATTCCACGTATCTTCTACTGGAATCGCACATTCACTCACAGTTTATAACATTTATTCATAAATGGCATCTTCTAAAGCTTGAATATTTGCACCAACCGTTATCTTCAAATTGTTTATTCTCTCACACAACTTCGTCCACTTTGATATCAATCTTTCTCTATCCACCTGTTCTTTGTGTACTACTGTAAAGTTTGACAACTTGAGTAGATGAAATTGTGTACGAGGTTCTATGTTGATTTTGTCAGTCAGTCAAACACATTGATTCATATTTGCAGTTATTTTTGTTTCAGTCAGAATCATAGTAGCCGAAGAATGGTTCATGTTTATATGTTTATAAAGTTTATCTTTCAAATTGTGCGATTCTAAGCTACTCGGAGCAAGCCCAAAGAATGCACATTGTAGTGTGTGTAGAAAGAACGTTCACGTTGTCATTATGGTACATATATATCTTGGGGAACATTTTTCAGATATCCGTTTTTTAGAATAGCATTTAGTATAACTTATTTTTGTTTCAGTAATATAAGAGGAATATTTAACCACTTTGGTAGAATATGATTCTGTTTTAGTTGATGTGTTAGGTATATCACACAGTCATCTTGATATAACTGTGGACGATAACTTGTGTCCTAAACGTAGTCTAGCAAATGATACTATTCCACCGTGTGATACATCGAATAAAATAATTAAAGTGGAACTTATTTTGTGTTTAAATGCTATGAACAATTGGTTTTTAGCTATCAGTGTTTAAAGGCTGGTAAAAAAAACCATCCATTTCATCTACAGGATAATGCTATTCTACTAGTACTTTGATTTTCAGACACCTTTCCCGTATGCTTTCATGATATATTTCCTTGGTAAAATTAATCTATATGTTTACTTTTTTCCAACCTAAGTAAAATTTGAAAGCTGCATATTATTTTATTCCTGGCCTTATATTCAATACTACTACTACGTACGCTTTTTTAATTATTCCACTTTTACTGTAAAACAGTTGTCAGATTTGAGTATATTCTATGGAAAGTTGACAAAATTGTTTCTTCGACCTGAATCAACTCAAAGTTTATTGGAAATCCTACTGCCACGATCAGCATCTGCTTTAGAATGGCTTATTCGTTTAGATGGTGGTCCAGAAATACCTGATTCGTATCGAAGTGATTTTAAGTTGGAAGTGAACAATTGTCCACCAACTACATATAAACGGCATACACGAAGTCCACATTTCCAGGCATCAACGTATAAATCACTGTGTAAAGACAGTGCACAAGTTAGTGTATTTTTCCTTTTATTATTATTATTATTGACGATGTTATTATCTCCGTTGTATTTATTTTTAATGTTCTCGAAACTAAATTTCGATTTGTGGGATCAGCTCCGATGGATCATGGACCGACGAAATCTTAACGCGGCTTTTGCCAGCTTACACATGCTATGGTGTTAGCGTCACATCCTGTTGTATGCCAATAATCGAATATACTGTGCAGCAGTTCGCTATGCTCTTATCGTGTGAATGTGAAGCATGGTCATGGGAAGTGGAGGATATGAGCAGGTCCCAGGTGTTTGACCACAGTTACCCTCGTAGCATAGGCCACGCACGTATCGTTGCACATTAATCCTAAATCCCACATTGGTTTTGAAGGGTTAATTAAGATTACCATCTGTGGAGATATAAGGGATGTAAGATTTTGTTAAAAACATGGAAAGCTCTTACATAGGTACAACAAAACAGGTTGAGTATGCGGAATATTCACATGGTAACACTGAAAAGACAAGACTTTGGGGAATGCGTATTTTCGTTAAACTCTGATCACGCTGTACCTTTAAATACATTTCAAACTTGGAAACAAACAATTCGAATGGTTACATGAAGTTTTGAGTTATCTGTTAATTAAACTAATTAGGGATTCAAATTATGTGATAGTCCACTTCATAAGATCTCTGGTAATCAACGTGTAAAAGGGATTAACAGTTTGTGAGGATTATCAATTAAAATTAGATTAAAATTAAAAATCATAACAGGTAGTCAGTAACTATGGGATATTGGTTCAAGTGAAAACTGGGCACATAAAAATTGTATGAATGTAAATCAAAGTGAAGAACAAACAAACCCTAAATCAGACTGATAGAAACAAGTTAGTCGAGTCGTTATTTACCTAGATTTCGTAAATTCCATCGTTGCAGATGGCCACGGAAGAATAAGAGAACGTTGTAGTTGTTTTTGCATACAGAGTTCAGGTTTCATAATTTTTATTGCAATGGCTTCAGTAGTTTAAGGAAGCCAAATTCTTACTGCTTGTAGCTTCCGATTTGGCATCTTGTAGATTACTGAGAATGTAGACTTCATGTCAACATCGTGACCAGTATCAGTTAAGGGAGATTGGATTAAACTGGTAATCGTATTTATCTTTCCTTTTGCTAGTCATATTGGTAAATGTTATTTCGCACATTGTGAAAGAGTTCTTATAGTTTGTCCTAAATAACTGACTCCACAGAAGAAGCTTAGTTTATGGATACACATTAACGTAGACATATGAAGGATTCTATTTTCCACAAGTGGTGGTAAGATACATCTAATGCTGAACGTCAATCAGCCTGGCTGCAGAAAGCGTTTTATTTAATGACCGTTGAAGTCTGCTTGCAATGATTTCGGCTCGATAATCATAGTGTCCAAATTTTACTCCTTCATTATTGATAAGCGTTGTGTAGTAATCACCATCTTATCCCTGCTTATAAAGGTCACTTATATTGGTGAAATCATTGGTCATTCAAACTCAGAAAGTGCATCTATATGCACTAGGCAATCAGCTTTACATACATGAGGGTAAACTAAACTACCTGATCGCTCAAACTACGGTATGTTGAATCGTTTTTGAACCCGTTACACACTGGTTGGGGCACTAAAGTACTCCTGGCTGTTGTATTTCACCCTTGCAGTGTTGATTACTGGTGCTAACTTGTGTTATCGACTGATGAGCACATACGGGACTAGGATTGGCTGTGCTCATATCTGTATCTCTAAGTAAACTGAGCATAATCAACTATACTGTGAAGATTAAAACAATTTTATAGACTATTGTAAATAGCTTGTCATAAATAACAATTCTCAAACAAATTTGGTTGACTATAAAATGGATTTTTGTTCAGGTGAGTAAATCATCTGACCTTACTTCCAAGATTTCCCACACTTAGTTTCAGATTGACTAATTATTTTGCTTATATAAAATCATTTCTGGGCGTAATTATACATTAAAAGGGCCTTTTCATTATACTCTTTTTTTGTTTTCTTTTGACGAAAAATGATGCCTTAAAGTTGTATTGTTTTTCTATTTTATACTTTAGGAATTCGCTAAAATTTCAAGTATGAAAGATTGGAATCAAATGTATACTTCAGTGTATAATCGTTTTGTTGAAGCTGAAGTTTCATTAATGCATTACTTACGCAGTACTAATATGCGTAAGTCGAGAGCAAAAAATCAAGAGAAAATAGTCTATTGTATTTGTCGACAGCCTGGACTTACCAGTTTTATGCTTCAATGTGAGCTTTGTCGTGACTGGGTTCACGGTCGGTGTGTTACACTCCCAGCTTTAAAGGTCAGTGTAATCTTCACTGTATTCATACTTAAATGACCTCGTTCTATTGTTGTACTTGATATTCATATGCACATTGTTTTTGCAACAGGTGAGTGACGGTAATGATGACTAGTATATTATTGAAAACGGTCGATATTATACTCATCAGTTGTATTCTATTGTACTTGTTGTTATCATTCGCATTCATATGTGAACCTCTTCAAATGCTAAAGCGTTATCTACCTGGCTGAATTAAGATAACTTTATCATGTTTAACGGATCGCAGTTTCTCACTGTTATGTGTGATCCCCTTTTATTGTTAATATATATGATTCAGCAGTTCCTCTTTCAACACTTTTTACAAATGCATTGACTGAATTTTTACTGGTAGTTATTGTGTAAGATCAAATTCTACCAAAAACTGATCAATTCAGCCATGTAAGTCAACATGCAGGTAAAGCTAAAGATTTAATAGTTTCGACATAAATAGAGTTTAACTGTGTATTTCTCTGATACATGAATGACAGTAATATCATATAAATTATGGGTAGTGGCTAGCAGTGGAATCCAGGAAGCGTGTTTCGTCTTATGTAGGACTTGTCAGCTAGATGTACCTGCCTCCCATTGAGCGATGTTGTTCCCACTGAGACTCGAACCCCGTACCGATCATTTCAGACGTCAGAGCGTTATCCACTAGGCCAATCAACGATGGGGTAATAAAAGCAACATCATTGACACCAATATTATAGTTGAGAAAGTGTTGTTTTGCTTGTTTGTGTGTACTGAAGACTTTTTAGGTAGTTTGGTGAAAATGTCAAGTTGAATACTGATGAATAACTGGATAATTGGATAATTAGTTGACTAGTATTCGTTATTTTTAAAATAATATCTGAAAAAGTGCTATCTTTAAAGTATGGTTTTGTTTTGAGCCTTCTTAAAAATTCTCTAATATAGTCTATTTCATTCTTGCATGAACTTCTTTTATTCTGTCAATCGCTTAACACATGTAGTAGTTATTGACGTCGTTCAGTTGGTTAACATAGAGCAAACAGTTGCTGATTTCTTTTCCACACAGAATCGTTATTCATTCTATAGACTGTTGGGGAGTCGATTGGCCTCAAAAAAGTTTACGTATCGACTCCTTTGATATCAGTGTTTCTCATGAACCTCCAAATTGTGTAACAATCCGATGCTTGCTAGTGACGCTTCGAGATTGACTTCCCTACGTTTTAGAGAGAATCTGTGATCTGTGAGGTTAACTAAGTCAGGTTTGATAAAAAACACGTTCCTATGGCAGCGGTCAATAAATCGGGCCATATTGTTAGTCGACGAAATTGAAGAAAGTGAACCACAAATTACTCACCCAGTGACTGTATGGTAATGTACCTGCCACCAGAACTGGAGGTTCTGAATTTGTGCGTGAGTATTACCGATCATTTCAAAATTTGGGCAAAACAGATGTTCAGTTATCCTAATTTTTCAATTATGCTCTAGCCAATATCAATCGACAGTGTAAATCCCCCAAATATAGTTGAAATTTTAGATGTAGATATGTGATCTACTCAATTGAATTCATAGTAGTATACTTCGTTTTTCCCAAAAATGGACCGGAAGATGCTTTCGAAACTGATCGTTGACGATTAGTCCGTACAAACGCTAATTCTTATAACAATATTATGGTTGGTATAAAGGTATATATATGTCATTTTAAATAGGACAGCTTTATACTATCATCAGTCTACCTAATTTCTTCACCAACTGTTTTGATAAAGTTTTACTGTCTTGCTGCATTGAAGTCTACTCAATTTTACTACTTTTCTAGGACTCAGAAACTGAACGTATGAGATATATTTGTCCACGATGTGAATGCAGTCTAAGACCTGATTTGAAGCAAGTTCTTGAGCTTCTGTCAGATCTCAGTAGTCTCGCGCGAAACAGAAATGAATCAAACCAAAATAAAGCTATGCACAGTAACAATAAAAATAATAATTCACGGGATATATATTTCATCAGTTCCCAGAATTCGTTGCAGTTCAGCTTCTTTGTGATCGAGCTCTTTGTTTCATTAAGTATATTCAAAATGAGATAGCGGTTAGTTGTTATTTTGTTTCTGTAGAAGTGTTAATTTATCTAAGCATTATTTTATTCACTTACACTTGTTATTTTTCATCGTTTACATGTTTTTTTTTATATGTCCACTCTGATCTTGATTTCAGCTATGTGTAACATTTGATTGAGCTTCCTCATAAGTGCTGGTTAATAGGCGTCAATATACCGTATGCAAGTGACAGTGCTATTAAATTGGGTGTGCACATTACAATTTTATAAGATCTTTACATGAACTGGTATTGAATACTTGATGAATAGCCTCTTTGTCAAGATATCCTTTTTCGTTCAAAAATGAAGGCACAAGAGTAGTTTAACTGGAGTGTACTCACATTAGTATACTTCAATCAACTATAAACTTAGTATGTGCATAGTTTCTTGCGAAATCTTATACTCTTTTACGGTCTGAGGAAGGAAATAATAAAGATGAAGCACAGGTATTTGATTGTAAAGATTTGTATTCTAGAAAAACTACATGTATACAGCTTCAAACGGTGCTTCTGAAAATTGTCCTTAATTGCAACATAGATTATGAACAACTTGAAATGCTCAGTTCATATTGACTGTTTCCCCCCCGGTCGACGGAAGCAAATAGTCACAGTGTTTAGGGGTTTTTCATCTGAATATGCAATAAATTTCATTTTTGGAACCTGAGACTTTTACGTAGAAGAGATGGATCTTGTCAGACATCTGTCCACAGAACAGAAACATCGAGTGGGCATTTAATAGTTACAATCAAGAACTAGTTAAAACGATCATATCTGACTGCTATACACTAGTTAACACTTCATTTTACCTGACCAGTGGTTGTCTACCACCATCCCTAAATACCTCTAGAACTAGGCCGTCTAACCCTGCCACTCTTCTTCGTTTCACGTTTCCTTCAGCTTCCTCAGCGTCTGTAAGTGTTGGGAGTCCTATCTCAATTTTAAATTCAAGATCCGACTAGACAGAGGACACCCGTTTAGAAGCTGGACGCTAGTTAAACTGCTAATTAAATTGTCCCACCCGTCAATCCAGTCGTCTCCCCTACGTGTTTATCTCAGACTCGTCCATTTCCACTATAGTTTCACTAACCATTGAATTTTTGGCCCAGTTTTCGTGATAAGTATAAATATGTGTCTACTGTTACTTATTATTATTTATCCCTTGGATTCCTAGTGGAGCATACGGCTTCAGTAGCACGCCTCCATTTCACTCACTTCTATGCAGTCTTTTCAACCTTGAACCATGACTCTCCAGAAGCTTTCATTTTTTCCTCACACGATCTCCATATCACTCTCACGTTGGACGCCCAACTCATCATTTCCTCTTTGGATTCCACCCGACGGCCTGGTGCGTGATGTCTCCGAATGGTTTTATCAGTGTATGCCCAATCCAGTTCATCCCCACTTTCTTCTACATATTTGTTGAGTGATAGGTTCTTAATTGGTTCGTCGCCAGCCAGGTAGACTTCCTTGCTGTTTATTCGTTCTGGCTATCTGATCTGATCTTCAGTACCGAGCGAAGGTAGGCAGCTGTTGATGTCTCTCTGTAGTTTGTTGGATGTGCTTTTGGTGACGCGCCAAGTTTCCGAACCATATATCAGCACTGACTTGACTTGACGTTGGTGTTGAAAATCTGGATCTTGTTCTTTGTGCTGAGTGGAGTGCAGTAGATCTGCACACTGATTTCAGATTAATGAAAGTCTGTCTTCCTTTTCTGATCCTGGCCTTTTCATCCTCATGTATGCCACCACCTGTAGTTGAAACGATGCTGCCTAGTTGGTAGGTGAAAGAGACTACTTTTTTAGGTTTCTCGCGTTAATGGTGATTGGTGCCTGTTGTTGTTAATGCTGTTGTTGGTTGGGTATGTTCATCACCTGTGTCTGATGTAGATTCACTTGAAGTCCCATTTTCGCTGCCTCTTTTGCCAACTTGTTAGTTTTTGACTGTAGATCTTCGAGTTTGTGCGACAAGACATTAGACATAAATCATGGTCGGCGAAATCCAAATCTTGTGGGTTCTTTTCCGCGGCCCAGCGTATCCCATCCTTCTGGCTCCTCATGGTTTGCTACATGATCCAGTCGACCACAATCATGAAAATGATGAGTGATAGTAGGCGGCAGCCTTGTCTCACTCCATCCTGTCTTCACTTCGAAGGCATCACTGAGCTTTCCATTGTGAATCACTTGGTATGTATGTGACGTCTTCATATAGCCGTTGAATGAGTTTGATGAAGGTTTGTGGTATTTCGTAGTGTTGAAGCAGCTGCTTGTCAAATTACTTGTTGGTGGATGCTGTCGAAGGCCTTTTCAAAGTCGATGAAGTTGATGTAGAGTTGAGTTGACTGGCATTCTATGCTGTGTTCAATGATGATGCGCAGTGTTGCAATTTGATCTGCACATGATTTAATTTTCCTGAATCCAGCCTGTTCCGGTCGTAGTTTTGAATGCAGCGCATCCTTTAGTCTCTCCAGGATGATGCGGCAGAATTCCGTGCTCGTTCCTTTATAGACTTAGGTTACTCTTCTTTGGGAGTTTGACAAGGTAGACCTTCTTCCAATCTGCAAGCACATTTCCTTCCTTCCTTCCTACCTTGCAAACCTTCTGCAGTGGTGGTATGAACATGTCCGTTGTTGTATCTGCATCTGTTTTCATTGCTTCTGGAGGAATTCCATCTGCTTTCCAGGCTTTTAGGGATTTTGTGGTGTTCGTTACTTCGGCTTTTGTCGAAGGGCTTGTGTTCACTGGTAATTCTGTGGCTGGATTGCTGGTGGTATTTATGGACAAGTTGCAGGCGGTGGTCGATTCAAGATTTTTTTGAAGTGGTCAGTCCATCGCTTTCTTTGTTACTCCTCTTCGCTAAGTTTCCTTCACTATCTCTCATTGGTTTCATCTGTGTTTATCTCTCTCCTCTCAGATAGTAGCCTGATTATTTGATATAATGTTGTCAGGTCTCTCCCGGCTACAGCCTGTTCTGCTTCATTTGGCAGTGTCGTAGAAGTGTCTTTTGTCTTTTTGGGCACTATTCTTCCCTTCTTTGTACAATATTCTATACGTTGCATTCAGTTACTTTTTTCATTGTTCATCCCTGCACTGGTTCATCTTCTGCTTCACTACCTCCTTCTCCTCTATCAGTTTCCATATGTCGGTCGAGATCTATTCCATTCCTTGTCTTGTTTCTCCTTCTTTCCCAGCATGGTTATCCAGGTTTCCTTCCACGTCTCTTTCAAAGAGTTCCAGTGTTCTTCCACGCAGGTTTCTTCATGGATGTTGCTTAATGTATTCCATTTTTCCTGATGGCTGGCTGACGTGAAGGTTTCCTTTGTGGTTTTGTCCTTCAGTTCAGTTTCTGTTTTGGATGTTCAACTTCAACTGTGATCTATCACCAACTTCTTTGAATGCTTTCAACTTGATTTTGGAGGTAGGTTGCTTGCACTAGATATTGAGTGGTCTGAACTCACATTTGCTCCCCTTCTTGAGATGCATTTGAGATGCTTCCGCTCCTCATTTATGCTCATAGTCAGCAGAGATGTATTGGAGTGCATGCATTAACTTACAAGTAGCTGCTGAGATTCACTGGCTTTTTAATAACCACTCTCTGAGAGTCGGCTACGGTTTTCAACGCTGTTTTCACAACAGATTGGAGATGTTGCCAGGCTTATTCTAGATGACTGATTTCGTTGTGCACTACCTAAGTGCCTTTCTGCCCGACTCGTCCTACCCACTTGTGGACCGAAATTACCTGAAACAACAACTACGTCTGCATGTTTGACTTTCAGTAGGAAGATAGACAGTTTTCTGTAGCACACTGGAACTGCTGTCGGCCTGTGTGTAAGCAGAGATTACAAATAGGCAACGGAAAGTTTCACTGTTCTTTTCAATCCTATCTATGCCGTTCAGTTGAACAACACACAAGCGACTGTCAGCTCGGATTCTGTCGAGGAGTGCGCTTCCGACCTTTGTACTTAGTGGTAAATGGCTAGAAGACTGCAAGAACTGCTATGGAATCTACAAAGAGTGAAATAGTGAGTTTTTAGATTTGCCATGTTGGCCAGGTGAATCATTACATTTAAATCGTGTATGCGTGTCTCACAAACACAGCACAAATGCATAACCTGAAGTGCTAGAGTTTCGGCTAGCGAAGCTTGTTGACCGATTCGTCAGAGGATGTTGTCATTGAAATCTCCAACGTATAGTTTTAAGTGCGGTTCCAGGAGACCAAGGATGCCGTTCTGTGAACTGAAATCATAGTCAAAAGCTACAGAGCTGGAAAAAGCTAAAATGATATAGGATTTGAGCCGAAGATGTGATAGAAAATTAGAAGTTAAGGATGTGAGAGGTGAACGGTGGTATGAAGTGGTTTCAATGCTGATAGATTTGTTAAGGCGTTTGACACTTCTCTACTACCCAACACTATGGGAAGGCTGCTTTTCCTCGAGGTGCCGGAGAAATGGGTTATTGCGTGACCGAAGATCCCAAGGAAGATATGCTGGTCACATATGACCTTTTTAGAAGTTTGATAGTTTAGTTTTCATTTTGAAAATTTCATACTGCCTCGACTGGTATGTCGTGCAACTATTAGAATCAACTTTTCTTACTCCACCTTCTCATTGAGATCATAACATTAACATATTACCGCTGGTTATCCACGGTAAACACCTTACTTGCGTCACATCCCCGTCCATCATTATTGTAACTGTTTTTTTTGTCTTACTAATATTCAGTAGATCTTTCTGATGTGGTAGGACCTCAAGGAAACAAGCATGCCACCAGCGTAGCCCATTGTGTCACTGTGATATATCAGACCGATCACCACATCAAGATAGTAGCTGTCGAACGGTCACGTAGTAAAGATGTAAAAGCGAAGATGTTTTTCTCCTCGACAATTCCATTTACTAAAGTTATACAATAGCATGTATAATTATTGGAAGAAACAGTCTATCAATAATCGATAGGATCATGAGACTACTATAATCTTCAACAGTAGAACAAATAAGTTCTACTTAAAGATATAAACACATGGTTACGTGCACGTAATGCTTTCGAACGCGAAGGTCAGGTTTAAGGTTGTAAATTGTCAGTGAATCCACCGTTTATAGTATAGATGACTTAGTTGATATTCTTTGGAATTGTAGAGAGACACTCTGCAAATTACTTTGCAGGAAGTACTAGGATAGGGTCAGATGTCCGGGGATGACGATGTATTTGAGAACTGAACTGTTGAGATTCCTTCTTTCTCCTCTTGATAGCGAAGCTCGACACCGTTGGAAATTACATTGACGGAGTTCACACTGTGTGTGTTGAATGTATTTTGCTGCAACAGGGACAAGTAAACTGGTAGATTCTCATTGAGGTGGGCTGTAGTGGTATTGTCTTGAAAGCATTGATAGACTAGTCGTCTACTGAAGTACGTAATTCCTAGACTCGTTGCATGAAGTGTTTTTCGTCGGAGATCTTGAGAGGTGATTTTCGAGTATTTCAGCTTGAATGTTATTTCTGAATTTTAGTATCAAATAGAGAGTCTTCTCAAAGATTTTTGATAAGTGTTGTCAAAGTCAATATAGTGTATGTAGGTGGATAACCGTTTTTAGTAGGATATTACATAGATTTTTTTAGGTTATCATCTAGTCTACCTTTAGCACAGATCTTTTGAAGTGGTAGTCCAGGTGTGTGTTTTAAACGATAAAATCGAGACAGTTTAGATTCAGTTTCACATTCAGATATCTGTAGTCTTTTCTAGAAAAGATCAACCACTTTGTTAATATTGTTTGTCCTATATATTCATTAGCAAAACACTTGCACCATTATCATATAGGGTTAGTGAAGCACCTATGTATTTCACTTCTTTCCGTTGGATCATTTTGCTTATCATCTGCATTTTCTATGAAAATAAAAATGTTTGGGAAGAGAATTTTCTTTGCTGAAATCTTTGCTTGAAGTCAGCTTTTTATTGCTTTTTTGTGACGAATAAGTTAGGTAAATTGCAGCTGGCTTGTGTAATCAGCTGTACATTATAATGGCCAATTTTTGAGCTCCCATCAATTTCATATCAGTTTCTAAAGTTTATAATTGTCTAATGATTTTTATGACTCATAAATACTGCAGATGTTTTATGTCACTTGACCTCTTACTAAAATGGCTTTACTTTTTTTTCTGCTGTATGCTCCTTTACAGTCTAATGCAGAACTCAAACAAGCCCTAACTGATTACGAGCATTTTTCGAATATGACAATGCCTTCATTCGACTTAATCGAGCAAAATATTTCTGAGGAGTTAATTCAGCCGTCAGATCACAAGGATGTTTCTTATGCTCCGATGGATTGTAAAAAACAACCTGTACGTACAACATCACCTAGTCTTTCCTCACGTTCGATGGGTCCCATTCGTTCTGCATCTGATTTTCGAACGTTAAAGTCACATTCTGTGCATGGTCATGGTGACATCGATGGTGATAAGAAAAATCCTCTTGGTTCATACTTACCTACAGCTAAACCACGAAGTGGAATCACCATGCCCTCAAAGTCACCATGGGAACTGATAAATTCCGCGACGTTATCGGTAAAATACTTTTCCATCATAACTATTGTTGTTCTTTTTCTCGGAAGTCATTTTCACTAGATTTTTAATTAATCTGCTAGGTTCATATATGGTGTAGTCAGAACGATTGCAATTGTCGCTTTTCTTCCTCTTATTGTAAATTAAAAAAGTAAGCTCTTACATGGACTGTTGAAAAATAACTTTCATATCGACGCAATCCTCATATGTACGGTCTTGGTAGCGTTTAATCACTGCTTCCTAATGAAGTTTCTGTATTTTCACCTTTGCTTTCTGTTTACTGTCAGTCATTTAACATGAGCATGGAACGTGACGTTATTTTGTAACGGCCCAAATTGCCACACTTCATATCACCACATCAAGCGTGAGTACACGAGGATGAGAGATAAATGGATAAAAAAGAAAGCATTGAAAGGTGGAACAAAGTCATCAAAAGAGAGCAACGAGACGATTAAGATGAGGATAATGTTTTGGATATATCTGTACCATTCAGATAGATTCTGAGTTGTATCACCTAGTCTTCAACCGCTGGTTTCTGTTGTTATGTGGATCCCAAAAGGAAAGCCCACATTTTACTACACACCTGAGACCGACATTCAAAGACTTCATTGACTTGTGCCCTGCTTTCATTTGGCCGTCTGTAACATTTTTCCATCCTTAAGCTACTTCAGCTGGCATCGCGCAACGTAGAAGGGTATGACTAGACATGGGTAACACATGTAATAGCCATCTGAGTTGATGAAGGTTCACAACCTTATTCACTGACTTCCTCTTTTGAATATTACCTGAAAGACAAAGGGAAATATTAGAAGACAAGGATTTGGAAGGTTTGTAGTGAATCTCATGGAGCTTGAGTGCTGACATAGTTGTTAGGACGGTTGATTCTTCGTGGCTTCCCACACTATGGAAGTTTATTACTTCTTGAGCACCTAAAACGGATATTGGTTTATTGATAGATGTACGTGACTGCAGAACCAATAGCACATCTGCTATAGTCTGAGGCTTAAGTTTGTTTGTTTCAAGCTCAGCTTCAGATCTACATTGTCAGCATCTGAAAACCGCAGGTGGTGGATGTATGCAATTCTTGGGACTGACATTTTATAACCCTATGTTCCTATAGGAAAGATAGCATCAGCGTGTCATTGATGGGTCATCCACAGGAAATACCGTCCTGCTGGTACATCTCTGTCCAGTCAGCACAACGTTTTCATACTCCAGCCCCATCATACGGTAGTAGTTAATAGTATTAGGTTAAGTGCTTTTTGTCTCACCATTGTCCAATAGATGTTTCTAGTATGTTAAAACATCAAATGAACTAGTGTTCCCATCAGCATAGCTCGTTGGGTCATTGTGAAATGCAAGCTTGTTTACTACGTTAAGGTTATAACTGTCAGTTCCCGCTTACTGACACCTATTGATATCCATCAAATGCATTCAGAACTAATCAACTTTTATTGTCTAATACCACAAATAAGAAAATGATTATTTTCTGATTAATGCAATGATCGTATCGTGCACTGAAGTCTTCACCTCCTTGGTTTCAAATACGAAAGAGAATTTGAATGCCTCAGAATGTTTATCATCAAAAAAATAGAGAAATATTTTTAATTGGCGTAGTGATGAAATGAAGATAGCGTAAGTTTTATAATCAACTTTCTTGACTTCGCTTATCATTGTTACCACTTTTTTGAACAAATGTTTTAAATTCATTCATTTATTCACTGGGTGTTAGTCTAGAAGTAGATGAGATAAAAACATTTTCAAAAATCATGAGCGTAGTATTAAACTGGTCACTGAGGAATGTTCTGTCACATGACTCAAATTTAATTGCAGTAGTGTATCTTGAGATACTGTTTCATTGTTCAAGATACTCACCATTCTGTTCCGTTAAGCCTTTATAATAGTTTTTTTCGTTAAGAAACGTTTTACTTTTGAAATAGTAGAGAATATTTGTAGCTCAGGTGGTTGGTCTTGGTTATATTGTGTTCTCTGAGCTGGGTTTTTTAATTGTGAAGCTTTCATCGTTCACAGTGGATTTCCTACGGTGAATGAAACCATCTCTAGGTTGGTCTCAATGGTTTAATTTACTGCCTAAAACGAATAATCCCATCGAGAATTATGGTACTGTAATGGTTCTCAAACCAGGTTTTCCTTTTTGACCTATAGTAGATTTCAGAAACACCGGAGCTTTCAAACTATCTAAACATTCACTGATCACACTAGGTCCAGTTACGGATCATTTAAAATCTAGGCTGATTGACTTTTATGAACTTAGGTAAAAATTCTTGGTTGTGTTGTGTTCCCTAAGCTGGGTTGTTTAATCGTGAGGTTGCCATCGTCTTTCTGGACGACATCATCAGCACTAACTTCAGTATGAAGTGAGCTGTTAATATCTGTCTGTGAGTGATTTAGTGGCTTGCTCTGACGGTGTGGTCTGTGATTGGTTGTTTCCTTCGATTATTGTGTCGTTGACTGCATAGACTTTCCTGTTGGCTGTTCCTCTGCTTCACCTCTGACCTTTCTGTCGTTCATCATCTTTCTTAACCTGCCTTGACGAAGCGGTCTTCGTCTATATGAACACCAATTGGCTATTAAACGTCACGACATTTCACCACTTATTTCATCGCATGTAGATAATTATGGACATGAATTCAATTTTGACAATATAGATATTTTAAACCGAGGAAACAAAAAAATCAGAGAATTCCTAGAAGCTTGGCATTCAGGTCAGTCAGTCAGTAATCAACAAATTTATAGACATAGACCCAATCTATCAACGAATAAGAAGGATGATAAACGACAGAAAGGTCAGAGGTGAGGAAGAGTAACAGCCAACTGGAAAATCTATACAGTCAATGACACAACAATTAAGAGAAACAACCAATCACAGACCGCTTCGTCAAGGCAAGCTACTAAATCGCTCACGGAGAGATATTGACAGCTCACTTCATACTGAAGTTAGTGCTGATGATGTCGTCCAGAAAGACGATGGAAACTTCACGATTAAACAACCCAGCTTAGAGAACACAACACAACCAAAACGTTTTACTTGTTATAACACAAGTTAACATATGTTGGATAGCGTAAGACCAATCTCTTGGTTGTTTTTGCTCGTTAGTACTCATCGACGAAGTCAATCTTGAACACGGAAGAAGCGGATGGTATCTCACAGAAACAAACTCGCCTTATTGTGAATTAGTGTCACAGACGTAACCATTGTTATATACAAACCTGGATAATTGTTTCGAATTCTATATACTTCCAGTTTAGTTTATCGTTTAACGCTAAATTTCTCTGTCGTAACGTAAGGAATATGTGTATGAATATTGAATTTCACTATCCATCGTGTTTTTAGTCGATTGCATTCCAAAGATTTGTTCTACTACTTTTCATTTATCTTTAATATAGAAAGAAATGCAGGTCAGTCGTAATCCTCGTGAATTAATAGTTGCTGATAACATTCGTTCTTCGTCATCAAGGCAACCTGATTTAGAATCACAATTTTCAGATTATAAGCAAAGTCGTAAACATCAATCATTGACATCGAATAACAATTTACGCATGCATTCAGGTGAACAGAAAGAAACTGAAGCTGCTGAAGCATTGGCTGGTCTTTCAGCCTCGTTAAATACTCAGTCTTCTGTTGTTGCTGGTTACAAACCAGCACATAATCAACGATCATACGGTAATTTCAAATCTGACGCTACGACATATGGTCAAATGGGTAATCCTGATAGTTTTACTGCGAGAAGGTTCAACAAACATGAAACTGTACGACACGACAGTGGTTTTAATTCACGTCCTACTGATCGATCAGATCCCTCTTACTGTAAGTTTTGTGTGTAAGACTTATCACGTAACACTGAGCAAACCAGCATTTCCACTGGTTACGTATTGAGTCTGAGCTTGTTTGATAAAGATAGCATGTTTTTGATTTAGCGTATGCAAGTATAAAAGTACTGGTTTTGTTATTGAAAAGGTTTTTCTAAATTCCTTTGTTTAAGTTATTTGGAGTCGTGACATAGTGTGACCATCTTTTCTTCTAAATTGTATTCACGGAAGAAAGGGATGTGTAGTTTATATCAGTTGATCTACTAAATGTATCACATAGTGAAACAGGAGTAGTTACTGGATTATGTTTCGGACATAATTTATTGTCCATAATCGTATCATGATAACTCTACAACTTTGAGATTTTGTTCTATATAGTTCAAATTCCTTCACCTTCTTTTAAGCCGCAATCGTTACAAGGGATTCGATAAATTTGAACAACGTAATGAGAAGATGGAGATTATCTGTAACATGTGATGTATTAGCGCTATACTTTCCGAACAATCTGATCACACATGAACTTGTCGAATAATTTATATCAAAATTAGAAAGGCTAATTAAGCCAGTGGAATTATAATTAAGAAATATAATAAGGGCAGAACAAAAGCAAGAGAGGAGAAAAATAATAACGGGTCAAATCATCGCCACCAATAGTGTAAAGAGTTGAACTTCATCATCATCAATATCAACATAGGTTTAGGCATTACTGCGTAACGGTCCGACTAGCCACAACTCATGTCAGTTCATCAAGTTGAAAGGTAGTGGGTGAAAGATGAAGATAAGAAAACTCAGTCAGAAGAAATATAAAATACGAGAAGAAAGAAAGGAAAAGTGACAAAATAGTGAGAATCGGTACAGTGTTAAGATGAGGATAATTTGTGCATACATCTGCAACACTGACATCGATTCTGAGCCATATCCTCTGGAGTCTCTAACCACTGGTTCCTCTTGTCCCGCGGACCCCAACCACTTAGTCTGCATCGTCCTACATGGCTTAAACCAACAGTCAGAGACTTCATACATTGGTGGCATGTTTCAGTCTGGCCACCTCGAGCCTTTTTCCAGCCTGGGCCTACTTCGGCCAAGATTGTGTGACGGGGCAATGGGTGACTAGGCATACGTATTGCGTGTCCCAACCATCTCAATCGATGAAGGTTCATAACCTTGTCAACTGACTTACCTCTTCTGCCTAAAACTCTACACCTGACTTCTGCATTACTCACGTGGTGACACCACGGAATATGGCGGCCTATACTACTAAGGCAACGGTGGTCAAACACTTGAAGTCTTCTCATGTCTTCCACCTTCAATGGCCATGTTTCACAGCCATGCAGTAGAACAGAGCGGACTGCTGTGCAGTACACGCGACCCTTAATAGACAAACAGATATCACGGCGGCGCCATAGGTGGCGCAAATTGGCAAAAGCCAATCCAGCCTTTTGTATCCGTGCCGAAATCTCATCGGTAACTGACCCACCAGGGCTGATCCTACTTCCCAGGTAAGTGAAGTGGTCAACAAACTCAACCACTTCATTCTCTATTGTTAGCCGTGGCACCGTTGAAGACCAATCGTGGAGCAGCAATTTGCATTTGGGTGGTGAGAAACGCATCCCAAATATTCTCGAATTGCTACTCGAAGTGTTCAGAAGACTCTGCATCTTGTCAGCATCTTCACCTAACAGGACTATGTCATGTCATCTGCATATTCTAGACCTAAAGAAAACTCACCTGTGATTGGGTGAACGTCTGTGTAATTAGGTGATGAGAGGGAAACCTCCATAAGAATATCTATGATGAAATTGAATAAGAATGGAGATAGTGGGCATTCTTGATGGACACCACTCGATGAGTATAGCTCCCTGGACAACTCGCCATACTCTCTAACATGCCCACAAGTGTTCGAGGAAGAATTGAACGTAATACTACCAGGGTAGGTTTAGTGTAAGCTTATATTGTTACTGGATACATAAACGGGGTGTAAATTTATGGATAGCAAGTGCTTCGATAAATCTAAGGATTCATTCTTGACCATATCACACACAGTTTCTACTGTATGTTTTGCTACCGATGAGGTAGGACGTTTACCACCTGCACTTATTAAACCGTTAGAAGTTATTTGTTTCTGGAGCCATTTAGGCACATGTTCAACCATTCTAAACTGCATGTCGCGACTGCTCTTCCCTATGTTTGTGTCCACAAGTACATGTAGATTGACATACACAATTGGATGTTATGCACTCGTTCAAGTGCTGTTTAGGTTTGGAGCTTGAAGTTTATCTTTTCCACTAAGGATGACCTTGACCGCGTAGTATGTCCTGCTAACTGCTGATTTGAGCCTTTTCTTCGATAAACTAAATTAGTCTACCGAATTGGATCAACTAGACGTTTTTGACCCGCAATGCTAATTGAGAAACAAGTTTTGTAAGTGAAAGTGGGTCAATGTCGACCATGTTCCATTAGGCCATCCGAACATAAAAACCTAGGTAAAACAAAATTGGTAGATCCTAGTAAGACAAGGGATCTAGAATAAAGCTCATCGAATGTGTGCTGGCTACACACAACCACACAATGAGTGGGTCAGGTGACAATCCCTAAAAATAAGATAAACTCTAAAGCTCACCATTGTAGCAACCAAAATAACCAATCAGGTTTCTCTGTCTTGGCTGGAAAAGCAGATTTTCATAAGACGAAAATTTCTAACTGGTTATTTCAGTTGTTGCTAGGGCTGTCTTTTAAGTCACTCCACAAGTACATGCAAGAGAAATGACTCAGCACCTGTTATGGACATGTCAAAAATCCTACTACTTAAATCGAGTGACTTTAAAGGCCAGCCCTAGCAACAAATGAAATGACCAATTAGACTTCTGTATTTTATGAAAATCTGCTTTTCCAGCCAATATGGTGAGACCTAGTTACCCAATTTGATTGTTGCTAAGGTGGCCTTTAAAGTCGCCCGTTTAAGCCAAAAAGATTATTGCGCGAGAATTAGAACTATGTCTCAAAGTTGTGGAGTTATCTGAAATAAATATGATCAATAAAACTGTCAGTGAAATGTAATCCAGGAAGTAAAGTAATGATATTTCACTATGTTGATGCATATAATAAATCAACTAAGATGGAGTTATCTTCTGCCAAAGTGGTCAAGGTTTGGTCTTATATACCTAATGCAGTTATCAGGACATTTCATCTTTTCGATCTTTCAAATGTCTTTTGGTCCAAGTAGTGTAGTTAGTATCTTTATATTTAACGCGATGGGTATAACTTTAAGTTTAGTAAAAACTTCTATTTGGTTTATCAGTTGCCGTTTTATTCCTTACATTAACTCATTTGCATCTATCTTGAAGACCATGGGCTCAGATTTTCCAACATTAACTTAATTTTCTATATTAGTAACCATTTAGTCGTCGTTTACAGGTAGCGTGTCTGTACTGCAATTGGTCATAGTTAAGACAACAATTAAGGACTGACATCTCATCTTATTTCAGACTTATCTGCCATACTTGTATGCTTATTGGTTGACGTTAGTTTCCAACTGACAATCATTTTGAATATCCTTCATTCAGAAATCCATAACTTACATGCTTTGTTGACCTATACTCAACTTTTCAGACAGGGAGACAAAATTAACGTAGAACCTCCCACACACGTGAATCAGATCAAGTTACCACACTTCACAGTACCACACAAAGAACAGCTGGATAGAATAACAGTGATATCTAAGTAGACAAGGTTGTGTGAGAGAAGATAAAGATTAGTGTGAATATTCAAGCTCTAGAATATACCAACGAGTGAACACATCTGTGCCCCTGTGGCCAGTCTTCAGCCATGTCACCAATACTCTGCAACCACCCATTCCTTTCACCTCAGTGACCTCAACCGGGTAGTTTACATCTCCACACACGGCTCAATCCAACAGTGAGGGACTTCGTCGACTAGTGCTACGTCTTGATCTGGTCACCCTCAACTCTCCTCCAACCTAATCCAGTGTGCCCTAATATTACACGGTTGGGTAGCTAGTGCCCCACCATGGGCAGTACATATCGAAGCCATCTCAGTCGACTAAGGTTCACCACCACCTGATCAATCGACTTGCCTGTCTTGACAAGTACTCTTTGTTTGACCTCAATATTGCTCATACGGTGATTTCACCAGACGCAAGCAATGCTTCGAAGACATCTGTGATCAAAACCCTGCGAACGCTTCATAGCTTCTACTTTTAACGGTCGTGTCTCTCAGCCATATGACTAAATAGAACGAAGTGCTATCCGTTAAACTCGTACTTTGATAGTTAGTCGGATATCTCTCTGACGTAACAGTTAACGCAAGTTGGCAAATGCCGAACGGGTTTTCCGTTTATCTATTCTTCTCCATATTTCAAATGGTAATAAATGCTATAATGAAAGCATGTTTATCATATGTTAATCTTCATTCCATTATTAGTTCATAGTCATATCTCATTTGAGAAGTATATGCTAAAATGGAGTTATTAATCCATCTTGCTTTGTCGAATTATGAAATGTTGAAGGTAGTCTTCATCGCAAAATGACATCAGTTGATGAACCTTAGGACAGCTGTTACATTGTACTTTGGAACTGCCTACGGTTCTCATTGAGACGTGATAATCTTATGCCTGATCTGTCAGAGGGTTCGCTAGACAGTATTAGTGAGGACAGCGAAACAGCTGTCCAGTACTTCTAGGTTTCAGCTGGTTCTGCAGCTGATGTTTATCTGTAATGAAGACCACTTTGAAATACTGAAAGCTTTCTGCATAGATCATATGCTTACAAGAGATAGAGTAAACACGGGTGTACCTAACCTTCATAATATACTCTACTGTCAATAATAGTAGTATCATAATTTTGGCTTAATATGGTTATGATGTCTCCATCTATTATTCTTTTTTTCGTGACTAACTTGTTGAAATATTCTGACTTACAGTTCATAAACGAAATTGCGGTCAAGTTATGTCCTCAGACCATCCTCGGGATCCCAGTAGGTGTGATCGACCGCTTCATTCAAAGGTGTTAACAAATGAAGGTGAATCTCATCAAACAGCATCTTGCCTGCAGTCAACTCGAAGATTTTTTTCCCTTTGTCTGTTGAAGCACGCAGAATATTGGAAAATCTAATTATGGAAGCGTGTTTACTAGAAGTCCACTTACCGCAAACACGTTGGCTGTGGCAGTTGCATTTAGCCTCAGATCGAGAAACAGCTTCATGTGGTGCACTTCATCCATCTATCGCAAAAATCGAGGAAGACCGTCTAAAACGGCGAATCTTACGTCATCTCCAACAATCGAATCAATCGAAATGTTCTGACCGACCAAGAGCTGGTCGACGAAAAAGAGGGAGCTCTGGTGCTGAGGATAACTCTGCTAATGTAGACTCGAAAGTGGAGCTGTCAGATGACAGTAATATATCTTCAAGTGAAATAAGTGAATTACAAAAGCGTCAGCGTTACAGTTCAGAGTATTCAGAAGGCGAAGAAAAACAAAGCAATTCATCTGTTTCTGATCCAGTGCATTATGTCACATCTCTGCCTAATAGAAAGGTTTGTAAATTCTGAATAATATATATAATTTAATACTTTTACTCGAGTCAAACGTTATTTTCAGTTCATATGTATGACATCCTTAAAAAGTTCATTTTGCTGACTTTTTAAATTAATACTTTAATTAAAATATCTAACTGTTTACTCGTGATGTCTTTTCTATCATATATTTCTTGTACATAGCCTTATCGTCTAAGAGGTCGTGCCTCAGATCTTGCTATAGCAAGACGATACAAACTAGGTAGACCTAAACGTTTGTTGCCTGTACGAGGTCGCAGATCAGTTCAACGACCAGCTCATGCAATGGGATACAGATCGATGCGTCCAGGTGTACAGAAACACATGTATAATGTTAAGATACAAGGTGAACTACAATATAAAGACCGTACGGTGGCTCCAAACAAAAGTAGTAAACTTCAACTCATCAATCGTACAAGAAATCTAAGGTAATTCTGTTTCTAAATGTTATTACAATTTCCTCAACTGTTTTAAAGTTTTTATTACCTGAGTCCGTTTTCTACTAAGACAAATATGTTTAGTTTCTTTGCTATATTAAGTTATTATCCGGTTACTGAGTGTAAACGTTCTCAAAAGGCATAGTCTGTGCCGAGATTTTGATGTTCCTAATGTTTTAAGCTTATCAAGACAATGAAGGTTTGTCAGTCACATTATACGTTGTTCAGTTTTTCATATCGCTTTAAATTGATGCCTTTACAGACTTACGGTTGCAATATTATTCTGCTGTAAAGTACTTTAGGTTTAAAGTTCAGTGAGACCATGGTTTGTCCTACTAACCTTTTAGTTGTGACTTAACAGTGTATTGTGAAGCCAGATAGCTATTTTAATGGCTTTCAAACGAATCAACAGTATTCACCGTTTAAATGGCGGTGACAAATAGATAAACGTGTAAAACAATATTTAGTTACTTTTTCTCTGCAAAAGATATTGTAAAATTATTCCACCCACCCATTTCTTTTAATCCTCATTTCCTACACAAATCTGGAACCTCTAAACATACTTAACTGCCTCTGTATGTGTAATTGCACTCTCCAGACACATTTTGGTTGTTATACATTAGCAGTATGGCTAATGAATATATAAGACTTCCCTTACGCTGTGAAATACCTGGTACTGATTCACTATGTTTATACAAGAGGGAGTTTTTATACTTCAGCTATTAATTGATTCCTTCCCACAGTACATAACTTTCGTGGTGATTTGAGGTGTCGTAACACTGAAAAAGTGAAAGAAAAGAAAAATTATGAACATCAATTGTCAGTTTCATCTCAATCCATTCATAACCGGAGTTTCCCGTAGCGATTTATTTTGAAGATTATCTGTCCGAATTGCACTGCGTAAAAGCTAGGGTTGATTTTGATCATCGGTGTAGCATTGCTTGCGTCTGGTGAAATCACCGTATGAGCAATATTGAGGTCAAACAAAGAGTACTTGTCAAGACAGGCAAGTCGATTGATCAGGTGGTGGTGAACCTTAGTCGACTGAGATGGCTTCGATATGTACTGCCCATGGTGGGGCACTAGCTACCCAACCGTGTAATATTAGGGCACACTGGATTAGGTTGGAGGAGAGTTGAGGGTGACCAGATCAAGACGTAGCACTAGTCGACGAAGTCCCTCACTGTTGGATTGAGCCGTGTGTGGAGATGTAAACTACCCGGTTGAGGTCACTGAGGTGAAAGGAATGGGTGGTTGCAGAGTATTGGTGACATGGCTGAAGACTGGCCACAGGGGCACAGATGTGTTCACTCGTTGGTATATTCTAGAGCTTGAATATTCACACTAATCTTTATCTTCTCTCACACAACCTTGTCTACTTAGATATCACTGTTATTCTATCCAGCTGTTCTTTGTGTGGTACTGTGAAGTGTGGTAACTTGATCTGATTCACCCATATTTCATATGGATTCCAATATGGATGTCGCAATATTATGTGATTATTGTCTGTGTTGTAATTTGCTTTGTGGTGTTCAGCAGTGGAATCTAGGTCACGCGTTCCATCCTATTTGAGACTCATTCATCAGCTGGGTATACCTGCATCACAGTGAGTGATGTTGTTCCTGCTGAGACTCGAACTCAGAACCCAATATTTCTAACATCAACGCGTTATCGGCTAGTGACCCAGTAACGTGATATCATTGACACTCTGAACTCACTTAGATGACATTTGCTAACATGTTTCTAACAGAAATTAGGCTTATCGACGTCATTAAAAGCAAAAATGAAATGCTCTTGAATGTTAAATCATGCAGTTTTTGATTACACTAGAAAGTTGATGAATCGAAATAGAAAGTTATTACTGTACATAAACACTTTATTATAAGTTAGCTCCTAATGACAAGTTTACACACAGTCATAAGTTTTTATTTTGATCATTTTGCTCTAAATAATAAAAAGGTAAAAGCTTATCATTGTGTACAAACTTGTCATTAAGAATTTAGTGATAATATATTATAGATATCCAGACCAAGTTGGGATTTGGTTTGAAAAATTCTGGGATTGGATTGGGTAAATGATATTCATTCATTATTTTGGTATTTGTATTTCCCAATGAATGTAAATTTTTAGTGAATTCGTTAGATTGGTGTCGTTGAAGTGGCTTGCTGCTCGACTGATGGTGAGAAGACGACCTAATTCGACTGTTTAGAGGAAGTTAAAGTCGTAACAAGGTTTCCATAGGTGAACTTGCGGAAGGATTATAACCAGATTCCCCTACGCATATATATATATATATATATATATATATAAAACCAAGCTGAGATAGTCCTTGTGTTTAACTATGCATAATGTTTGGGTTACAGGTCACTTCTCATGCCGATGGTACATGAATACGGTGTACTAAAACATACCGGTAAATCTTCAGATCAAAAAGAAAACTCGATAATTTCAAATTTGTTTTGTTTACATTCATTGGGAAATACAAATATCAAAATAATGATAATATATTAACATATTTCACAATGCACAAACTTTTCATTGATAAACGGTTTATAGATGAACTTTTCTTTAGGATATCTTTCAAGGTAAATTTTATGAACAGACAGAAATAAACAATGTAGGACACTTTTTTGTTGTTGAATTGTACAAATCATTTCATATCAGCTAGAAGATCTGTAAAAAGAAAGAAACAAGAAGAATACTATCAGTATTCATGGAGAAAAGCCATGAAACAAAAAGAAGAATAAGCAGATGAAATGAATAAATATGCGTAGCATCAAGTTTAAGACGATTATCCCGCTAACATCGATTCTGAGCTATATTAAAATGTCTGACCTTCTATATCAGTTATTTTGTAGAACGCAATCAATAAACTTGCTTGCCTCTAAATGATGCAGATCAGGAACACTCATGTCACATCTTTATCTGACGACGCTCAACTTTTTCCGTCTAATCTTTCTGCTCACAACATTATTCTTTGAATTAGACGACGAGTTACTAAAGGTTTATAGCTTCATAAACTAACTTTCCTCTTTACCAATTACTACATACCTATCTCCAACAAGTGATGACCCCAACAACTACTACTGTTCGGACAGGGAAAACTACAGTGGGAAGCTCCACTTCTAGTAGTTGTATTTCGATGCTTTATGAGGCAATAGATTATTCCGCAGTAATATCAACCCCTAGTAAACAATTGGATGTGTTATTGATACCACATGTAGATTAACTTGATGAAAACAGATCAGGTTTTTTGTATCAGCACCGGATCACTATCGTAGGTGACTTCATCAGTATGTTCAGTGGTCAGTACCCTCAATCACTTCCCTCCCTATTGGCATAGTGTATCAATGCAGACCAGTCCTAAAGCAACAGTTTGCATTTCGAAGGTGAGAAGCACATACAAAATATGCTCAAAATGTCATCCTTAGAATTTGAATAACTCTTTATGTTCTTAACAGCTTCACATGAAGAAATATACTGTCTACATACCCCTACTCCACTGTGGATTCTTCCTCTTGAGAGTCAATCCTTAAAGAGACAAAGAAATCGGAGAACAACAGTACATCTAATAAGAGGCATATGTGACAGCGCGTCTGAGTATACGACCTTCAGTAAGACGTTGGACTGGCAATGTGATGCAGCCTAAAATTCTCCTTTTATCTTTAGAACAATAACTTTCAAATTTCACACTTAATGGTCACTCGAACCCTCAGAAGTGGAAAAGGTGGTAAGACAAAATATGTATTGCAACATCAAACTATAAACACAACACAACAGTGTAAGTATATTTACAAGTCTTTCTAGAAAGCTAGTCTCTATTCGTCTTATTGCATGAACCAATCTACATTTACGCGTATGATCATACGTTCTTCTTCGAAACTTCAGAGTACTTTAATCGGTTCTGAAAGGTTTCAGGAATTTAAAGAATTGTATAAATCTGAACAAACATAATGAAGACAATAAAACTAGGTAAACAGTGTCACAAGATCACTTTATTAAGAGATACAAATGTCACTTTTAGGTTCAGAAAAATAATACTGCCTGATACTTCACACTGCTTACAGTTTCACTTACTTCAAGAAGAGTTGAATGTTTTTATCATTGTCGCATTCAGACATTCGTTGAATAGCAGGCAGTTGAAAAGTAGCTGGAGACCGATCAAACCGCTGCTCTCTCTGTTTTCACCATCGATCATTACAGTCACCTCTCTTGTGAAGTCAACTTTCACTCTTCTTCCATTGTAGTTCCACTGACTGTCGATATTCTCATTCCAGTTTCAATCTTACGTCTGAGCAATAGTATTGTATCACCGTCCGCTACTGTTTTCACTTCATCAGGTTTCCTTACCGATGTCTCTTCAGGATCATTGTGTGTAGACTCTATTAGTTCAGTTTTTTCTGCTATTCCTTGTTATCACAGCTTGGTGTGAACTGTTTCTATGCAAGCTTTACCTCAGGGAAGTTGCTAAGATCCACTGACCTTTCATAATCAAATCAAACGCTATTTATTTTGGTGTCAAAAGTTAGCATTGGTCATTTAGCAAGTAGCTACCTGAACACAGCTGTAATGTTTAGATGGTTAGGCAAAAGCTACAAAAAAGTGGGAGAGTGTGTTACAGTTTTTTTTTGATTCCCGTGTCCTAATTAACCGGTCGTCGAAAAAATAGTTTTTATTGGTTGCTACCCGGTTGGGAAGTACTTTTTTTGTTTTTTGGATTTGATTTCATATCATCATTTTCAAGAACACGATAGTTAGTGAATACCCATGGGATGAATCGTACGGACACTGCATTCGCCAGATGGAATCCTACTAATGGTAGCGTACACCTATGACTTCCTGATTCTATACTGTTCATTAATTAGTCATTTTTTTCTGACTTTTCATAAACTACGGTATAAAGTACTGCGATATTAAGTTTCTAGGAGTTTCAGTAGAGAGTGGTTGTTATTTTCTAAACTCAAATTACAATTATGAATTACGGAACTTGAGGAAGCTGAATATAGCGTAATGTTGGAAGGAAAGAATAGAAAACATTTAGCAGATATTGAAGGAGAGGGTTAATAATGATCGGGAGAGACCTAAGTTTTGCTGGAATTATGATGATAGTTGGCATCAACTGGTGCTATTCAACCCACTTTTCTTGTGCGATATAGCTTTTAGAATTGATGTCTCCGTTAGCAGTGTTCAACTCAAAGGAGCAAGACGATTTAGTATCTCTTGTTGTCGATGCTTTGTGGAAACACTGTATGACTCAAGAGGAATTAATCAAAAGATATTCCTGACTGTTTAGTTTTTAAGCATGCGCTGACAGTTTTTATTCACGATTTCGCTTCATATCTATTAGTGCGTAGTAAATAGAAACTTCCTACCATTTAAGCGTAACAAATTGATAATAGTAAAACAAACCCAAAGCCTTTAGAAACTTGATTCATGAATCCACTGAGCTTTAATGTTTCAGTGATTTGGAATTTAAATGAAGTTGTGGTTATTATTTTGAAATTATCACCCTTCCCATTTCTTGTAAAATATTTTACTCTCATATTACTTCACACAACCCATTGTAAATTTTTCTTTCCGTTTTTAGTGGTCAGTCTTGCATACCTTCTCGGAGGACTGGACGCGTTTATCGTGGAGAACGCTTAGTGCGACGTCTGTATCCGTGTTCAAATAACGAGTTTAGTGATTCATCTACAAGTGATGAACATGTAGATGTGGTTGCGGAGGTGAGATCTTTATTATGCTGCCTTTATTACTATGTTACTCCATCCCTGTAGCCATTATCTCTAGTTTTTAGCATGTCCTGTACGAGACTGCTCAGTTGGAGTCAAATAATGCTCACTTTTATGAATCTAAAATGTATTCGTCATTTGAGTACTGAATAGACATTAAGCAATAGCTAACCACTCAGCTTCTCATCTTGTTGATTAACGATGAATTTTCGGAAAATACTATTACATGTTTCACTATTAATAGTTTAGGAGTTACAAATTTTTTCTCTCTACTGCGTTATTGTCGTTTTTATTTCCTTTTCTCTCTTAAGGAACACCTTACTCAAATCATGGTTGTTTGGTTTGTACTAGAATGAGTTATACCGATAGCTTCTCAAAGGTTCATAATTGAATTAGCATAGACATTTCTTGAGTTTTGCATTGCATTGCTTTCACATGTATTCATACTTTGGAAGCTCTGAAGATGAAGCGCATGATTTCCAACGGCTTGAATACTATTTCACCTTTCAAAGTTACATTTGAAGACTAAAAGACATTTGATTTCATACAATATGTCGGTATATGGTGTTGCTCATAAACTCTCAGTTGTTAACTGGGTTGCATCCACTTTTTGTTTTCAACTGATGTAACTTGTGTTTGGAAGGCTATCTCATGAATAAACGCTATCAAAAGTTGTTGTTTACATATATTATCGTAAGTAAAAGTATGCAGTCAGTAAAACAAATTTAGGATAGTTCCTCGTTTTCGTTTATTGATCACCTTTTCTTTTTTCAAGGCAAACAAAAAAAAACTCAGCAACGGCATACATGTTTGTTCACTACACTGTGAGTTACGTGTAGCATGTCACTGCCTGTGATACTACTCGGTTAATCAGATCAAAGGAAGTACAGCTGGGTTTCAAAACGTAGCTCACTGATAGATATTTAAATGTCAAAGATATTGAACCATGGCTTCATTTTTCAGGGTAAATAGACGTAGGAAACTCTAGTTCAATATATATTTTTGAGACTATCTGTGTTCAACAAATCACCATTACGTGCAATTTCAAAATCTCTTCATAAAAATACGTTGCACATAAGGGACTATATCGTAATCTGATCGTCATCACCAGTTAGTGATTTTGTCCGAACTTAGATGCGAATAAGATTATACAGCCTGTTGGATAATTTTGAACTACTCATGAATAACAGCTCCTCTCCACAACACCTTACAGTATGCCATAAATACTAGAAGGTGGCGTGTTACCTCTGATTATTTTAACTCAAGTGAAGAAACAGTTTAAAAAAAGCAGTTCAGTAGTTTTCTTCCGCATGAACCAACTGTCCTATAGGATTATTCGAACCTTATAGTAGTTTCACCTTAATTACTTATACTGTAAAATGCCGATTTTCATTGTCGCTGAATACAGTGAGAAGATACACTTGGTAGAATAAGCATACATTTATTTTATAGATTCTAGTCAGTTGCTTTGCGACGTTCAAAATAGAATGCTTGTGATTCCGAAAAATAACATCTACAGCATACTTTCATGATTTTGAACGTATCCAAACCAACGAAGGACTAAATTGCCTATAAAAACTTGGGCGCCAGGTTAGTGTTTAGGGTGTGTTTCATTCGTGTAATTCCAGCATAGTATGTTAGAACAAACAACAAAACATTTTGTGTCACTTCTCTACGTCTTGAACTTGCTGGGAAGATCCTTTTCAAAATCATGATTCAGATGTAAGGTTTTCAGGTTAATACTCGATTTCGGTACAGAAAGTGACCATTTTTATTATCCCAATCAATCAATCTTTATCAAAATAGGACCAGGCATTACTGCGTAACGGTCCGAGTTGCCACAGCTCATGTCAGCACGTCAAGTAGAAAGGTAGTGAGGTGAAAGATGAAGATAAGTGAATGCAGTCAAAAGAAATATAAAGTACGAGAAGAAAGAAGGGAAAAATGACAAAATGGTGAGAATTGGTACAGTGTTAAGATGAAGATAATTTGTGCATGCATCTGCAACACTGACATCGATTCTGAGCCATATCCCCTGGAGTCTCCAACTACTGGTTCCTCTTGTCCTGCGGACCCCAACCACTTAGTCTGCATCGCCTTATATTGCTCAAACCAACAGTCAAAGACTTCATGCACTGATGCCATGTTTTAGTCTGGCGACCTCGGTGGGCCCTTTTCCAGCCTGGGCCTACTTCGGCCAAGATTGTGTTACGGGGCGATCGGTGACTAGGCATACGTAGTACGTTTCCCAACCATCTCAGTCGATGAAGGTTCACAACCTTGTCAACTGACTTACCTCTTCTCCCTAAAACTCTACACCTAACTTCTGCATTACTCACGTGGTGACACCACGGAATACGTCCTATACTACGAAGGCAACGGTGGTCAAACACCTGAAGCCTTCTCATGTCTTCCACTTTCAATGGCCATGTTTCACAGCCATACAGTAGAACAGAGCGGACTGCTGTGCAGTACACGCGACCCTTAATAGACAAACGAATATCACGGCGGCGCCATAGGTGGCGCAAATTGGCAAAAGCCAATCGAGCCTTTTGTATCCGTGCAGAAATCTCATCGGCAACTAACCCACCAGGGTTGATCCTACTTCCCAGGTAAGTGAAGTGGTCAACACACTCAACCACTTCACTCTCTATTGTTAACCGCGGTACCGCTGAAGACCAGTCCTGGAGCAAAAATTTGCATTTGGGTGGTGAAAATCGCATCCCAAACATTCTCAAATTCCCACTCAAAGTGTTCAGAAGACTCTGCATCTTGTCAGCGTCTTCACCTAACAGGACTATGTCATCTGCATATTCTAGATCTAAGGAAAATTCACCTGTGATCGGGTCAACGTCTTTGTAATTAGGTGACGAGAGGGAAACCTCCATAAGAATATCTATGATAAAATTAAATAAGAATGGGGATAGTGGGCATCCTTGACGGACACCACTTGATGAGTATAGCTCCCTGGACAACTCACCATAGGCTCTAACATGCCCACAAGTGTTCGAGTAGAGAGCTTTCAATAAGGTGATGTACTTACTAGGCACGCCTTTCAGTGACAGACACTGCCATAAGACTTCTCGATCAACGGAGTCAAATGCCGCCTTCAGGTCGAGAAATACAGCTATTGTCGGGCGTCTGTAAGCATGCCTATGTTCCAGGACCTGGCGCAGTGTGAATATTTGGTCGATACATCCACGGCCAGGTCTAAAGCCTGCCTGGTTTTCTCGGGCTTGCTGTTCCCGAGCTCCACTCAGGCGTCGGAGAATTATAGAACTTAGGATCTTAGACACTATGTTTGTCAGGCTGATTCCTCTGTGGTTATCACAAGAGGACTTCTCGCCTTTCTTGAAGACTGGGATGATCAGTGACTTAGACCAGTCGGAGGGGATCGTATTTGATTCCCATATACTGGCTAACACTTCCGTTAGCCTGACTAAGAGAACTCTACCACCATTCTTGTATACCTCAGCAGGTAGTCCGTCTGGTCCTGCTGCCCTTCCCGTTTCAGGCTACCTACCGCTTTCTCAACTTCTTCTAGTGTTGGGGGACCTGTCTCTATGTCCCATTCAGGGTCCGACTGGATAGCGGGCAGCGCAATGGTGGCTGGAGGCCAGTTAAACTGTTCCTCAAAGTGTTCTGCCCATCGTCCCAGTCGCCTTCCCTGCGAGTGAATCGCAGATCCGTCCTTCTCCGCTATAACCTCACTAACTGTTGTTGACCTTTCCCCCCAGTCTCCTTAATAAGTCTAAATAACTGTCTACTGTTACCGATCGCCGCTGCCTTTTCCATCTCTTTAGCCTTTGCTGCCCACCACTGTTCACGATCGTTGCGCAGACTTTTCGTCAGTTATTTTTAAGTTGCGCTCGCTCTTCATTGTACTCAGAGCCTGCAGGGATGCATTCACGTGCATCCATTAGTTTGGAAGAAGCTGCTGATATCCACTGGCTCTTTTTAGCCATTATCTTGGAGTCGGCTACAGTCTCCAGTGCTGCTTTTACAGTAGACTGAAGATGGCACCAAGCTTCTTCTGGATGAGTGACAGTCTTTTGTTCCGATAACTGCCTAGCCAACTTCTCACTGAACACGGCTTTGGTGTTTTCGTTGTCCAGCAGAACTCGTAGTGGTTTTGTTGCCAAATTTTTTCTACGTCCATTGAGACGCAGGCATATACGTGCTCGGACCAACGCATGATCGCTGTCCAAACACGTACTCCAGAAGGAGCGGCAGTCTTCCACCGATCCTCTCCAGCGATGACTAATAGCAATGTGGTCTATCTGTGTCCATCGCTGAGTCGAGCTCGGTGGACGCCAGGTCAGACAGTGCCTTTCTTTATGTCTGAAATTTGTGCTGGCTAAAAATAGGCGGTTATCTGAGCATAGTTGTAATAGGCGATCACCGTTATCTGTACGTTCAGCTGGGATTCCGAAAGTGCCACCTAAGTGCCTTTCTGCCTCACTCAGTCTACCCACCTGTGCGTTGAGGTCACCTGCAACAACCACTACGTCCGAACGTTTGGCTTTCGAGAGGAGGTTAGACAGTTTATGGTAGAACTCGTCCTTCACTTCATCCGAACTACAGTCAGTGGGTGCGTAAGCAGAGATTACAAAGAGACAACGGCGAGTCTCACTATTCCTTTTAGTTCTCACTGTGCCGTTCAGCCTCATAGCGCAGAGGCGACTATCAACTGGGATCCAGTCTAGTAGTGAGTTTTCTGCCCTGGTGCTTAATGCCTACACCTGCAAGACCACGAGAGCTAGCTATCGAATCTCCAGAAACTCGAAGGGTGAATTTTGCTAGAGTCTTTGCCAACGAAGCCTGTTGACCAATTTGACGGAGGGTGCGGACATTGAAGGCTCCATTATGTAATTTGGAGCGTGGTTTAAGGAGACCAGTGATGCTGTTCTGTGGACTCAGATGGTTGTCGAAGGCTGCAGAGGTAGGAGAAATTGAAGATGATGATGCAGCATCGTTAATTGAGAGACGTGAAGGAAGATTAGAAAGTAATGATGGAGGAGGTGGATAGCAGTCAGAAGAAACTTGAGTGCTGACAGAGTTGTGAGGGCGGTTGACACTTCCCGGCTGCCCACACCGTGGAAGGCTATTTCTTCTTAAGGTACCTGAAAGAGATTTGTGTGACCGCAGAGCCCATCGGACATCTGCTTGAGGCCTGTCACACCCAGCCTTTCGAGTATGATTATTTCGAGCTTTTGTATTTTTGGGGCCGGATGGTCGAAAGGAAACGACAAGTGAACCAACACCGCCAGCCCGGCAGACCGTGGGGTATGGTGGAGTGTGTTATTTTCGGGGCCAATCTTTTGTAACCCCCCCTTCTACTGAGAAGGCAGCATCAGCATGGCACTGCTGGTCATCCAAGGGAAACACCTTACTGCTGTCACACCCCATCCAGCTAGCAGCAGTACGACTTCGCCCTCAGACCCCCATCATAGTGTGGCAATTTACACTATAACGGTAACTGCTTTTCGTCTAACCACTATCCAACAGACCTTCCTGGTGTGGTAGGACCTCGAGGGAACAAGCGTTCCACCAGCGTAGCTCGTTGGGTCATTGTGATATGCAAGCGTGACCACCACGTCAAGGTAGCAGCTATCGGTCGGGATTTTTACTATCTATTCAGATTCATATCGAATAACGATCAATGTAATTTAAGTTAGTGATATGAATAAATGGGTCAATGAAGTTTACTCAATTTGTGCCAATTAGTAGGGAAATACGGTGAGGAATTTTGTTCAACTATGAAATGTGATGAGTTCTCAGGAGTGGGGGTAGGGGTAAGAAGAAATTACTATTTTGGAAGGATGAGCATGTTTCGAATAAATCATTTAAAGCAGTGCAAAATCAAATTGTGTTCAATCTTCTCTTTGTATATTATCAGAAACGTCTTATGCAAGTTACTAATGTGGGTCAAATTTGTGGAGATATCTATTCTATCCTTTCTTTACTCTTGACCACAGAAGGTTGTCAACAGATATCTAAAGCTTCTGTAGTAACCGTCTCTTTGTAAGAAAGGAAACACTATTGTATTACTTTTTCCTTCACAAATGATATTTTATGACCTAAGTATAAGGCATGAGCAACGACGACAACCACTTTTTCAGCTTATAGGAATTTTTTGTCTCTGTTTGCAACTTCGAACATGTTCGGTTGGAAGTGTTATTACTTGAAAGGATATCTCTGCACTGTATCATCACATTCATTAGTGTCTGCCTTGTAGACAGTTATTTTTTTCCAAATGAGGAATGGGGTCGTTTAATTTGAACAGGAATGAGTACAAAGTGTTCGTCACTTTAAACAATACCCTGATGTTGTAACTGCCTAAGTTATGTCTTATATCCAATGATATGCATGCCCAGTAAGGAAGTACTAAAGTACTTATCCGATCACTATGAATTGATTTTTTTTTTTATAAACTTCTTTCTATGAAAAATTCTGAAAAGGGTCAATGAAGTCAATAGGAAACAGGAATAGGAAGGGCAGAGATGTATTAGGGCTATACTGACATCAGTTGGAGAACCATTGGAAACCTGAAAGCACTGGACAGCTGTTTCGTCCTAGTGTGGGACTTCTCAGTAGCATGCCCCCGCGACGTCACCAGGATCGAACTCAGGACCTTCAGTCCTAATGAAGATCACGTTAACCATTCGGCCACTGGGTCGGAGTTAAGTGGTTCACAGTTTTCTACTTCCATCGATTCGCGATATAGCGCGACTATCCACCAAGGTCTTCAGTTAGCATCCTCTTCACTTCCTACTGATTAACCCCACAAGTCACGGCTTCTCATTAGAACTTTGGGATGTCCATCTCCAAGCATGTCACTAATGAGCAGTAATGTATTTTGAGATTAACCTGGATTTTATTTTCAAGTTAGATAGTTGCTGACTTATTCGTGAATGGATAGAAGTAGGGAAGTGTGGACGATTTAACTTCAACCCAGTTGCTGAATAGCTTACGGGTTTCGGTGAGACGTGAAGATCCTGAGTTTTATCCGAGCTCGTCATTGCGTACCCCTGAGGAGTCCCGTACTAGAATGAAACAGCTCTCCAGTGCTTCCAGGTTTTCAATGCTTCTCTAACTGATGACAGTTCGTAAAGAATTCTACCTTAAGAATAGATATCTGTTTCCTTTTTGTTACGCTTACTTATTCAATGATGCTGGGTTTTTTTATTACGAATTTCGAGGATTTCATTGTTTCAGACCTTTGTTATCTTCTCTGGAATATTCGTTGTGTTATTCTGTAGAATATTCAGCCTTTAAACGATCCTAATAGCTTCATCAACTTACACTTATTTCGATCACTTAACTGACATATTATTTTTCCATCAAAATGAACACATGTTTTCGAACTTCACTAAAAATTGCACTTCACATATTCTTTTGAAAATCAAAGACACTATGTTTTATGGATTGTAAAGCAACTGATGAAAATTCAAGAAACAAATGAGTGCATATTTTACTGCTATTGTCTTTCGTATTCCAATCGAGTTCATAAACTAGAAGAATTGTCGGAAGTTTTTAAAAACTATTCTATTTACCCGCAATGATTTTGGCTATTTATTTTTCTGCTTCAATTCTTAAATCGTATTGCATTGTTTGAGAAAAAATCTTTCACATTTGCTTGGTTTCTTTTCAATTTACCAGCTACCATTATTAAGTGAACAACATCTGTCAAGAAGTGAATCACCAAGATATCATAAAATGATGTCTAACTATTCAAATTATGCTCGTAGCGAGATTAAAAGAAGATTAGCATTTAGATCAGACAGACTAAATCAACCTTCACCAATAATGGACACTTATGAAAGTGAACAGTATGAAGATTCTTCTACAGAAGATCAATTGTCAAATTATGAAGATGAAGAATGCCCTGCAAAGCCTTGTTTAAATCCTCGTACTGGTACAGTAAAATGGGTTCAGTGTGAAGCATGCTGCCAATGGTATCATCAGATATGTGTTGGAATTCATCATGAATTTCAGGTAATAGTGTTCAATGCCTTTCTTTTATTAGCATACATTGACGATAATGGCAATGTTGATAGTTCATTCAGTATTACTTCAGTACATTCAGATATTGCTGTTTATTATATTCATTCATTTAAAACATAAACTTTGAACAAAAATGGGAGCAAGCGATGCACCATATAAAATTACAGAGCAGCATTCAAGGGACAGAAGCTTGATACGGAAAGTGTGTGAAGGGGAAACGCAAACTAATGCACAAATGAACTAAAAGAGAAACAGTCTCATACATGCACTCAGCGAAACAGACTACTTTCTCTTTACTTTCCTTCAATAGAAGCGATGATCGATACTGGTTTCTGTTATAAGCCATGTTTGATTTCGTCTGAAGTTATGAAGCATCTAACCTAGCAAAAATATCCTCGGTCCCACGGCTCCATATCTTTTTATCCTGAAACTAAGAGTAGTTGCAGACCAGTCCTGAAGCATTATCTTACATTTGACAGTTGAGAACCGTAAGCTAATTGTATTCAGATTTGTCAGCAGGACAATTTCGTCTGCGTATTCTAAGTCAACCAGATGCCCTTTAGGAAGCATTTCAATCCCTGTGAAGTCAGACATACCCAACGCTACATCCATTAGTATATTTATGACAAAGTTAAACAGGAGCAGTGACAATGGGAATCCCTGATGGACACCACTATTTGTCCTCAATTCATACGCAACTCTCCATAAGCCCTTACACAGCCGCATGAGTTCTAGTAGAGATCTTTGATATGGTTTACATACTTTCTCGGTACCCTCTTCGTAGTCAGACTCTGCTACAACACCTCACGGTCAACTGAGTCGAATACCGCCTTCAGGTCAAGAAATATGGCAAGCATTGGGTGCCAGTGTGTCTGTTTTCCACATCATGTTGAAAGGTGACAATTTGATAGATGCATCTTCATCTAGTTTTCTCAAGGTCTAGTTAGTTAGGTGTCGGATAACTCTGGACCGTAGGATCTTGAATACGATGTTAGTCAGACTTATTCTCCCATGATCCTCTACTTCCTTATGAACTGGACTAATTGCCGATCTAGATTCTTTCGACAGGACTACCTCTGGTTCTCATACTCTACCTAATACCTCCGTTACTCTACTCAGTAGTTTTCTATCTTTCTACTTCGTTCCTTAGCATCGTTCTAGGTTCTCAACAGCCTTCTCAACATCGAGGGGAGTTGGGAAGCTGGTATGGCGACCTTGCTAGTCCCACTGCTGATTTGAAACAATACATATAATGGGTTTCATTCCATAATTTTACCTAAGATCCGTTGTGACATAGGTGACGATTGGTCACAATGGCTCAGTTGTATTCACTCTTTGTAAACCGTTGACCTATTTTCGCTTTACTATATATGCTGATTGCAATTCTTTTTTTATTTCAGCTTCCTAAAGTATATCTTTGTCGTCGTTGTCATCGACGTTCCACCACAACCATGACTCCTCGTCGGAAACAACTATCTAGCAGTAGAACTATAGGTCGGTTGCCTAGGAGACATTTTCTCAGTAAAAGTTCATCTAAACTTCATCTGCGTAAATCTGTAACTGTTAGTCCTATCAAGTTAACTTCACACGTATCTCAACGTTCAGTTGGTTGGAACACTAGACCATCTTTATCACCTTGTCTGCCTAAGTTACAACCTTATGATGACCAGAATGCCTCTAGTGAGGTTGACAAAGACGATGACACGCACGAAGGTAATAATGACAATAATATCATTGACCAGAGAGATGCTGGAAAATCTGCGTTAAGTCAAGATATTCCAGTTCTAAAAAATCAGCTACTTGACAGCTGGACTGATATTTCTCAAAGTTCTGAAGAATCTTCAGTAAAGCATCCTGCTAATTCTCCTATTGATTCTTCACAGTTAGATGAACCTCCAGTTATTGACGCTTATGAACACGTTTCAAACAGTAAGTATGTGCATAATTTTTTTCTATTTATCGTTAAATGTCCGCTGTCTTTGTTGGTTTCAGTGCACCATTAGCAGGTACTAAAGAGACAGTAAGGTTATTTAATAAGGTGACCTACTTGAAAAGTTGTTTTAAGGCAGGGACTGTAGTCGCGATATCAATTTCAGACACGATGACACATTTCTCACGTTTCCTAATATAATAAGTCAGTATGACTTCTACTTTCAAATTGAGTGCGGTTATTGAAATTAAAACAGTTATCTACATAACTCGGTGTTTGGATCGTCTGAAAATGGTTATTTTTGAAAGTAATCTTCAATAGACATCTTGATTTGCAAAAACAAATGGAAGAAATATGGATAAATTAGTTATTTGTTTCTTTCGGAATCTAGGAATTTAACTTTCTCTTGAAATGATGTGACAGCCCAGCCTAGCCAAGCATGGTAGAAACCTATGATACTACCCAGTTTACTTGCTCAAAGTAGATATATTGCTTTAAGGTTGAGTGAGTGCTTTAGCCAACTAGTCACTGTTAATGTTTCCAAGCAACCCTTACAATACCTTACAAAAGAAAGCAGATCTATGCAGTTGGATTAATAATGTTCACCAAAATGAGAAAGAACAGTTTAAAGGTTACTTCCAGCAATTAAAAGTTAAGAATTCCTGCTGTATAAAATGGACGATTCGATAATCATGAGTCGGTAACCCTGAGTTTCTCATATTTAAAAAAGACGTCATTAGTGTCAAATCAACTCTATGCACTTTGAAATTATGTACCAACATTACTGGATGGTGAGTGATATGCTATTTCTTATATGAAGATATATATATATATATATATATATATATATATATATATATATATATATATATATATATATATAACAGTAAACACGTTTTATCTTTGCAAGCTTAGAAATATTGAATAGAGGAAACTTCACATCTATCAGGGAGTTTTTCCAGGTATGGGGTCTACGTCAAAAGACTATATATCTGTAAACATGTTGAATTGATTCAAATCTGTGCAGTAAATTGTAAAGAAAAGTCATGGACAAGATGTCAACAATCAGATCATAAATTATCTTCGATTTCTCAGTAAAAATATCCATCTTCTTACCAAACACTCGTCAAGTATGGTCAAGCTATTTCAAGGCTATTAAGACATGGGGTGGGGCAAAAAGCTTTATCTGCATATGAAGTCTGAAAGTGAGACGTAGGCTAACCAAGCTATCTGATTTCGAAGACTTTGATCATGAATAAAAACTATCTGAGATTTATTCATATATTTTTTAATACAATAGTGCATTCCTCGTTTTCCCTCTGGCCACATTTATTCGAATCAAATAGGTGTTCCATCTTATGTTGACATATATCATAAACTGAATAATAACTCTCAAAAAGAGCATTTCAGTGAAAATGACTTAAGAGGATAATTACCCTCTCACTTCTGGGGTACAAGGTGATAGTCGAATAGGAAATGAAATTTTATGTTACAACACTATTTGAAAAAGTGGCCTACGTACGTTACTACCCCACCCAGCACCTTCTTCAGAGCTTCTTTCCCCAGCTGATGTTTTTTCATCACGTATTTGATTCTATTCTTTACAATGAAGAACTGAAGCAGCGAGATTATTTGAGGCAGATGTGATTCGTCAGACTACTATTTATGATAAGTGATAATAATTGATGGTGAAATAAAAAACCTGGATGTTGGTGAGATAATTAGAGTTAAACGAATAATAATTTGTAATGAGATGATAGCAACGTGCATTAAACTTATGCATCCTATTATTATTATTATTATTTCATTATGTTTATATCTTTTACTTGAATGGATACAGTCCAGTGATTGAAAAGTCTATCAGTTTACTTTGGACCTTAACGCAGTTATATTTGACATCTAGAAAGGTTTGCTAAAGGCTTTTCTCTCTTATTGAATGGAAACTTTATCTTAAACGCAAAATTTTTAAATAAACCCACACATTGGTTTCTCTCTTTGTTATTATTCAATACAGACTCTACAAACACTGTGACCGCTGAAACGTCGAAGGGACCAACTGAAGTTCTGCTAGAGGCATTAGATGTAATGAGTGGCGGAATTCAATCAAACGATACTGTTTAACGAAACACTGACTATTTATCACTCTCTCTCTCTCTCTCTCTAGTAATTCGTTAACTTTTCATTATTTCAGTTTTTTTATAGTCGAAATTTCATTTATTCATATCTATTTATTGTAGTAAAACGATAAAATGAGAGGATTACAAGAAGGTGGCAAAACGTCGATTAGAAGAAACTAATTGACTACTTGCCAGTAATTTTGATTTTGTTCTCAATATTTGTTAGTCTTACACACGGAAACGTTAGCATCGCCTCACTGTATCACCTTAAGAACACTGTATTTCTTTCAGTTGTGTTCCTTTTTTGGTTAGCGTATTTATCATTCTTTGATGATAGGAATATTATAGAAATGTAGTTCAGAAAATATTTCTTCCACTGGTGTTGTTGGAGGTTATACCAATATATTTGTCCGTGCTGCGCTAGATAGTACATTTGATAGCGTACTTTGGAAAAGATATCGTTAATCCTCAGGCATTTTATTTAGCATTGTCAATGTTATTCTTTTTTGCACATAAATTAGTTTTCTCCATGAACACAAGTAACAATATTCTCCGTTATCTTTTTGTCGTTGATTTCTTTTATATTTCTCTCATTATCACCTCACTTGTTCTTGAATACATCTTGTCACCGTTTGTCCTTAGTGTGCTTTGATTACTATTATTATTATTACTAACTTGTAAACAATAGAAAATAACCATACCTTCGAACCATAACATCCTGATATTAAAAAGAAATAATTTCGTGTCTGTTTTTAACGGAAAAAAGAAAGTGTTTGCTTTCTTTTCTGTGAAAGTTTACTTCTTTCACGTTTTTGTCAGATAAATATTTTTCTTCATATGACGTAATAGCTGCTACAGAATTTCATTTATTTTTCACTCTAAGGTCAACATAATGTTTGGTAAGATAATTTTATACATGATGTACATTACATTTATGCAATACGTGAAATATACCTTTTTTCTTTTGTTAAAGACCAATTGAGTGGTTATGTAGTACTTGCCGCTTTATTGCCAAGACCTTGGCTGTGAATGAACACTTGAGTTATCGATTCACTCTTTGCTTTGCTTACCACAATCGTTGAGATAATATAGGCGGCTCAATCTGTTTCACATCCAACGGGGTTTAGCTTACAGCTTGGAAGAAAATCGATAAATGATAGTTATATATTTACTCTATGGTACAGCTGTTTTAAACCTGCATATTCACGGCGAAATGTAATTGATTGGTTTATTTTTATTGTCTGCTTTTATGCATGATCGGTCAGAAATGGAAACAGTGCATGCAATCTACGAAGAATGTGCAACTGGTATGAGTTATAAGTCGTCTAGAGTGTTTAGCCGTGTATCAGGAACACAAAAGATTTCTAGCTCGTAGACATGTATGAGTATTGCAAATTCGTTGTGAGCGATTTAATTCCGAGATACGCGGTTACAGCACAAATAAAATCCATAACATGGAGTTTCTGAATCCATTTTACGCAATCATTTCCTTTGCTTATTACATAGTTTCCATGCAGCAGAAAGCCTTTTAAATGCTTGCTTAGTGCATATGCATATAAAAATATTCTTCTTTATGTAAGTAAAACTGCGTAGGATGAAATATTCTTTTAGGTGGCTTTTTTTTCTCTGAGTTGCATGGGTTAATCATGGAGCTTTTGTTGTCATTCTAGACAACATAATCAGCACAAACTTCGGAAAGAAGTGAGCTATGAGGTTTTCTCCATAATTTATTTAGTAGCTCGTTCCAGTGGCCTTGTATGCTACTGGTCGTTTTTGCCAAGGTCTTGTCATTGTCTCCATATTCATTCTGATTGATTGTCCTAGTGACCTGAAGTTTGACCTTCTTGTTATTTCTTATTAAGTAACAGATTTGGTCAATAAGCCTGTTGAAGGTCAAATTTCAACTCATGAGGAAAACCAATCAAAATAAATGTGAAGACAATGATAAGACCTTAGCAGAAACAACCAATCACACACGAGGCCATCAGAACAAGCTATTAAATTAATTGTGGGTAAAACCACACAGTTCACATCTTTCTGAAGTTTGTGTCGATGTTGTTGTTTAGAATGGCGATGAAAGCTCCATGATAAAGCCGTCCAGCTCAGAGAAGGTAACATCATAAAGATTATCTCCCTGAGCTACAAATATTCTTCATCATGAGATATTCTAATAGGATGATATGTTGATAATCTTAAAAGAATAGTGATTATTTCACGTGCTTCCTCCCTAACACAGAAAAACCTGACTGTTTAGATACTACTGTACACTGACAGTTTTGCCACACGTTTTCTTCAACTAAGATGTTATATTCCCGGACAGTTGGGTCTCTTTCCCTTGGTGTTTAATCATTTAAACCCATTCTGTCTGAAACGAGTATTACGTCTAGATGCACTTTTTTGAAAATTTTACAATTACACCGTTTGCGTCTACCAGGTACACGTTGATATATAATTAACCAACTGTGGAAATGCAACTGGGATATAAATGTACTCATAGAATATATGTGTGGAAAACTTGATATGCATGAAATGACTTTTTGGAAAAGATCATTTCAAGCACCAATTTATTCAATAGCCTCCTTGTATTTGAAGTAAGAATGGGCCAACTACAACAAGAGATTGGAATGCCAGACTTTAAAAAACCCGGCTGTCATAAAAATGACCTAATGTTCAGTGTGAATCTCAACACAACCCAGTAAAAAAATCGTCGGAAATAACGAACTCAGACAATAAGCCCATTTTTTTCTATAAAAGACAAGTTATATTTACACAAGATTATTACATAGTTAGTTATTGAGTAACGGATTGTTTTCTTGAGTGTTAGGCATTTCCAATATCATCAATTCTTTACCATAAGCTGCAGCAATGTATAGTTTGTCTTTTTCCGATGTAATAGTAGTTTTCATTAAAGGAAAAGATCTGATAGAATGTTGAGCATGCACATCCTTCATGCCATTATCAGGTACGCGTTGAGGTCCAATATATTTTCTCCATTTAGTTAGTAAACCGTTTGAATAGAACTTTGATACTAGTATTTCAGTTCGATTTTCTTGGGATGTTAGTAGAATCATATGTAAATCTGGTAAAAGTTTATTATTTGTGTCATTAGTCGTTGTAGTAGGTGGACATATGAACACAGGACTAATTAATTCCACTCTTCCGCTTATCTGTAACCATGATAATGGCTTAGATTGAGTCTTAATCAAGTCATCCATTGAATATATCCAGAGGTATGTTATATCTGTCGAAGTGTATGATCCATAAATTAGGATATAAGGATTGATATGCTTATCATGTATGGTTTGATTATTTTCATCTGAAATTAAAATATAGTTAACAAAGCAATAATTTTGCATTACAGTTGTAGTAGATAGATTACAGTAATTCAACTGAATAAAAATGGTAAAAGTAATTTACTGATGAAATAACATTACGAGAGCAAATAATGTTAAGGTGAGTTATATTAGTTTTACTAAGAGTTTTGAAAATAAACTCTATATCATGTTAAACAAATACTATATGAGGTGTTTCATAAAGTCAACTATCATTAACTCAAAGTTTTTATCGAATATATAAAATGATTTAAAACGATAGAGAATATCTTAATTATTAGGGATTAATTAGCTGCGGTGATTTGAACTATCTAGTTTCGTGTGTTGGTTATTTTAAGCTTTATTACTGATAGGTTTTAGCTCTGGAGAGAAGTTACCCTGAAGTTCAAAATACTATCCACTCAAACAATGAAAGCTATAGAAATGCTTGAATGCTTTCCAATTTGTAGCGTCACACACTTTTCTAGAATCAATATCCTAGGGTTCGACGAGATTTAACATTGATGCTGACTTTCATAGTTTTACCGAACTCGCTATGCTGAAGACACTCGCCATTTGGCATGCTGTCGTGTTACGTTGCACTGCTTGTAATCGACCCTTTAGCTAGTTAGTTGGAACGCATCGGTATCTTGGCACGACCTCGCGAATATACTATTCCATCCGACTACGCTATTGTGTTCTTGTGGGTGTATAACGAGTACGAATAATCAGTGATTAGCCTCTGCGCCTATCAATTTCGCACCATGACAATTAAAAACTGAATAAATCACCTATAACTGATAGAACAACATAACTGAGCAAGTTTACTCAACATATGTACCATGTTGACTTATCACAGAAGGGAATAAATTGCAGTTCTTATTACGCATACGATTGTACGAGACTAAATGGACTTTCAAAACAATGTAAATTCTATTGATATCGATTAGGCGATTACTTGGAAAATAGGCCAGAAACAAGAAAAAAACCAGGCTTCCCTATTGAGGAAGTGGAAATAATTTTCGGTCATCCTCTTCTATTTTCAATATACATCGAGAAAAAACGGTGTTTTGCTTACTAACCAAATGTGAAAATTTACACAGTATGAATTTTAACAAATTAATATTTTTGTCGTAGTATATGGGCAAAAAAATGCTCAGTGTTATGTAGATTTTGTATCTGCTTCATATACAAATCACAGTCCTGCTGTGTAAAAATCCAATAATGACGAATATTTACTGCTAAAGTGTTTCTTTTTCAATGAGAAAAGATGCCATTATACCTTATCAAAGAAGTGCTGTTTCCCGACTGACATCATAAAAAGCTTTGCTTTCTTCAAGATAAGACGACATTCATACGTTGCGGTACCAATACTTGGTGGATATCCCCTTTATGTATGCGCAAAGTAATAAACCGATGTTTCTATGTGCATATGAAAACTCTGCATACTTGAAACACCATTTTTCAAGTTTAATTACATTCAAACATTTGTAATTGTTGGCAAAAGTGTCGCTGGAAGCTTTTTAACTCACAATTCGGTCTCGGGGAACTATATCCTATCGGTTTAGGGAGATGAAGTTCAACCAATGTTTATTACGGGTTCGAACTCTACCCCACCTATCGAGATTTGGGCAGCCAGGTAGAATCGTTTGCCCTTACACAATAAGTGTGGCTCACTGCCTACTTCACAAATGTGCACAAGGCTGCTGAGTAGATTTCGATATCCTATCTAATTTATCCTACCTATATAAACGATGGCAACAAATACGCAGATGCAGTGAATGCTATTGGTAGGAAAACTGGGTTCGAACGTAGATCACTGAGTAGAAATCAACATTCTAGTCTATTGAACTTATGTTCCATGTTAATTGCGTTAGAATTGGAGTGAAAAGTATTCAATAATTAAATAGACTGTAAGAAACCTTTGAGTGGTCACATATAATGAAGATGCATCACAATTCAATAATTCTATGATCCTTATCATCTTACATTTAATGTTTCGCTCTTATTCCATCTTTTTCTGCTTTTTATTTAGTAAAATATGGTCAACGTAGAGTTATTAAATTTGTTTAATGTGAACCAAATATTTTTGTTTCCTAGCGACCTCAGAAGAGTTGCTATTCCACCTTGTAATCGATTCTTAACAAGAGTAAAAATTCTCTGCTTTGAAATCTCTTTGTATCAGATTCATTTTATAAACATAATTCATAACTGATGTTATTTGAGTGAAAGTGTTAGGTAATCTAGAAGCTATTGAGAGAAGAATGACACCAAGAGCACAGAGAAAAAAATCCTAAAAAATCTTAGTGAATATTACTTACAATTCAGTAATCCCAACGTATGTTTTAAATCTTTTAACGGCAAAAACATTGCATGAAAGGAAACTTCATCAGCTTCGTTTTTATTAACACTATTGTTTGTATTGTCATGATTAGTATTATTATTGTTAGAATTATTCCATTGTAATAATTCCAGTGGTAACCAACCAATTAAGTAAAATCGTAGTGGATTATGACACTTATTTGAACAAATTGATAAATTCCAAACACTTAAACGATTTTCTGCGCCAATCGCAAGGCATATCCACCTAAGTCATATTCATTATTTGAGAAGACATTTCAAAAAGAGAAATAGAACAAGATTTTAAACTGTAATAAAAAGAATTTTAATTTGATTGACTTTAAAAAATGAAGAATTCATTGCTGAGTTTCTGACCAAGACGCATATTAAGGTGATCTTTTCAGGCAGGTGAAATAAAGAATTGAATTAGCCTTTGTACCTGCAGTATCGACCCGGTATTTCAAGGACTGAGAAAATAGATGAGATTAAGACGAACACAAGTTGTTTTTTCCAAAAATAATGTACTTTAATATCAGTGAATAACAGCGGCCAACAGCTTCGTTCTCTTTAGGACTCGTCAGCTGAATGTGCCTGTCTCCCAATGAGTGATCTTGTCCCCAGATATATCTGCCTGACGAATCCCAAACAGGATGAGATGCGCATCCTGAATTTCATTGCTAGCCACTATCCAACATTAGTACCAAAACTGAAAATACCGGCAATATTGAATTATTCGCACAGGAGCCCATATACCAATAGTGGTCGGTCAATCAACGACGGGATAATACAAGCCAAAGTATCAAAACTATGTATTTTAATCTTTCTTTCGGTCGTGATATGTGAAAATATCGCAATGCAAAATATATTTTGCATTTCTTGGGATTGTTTACCTTAGATGATGATGTTAGAACCAGCAGGAAATAAGGTGGAAGAATCTTTTAGTAGAGCAGGACAATAGGTATTATTCTGTGAGGTCACTTATTGTGGACTGTGTGGTCGGAGAGCTGATGAACAATCGCTCACACACTGTAATGAATAGACTAACAAAAGTTTAAAAATGTGAACACAGTAGATGTCACAGTGAATGCCATTTTCAAATGTATAAAAAAGTTTGACTTATGGTCTGTAATCAAGCAAGCTATCTTCTGTAATTGCAAGCATAGTATTTCATAATCTGCTAAAAATTGGAAAAAATTTGATAACGATGCTTCTGGTTTACATAAGGCTTTATTTATAGAATTTTCCGGAAATTTTCCTTCGTTCAAACTCCAAGCATAAACATAATAAATCCTTAATTATAGGAGTATACATCTATCCTTACTAAAATATCGATAACTTATCTACCAAGAAAAGTAAAGGTTTCATTTCGAAGGCGAAATCTCAGTTTATTACAGAATTCCACTACCTTCAGATTAATGTTTCAATGCCATTTCAACTTGGAGGTTTATGGGGATTTATTTATCGTGTTAAGGTTGGCATTCATTACAGACTGAAATTAACTAGGGGAGCATTGAAAACTGGACAGCACTGGCCAGCTGTTTTCTCCTAGTATGGGACTACTCAGTAGTGATCGAACCCAGAACCTTCAGTTTCCGTGACCAGCAAGTTACTTTTGGGTCAGAATCCAGTGATCTATATTTTCGTACAAAGTCACCGAATCATGTTCATAAACGCTTCAACAATGTCAGAAATACATCTAAACACAAAGTGTACAGTGAAATTTATAAGAAAAATACTCACGACTGAGATTGTTTATATTCCTCCACCTCCAACTTCCATGAATTCCATTTTGTACAACTGTTAGATATCAGGCTAGTGGAATACTTTTTATCTTGTAATTTATTCAAGTAATAATTATATGATAAAGCTTTTGAATAGGTGTCTAAACAATATATTGGCGTAGGGGTTTGATTAAATACTAAATGATCTTTCATAATTCGTTTTATTACAATTGGCTGAGGTTTCTCATTCTCTATGTTGTTAGTATTCAATTCACTTTTATCCTCAACGGTAAGTGATAATAAAATAAGTAGACCATTTTTTGTTCCAACAATTAGGTAATATGGACTACAAAAGCTTAGTGCCGTAATTTGATCATCCAACTGTGGAAATATTGATTCACACTGGCTGACAATACACATCTATAAAAAAGAATCCAGCGGAAGATACAACAATTAAATGAAATAAAACATTAATGGAGTGATCATGCTTACTGTTTAACAAGAGTCAAACTTATTCTCAATTATCATTTCTAGACAATGTATAAAATGTGATAACGTACGTTTAGTAAAGGTGTGTGATTAAACTTTTGACGACTAGATTCAATCTAAATTTGTCTACCATATTTCAAAACCTTCAAAATTGTTACCTTCATTCACAAATTACATTGATACTACTGCATACTTACTACTTGGAAAAAACAGTTTTTCAGTATTTTCTAAGATTGTCACCCTTAAGAAAATAAAATTTTATAATCAATTAATTCTTATAATCAATCTTTCAAAGTATTATTTTTACTCAGTAATGAATACCTTATGTAAGCAAAATAATCGTACACTTGTATCAGTGTAACCAACAGCCAAACAACCTGGTGATTTTCCACACTGTTCACCTTCATTAAATGATGTCGATTTATCATTTGAGTTGATTTCTAATCCAGAACACATCACACCAGGATAGTTTAATATGCACAAGTTAACTGCACCAATAGATTTGTCTGAATTTCGAATTGATTCATTAATCTGAAAAGTTGAAGAAATGAAATATGTTTATAATTTAGTAGCTTACACTGAACTAGCTTAATTTTTTTAATTAAGACGAAACGCAGATTAGATTGTTATCAATTACCCCATAGTATCAACAGAGGTTAGTTGTTTTGTTGTAATAATTTGGAAACAGGACGACTATGGAGTTAGGAGAGAAAAAAGTAAACCTGGCCCTCATAACCCAACCCCAACCCTTAGTGTACTAAATAGATCCTCTTCAAAACGAAACATAGTGTGCTATATGACACTTATGGCATTACCATGCTGGTCGTGACGTGCACCATGATAAAATAAATACTGCCATTTGTGAAGAATTTGAAGTGTTGTGAAGAAGTAGGGTCCTGTAACCGCTACCTTCTTCAATAACTTTTTCTTATCTTTACACTCGTTGAAAAAACTTCTTCGACTTCTTTAATATCACTTTTAAGGCAATAATGCAGCTTACTGTTATAGTGTAAAAAATCTTCATAAAAAGCCGCATATACGTAAGGCCTTTTCCAACCAATCGCTTCGCTTGAAAGTTTTGGGAAAAAACACGTGAACCAACGTGTAAGTCTCAGGTTGGTTGAAGAGATAAAAAATCAACAGAATTTAAATTTAGTAGACCTGGAAATAGCCATGCCAAGATAATATATATAAATGTTGTATTTTGTATATATTGTGAACGTTGACGTTGCAAATACACTTTTCTGTTATCATATTGCCTTTCCTATTTGTCGAGAAACTGAGCGATCAACAAGGAATGGAATTTAACGGTTACTGTACAAACGTCCCCATATACACATAATTCAGACGATATAAAGTCACTGTAAAGATATAAAAAGTGGCAACTGGAGCTACATAAAACATACGATTCTTTTATTAAGATATACATTCTCCGTTTAACTAGTTTTCGCTTAGCTTCATGGCTTGATTCGGCAGATGATATTATTACGAGTTAACTTCAATCACAGTATAATGACGTTAATTTTTGTAGCTTTAACTGTTAAGCAGTTAAACTGAGATCTTTTAAGTTTATATTTGTCTGTAAAAGCAGTTTTAAGCTGCATACACTATAGGTTTTCACCTAAATGCATTTTGGAGAAATTATCTATCAAATTACGAATGACTTTTTGTAAAGCTGATCACATTTAAAAACAATTAAAACATATCAAAATGTAGTGGCACGGTAGTTAACTTTGAAATGGAAACTTGCATTACGCTTGCGGATTCATCACAATCCCTAGTTTTTCGTCTCTGCACCGATCCCCAGTCTTATTATCAACGGAATAGTTTGAAATCACGGATATCTAGATAATCTGATGAACACTAACTAGTATGTGCCAAATATGCTTGTATTCTTGCGAAACAACAGTTTCATAAAATTTATTTGTAACATACGATGAGATTGTTTCATTTCTCATGTGTACTTTGCTGTTTGTACATAAACGCCTTACCAATACATCCAGTAACCCTATCTATATCATTCCATATTAGGTTTGTTTATTTGATATATAGCACACAGATATACAGTATTATTTACCTGATTACGTTTCGAGCATAAATTATTGCTCATAATTATATCAATAATACTGTATCACTGTGCGCTATATATCAAATAAACAAATCTAATATGGAATTACATTCTACCACAGTGCCCAAGTTTTACATCTATCTATATCAAATTATTAAAGAAATGAAGCATATCTGAGTGGAAGTAGTGCCAGAAGAGTATTCTCGTAGACGTTAATGAATTTTTAAATTAACACATACTTGGGAGATGTAAGATTGTGAATGGAAGAAAATGTTTGTTATATGTCTATCTTTTCTCAATTACACTCGGCACCAATTCATGAAGTTTCTGAATATTGGTCTGAAATGTATATGGGAGGTGTTGGCTGCTTGGCTGGGATCCCCGAGACTATAGGAAGGAATGGTTACAGACTCTTGGTGAAATGGCTGAGAATCGGTTACAGCGGTGAAAACGTATTCACTCTTTGGCTTCTTCTGAAGATTGAATATTTTTTCAGTAACCTTTATTTTCAAATTCCTTCTCTTCCCATATACCTTTGTCTAGTTTGACACTAATCATTTTCTAGCCACTTGTTCTTTGCATACCGTTAGGAAGTATGCCAAATTGAACTGATGCACCTCTGCGCGAGGTTCTGCGTTCCGTTATACATGACAGCAATCTTAGTTAGTAGGAAACTGTAATCTTTGTCATTAATAATAATAATAATAACAATAATAATAGCTTTATTCCAAACAATATGTAAGACAGTATGGAATTCTCAGCATGTAATTTTTCAAGAAATTCACTCTCAGAACAATACTTTCAGACGGAACGGTTATTGGTTCGGAATGATGTTAATAATAACAGTATTCAAGGCAATAGTGTGAAATAGCCAGCTGGTTCTGGGTAGGGATCCGGTCCATAATGAAGAATGAACAGAAACGCAAGCGTAATTTTGGTGGTAGCAGTTTATTCAGACGCTACAAAACTCTGCAACAGAAGTTGGAAATATGGAGCATTGGATTCTGACCCAGTGGCTCAATGGTAACGCGCTGGCCGCGGAACCTGAAGGTCGTGGGTGCGCACTGCTGAGGAGTCCCATACTAGGACGAAACAGCTGTCCAGTGCTACCAGGTTTCCTTTGTTCCTCCAACTGATATCAGTCTACGATAAATAACAACTTGAAATAATATGATGCACTTTTTCTCACTGGAATGTTCATTTCCACATAACGTAACATTTTTTTCTCTGCTTTTTTAGTGATTCAAGAAATGGAGAGTTGGAAACAGTTTAAAGATGTACGAGAGTATATGATACGTTCAAATGGACATAGTTAAATGATTAAAACAAATTAAAAAGAAAGAATTTGATAAAAATTTCCGATGGATAAATTTGGTGGCTCAAGGTTTAGGCAGATCGCCGTCAAAGTAATATTTTCAGGCTATCCATTGTGTTGCCTATTATTGTATAACTTCATGTTAAGAGTCAAAATTATGGTAAAATTAAAGGACTATCAATCCACTTGTTATGGTACAGTCTTTTTAATGGCAACTAGCTTCTCTTTACAGATAGTGAAAATGTATTTGCTAAATTCCAATAAATTAGAATGGTAAGCTTTTGATATTTTATGACCTTATAAAACTTTAAGTTTAGAGAACAAGACATGCACAAGTTGTCACATGTTTAAACAGCAAACGGAGTACACAAAACAAAACAAAGGTCAAATATGTTACTGTCACTGAGATTATAAGTAAATGAGTATAAGGTGATGATGTTAATTCTTAGATCAATGTAAGTGAATTTGGGATAAGTAACATGAATGTGAAATTCTCTTTTTTAATGTATGTACTTTTGCAAAACGTTTATTTATAATTTGTTTGTATGATATGCTTTATCCAAGATATATAGTTATTGAAACAGTTTGACCTTACTGTGTATTTAACACACTTTATGAAATAGCTAATTCTTCATTCTTTTTTGTGGTTAGGAAACTCTATAATGTCTTCAATAATGATTCATTCAGATGATCACCAATACAAAAATCTACATGTAAATTAAATGATATCTACGGGATCATAACAGTAATTCTCTGTTTTCATTGAGGTAAAAATAAAAACAGTACCGACAGAGAATTCATGTTTTTTTAATAAAACAAAGCCAATAACGTTCGACGTCAGCAAATATCCTTCATAAACATCTGTAAAATTTGAAAATGCTTTACTTCTTTATGAAATAAATGCAGACGAAGTCGCCGAGCATGGAGATGACACATCCAAGAACAAACCTCAAAGCTTGAAAAACACCGAACAATTGACAACTAACGCTCTCGGAAATACATTGCTTTAAGACAGAGTTCCTTTAGGCAGTGTGTATAGCGAACTCTTTTTGGCTAAGAAATTATTGTCAGCATTGTATTCGTATAAACATTCATGAACGGGTAAAGTTCAGGAATACTAGTCATAAGCGCAAAGATGACCTTGAAAAGTTAATAAAAAACTTTTGCGACTTGGAAAAAGAAGTATAGTGGTGTGAAATTTGTATCATAAGGTAGATAACAAACCAATGGGATCATTTTCAGGAACTTGTTAAGAATTACTTCAGTTCCTCACTTGAGTGTTTATGAAGAAGTTGAAACAATTTTTGTACAGGAATTCATCACGATGACTGCACATCATCTCATTCTCGGAGCTAAGAATATCTTTGGACCTTTCTTTTAAACCCCGACCTTGCTACTGCAACTACATTAGTGTGAATCTCAGTAACATAACAAATGAAGTCATAAAATGACCCACTGTATGGCATATATAGTCTAATTACCTTTATCCTTAGTATGCAGACCAGTATTCAGAATGAATTACAGTTCGAGGCAGGACGAACCGTTGAGTAAAAGACGTTAGTACACTAAAAATTGTGCTCTGGACTCCTTTCATATATCCTTTTCCTAAACTTATGTCGTACATTCAAAGAACTTATAAATTTTTTTCTGACATGCTTCATTTATTATGCTTCTTTCTTTTGAGGAAAGCCGTGTTATTATGTACTACAACCATAATTCTACCGAGAAGACTGGCAACATTGTTCATCTTCCCCGATATGATGCCTACACTGTTGAATCCGATGTACGGCTATAAGCAAACTCTTCTGAGTTTCGGTAGCTGTTGCTCTTGCTAGACATTTGGGCACCTAGTTATGACACTGAAACACAATCCCTGTCAAGCGCAACTTGAATTTTAAAAACGAAAGTGACAGCATATTATCACGTACAGACCTCTTTCTATGTCAGAGAGCACACTGGAATACGTAACTATCGATAGCTTCTATGTGATAGAGTATGTTCATATTACCCTTATGCTGAATCTCCTCCAGTCTACCTATAAATCCATGATTTATTCAATATTGAAGAATAGTATGGGAATGGAATTGTAAATGACGTAAGTGTATTCGCTCATCAATAAGAATCTATTGGTCTACCAGCTTGCGGTGTGATTGGTTATGTGTTCCTCCAAGATGGTTCCTGTTGCTTAATCTAACCCAAGGATTATTATTAAACACCTACTTGGAAAAAAACGAAATATAGTTAGTAGATCAACTGGCAATGGTAGGTTTTAAAATTGAAAGTGATGAATAAATTGGAATGTAGGCCCGAAATAATTGGTAAAAATAACTAATTAATCAGAGTCAAGACAAGAAGACTAACCTGTAACTCGGAAATTAGTTGACGCGTTTCTGGATTCCAAAGACGTACACTTCCGTCCAATGAACATGTGACTAGTATGTAATTCATATGAGTTAAGTCAGTGTTGAAGACCTGATCTGTGTAATCATGGACTAACTGCTGCTCAGATTTTAACCACCATGCTAATCCTGTAATTTGTGTTTTATGTCCACAACTTAACACTGTTACACCATTTTGTTCTTCTAAGATTGAATCTGCCAACAGTGAATTGTGTTGGTTAGAGTCTGCTTCAACTTCAGACCAGTCCACAAACCTTAATCGTTTATCGATATAAAAATGAAAAACACAAATATTTGCTAGTATAACTATCAGCATCAAATGTCAAAGAATACTGAGGTCAACCTTTTGATCTTTTCAGTCACGAAATACAATATTCAAAGTAATCTGCATAAAACAAAATAGTATGTATTCCTCACCTAAAAGTGATTATGTACGTGAAAGCTTAAATCAGTGGCTCCTTTTAATTGGAGTGACTTTAGCAGTGACTAACATAACTAATTAGGTTTTTTAATTTCAAATGAAAAGGTTATTGTCAGGAAACGCAGAACTCTCATTGGTTACTTAGGTAGGTGTTTAGATGGCCTTTAGAGTTACTAAATAATTGCCTTACGCTGGATTGAGTGGTAATAGCGTGTAAGCAACCTGATTGGTTGGCAATTCGGGGTGATTCATTTGACATTCGGCGAAATGACTGACTTAAAAGAACATCCCAGCAACTACTGAAACAGCCAAAGAACTTTCTATATTTTACGAAAAACTGCCTTTCTATCTGAAGTAGATAAAAAAAGGCCTAATTTGTTATTCTTTGAGTTTCCAGTATAACCTTTGTAACCACTCTTAGAGTCACTCAGTTAAATAAAGATTTGAAGATCGAAACTTCTCTTCATCGTCCATTAAGAATAAACAGCGTACTTGAAGCAAAATGACATCTCTAATACGATAACACACTGAACCAGTACACTGGGCTCGAGGTTATAGAAGGGAAGACAACTTATTCAAACAGTAGTTATGTATTGAACTTGGACAAAAATGCTCTGCCAATATTGGTAGGACCTGTCATACTTTAATACAATCTTGAAGGCCATTCACATATAGCGTGGAGCACTTTAGCCTAGCCAAGTCATGGGAACTAAAACTTTGAAAGCCTTTCTCGCAGGACAGATAGTGTTAATAACTAGTGAAACATACTCTTACAACATTGCCACCAATTTGCGAACATTACGCTAGTAGGAACACACTCTCTTTTACATGTATTAGAAGAAATGACTTACAAAGGTGAGAAAATTTGGTAAGGTTCGACTGCCCTAACATTCACAGTGGCACTGAAACCCTTCTTAATCATCATCGACCTTCCGAAAAAATTATGCTTGAATTTCCTTGACCTCTTTTTATCACTAACTCTGCACTACGATTTGTTCCACTTCTTCAAACTAAGTAAATGATTTGACTTCACAAAATACCACCTCACAGCTCTAAAATTGCTCTTCGGACTACATTTTGTAATAACCAATGTTCAAACACTATGTCAAATATGAGGACAGATCTTAGTAGTCAACATCTCGGTATCTTCAGATATAGATTCATGATGCATCTGTGGAGCATGCGTAATTCAATCGCTATTAATTAGTCAGCGTGGTAGAATGCGAATCCCACCCTTCCTATCTTCGACGAGCAGCTCGCTGACTCCTGTAAAGGTAGATATCAAAGTGAATCCTGAAAAATATAAATTGTCTTAGATTCTAGTCAGAGCCCCATCCTGTATTCTGCTTGATTGAGTGAAACAGTAAGAAATCAAAATGGCCATGATACAATTCAGTGTATTTTGTAGTACCTGATTACGTGTCTATAGGTATGATGCGACGAGTAAGCTCTACCAAAAATACCTACTTTCGGACTCCCAATGTACTGAATTTATAATCTTGATTCTTTATTGCAAAAGCGCTTTGACAACCAATTTTACATGGTAATTAACAACTTCCTACATTGAAAGAAAGACATTGGTTAACTCATTTATACAACTCTATTATTACTTCCTTGTTTGTTCTCTCAACTTTCTAAATCACATTATTTTTGTTTTCATTCCTACTGTTTTCCAGTAAACTGTGAAGACTTAGTACAGACTTACTTTAATAAGGTCCTACGTTGTTTTAATTAGTGCAGCCTGCACAACAACTCTCATGCTTAGTATAATCAAGATGAATCATACACAGGTTAAGTGCAAAGTAGGAATAAAAAGATATTCGTCAATCAATGTTATTGTATCAAAAGCAGAAGTCCTGAATGCCATAAAGTTGCTGAAATCCGGAAAGCAGCAGGACCGGATGGAATTCTTCAGAACTACTGAAAACAGACGCAGAGACAACAACAGACATGCTCACACCACTATTGCAGAAGGTTTGCAAGGAAGCAAGGTAGGAAGGAAGGAAGGAAAGGTACCCGCTAATGGATTGGAAGAACGGCTATCTCGTCAAACTCCCAAAGAAGAGTGACATAAGTCTATACAAGAACTGAGGCACAATCACGCCTATGTTAACCACAAGCAAAATATTAATCATCAACATCCTAGAGAGACTAAAGGATGCGCTGCATTCACAACTTCGGCCGGAACAGGCTGGCAGGCTAGATTCGGGAAGTACAAATCATGTGCAGACCAAATTGCAACATTGCGCATCATCATTGAACAGAGCACAGAATGCCAGTCAACTCAACTCTACATCAACTTCATCGACTTTGAAAAGGCCTTCGATAGCATCCACCAACAAGTAATTTGACAAGCAGCTGCTTCAACACTACGAAATACCACAAACCTTCATCAAACTCATTCAACGGCTATATGAAGACGTCACATACATACCAAGTGATTCACAATGGAAAGCTCAGTGATGCCTTCGAAGTGAAGACAGGATGGAGTGAGACAAGGCTGCCGCCTACTATCACTCATCATTTTCATGATTGTGGTCAACTGGATCATGCAGCAAACCATGAGGAGCCAGAAGGGAGGGATACGCTGGGCCACGGAAAACAACCTACAAGATTTGGATTTCGCCGATCATGATTTATGTCTAATGTCTTGTCGCACAAACTCGAAGATCTACAGTCAAAAACTAACAAGTTGGCAAAAGAGGCAGCGAAAATGGGACTTCAAGTGAATCTACATCAGACAGAGGTGATGAAGATACCCAACCAACAACAGCATCAACAACAACAGGCACCAATCACCATTAACGCGAGAAACCTAAAAAAGTAGTCTCTTTCACCTACCAACTAGGCAGCATCGTTTCAACTACAGGTGGTGGCATACATGAGGATGAAAAGGCCAGGATCGGAAAACGAAGACAGACTTTCATTAATCTGAAATCAGTGTGCAGATCTACTGCACAATCCACTCAGTACAAAGAACAAGATCCAGATTTTCAACACCAACGTCAGTCAAGTCAGTGCTGATATATGGTTCGGAAACTTGGCGCGTCACCAAAAGCACATCCAACAAACTACAGAGAGACATCAGCAGCTGTCTACGTTCACTCGATACTGAGGATCAGATCAGATGGCCAGAACAATCAGGCTAAGCAACAAACAACTCTGGTCTGGTGACGAATCAACCAAGAACCTATCACTCAACAATTATGCAGGAGAAAGTGGAGATGGATCGGACATACACTAAGAAGGCTGATTGGGGACATCATGCGCCAGGCCAGGTACTCGAATGGAATCCAAAGGGGAAACGAGGAGTTGGGCGTCCGAGTATGACATGGAGGAAGAAATGAAAGCTTGTGAGCATTCGTTAAGCCAGGTTCAAAAGACTGCATAGAAGAGAGTGCAATGTAGGCGTGCTACTGAAGCCCTATGTTTTACTAGGAGCCCAAGGGACAAAAAATGATAACAATAATGCAATCGTATAACATTATTGACCAAGGTTCTTGAGAAATGTGTCACTCATTCCTATTTCCTACTTTTACTGTGAGAGTGTGTTGGATGCTTAAGAAAAATAAGGGAAGCCAATGTAAGATATGACACAGACCATGCCTGGCATTGACAGCAAGTGATAAGAGATGCCGTAAGAGGTGGTTTAAAATCTATGGCACTGGGATATGTTCATTCACACGGAAATTTTGTTCACATTTTGGTTATCTTTTCTATAGATAACTTTTTATTCTGTGTTCATGCATTCCCTACTTATTCATTTTAACGTATTAAAACAGCTAAAAAGCCACTTTTGAAATAGTTACAAGTTTTTTGTCTTATGTTCAATTCAGTTACTTATGCTTATGCAGAAGCGTAGATAATTAAGGCTTTACTCAGCTAACTAGGCATACAGAACAGTTAACTATAACGTGAAAATATGAAGTTATTATCTCCAGTTATTAGCATATATCATATGAAACAAGCCGTAACAGCTTTATTCGCCATTGTTACAGCACGCTTTGATTCATTTCCTGCACCAGTAGGAAGTCTGAAAGCTTGAAACGACGCATTCTCTGTGAAGCTTTTGCTTTTTTGCATATCTCCCATTGTTCCGTTTTACATTCCGAGCTGGTATCATTTCACTGACAAAACCATCTTCAAAATTGAATTTGGTCTTCATTACTAGTTACAGAAAATGATATACAGATAAAGGTATACGGAAAAACTGTCATCACTAACTAATGGGCCAAATTTTATCCTATGACACTCTCTGCAAAAAAATTAAAAGATTCTTCATTTCGTAATTGATCGAATAACATTATGAGGAACAGTGAACAATGGCGTACGACGTAAAGGAATTCTTCTGATACAATAGTATTTTCTAATTGGTACAAACACATCAAAATCTGAATGACAGACTAACATGTAATTATTGATGAATAGCGGCTATCAGTAGGATCCAGAATGCGCGTTTCGTTCTGTCTAGGACTGGTCAGCCGGATGAGCCTACCTCCCACTGAGCAACGTTGTTCCCACTAAGACTCGAACCTGTGAGCCGATCGCTTCTAGCGCCAGAGCGCTATCCACTCGGCCACCGAGTCACGGTAACCACTTTTTGTGCAACTGGTATAGCTTGTATGATGTTGCTTGTATTATCCCGTCGTCGACGAGTCCTAAATAGGAAGAAACGCACGTTCTGTGTTCCACTGTAAGCTAATATCCATCAATAATATCAAACTGAAAATACAATATCCAGGCATCCACGCAGGAGTCCATATACCAATAGAGACCGATCAATTAGGTTAAATCAACATTTAAGTACTTTTGTTTCTGTTCAGTGCCACTACATTGTTTACTTCTGTTTATCCCGGTTTGTGTCAACAATGAATGAACAACCAAAGAATATCCCCACAAACACCATATGGACTCAAAAGATTTGTAAAACAAAGTTTTCTTACTACAAAATGTTAATTAGATACAAAATATATGGAAGAGCAGGTTTAGAGCAGTATTTCTTACCATAAATTACAGTTACTTGTACTAACAACGCCAATTTGTCCTTCTAAATCAAAGCATGATGACAAAATTGTAGCTTGATCAAATTGATAAATCGATTTAATCAATTTTACATTAACTTGTTTTATCCTACTAATGTGACTATGACCAATACTGCTTCTGTTGAATGAATCATACTGACTGGTCGAAACTTGTTCATTGCTGAAAAATTCCAGATCTAAACGCCAACAGTGCAACGAACCATTTATACTTCCTGTAACAAAATCATATGGACCACAGGAAGACATAGTACTTATCTACAAGACCAAACAAGAGAAACAGACAGAATACTCCCAAGATTTGGTAAACATTTCTATTCAATATTATTATTATTCATAATAGTGGTGTTGAATCCACATTGTTGTAATGAACTACAACTCATCTTATTCAGTGTTATCATCTAAGATTTTCTATTTCATTCAACTGTCTCACGGTAAAGTTATCAGAATACAAACTTGGAGATATTTCTATGATCCAGCTTTCACTTGTGATGAAGAAAATCTGTGTAAAATACACTTCTTGGATGTCTTGCTAAGCAGGAGAGAAGGCGGTTCACTCAGTAGATTTGTTTAAAGTTAAACTACATCTATAGAACAGTATATAGATTTTCTCAGCCGAGTACCCATTCGATACAAAATAAGTCTGGTTTAATGCCTCACTAACAGAGCGAGAATATGTACGGATCAAATATCGAAATATCATTTTCATCGTAAAATAATCAAAACATTTATGAATGTTGGAAGGTAATCAAAAGGCGTAGTAACAAACAAAGCTGAGTTCCCGATTTTTTTTGTGCCACCTTGCTTGTTGCCATACCTAACTGACTGCTTTCACACACTTAACAAGCTGTAAATTCTTATCAAAAATTGTACATAGATGCTATTGTATACCTTAGTGAATGAGATGGCTGAGAAGAGTCTCTTCGATGTACCACTTGCTTTCGTTTTCCTACGTCTCTATAGGAATTTTTTGGAAATTAAATAATAATGGAGAGAGAACATACTTGACAGGCATCAACCTAACCAATAATCTTCCACTACTATCCTTAAATACCTCCGGTACTAGTCCGTCTCTTTCTACTACTCTTCCTCGTTTCACATTGCTTGCAGCTTTCTCGACTTTTGTAAGTGTTAGAGGGCCCATCTCAATGTTCCGTTCTGGACCCATGTGACGGGATAGCAACTGGAGGCCAGCTGAACTGCTGCGCAAATTGTTCAGTCGGTCGTTCCAGTCGTCTGTCCTGCGAGTGGACTGGAAACCCATCCTTCTTCCCTGTGGTCTCAGAAACCACTGACCTTTTCATCGCAGTTTCCTTGATAATTTTAAATAGCTCCATACTCTCACTTAGACAGCTATTCTAGCGCATCTCTTTTGGCTGACCAATGACGGTAAATAACAAGTTGTAACATCAAAACACATCTGTCTTAAAAGAAGTCTTTACTAATTCAGTAGGTTAGTGGATAACACTCTCGAATTTGAAGCGATGTATGCTGAATTACAGTCTCATGGGGGACAGTAACACACTCAGGGGAAAAGTACACACAGCAGAAAAGTCTTAAACAAAACGAAACATATGTTCGGGATTCCACTACTAGACACTAGCTATCATAACTATAAAAATATAATCACTGATAAGACCAAAGCATTTGTACAAAAGCCCAGAGTCTAATTCAGTTCATTCAGAGACGGGGAACTACAAGACATAACTTAAATAATCACAAGTAATGTCTAAATAGTGACAAGACTGTGCAAAACTGTTTTCTGTAACATGGGAATCAAACAATTTCACACAAAATTTTCACACAAACATCTCTTTACTTACTTCAGTAGTATCAGATGAGAGAATGTGTATGCATATATGAGTGTTAACATCCCATACAGTTGTATTACCAAGGCTATCTCCAGCTAGAAGAAGCAATATCATCTTCGGCATTCCAGTATAATATTCAGACTTATTTGTCACTTTTAAGTATGTCGCTGAACAGAATTCTGTATTACATAGAAGTCTATTTTCATTCACAGATGAAATCACCCCTTGGTAAATGTAAGCACATTTTCTGAATTTAGTAAATTCCTGTCACTATTACGATTATCATTATGATGATTAAAATCGGTATATTTAGAATGTTTCACGTCAATCTTCCAAAATAAAATAAGATTTTCTCGATTTACGGACTTCCCAACATTATTATCAACATAACTCAAATGACCACCAATGGTAATAAACTCATTGCCAAATAAGGAAGAGCATAAGATCTGATGAGTAGAAAAAAGAAGTCATCAAAAATTACATCACTACAATGAAGTGAATTACAAGTTAATTGAATACAAAGTTGACATCTTATACCAACGCATTGTTGATTATACATATAGTTAGATGGAAAATGTCCATGAGTGACTGAAGGTAATCAGTAGGAAAAAGTGAATCTAAATTTTATGCTTGTTAGAACTCGTCAGTATGGTGCGTTTGATACTTGTTTCAGAGGTCGGAATACAACGTCAGCCAATTCTGTAATCAGTGATATTGCCACCAGCCTATGTGAGGCTTAATTAACCTCACACAGAACTAGACTGTATATAAGATTACCAATTTCATGTTTCTAGTTTTTGATGATGTTAAGCCTTATTCTTTGTCCTAGTTTGAAATGTAAATATGTACCTGACCCTGTATTGCATCAAAGCATGCATAAACAAGTATGTAGAGTATCTAATTGTGGAATTCTACCGAGATTTCGGAATTCATAAAGCCTTGCTTTCTATACATTCGTTTCTTACTTTCAATTAACATCAAGAAAGAAAGGTATATAACTAATTATTAAAAAAATGAAGTCGAATCACATTGAATATTATTGTTTAACGTGACTGAAGAACTTACAATGGACTTTAACTGGTTCACAGGACTTGAGGTCAAAGTACATGCGATAAAGATCATCAAACAGCGTGAGCCGTCATATCGATGTAAATATCTCTTGAAACGACTATATGTTTCTTATGCAATATTTTTAAAAAGTTCTGTTGGAGGATCCAAAAATCTGCACACACAAACAAATAAACGACCTACCCATTCTTTTTTAAGTCTATAACATGATTACATTTAATTTTCTTTCACGCTGTTTGATTTCTTTCGACTATTTCCCCTTACTTACAGAAGACTTAGTCATTTCGCTAAAAGTTGGAGGGAAAATATCTCTACAACGTTGATAAAATTGTGCAGCTGTCACCTTTGTGACATTCACCAGGTTTCTTGCGTTTGCAACTGATGTGGTAATTATCAACGTAAGAAACAGCATAATTCGTTGCAGTGATAAATTGGGTTCTATGAAGAAATAACCAGTGAAGGTAGATTTCCGGCTTTGGCATTATCTGTATCCGAATGTGTGTCTATCCTTAATAAATTTTGGATTGCGGTAGGATCACGTAATAAGTATATGCTATACTTCACGTTAGTCCAGTATCCGTCAGGTATCTGATTACCTTGACGTCGTTCAAATTCTTCGTAAGCTTGCCAATATTCATCGACATTTTCTGGAATCAAAACCTTCCAGAGTGACCCTACGCCCACCTTGAAAATGTCTATTCACTATGGAATCATTAGACTCGCTGAAGGGTATCAAACTTTTATATTTTCACCGTAACCTCTCGGTTTTTTAAATTAATATTGGATATTAGTCTATAGGGCTTTCAAAATTCTACCAACTTGTGTATCCTTTGCTTTTATCGCGTCAGTATCGATATTTCTAGACATTTAGAATCTGATTATATCAAGCTCTTATTATGTAAAGAATGAACGATTTGCAAGTTATATTAAGAAACGTATTACCGTAGCATATTCAGTTAACCTTTATTTTCTTCACTTGTAACGATCAAGTGACTGTAGTATTAAAGCACACAAAAAAATTGTTAAATATTTATCAAAATTTACAGTTTAAGTGATAAATCCAAACCTGTTTAACGTCAAAAGTATTGAAACTTATAACTACACCTGATTAAAGTATCCATCAACGTTTACTGATGACAGAACCGTCCAATTCTGTGTTGACCATAATTTAATCCCATTTGTATGATAATCTTCAATGGTTATAAGATATCGTGAGTCCATTGTAAATGACATGGTCAATAAAATACCATATGGATAAGAATTCTTCATTGTAGGATATGAATTTATCATTTGGTCAACATATTTATTGTTATTGGGCAATAAGAATCTTTTTTGTAAATCACATTTCAACACTGGAATTTGTGATAATGATGGTGTTTGTTTTAAATGTCGATAAGTATCATGATGATTGAACTTAATTGGTATAATTATCAATGTAGATATAATGTCTGTACAGCTGAAATTGGAAGATAAGAGAACCGATTACCATGCAAATAACTGGTGAGTTACTTACTACCTAGAAAAAAAAATAATACTGGACACGTGCAAATTAGATTAAAGTAAATCCATCAACATAGCTCACTGTTCATATGCAGCATGAAATAGTAATGTGCTTCGTTGACTATTCAATTACTTAACGAATAATATCCCAATCAAACATAGTGAAAATGAATTTTTAAGCCCATAACCAATCTTCTATCGTTAATCACACAAATATTAAACCTCCGGAATCTTCAATAATCCGTCGTTATCACTGCTTGTTTTTCTCAGCGTTGTGCGATATACTACTCATAAGCATTTTGATAAGCAGTGTTTATAACATTATGAACTCGGATTATGGACACAGATCAGTAGCCGGACGATAAAAACGGTTACATTCTAGTTTAAGATGAAGACAGATATTCAAGTTTAAAGATTACCAATTGATTATTTTCAGTCTACCAAGCTTAAGTCCAGTTAGTAGTATATTACTGAATCATCTAGCTTAGAAACTGAAATAAATGATCAGGGAAACAGAATTTATTTAAAATTAAAATGCAGCAAATAATTTTATAACCTTCAGGATCAAAATTTGGCCTGATAGAGTTGAATAAGTTGATGATTGAGTAAACAGATTACAAATGAAATATATTCGTAAAATCCCAATGAAGAAGAAAGATAAATTTCTGATATTTCGCGACTTCGTCGAAGTCGCTTCTTCAGAAAATAAAACTTGTACAAGTTAACGATTGTTTAAATAGTAAATGGTCCATTTACAAGTAGATTATGTCCTCCCTTAGACCAAATCGCCTTATTAAAACCTACATTTTAAAACAGATTTTTTTAAAATAATTAGATTAGGACTCGATAATCAATCAAACTGGTTTGAACATCGAATCAATGCTTGTTTCATTTGTAGGTGAGTTCAGATAGCAGTTTATGCCAACTGGAACTGGTAGGCTCAATTAGATCAGGTGGTATGTCAATAACCTGATAACGAGTTCGAAAATTATTTACAAACAATACTATCCAAGTAGTTACTTCTCAACTGTGTAATGCCAACAGATTTTTGGCGGCTACCAATGAAACTTTCCACCAGACATATTACACAGAATTCCTCCCTTTCAGTCTGTTTTAATCTCCTAAATATGTCCTCTAAACGTACCACATACTCTTGAGGATTTTTAAAATGTTCTGAACTAGCTGTTTTTCGAATAAATATCAAAACGACGGAAAAAAGGTCATAACAGACCGAAATGGACTTATGAATACACTAAAATGCATCTACTGGCTGAATGAACCACTACTAAACGGTGAACGCTAATCCAGCTCAAACCGTCTGCTTCACACTATTAGCTTTGATGCTGTTACTATGATCATCATTCAGACGCCATAGTCATTTCGTTTGAAAGTATTGTTTTGGCAATAAATTTGTTAACTTATAACATGCTGAGGATTTCATACTATATCAAAAATATTGTTTGGAATAAAGCTATAATTATTATTATTTAACAGATCAATGTTTACATTTTCTATCTTCTCACGTAGTAACGTAGTGTATTTCCTCAGTTCATGGTAGTTGTCTGTCTTAGCTCACAAACTTTCATCTTAGGTGAATGGTTTTCAAGAATACTTGTCAACATCTGAGTTGAGTATTCGAAATACCATTCATAAACTATTCGTAAAGACCTACCCAACTTGATAAGCAATAGACTTTTCAAAAAAATCAAGTCACGGAATGAATGGGATCCCTACTAAGCATCCTGTAACCTGCCGGGTAAATCTGCAGGATGATATCCAACTGTACTTTCTTGGTCATACTATTTGTCAAGCCACTCTCTCATCATTACAAACCAAGTGAGCAGACAGAAGGACAGATGTAAGGCATGGTAGGCAACTGAAACTAGATAGTCTGGATTTTGCTGTCAGATTTATACAGTCAGTCGGTAGAAAATCATGAGATGTAGACTTCGTGCTTGTTGGTGACCATCATCAATGAGTATTTGCAATTATGAGGAAACTGATGTCCTTTTAACGATCGAAACCAAAGTCACTCAGAGTTGGAGTTAGAGACTTGATCAATGAGCTAATCACACCACGACTGACTTTCTGAAGGACTGAATTATGCACAATGTAGCTCTTCTAATCCTGAATGCCCAATGTTGACCGAAGTATGTTGACCAAGCTTGCGATGTTACCACTAGGTCAAATGGCGCGACACTGCACTGTACTGTAATTCAATGTGGACTGAAGTATTTGAACGTCATTTTGTAGTCTTTACCAACTATTAACATGGTTTACAACTACCTTTTTACTTAGCCAATAAGTACTATCCAAATCGACCTCGTATAAATTTTACAAATCTCTCACTAAAAGTTAGGCTATCGGATTGTGATCAAACGGCCGAATCAAAGCGTCCTGTCTAAAAGACCTTACTGTCCCGAACCTTGTTTTATATAGGGTTGCAGATAGACACTGCTTGGTAATCTTAAAGTATGATGAAACAGCTGTCAGGATCCTAAAAGGTTGGAAAAGGTTCATGAAATCGGTTCATGGTAAAAGGCACTTCCAAACTTGCTGAATGTATATAAACATCTTTAGTTCATTACCCGATATTTATCTTAAACGCCTGAATTCAAACAACACACGACGACAAGTCAAATTAACGTGAATTAATCTTTTTAAACTCCTATCCTAGTAACTTTCCATTTCGAGCAGAAGGTAGAAAACGCTACATTTCGAAACTATGTCAGTGAGGGAGATGATTTCGAGAGGTGATCCTTGAGATTCTGATGTGAAGCCGCGACCAGTAGGTCCAACCACGTCTAACATGAAGACAAATACTCAACGACAGCATTGAATGATGGTCGCGCTGATTCGTGAACTGACAAAGGTAGGAAATATGGACCACTGGATTGTGACACGGTCTTTCAATGCTAACGTACTGGCCGTGGTCCCGGGTTCTATGCTGGCAAGGTCACGGGTGTGCACTGCTGAGGAGTCACACACTACGACGAAACACCTGTCCAGTGCCCCCAGGTTCCAAATGTTTCTCCAACTTATGTCAGTCCATGATGAATGCCAACCTGAAAGCAATAAATAATTCCCCACGAACCTCCAAATGGAATACAGTTGACCTTTTTTTAAACTGAAGAAACGAAGGGATACCTTTCAAATGCTTCACCTACTTGTAGGTAGCAGCACTTCTAAGAATAAACGATTTCCTTTTACTTTTTGTTAAAGCATAATATCATTGAACAGAAGATTATACCCAGTCTTCATCTTTCTAAATAATGCCTAACGTTTGTTTGTAATATGAGTAATATTGGAAAAATTACTAACCATCGAATTCAGTATTGGCAAGAGTGAATGCACTGAGCGCTACGAGAAAAATGAATCACATTATTAAAATAGGATACTGCGGAAGTAATCTTATTAGATATCATATTTGAATTGAGTCACTATCCTAAATTCTGTGCTAACCTGTCTTTTACTGACGGATATATGAGTAAGTTTGTGTGTGTGAAAAGTATACATCACTTAACTGAAACTTAGAAAACATTAAATCATAGTGACAGAACATCGTTAGAAGAAAACGATTATGATTATCTGTAATCATGAATTTGTGCTCAGTTCGATGATTCACTTACTTTAGCGTAATGAAACGATTGTCAAGAAACTAGAAAGGATTTCAGAAAAATAAACTATTTCGTTACCTGTAGGCATTATTTAGATGCCAATAACTTGTTGAACCAATTGCTAATGTCGATTTATTCGGTGTCAGCTCAATTGAATTGAAAATTTCTCCACTGAAATGCTTTACATAAATTGAAGTATTCGGCATGATAGATCGATATGCTGACTGTACACCAGTCTCTAATTCTTCGAATACAAGCAAAGATTCCTAAAAGAAAGCACAGTGTTACCAAGGTTACTGAAGAAGGAAGAAAAAGATGATTTTAGTTATCCGTACTATATGAATAGGTCACTAGATTTTAGTACAATTGTTTTTATATGATACCGTCGTTGACTGGACCGAATTGATTGGTCTCCATTTGTATATAGGCTCCTGTGCGGATGCCTTGATATTACCAGTGCACTAATGATAGTAATGATGCATAGTGGCTAGCAGTGGAACCCAGCATGTGCATTTCGTCCTATTTGGGGCTCGTCAGCTGAATGTGCCTACTTCCTGGTGAGTGATGTTGTCCCGGGAAGCAGGTATATTCAGCTGACGAGTCCCAAATAGGATGAAATGTGCATCCTGGATCCCACTGCTAGCCACTATCCGTCATTAGGTCACTAGATGTTTAAAAATGGTGTTGCTCAGTCTTGAAGATGATCGAAAAGTAACGTAATTGTGTTAGCCGCTGGACAGTAACTTTTCGACTCGATTGTAATCGACTAGTAAAAACAAACTTAAAATCTGATTAAAATGCAATCATGTTTGGAGTTAAGAAGGTGCACTGCCGAAGAGAACAACTTCGAGAAGAATCAAATATTAAACTTTATTACTGTCAAGTCGTTGCGAAAAACAATTTATTATGACTAATTCTCTATGGACAACAAAGTTGAATCAGATTTGTTAAACTCCAAGAAAACGTCTGAAATTCAACAGGAATTCAAGTATCTCATGTATCATCAAGTCATTATACATTTTCAAATGCAGAAATCCAACTGAATTCAGTCACTCGAATCTAGTTCATAGCAGAATACATTCATTAAATTCCTCTTCTGGTTTATATGTTGCTTTACTTAACACTCAAATTTGAATATTATCCTAGAATTGGTCTCAGTGTTAGGTTAAAATCTGAATACAGAAAGTAAAACGTATTTTTTTTCTAAAATAAATATCTAGTCATTATGTCATAAGTCATCTACCTAGCTTAGAGCGTGAAACACAAACGAAGATGAACCAGCCGCTTGTAACATAAAAGCATGTTTTATAAAAAGAGACAGACACAGCAGTTATATAAGGTTTGGTTGAGAAAAGTCTCTAAAGTCAGATGTCTATAGAGAAGAGACTGAAGTGAAATTATACCCAAAAATCCCAAAGCGAAAATTCCTATTTTCTGATAAGTCCCATGTATCAAGTTATGATGAACGAATATTGATTCGTTTTTAATGACGAAGTGGACTGATGTCAACTATTTTTAAACAAGTAACTGTTTCTTAATTACGTTTCAGGTAACTCTATATGCATACATGCTAACTGATAATGCTTTAAAGCAAACCTTTTATGCGAAAGTAAATTAAAATAGGAATTAGTGTTATAAGTCCAACAATATGGCAATTCAAGAGAAAGTAAATCCCAAAGATCAACAAAATCAGAGATATATTAACTTGGTTATTGACAAACTTGACATGTGTAGACTACTCCAATCAACTTTGTAAGGTAATTATGAAAATTGGCTTGACAAAATATGAATATGGTCAAAATATGTGAATGGAAATAAACAATTCTAACAGGTTAGAGTGACTCTTTCATGTCTTATGACGCCTGATAAGGAAAAAAGCATTTCACTACATTTGTTTACAGAAAGAAAAGAGAAAGTAACGATGAACAAATTGTTTTTTTTCCCTATAATTTAGGGTGCTGAATGAGGTCTCTGCAATATTAGAACTTATCTCCATATAACTTGGTAATCCTTGAAAGAGATGTAAGTAACCTTTCAAGTGACTCCATATCACCTTAACATTGTTTCTATTCACATTTGTAGATAGATCCACTAAATAGTCTCTGTTGATATACCTGTGATGGTTATATTCGCGTCATCTCCAGCATATGTAAGCTATTCAAATATGTATAAACAGTTGTCCTGAGGAGTATATCTTTATTTAAGTTGGATATCAGCGTGTTTCAACAATCGATGTTCCCCATATGCCTGTTCGAAATTACGAAAATCTTCAAACATCAACTTACCAATCCTTTCTTCACATTTATACCCTAATAACATTTTCTTTCTTTCACCATCGTTTCCTTAGTTTTGATAACATGACTGGGGCTATCGAAGACAATCTGCAAGTTGCAAAATGTCTCCTTACAATTATTTCAACAGTTTTAATACTAATGTACACACGTTACATCGACTGCATTCAGCTGTACTGACTACTCGCGTACTAATAAACCAGTGAATAGTACACTAGATACGTTGCTACACTGATAAGACATGCTTCTTCGTAAAAGCCCATCATTTATTAAATATTTCAGCACTTTATCGTATTGAAACTACTAAGGAGCGATTGAAAGGTATATGAATTCAAACATACTATAAAACATCACTTTTTTACTTTAACCTTCACAAGCTCACTCTAAGACGGCATAATTTTATAGTCCCCTCAGTATATGCTGAAAAACTTTGAAATAGCTGATTATTTGATTCTACAAGGGTAAATTCTGACCTGACATTTTCTCGTCATATAAAATGAATGTTAGATAATGTACAGTTGAAATTTTGCATTTAGCCGTAAGAGCATAAAGTCTGATTTAATCACTTTTTCTCCTCTCTGAGGAGATTCAATGATAGAACTGTGAATAACGAAGATGCATAGTGTCAAATGAAATGACTGAAGCTCGTTGCCTGAATGAATTCAATGTTTGACGATCCCGGTATCAGTCAATTCCAGCAGAGGCATATCACTACTAACCCTAGTTAAGGCTTTCAAAGCTCAGTGCAATACTATGCAATCATTTCTGAGTGAACTATGAAAAAGATAAAGGGGAAGAAATGAAAAACTAGCTAAAATACAAGAGTTAATAAAATGTAAATGTAGGAACTGAGTTAATTTGGAGCGTCATAGCTACCTTTTGTTATGAGTTAAATGAAATACGTTTTTTGAGGTCAACAAGACATGAGAAAACCAACAAAGATCAGAAAAAAAGTAGTCCAAAATAGGTAAAAGTCCATTTACGTTTTTACAGTAGTATCGTATTACAAAGGTCAACAAAATGAAGCAGCTAACACAAGTCTTCTCTATGACTGAAATGAAAACTAGCAGTCTGAAACGTAAGAATGGTTTAGCTTTTTAGACTATTTGAGGAAGACCATAGGTCGATTTCGCAATTTTTCAAAGTGATTCATCTCAGAGCAATTAAAATGAAAAACAACCAGCACAGAAAGTGTAACGTCATCAGCGACCTTTGAACAAATCAGTTACTTCAGTACAGCACAGACAGACAGAAAAATCAACTTAATACCACGCACACAGGTGCATCGGTTCAAGTTGCCACACTCCCTGGTGGTTTGCGAAGAACAAGTGGATAGAAAAAACTGATAACAAATAGACAAAAGCTAATGGGAGGAGGGAATGTTAAATTCATGTTCGTCAGAAAACCCAAGCTTTAGAAGACATTAAAAGGTGAGTACATCTACGTCATTTCCTCAATTAAGTGAAGTGGTAGATGCATTCCATCACTTGACTCCCTATCATTAAACTGAAAGTACTTACAGCAGACCAGTCATGAAGCATCATCTTACATATAACAAGTGCAAAACGCTTGCCAAACATCTTCCGATTTCTGCTAAAGGCGTTTATAAGACCCTGAATTTCGTCAGCGTATTCACAAGCAGGATAACATCGTCTGAGCATTCCAAGTCAGCCAGACGACCTCTAGGGAGTAGACCAGAACTGTGAAGTCAGACATACCTGAAGTAATGTCCATTAGTCCATGGATGACGAAATCAACCAGGAAAGTTGGCATTGGGTATCCCTGGAGGACACCATTAATTGTCGTTAATTTCTTATGACAACTCTTCATAATCCTAACACCACAGCGTGAATTCGAGTATAGAGCTCTGATTAGTGTCACATACCTGCAGCCAGACACTGCCACAACATCACACGGTCGACATAGTCAAATACCACTTTCATGTCAAGAAATATGGAGTGTCAGATGCCAATAAATTGGTCGGTGTTCCAGGACGCGTCGAAGGGTGACAGTAGAGCATATCGATTACTTGACTGATGCAGTCATAATTTATCGCACTGAGTATCATTCTCACTATTTCAAGGAGAAGTAGAAATGTATATACATACTTATGTACTGACAAAAATATTATTTAATAACTTACATTTGTGTAAATGAATAAGCCAGTATCAGAATCCCAAATTAAATTATCGATCATACGATTGAAGCTACCGAATCCAAATAATCCTTTTAACAAATCATTAGCGACTGATACAAATTTTAATTCCTGAATTATATCTGGATTAAATTCTCTTAGTGTGTACTGGTCATTAGAGTAAACAGTCCAATGTCGATGGGATAAAGGACGGTGGGTATCATATATATAATTTTCCCTTTCTGTTTCACTAAAAAAGATTTATATGTGAATCATGATAACTAAATATACGAACATTCAAGGCAATATGTTAAAAGGCAATCATCCAGTGCAAACTGAAAGTGCTATATTATAAATTGCTCCCCAAATTGGTAATTTCTTCGCACAGTGCTGAGCGCCAAGAACTAAATAACTACTTTTGTCACCTATAGGTGACCAATTAGCGAATATTTAATTTTAATTGAAGATTTGACTGAGTTCTGATTTCCTAACGAGCATTATTCACTTCAACTTATCTTTTTCTGATTAGTTGATTCTTTCCTGAATTGAAAACCCTTGAATATTGAAGAGATAAGTGTTATGTATTTTGAAGTGAATAGGGATTTCAATTTTGTGGTAGTATTCATCATGGACTGACGTCAAGTGAGGAACCATTGAAAACCTGGGAGTCCTAGTATGGGACTCCTCAGCAGTACGCAACCCATACCCGGCTAGGGATCGGACTCAGGATTATCAGGTTTCACGTCAAACGTGTTAACCATCTAGCCACGAAGTCGGGGTTCAGTGGTTCATAGTTTCCAAGTTCTGTCAGTTCACCAAGGTCTTCAGTTGACATTCGCTTCACTTCCAACTGGTTGACCCCACAGGTTACGGCAACTCATTTAAACTTCAGGATCTCCATTTGCATGCTTGTGAGTAATGACCACTATAAGTGAGTTAAACAACTGGCTTATATGAATCAGTTATCTTTTTTGCTTATCTGTAAATTTCGGAGTTGATTTCAGTGATTGCAACTCAGGAATTATCAAAATGGTACTCAGTTAACTACTCTACATTAAGTTCATCATAGATTTCTTTTTTTCGATTCCAGCTTGTATAATATTCATAACACAATGTATATATAATAAACCACAAATATTTCCTATCATCTATAGATTGTAATAGTGAACAAAAAAGTTTAAACCCTAACTCGGTTATCTTTCACAAGTCACTGCTATATTGTTCCACTCAAAACCAGGGGTATCGTTAATGTTGATAAGAGATGTGTTTCATAATCAATTTCAATGCTCATTTTAATGTGAGATATAGATAGAAACAGAAGTCAGCTGAAACAAATTACTTTGTAGGTTGTTAAAAAGTCATGATCTAATGAACTCAATGTCGTGGGATAACCAAGATTATCTACTAACAGTTTTCTATTTCAGAAGAGTTTAAATGTGTTTTTACCAATACCACAAAACAAAATTAAAAGTGACTCTCATTAAATAGACGTTGAACCACTCATGTAACCTCGCCTGGTTAACTAGTTCACTAGTTACTAGCCTGTCCTAAACCAGGATAAAGAGGGAAGGTTGGGCATAGGGCTAGCAACCCTACCCGTAAAACAAATCCAATCGCTAAAGAAACTTCAAAACACAAACAAAATATAGAAAATTAAAACAAAATTATTCCTCGCTGGAATCGGAGAGACTAAATGACGCCGGTTGGTGAAAGCCTGCCTTCAGGAAGCCAGTTGGCCGATGTGTCTTCTGACAATGAAAACGAAAATAAGGATGCAGACATAGAATGTCCGCATCATGTATAAACCTACCAAGGCTGGCCAAATTGCAAAACAGATGAGGAGGTATAGCAGGGAAGTGCTGGGAATCTGCGAAAGCAGGTGGAATGGAAGTGGACTCTCCAAACTGTCAACTGGAGAATCAATAATCTACTCCGGTCACCCAGACGAAAACCACGAGCACACTGAGGGAGTGGCTATTATGATTTCCCCAAGAGCATTGAAGGCTCTCATGCAGTGGGAACAAATCTCCTCCTCCGGGTCATGACAACAAGATGGATTCAACTCAAAATGAAGGAAAGTCACAATCATTCAATGCTACACGCCAACAAATAATGCAGATCAAAAGAAGGAGGAGGAATTCTATAGACAACTGCAATCAAGACTGGATAAGACCTCAGTTGGCGATATCAAAATTCTAATGGGTGACATGAATGCCAAACTGGGAGGGGACAACACAGGTAAAGAACCAACCATGGGCCCAGAAGCACTGGGTGAAATGAATGAGGATGGAGAACTGTTTGCAGATTTCTGCACATCCAACGGTTTAGTGATTGGAGGCAGTGTGTACAAACAGAAGGATATTCACAAAGCGACATGGACTTCACCAGATGGACACACTAAAAGTCGGATCGACTTCGTGTCAATGTGAAGAAAGTGGAGATGCAGCCTACTGGATACAAGATCAGATCAAGAAGGGGGGCAGATGTAGGTTCAGAACACTATCATGTGCAAGGAACCTTCAAATTCAAGTTGAAAGTCTTCAAAGAAGCTGGTGATGATAGACCATAGTTGAAGTTCAACACCCAGAACAGAAACTGAACTGAAAAACGAAACTACGAAGGAAATCTCCAAGTCCGCTAGCCATCAGGACAAAATGGGAGACATAAGGCAACATCCCTGAAGAAACCTGTGTGGATGAACACTGGAACTCCTTGAAATCTATGTGGAAAGAAACCTGAATAGCTGTATTGCAAAAAAAAGAGGAAACAAGACAAGGAATGGATCTCGATGGACACATGGAAGTTAACAGAGGAGAGGAGAACGGTGAAGCAGAAGATAAACCAGTGAAGGATGCACAACGAAAAGAAGAACAGATTACAACGTGTGAAACACCACACTAGACAAAGAAGTGAAGAAGAGTGCACGCAAAGACAAAAGACACTTCTACGACATACTGCCAAGTAGAACAAAACAGGCTGCTGGTAGAAGAGACCTGAAAACACTATATCAAATAAAAAGGATACTATCCGTGAAGAGATCAACTCAGACGAAACTAATGAAGATAAGGAAGGAAACTTAGTTACCAAAGAGGAAAGACAAAGGAAACAATGAGCTGACCACTTCAAAAAGCCCTCGAATAGACCACCTCCACCACCGAAAATCGTCCAGAAATACCACCAGCAACCATAGAACTACCATTGAACATAGGTCCTCCAATAAAAGCAGAAATCCTGAATGCCATACAGTTGCTGAAATCCGGGAAAGCAGCAGGACCGGATGGAATTCTTCAGAATTGCTGAAAACAGACGCAGAGACAACAACAGACATGCTCACACCACTATTGCAGAAGGTTGGCAAGGAAGGAAGGAAGGAAGGAAAGGTACCCGCTAATGGATTGGAAGAACGGCTATCTCGTCAAACTCCCAAAGAAGAGTGACATAAGTCTATACAAGAACTGAGGCACAATCACGCCTATGTTAACCACAAGCAAAATATTAATCTTCAACATCCTGGAGAGACTAAAGGGTGAGCTGCATTCAAAACTACGACCGGAACAGGCTGGCTGGCTGGATTCAGAAAAAACAAATCATGTGCAGATCAAATTGCAACACTGCGCATCATCATTGAACAGAGCACAGAATGCCAGTCAACTCAACTCTACATCAACTTCATCGACTTTGAAAAGGCCTTCGATAGCATCCACCAACAAGTAATTTGACAAGCAGCTGCTTCAACACCACGGACTACCACAAACCTTCATCAAACTCATTCAACGGCTATATGAAGACGTCACATACATACCAAGTGATTCACAATGGAAAGCTCAGTGATGCCTTCGAAGTGAAGACAGGATGGAGTGAGACAAGGCTGCCGCCTACTATCACTCATCATTTTCATGATTGTGGTCAACTGGATCATGCAGCAAACCATGAGGAGCCAGAAGGGTGGGATACGCTGGGCCGCGGAAAAGAACCTACAAGATTTGGATTTTACCGACCATGATTTATGTCTAGTGTCTTGTCGCACAAACTCGAAGATCTACGGTCAAAAACTAACAAGTTGGCAGAAGAGACAGTGAAAATGGGACTTCAAGTGAATCTACATCAGACAGAGGTGATGAAGATACCCAACCAACAACAGCATCAACAACAACAGGCACCAATCACCATTAACGCGAGAAACCTAAAAAAAAGTAGTCTCTTTCACCTACCAACTAGGCAGCATCGTTTCAACTACAGGTGGTGGCATACATGAGGATGAAAAGGCCAGGATCGGAAAACGAAGATAGACTTTCATTAATCTGAAATCAGTGTGCAGATCTACTGCACAATCCACTCAGTACAAAGAACAAGATCCAGATTTTCAGCACCAACGTCAGTCAAGTCAGTGCTGATATATGGTTCGGAAACTTGGCGCGTCACGAAAAGCACATCCAACAAACTACAGAGAGACATCAGCAGCTGTCTACCTTCGCTCGGTACTGAGGACCAGATCAGATGGCCAGAATAATCAGGATAAGCAACAAGGAACTCTGGTCTGGTGACGAATCAACCAAGAACCTATCACTCAACAATTATGCAGAAGATAGTGGAGATGGATTGGACATACACTAAGAAGGCCGATTGGGGATATCACGCGCCAGGCTAGGTACTCGAATGGAATCCAAAGGGGAAATGAGGAGTTGGGCGTCCGAGTATGACATGGAGGAGATCATATGAGGAAGAAATGAAAGCTTGTGAGCATTCGTTAAGCCAGGTTCAAAAGACTGCATAGAAGAGAGTGCAATGGAGGCATGCTACTGAAGCCCTATGTTTCACTGGGAGCCCAAAGGATAAATAACAACATAATAATAACCATTGATGTAGGTAACTTACTAGTATCTTGACATGACCTTGATTTTCTCTGAACTTCAGTCGATATATTTATTTTTATTATAATTATAATTATTATTATTATTATTTGTCCTTTGGGTTCCTAGTGCAACATAGGGCTTCAGTTGTACGTCTCCATTTCACTCTGTTCTCTCCAGTCTTTTGAACCTGGCTTCACATTATCTCCTCAATGTCACCACTGGATGCCCAAATCGATATATTTAGATCAGTTTAATATGCAACGAGGTCATTTCAGATAGTCGAATGTTTATTCTACTAATATGGATCAATTATATATTGTCTTTTTCCTTACTTAGTAGACAAGTAGACAAAATCAACTTAGAACAGAAGTTTACCAGCACGAGTTCCTTATTATTTCTTTTTTTCTATACAGGTTACTTAACACACTGAATCTAAGACTTATTAGTCAAATTGCATATGTGCATTTTAGAGAATACATAGTTCTACTATAAATGTCATGGGAAATTAATCAACAGATTGTATATTGCTTAGCTTTAGATAAAATCCATTGGTTTGATAAAGTGATTTATCAGTGTTGAACTGAATATAGGATAAAACTGTTTAACTGCTTACAGTTTGTAAGCATTAAAACAACACGTTTCGTTAATATCCCAGAACATATTTTAAAAACCTCTTATAGTACAGAAGTTTAAAATCCACCATGCACTGAGGTCAACGATGGCCAAGGACAGATACATAGCTAAGAACTGTTACAAGCCTTATCCGTGATTGTTGCATACTATCTTGAGAAAAACACATCCGCCTAGCCTATACTATTCTGTCCTACTGGTTATTTACTTGGTTTTTAACCAGCCAACCGATATCTCATCGGTATCATTAATCATAAAAGCTTTTCACTGACTACTGAATATCACAATACTCACACTAATATTTCCTAAATCGCTGTATCATCTTAGCGAATGAAACGGTATAGAAAGGTGAAGGAGTTAGTGAAACCAACTAAATCAATCCAGAAGTAGTTTTCTCCCCTTAAAAGTGTGAATATCATCACAAACTCTAAGGTTTCAATGAGAAAATACCCCAAATAACTCATAAACATTTAATTTCAAAGTAGTTTTCGTCATGGATTGACATCAGCTGGAAAGTCACTGGAAACCTGGGGTCATTGGATAGATGTTGCATCTTCGTTAGAGAATCATAGGAAATTTACATCCCTCACCTCATGAAGAGGCTCTTTGTTACTTTTCAGCCGCTGAATTACTTTGAGATGGATTTGTAGAACTTTTTATACGAAGTTGTTAAATGCGAGGTAAAACGGTTCAGTAGTAAGAACAGATGCTTTCCAATAACACTGGATGACGGTCACACTATTTTGCGAATTCACATCGACTGAATGGCAATGTGTTCACCTCAAGACATGACTTATGAGATATTCGTCCCTTACGCGTCCTGTACTACGAAAAAACAGCTGTCAGGTGTCCCTAGGTTTTCGTCTATGGTTCCCTAGCTGGCTTCAATCCATAATGGCAACTGCTACTACCCTCATAAATGCAAGTTTAAATTGGATCGATCATCAAAATGTTACCTTGTTGCATTACATTTGTGAATTACCTGGTTTTTTATTATTTAAATCGAATTTGATTTGCACTCAGCTACCTTTTGCGTACTCATGCAGTAGGCACCTATTGTGTGAAAGCCAACGATACTATCCGGCTGCCCAAACCTCAGGAGGTGGGGCGGAGATAGAACCCATGGCTCACTGGTTGAAAGTAATCTCCCTAAACTAATGAGCAACAGCTCCACGCTAACTACTTCAACGCTAAACGAAAGAGAAAGTAATATTCACATTAAAGAAAACGCAAAATCTTTGGTGTAAAACAGATAAACATTAACGAAAACATTTTTTGTCTTACCAATTATTGTGAGTTATTCCGCTGGGATCACACACAACTCTAGTTTCAGTTTCTTCTACAGGATGCTGAAAAGGTGAAGATGGGGAAGAAAGAGGTGACTAGAAAAGAGTAAAAAACGAGAGGAAAGATAAACGAGTGAGTGTTTCAATAAACTCAAATTATTGAGATAGATTTTTAGTTGAACCCATCGTCGCTCATTAACATAAGTGAAAACTTGATAATTATTTCCTCCAAGTTTAGAAACCTTCATTCACCTACAACTTTGGTTCTAACGCCAAGTTTCAACATGTAGAGTTAATCACTTAGAGCATAAAGGAGAATATATTGCAATTACATTGAAAAACAGCTATGGCGCACTGAATAACAAAAATAGCTTGAAGTTGTATATCATTGACCATACAAGTGAATATTGTAATAGTTTAAGTTTATAGTCAGCAGCTTAATAGGAATATCCTCACCAAAAGAAATAATGAAGTCTTAGACTAAACTCAAGAACTGGATGAATTGGGAAATTAATTAAATCTCAAAATACGATGAATCAGATATTGTCTAATACCAGTAGGATAGTATTAAGGGGAAATGGTATGATTTCATATCTTCCATCTTGCTCTAATCCGTTTTTATCTTACTTTAACAAGTAACTGTCCAATCAGATCTTTCGAAGTGTATTGCGCAAGTACATCACACTTCACAAATAAACTATGCCTTCTAATTACATTATCCAAATTCATCAAAGAGACTAATGATCTCAGATATCTTTTTTGACAAGAGGATATATTACAAATGTTATCACCTATTATATCTGTTTCATAGAAAGTGGGGAAGGTATTTCAAAAGTACATGAAGAATAGAGTAGTCAGAAAGTTTTATTTTTTTTAAAGATCTTTATTTACTTTGCAACCTGAATCGTTTTGTATCGATTTCAAAAAGGTTTTCAGTTAAAAAAAAATTCACTAGCAGCAGTGACCTTCTTCAACACTAGGGCTAATCAAACATTTTCTAGAAAATATATTATATTCAATTATTCTTTGAGGAGTTGTTTCAATCATTTATACATGTTCTTAAATAGTATTATGTACTCTTGTGAAGTTTTTAAAACATTTTCAATCCATCGCTTTACAAATTCACAAAAACATTTAAACGCCCTTAAGAATAGTAATAGATTGTTAGGTACACAATAGTATATCATATAATCAACTATCTCTCAAACAGTCAACCTGAACTAAAGACTTTTATGCAAGTTGGATAAGCCTCTTTCACCAAACGTCTACACGCTTTCTATTCATCCCTTTTACCTGAATTAACGCACCTACATGATAGAGGAAAAACCTAATAACAGCTAGTCATTATATATTACTATTTATAATGCCATTACTATTCATAATAATTAAATGCCATAGTTATCTCATTTGCGAACATCATGCATGGAGTATAGTTGTTGAAATATAACATGCTGAGAATTTCAAACTGTATCAATATATCCAGAATATCATAGAAAGACAGATAAACAGACGAATAAAATCAACGTTGAACCACCCACAAGAATATATCAGTACAAATTGCCACTTTTCATATTAGTATACAAAGAATAAGTGGATAGGAAAGAATAATATCAAAGTAGATGAAAGTGTATGAGAGAAGAGGGAGTTTTAAAATTCACGTCAGTCAAAACTTTCAAGCTTTATGAGGCATCAAGGAAGGAATTAATTGTAACCGATTTTCATTCATGTCACCAAGAGACCCTAACCAGTAATTTCTACCATCTCGAGGACTCTCGTCAGGCATTTCACGCACTCTATACAGCTCAGACTAACAGTTAGAGATTTCACGTATTGGTGCGAAGTTTTTTTCTGGCCACCCTGGGACGTCTTTCAACGGAATCCGATTTCCCCTAGCAGTGTACGTGGAGGTAGGCTGTGGCTCGGCATGCACAGTACATGTCCAAGCCATCACAGTCGATGAAGGTTCATAACGTTATCAACCGACTTGCCTTTCATATCTAGTACCCTTCGCTCAACCTCGACATTACTCACACGGTGATTCCACTACCTGTGATCAAAAACTTGTAACTGTTTCATATCCTTTATTCTGAACCGGTTTCTTGTAACAGCTGTGTAACAGGACAGAACTGCAGCGAAGTTTACTCGCCCTTTAATAGCTAGTCGGATATTTCCACACTGCGACACAGATGGTGCAAGTTAGCAAACGCCAAATAGTCCTTCTGTAATACAGCAAAGATTTCATCAGCAACCAGCCTATTCGAGCTGATGCAACTCCCCAAGTAAGTGAAGTCGTCGACACATTTGGAATACAGTGATGATGATTATTATTATTGTTAACAAAAATTCATTAGCGTTAGGCATAAATATGCCTGCATATGTGACTGGGTTTCATGATTACGAAAAGTAATATGAATAACTAGTCCCGTTTTTTTTTTCATTCGCCTTTGAGATACGTTTGGTTATAGTTAGTACTTTTGAAATGCTTTTCTATACAAACAATACAAGTTGGTAGAATAGCTAAATGTAGGCAAGCTAGAATAACGATAAAACAAAGAATAATCTATGGATTACATCGAAGTTTTATAATACCATGGGCAGGAATCTTTGAAAATCTTTTGGAATGATATATTTGATAAAATCGCAACTTCCCTTTGGCTTAACATATTGAAACTAGAGAATTTCTCCTTTTTTTGGTGACTGTCAGGCGACCTTGATGTGACACATCACACTGTTGCCGACTGTGCGACCATTGTGAGATGCCTTTAACGATTGAAAGAATGTCGCTGATTGTAAATAAATTTTTGCAGAATTTTAATAAACATAAGTTCGATAGAATAGAAAGGAATTATTTTTTAAGAAATCGTCTTGCGCTGTTTCTTAGTTCTGCAAGGTTCTTCCTCAAAAGGACAAAATTATGGGCAAAAAGCTCATATTGAAATGTACTTTAGAATAATTTTCATACGTTCTAGGCAGTTAGAAACAGTTCGACTAACTACAAGCTGATTTACGTATAACAAAGAGAAATAAATTGGTTTTAGAACATAAGCTTGTTTTGCCTGATTTCATTTTTAGAATCTTATTTATCAATATTATTGATCACTTTATGTCAGACAGTGATTTTTAATACAGTGTGAAATTCTCATTGTAATATTTCAACACATTTGCTCCTTGTCCAATACTTTTAAATCAAATAACCATCGCAGTTAAATAATGATTATGATACTAAGATGATGATTAGCAATATTACGTAACAATCAGTTGTTTATATATTATCATCTTGTTTTTGGGTATGCTATTGCACCTGGGGACGAATAAAAAATGCTTCTGTAGGTTTGGTGATGGAAGATTATTCAGCCAGCCTAAAAATTTGCCGTTCCCCCTATTCCTGTAATAGTTGTGTGATGAAATGTTGTAAACTCAAGAGCTCACTGCTGTCTACTATGATATTTTGTTGTTAACTTGTGTGATGATAAGTTGGAGACATTTTAAGAATATGCAAGAGTACATTTTACACTTGATTGACATTTGAACAATTGAAACAAGCATAAAAAGAGTTATTTGATGAAGTATGTACGATGAGAGGTTTTTGGTAGCCCGAAATCTTAAGCAGGCTACAGCAATGCCAGTTTCGAAGGTACTAAGCCTCAGTAACTTTAATTATTTCAACAACTTAAATGAAATTCATATAAGTATCAATAGTTATTGTTTCCAGTTATTCATGATCAGTATTTTGGTGCAAACTTACTTTATCCCCACACTCAAATGATGATGATGATGGTTGCAAAGAAGCTGAAACAGAAGTTTTTGAAAATGTTAGAAATATGCATGGTACTGGAATATACTACTAATGACAAAATATGTAACTAAATTAGCCGAACTAAGTACGATAAACAATATGTGTATGATTAATTCTTTCTCATTAGTTGACCGTAATTACTAAAATGATATCATTTTGCATATTTTTTCAAATTAAAGCTGGTTTTCATTACGGACTGATATCATTTGGAGCACCATTGAAAACCTGGGGGCACAGGACAGTTGTTTCGTCCTAGTATGGGACTCCTCAGGAACACGCACCCATAATCTCGTCAGAGGTTGAATACAGGAGTTCCAGGTTTCGCGACCAGCATTTTACGATTGGGTCACTGCTTAAGGATTCAACGGTTCACAGTTTTCTAATTCTGTCAATTCATGGTATGGTGCGGCCTCGGTCCAGTGACATCATACAGCGTTTGACCTCACATCCAACTTGGTTTGTCCCACCGTTCACGAGTCCTTGGTAGAACTTCAGGAAATTTTATCTCTAAGCATGTTACGTTTTCAGTGGTTCTGGAACTGATATCAATTGTGATGAAAGCACTAGATCCTCACAAACCTCAAAACTGAATTTCTCTGATTTTCATCAGAAAGGATTAAACCTTCACAGTTTCAGTAAACTACCCATTCTCTCCTAAATGCTATTTTCTCCAATAACATTCCATCTGTGTATTACTATAAATATTGCTGAACATCCGATAACGAAGATTACAGTTTCAATACCACTATTGGAGAGTTGTGTGATAACTTAATAGTTTATACAACTCAGTACATGCGCTTGTGTATTAGGCTGTGAGCTACATCTAATGTGTGAGGACTTATGGTGCTATCCTGTCGCCGAAGCCTAGGTAGGTGGAGCTGAGCCTGAACATGTGATACATTGGTCCAAATTTAATTGCTTAAGTAAATTAGCCCCATCTCAAAACGTCATGTCATGAGGTGCTAATCCCATTGTATGGAGATAAAAAAGCTAAATGAGATAGTTACATGAATGGTCTCTTACAGTATGTAGAATGCTAGGCATACACTCAAGGTAGGATTGTCTGTGACATAAGTAAACGAGTTTCATTATTACTTGTTCTGTTGGTGAGCATCCATTCAAGTACGCCATTGATTTTAAAGAGCATAACTGGAATATCACTTTCATTCTCATGACCAGCAGCTGTTTGTGAGTATACTTAAATATTTACTCATGTAGAGCACTGGAGGAAAGCTGTACGGAAAAAAACGACATTGTTGAGCACTTTTTCAAATGTGTTATTAAAATGCACTTCAAACTGATAGGATATTCCTCATTCAACAACAAATTGCTGTGTAATGCATGGCTTTGGAGAACTCAAAGTTTTCAACAAAGTTGTTGTACGGTGAGTGAGGATTCACATACTCAAAAAAGATAATAATCAACGATCAGTGAAAACATATTGTTGAAGGTAAGGATCCACTATCCCAGTCTTTACCCAATTTAGAAGAAAAAGAACTGAAATTTCACAGTGGATTTCCTGATTCTTGCTATTTTTCAAACCACTATCTGACTAAAAGACACCGGAGGATTCGGTCAGCATCTAGAACTAAATAACATGTTAGTTGGTTGGAGGCAATCGGCGGGAAGACCTGAACCTAGGTTTCGTGTTCGTTGGCTCTCGTCAGCAAGGCGTATTTACAACCTAGACGGAATTGATATCCCGTCTGAGATTCGAACCCGCGTCACCCATTGTTGTAGTCAGCGACTTTACCAATGAGCTATTTGTGACGCGATTCACCCCCTGCCAATAAGCACGATACTTAAGTCCACGGCTTCCTGTCCATTGTCTCCAACCAACTAACATCTACTAATGTGCACCGCGATGTTGAGCCTCCTAGCTTGGTGGCCACATTGCAAATGTGATCGATAGGATTCGGTTTGCACTCAGGACTAGACAACATGAAATTGGTTGCACTTTCGTGACCAATCAACACTGAACAACATCAACATACATAATCCAGTCCTGTAGAAGGTCAATCGTATCTCAGTGGTAACGTTTCTGACTGCAGCACTGATTGATCCAGGTTCGAATCACTCAGGAGACAGGAGTTCCTTCGAGGTTTTAGAAGCCTTTCTGACGTGTCAACAAACAAAATCTCCAGTTTTAGGGCTTCCTGCAAACTGCTTCCAACCACCTGACATACAGAGGGATTATTTTGTCAAGCAACAAGCTTAATGTACAACAGGGGAGGCCACTAACTGTGGTTCTGCGTCTTTTTCATACTGACTTTGTCTTTTAAATATAGTATAGCTGATACAATTCTCAGCAGCCGTTAATTTACGGAAGGATGTAAGATTTTTATGAAGAAAATAGCGCAAAGACTATACAGATTTTAAAATCAAAAATATGATTTCTGATAGACTTCAATTCATAAATACGTACACTTTTAACAGCTTCAAATAAGCAGTAGTTCTCAATCTACTTGGTGTTTTCAACGTTGTTGCCCTTAAAATTTAGAGTCACCACTAGATAGGTAGGCTACTCTTCTCATAGGTAAACTCATTAAATTTTCTGATTGAGTATACTGTTGCTTAAACAAGAATATAAATGGTGCCATTTTTTCAAGACTGGAATCAAGTTTTTCCGGAACTATTATTTTTGAAGGACACTTCTCAAAATGTTAAGTAAACTAAGGACTTAGTTTGATAGGTTGGTATTTATGATGCATGGTGATGACCAAAAGTGAAATGAAAACAAGCGGCCATCGTAGACCGTAGTATTTTGATCACAGACAGGTGAATAGGGGGATGTAAACTCAACAATAGTTCGTCGTCCAACTTTAACATTCCGTTAAGCATTAGCTCTTCATATGCTAAACACAGTTCAGTTATCTACCTTAATCAATTGAAAATTGCAACCTCATCCTTTTTTCTAACGTGAAATTCGTATGTGAATGAAATCTTTGTGAACTTAAGTACACTTCTGATATATAACATCGTGACTGCAAAACGCCTGTAACTAATGTGTCTATATGCTACTCTGAGATTGAAGACTGAGAAAGGCTAAACTGCTTTAAATCATGTGTGAAAATGAGAGGAAATCAAGATTAACTAATAATTGAAATAGCATACAATGCCTACGTTAAAATTACTTCAGCCATGGTATCATCTACTGGTTACCTTAGGAGCTGTATCCTCATTCAACTATCACAGACTTTCGCACATCTGTTATACTCTTCCATTTAACCAGATGAACTTCTGGTTAGGATACTTGGCATAAAATAAAGAAGAGTTCAAACTGTTTCACAAAGGTAGTCTATTCTCAAAGATGAAGATGTAGTCTACCATTGTAAAAATGCAAGTTATAGTCTGTTGTCTCAAAAATAATATTATTTGGCAATGTTCAAATCAAGTCCAGAATTAATGTTCAAACTATGATGCAGCATATACACGACAGATGCCACATGATACTGAGGTTAGAAGAAATGAATACCTAAGGGTTTCCACCCGACCCCTTAGAAATCCAATAGAGCTCGAAAAGACTAAAAACACTTCAGCTATAGCTCTAAATTCCATAGTTTAGTTCACAAGGTCGACTTTAACAATACTGGGTGATGAATGAAGGTGAAATAAAAACTTAGGTCACAGCAGTATTCGAACCCGTGGATATCCGAGTTACCGGCCCGGTGCTGTGTCATCTGAGCTGCGAACCACAGATACTGACCAAGTTTTAGCTTCAATTCACCGCTTCAAATCTTGCCACGACCCAGATTTCCATCTCACCTTCAATTAATACCAAGTATCAAAAACTGCAGTCTGTCAAACCATGGCTATCTGAAATAGACTCATTAATAAAATTGAAAGTGTTCAGAAAGAATTTAAAATTTTTAAGACCCATCTAATTGTTTAATCTTTTTATTACATAAAATAGAATCAAAATTGTTAAAATAGAAATGAGAGAACAAAAAAATACTTGATATGGTTTCGACTCACCGCCAAATACTCACATGAACAACACAGACGCGACAAGAACTGTCAGCAAATACACGCATGCCAATTTCAGTCTAAATTTCACACGTTTATCACACTACACATGTTCATTAATGCTTCTGACCACCAATTGACAACTTGGCATCTTCACAGTAGGACAATCTTAACTAAGTTATCATATATAAGCTTGAATTTTGTTAATCTTGCTTAGTCACTAAAAACAACCTTGTTTCTTTATTCTTGTGGAAATACACACACAATAATAAGCTATCATTTGACTGAAATAGCCGTAGTTTGGTAGACTAATATTTGTACTGAGTGATGATTGAAGGTGAGATGAAAATTCGTACCGCGGCCGGATACGAACCAACGACCACCGGGTTACCGGCCCGGTGTTTTACTAACTGAGCTACGAGGTTCGACTGTTGACCAGAATTTTATTTTACTTCAATCACCAAGGATTTGGCCCGACTACTCTGTGAATTCGTGATGCGTCACTACTGCTTGATCGTATTCACACTGGTTGCCTAGTCAGGAGTTCTCATCCCAATCCAAATCTAACTGAATCAGAGAGACGGAGCATCATATTGATTGTCATTTGACTATCTGAGATAGCCGTAGTTTGGCAGACTAGAATTTTTACTGAATGATGGTTGAAGATGAGATGGAAATCTGGACAGCTGCCGGACTACAACCAGCGACCACCGTAGCTCAGTTCATAGAGCACCGGGCCGGTAACCCGGTGGTCGCTGGTTCGAATCCGGCCGCGGTCCAGATTTTCATTTCACCTTCAATCGTCACTCAGTACAAATAATGAATTCGTTTTCTACTTTATCGAGAGCATACGAATTTTGCCACTAGTTCTGAAGTGATAATGACAAACAGTCTTCATATCTATCCATAAACAAACGCGATAATACACAGAAGAAACAAATACCGAATAAACAAGACATAGGAGGTAAAAATACACTTTGGTAAGTGTAAAGTGGTTATAGATTGATCCAATATAAAACTAAGTAGATTATGTATAACAATCTATGTACGGTCAACTTGTACTTTATTTAGGTGTATTCTTTGAATGTATGATGTGGACTAGTTTAGTTCGTGAATGTGAAACTATTGAGAGATAATTGGAACATTGAGTTCAATAAATTTAACAATACTGTACTTTAGTAAACTAAAATACTTCAATTTTAGATTTATTATTTATTTATTACTATTCTTTATTCTGTGAATATGAATCCAGTTACCAGTCTGAAAAAGAAACCAAATTCTGTGGAAAAAACATTTTTTATTTTATTTTCATACATATAAAATTCTATGAGCTCACCTGAATACTTTACCATTTGTAATTCATCTATTGTTACATTTTCTTTATTTTCAGTCTGTTCTACTTTTAGTTCACATAGCGTTTCTATTTCTTGAAGTTTCCATATAAATATACTACTTGCTTTCATTTCCTTGTTAGTAGTATGTAAATCATCATAAGTACTAGAAGGATTACAACTCCAACAGCCTCTATCTATACTGATACAATATTTTTCATCGAAAGTAAAGTAGAAATTATCAATTGGATAAATATGGCCAATAAATTTTTGATAAACTATACTTCGATTCAATGGATTATGAACAGTCTTGATGTGATCGTTGTCGTCATACAAGGGATAAAGATTAGTTGATGCAATATAGATAAATGGACTAGCTAAAAATAAGAGCATTGAAAAGACATATTGTAAATAAAAGAAAGAAGAAGGGCATTTGTATGTTTCAATTACTGGATATTATTTCGTGATAGCCATAATTAAAAGACTAATTCATGCAAACAAAGAGTGAAACTGATGCGAAACCTGGAGGTGAACAGGAGGTCACTCAAGTAATAACATCCACACTGTGAATACCAATGGTTCTCATCACTATCATTCATGATATCATGAGTCTATACTGATGAAAAAGCTTAAAGTAAGACAAGTCATCTTTACTTTGCTTTCAGGTTTCCAATGGAGATAATTAATAACAAGTGAGTCCTGGGTTCAAACCGCACTCTACCTAACAAGAATTACTCACTAGCCCTCATATAATAGATGTGGCTTATTGTCTACTGTGCGAGTGTGTACAAGATAACTGAGTGCATCTTTTTTAAATATACACGAAATAATACAACATTTGCTCATTTATTAAACATCAACTTACATGTTTCAGACAACAGTAAAGTTTTCCCATTAGGACTAATTTTCATTGTACTTATATATATCTTCGAGTTTGAATTAGAAACTATGCTGAATTCTGCACAACTGATTGGTTTACCATTTAGTACATTGAATTTGAATAAATAACCACGTGATGTACAAACAAATAAGTGTTGATGATTTATTTCATCTTTTTCATTATTTTGTGAAATAAATTGAATGAAATGAAATGATTTCATAAACTGACTGACATCATCGAATTTTTGTATTGTTTCATATTTTGGAAAATACTTGAAAAAAGCAAAAAAAATATTCAGAAGAAGTGATAAAACAATAATGGATTGTTCAACTAAATTGAACAGTTAGCTTTGACCTTTTATACATTTTGAAATAATCAATAGAATACAGATAGAAATGTAAGGTTGTTCGCAATGGATCATAACATGTAGGCGATCCTACACGGACAGAGAAGAATCATATTGAATTTCGACTTTCCCTGAAGGAATATAGAAACAAAGCGGTGGTAGGTGTTGAATATTTGTAAGAAATCGAGAGAAAGGTAAGAGCCTATTATTCATGATTGTTTGCAAACAACGACAAAGCATCCACCGGTTACTGGAGGGTAACTAATCAAGTCCTAAAGGAAGTCAATCACAGCCCAAATAGCTCAGTTTTAAGGTTGGTAACTGCAACACTGGGTGCGAATCTGAGGGATAACATCACTTCCATCGAAGTTGCACACACCCATGCTGACGAGTGCCAACAAGCATGAAACCAACTAACAACTATAGAGCATACCTGTCTCATGGATAAAATAACACTTTCGGATTTGAAACCCAAGTTATTTAGTATAATAGTCAGACATTTTATTGCTTGCAATTTCCTTCCATTGACTGGATCGAATTGACCCATCCTTGTGAGCATATGGGCTCCTGTGTGGATGCCTTGGCATTGCCTGTAGTCTCAGTATGTTAGTAATGATGGAAAGTGGGGACCAGTGGAATTCAGAAGGCACATTTCGTCCTATTTAGGACTCGTCAGCTGGACGTACTCGCCTCCCATTGTTGCCAGTACGACTCGAACCCAGAACTAGTCACTATCGTGACTTGGTGGCCTAGTGGAAAACCCTCTGGCATTTGAAGCGATGGGCCCTGAGTTCAAGTCTTAGTGGAGAGAACGTCACTCACTGGGAGGCGGGCACATCCAACTGACGAGCCCCAAATAGCAAAAGACGGGCGGCCTGGGTTCGACCGCTAGCCACTATCCATAAATACTAACAGTCAGATAATCTACAGATAGCTTATTTCGGTCAAAGTCAACTGTTTGCAGGAGTGAATTTTTCAGATGTTACAGTTGAATGTAACTGATTAACTTGTTAGCCCCACTTGAAACACTAAATGATTTACCTGAAGTACAGTACGATATGCAAATAAATCTGTTTATCCACTGCATGTTAAGAGGAGGTTGTAGTTATTCAAAACTTCAAAACAGCAGCGTCTTACATTGTGTCAAGTGACTGTTGATCTGACTCGTGTAAATATATGGAAGCTGACCAGTTAGAATTCGTGAAATGTTAGATAATATAATGGTTGAAAACTTCCAATTCTCAAGTTCAAAGTCAAAGTCTCACCAAAATATTCATTCCTTATCTCTCTCAAAGACGATTTTAATTAGTGTTTATTATTCTTATTAAGTTTTAAAAATCAACTCATCAGTCAAAACGTTTTAAGAATTTTTAACACATACTTAACATGTATTTAAAAAGCCAATGTGCAGCGATATAGGGGCTGTTTTGTGTTTATCAATGCATTCACTACCTAAATGAATCAACAAGTTTGAGTTATGCTGCTTCCATCCTAAAATCATGCACTATGAAACAGTTACATGAATATATTTTTAACACTAATCGCTGTACTTATATGACAGATCACACACAATAGAATTATTTCAGGATGTCATCACTCTGAGGGTAGAATACACTATGACAATATAGACGCAGGAGGAGCCAAATTAGTTTTTGATATCCAAAGACGAGAAATAAGAATGCAACATACGTACTGAAGTGCATTGAACAATGAGCCAAACGTTTTATGTGAGGATTAATGATCCTACCTAGCTGTCTAAGCTTTGGTAGATGAAGCTGGGTTTGAAGCTGAAAATCGAATATCTAGACTAAAAAGATTCGGTTCCACTTTTTATATACAGACTATCAATGAAATCCCAGCATAACTACAGAAAGGTTAGTAGAAGTTCAGCAGTTTTCACTACAAATAATACTAATAAGCCATGTGTCTTCCTACGAAAATAGCGTGTAACTAAGTGTCAGTATGTTTTGGCTGATGTACGACTACAAGGTATACCTGAGGAAGACATATAACACGAGTAAGTAACAAAATCCTATTACTAATGACTCCACATTACCATTTTTGTATGACTGAATCAGTTAATCTGCGATAATGAAAATAGGTATACATGTCTTAGGAAGATTATTCAGTTGATGATAGTGTGAAATTGATCAATGAAGTGAGTTAAGACAAGATGCTTGCATTACATAGTAGCCGATCATGATGTACAATGTCTTACACTAGACCTCTAAGTACCAACGTGACAGAAGTATTAGGTTTTGGGAAGTAAACCAAGAAATGTGTTGAGAAGCGCTAAATGATATGCTTTTAAATTTTTACGAATGGTTCAACAGTATTTTTTCATTGTCTTGACTTAAATCTTTCGTACTCGGATTGCTTAGTTCCACTTAGTAAACATCTTTTCCAATCTGTTTGTCTCAGCTTCATTTTGTCGCAATTACTTTCATTTATCTTTCGTTATGCTGTTTCGAAGTGTGAAGAGCTGAACCAAGGTACCACTCGTTTGATCTAGGTTATACTTTGTTTCAATAAACCAAAACATACAATGCAAATCTAACAAAAAAAATTATTTGGGCAAACAGTTATTTTCTGTTTTTCTGTTATAATTACATATTGTCCAATCCATGTATCTTTTCTGTGGAAATATCTAACGTCCTAATAATGATTACACTTTTAGACTGTATATAGCTGAGGTGTATTCATGAAATACAGTGATGTTATTTTCTGCCGTAAATTTCGTTCTTGCTTAATCTGAATTTTTTCGGATGGCATTATGATCAGTCTAGTTTTAGTTGCACGATCAAATCAACGTAAACAAAGTGCTGACTAAAACTCGAGAAAAAACCTAAAGATAATAATTCGTTTATACTTCTCAAGAGAGAGAGAAAGAAAGAGAGGGCTTTGTCAATGCTCACCGGCGAACATTTACCAGCTTACTTAGAGAAAGGAATTGCTAAATGAATAAGCAGTTCAGTTCTTTAATATTTAGCAAGCAGTGAGCACCAAATTAAATTCTACTAGGCCTTTTCTGTGATATATCACATTCCTTGCAATCTCCCCCCCCAAACCCTATTATTGTTATTATTATTAGTCCCTTGGGTTCCTAATGGAACATAGGGCTTCAGTAGCACGTCTCCATTCTACTCTGTGCTCTGAGATCTTTTGAACCTGGTTCCACGACAGCCCAGAAGCTATCATTTCCTCCTCGCACGATCTCCTCCATGTCATCCTCAACTCGGACGCCCAACTCGTCGCTTCCCATGGGGATTCCACTCGATCACGTGGCCTGACGCGTGATGTCCCCAGTCGGCCTTCTCAGTGCACGGCCAATCCATCTCCATTTCCTCCTGCACATTTGTTGCGTGATAGGTTCTTGGTTGGTTCGTTCCCAGAGCACATTGTCGTTTATTCTTTCTGGCCATCTAATCTTCAGTAGCGAGCGTAAGCAGTTGCTGATGAATGTCTGTAGTTTATTGGAAATCTCTTTCGTAACGCGCCAAGTCTCTGAACCATATAGAAGCACTGAATTGACTTGACGTTGTTGTTGAAAATCTGGATCTTGTTCCTTATGCTGAGTGCAGAAGATCTCCACACTGGTTGCAGGCTAATGAATGCCGGTCTTGCTTTTCCGATTCTAACTTTGATATCCTCGTCTGTCCCGCCTATAGTTGAAACAGTGATTCCTAGATAGGTGAAGTTGAAGGAGGTTACTTCCTTTAAGTTTCTCCCGTTGATGGTGACTGGAGTTTGTTGTTGGTGGTGGTGCGGTATCTTCATCACTTCTGTCTTCTCTATATTCACTTGAAGTCCCGTCTTCGCTGCCTCTTCTGTCAACTTGTTAGTTATTGCCTGCAGATCTTCAAGTTAATGTGACATCAGGCACAAGTCATCGGCGAAATCCAGATCTTCTAGGTTCCTTTCCGCAGTCCAGCGTATCCCCCTCTTCTCACAGCTCCCCACTGTTTGCTCCATGATCCAGTCGACCACAATCAGGAATATAATGGGGGATAGTAGGCAACCTTGTTTCACTCCTGTCTTCACTTCAAAAGCATCACTGAGCTTTCATTGTGAATTACTTGGTAAGTGGCATCTTCATATAGTTGTTGAATGAGGCGGATAAAGGTTTGCGGTACTCCATAGTAATGAAGCAGTTTCCAAATTACCTCTCGGTTGACGCTGTCAAAGGCCTTCTCAAAGTCGATAAAGTTGAGGTAGAGAGTTGACTGCCATTCTATACTCTGTTCTATTATGATACAAAGCTTTGTAATTTGGTCTGCACATGATTTGTACTTCCTGAAGCCTGCCTGTTCCGGTCGTAGTTTTGAATCCAGTGCATCCTTAAGCCTCTCCAGGATGATGCGACTTAATATTTAGCTTGCATTGGGTGAACAGGAGAGTGATTCCTCACCAGTTCTTGCAAACACTGAGGTCTCCCTTCTTCGGCAGTTTGACACGGTAACCCTTCTTCCAATCGACAGGTATCTTCTCTTCCTTCCACACCTTCTGCAATAGTGGTGTGAGCATGTCCGCTGTTGTCTCTGCGTCTGTTCTCAGTGCTTCTGGTGGGATCCCATCTGGTCCTGCTGCTTTCTCACATTTCAGTAGGTTTATGGCGTTCAGGACTTCCATTTTCGTTGGAGGATTTATGTTCACTTGTAATTCAGCGGCTGCTGGTGGTATTTCTGGACGAAGTGCAGGTGGTGTTCGATTCAAGAGCTTCTTGAAGTGGTCAGCCCATTGTTTCCTTTGTTTCTCTTCTTTCGTAATTAAATTTCCGTCATCATCTTTTATTAATTTCGCCTGCGTTGATCTCCTCCCAGATAGCAACCTGGTTATTTGATACAATGTCGTCAGGTCTCTGTTTCTCCCACCTGCAGCCTGTTCTGCTTCACTTGCCAGTGTTTCGTAGAAGTGTCTTTTGTCTTTGGGTGCACTCTTCTTTACTTCTTTGTCCAGTGTAGTGTTTTATACATTGTGCTCAGTTCCTCTTGTCGTTGAGCATCCTTGCACTGGTTTATCTTCTGCTTCACCATCCTCCTCTCCTCCATCAGCTTCCATGTATCCATTGAGATCCATTCCTTGTCTTCCACCTTCTTCCTTCCTTATACGGCTGTGCAGGTTTCTTTCCACATCTCTTTCAAAGACTTCCAGTGTTCTTCCACACAGGTTTCTTCAGGGATGTTCCTCGATATCTCCCATTTTGTCTTGATGGCTGCCTTGAAGATCTCCTTTGTAGTTTCATCCTTCAGTTTCCGAGTGTTGTACTTGAATTGAGGTCTGTCACCAGCTTCCTTGAAGGCTTTTAACTTGATTTGGAAGGTTCCTTGCACTAGATAGTGGTCTGAACCTACATCTGCTCCTCTTCTTCACCTTGTGTTAAGTAGACTGCGTCTCCATTTTCTTGAGATTGAGATAAAGTCGATTTGATGTTTAGTGTGTGCATCTGGTGAAATCTATGTCGCTTTGTGGATATCTTTGTGCTTGAACACACTGCCTCACTCCAATCACCAAATCGTTGAATGCACAGAATTCTGCAAACAATTCTCCATTCTCGTTCATCATCTCACCGAGCGCTTCTCGACCCATGGTTAGTTCTCTTCCTGTGTTGTCCCCTCCCAGTTTGGCATTCATGTCGCCCCACCCATTAGAATTTTGATATCGCCAACTGACGTCTTGTCCAGTGTTGATTGAAGTTGTCTGTAGGATTCCTCCTTTTTCTCTTCATCTGCATTAGTTGTAGGTGTGTAGCGTAGTGTATCATTGTATGATTGTGACCTTCCTTCCTTTTGAGTTGAATCTTACTGCCATGATCCTGGAGGAGATTGGTTCCCACTGCATGAGAGCCTTCGATGCTCTTGAGGACATCATGATAGCCACTCCCTCAGTGTGCTCGTGGTTGGCGTCTGGGTGACAATATCGGAGTAGATTATTGATTCTCCAGTTGACAGTTTGGAGAGTCCACTCCCATTCCATCTGCTTTCGCAAATCCCAAGCACTTCGATGTTATACCTTCTCATCTCCTTTGCAATCTGGGCTGCCTTACTGGGTTCAAACATCGTACGGACATTCCATGTCCCCACGTTTACTTTCGCTTTCATCGAGGGAGAGAAGACACATCGGCCAATTGGCTTCCCGAAGGCAGGCTTTCACCAACTGGCGTCATTTCGCCTCTCCGATTCCAGCGGGGAATAAGTTTGTTTTAATTTTTTATATTTTGTTTGTGCTTTGAAGTTTCTTTAGCGATTAGATTTGTTTTACGGGGTAGGGTTGCTAGCCCTATGCCGAACCTTCCCTGTTTACCCGGGCTTAGGACCGGCTAGTAACTAGTGAACTAGTTAACCAGGCTCTGTATTTCTCTGTATTCTCTGTATTTCTCTTATCTATAGCAGAAGCTATAGAAATCCACATGGGAAACACGACCTGTGTCAAAAGAAATATTTGCACCCACTTTATCTATTTTGGCCGATAATAGGATCAACACATTTTTCATGACCTTTACCACAAATTCCACATTTTCGTTCACCCCCACCTCTTCTAGTTCTATTACTCCATCTCCCTCGTTTTATTGATAAGTGTTTATTTTTGTATGCAAATAGTTCCATGACCTTGTCTATTGGTATTATTACTAGTAGTTTTTCATGTTGTTCTGCTTGTTATGATAAACAGCGAGAAAGGATTACTTGCTGGACGACAATTCTACAACTTTCAAGCCCAGTATATTTCAAGTGAGCAGAAAAACTTCCTAAGTATCGGTCATAGGTCTTCGGCCATTCTTACGACATGTGTTTGATGTTGATTACATAAACAAAGCTTCATTTAGCAATCTCTCTACAGACCCAGACAAATTGGCTTTTAGGACTATCACTTTGTCTCATCCTATTGTGTGACTTCACGCACTGCCATACCCATGATTTCCTACCTTACTAGGGTCTAAAATTTTAGGTATGGCAAATTTTTGAGTAACTTTAAGACTACCTTAGTGGAGACTGAAATATTCCACTGGACCTCATTATTTCGTCTAGAATGGAAAAGTTCCGTAAAATCAAGAAGTCGAATTAGTTATTTCAGTCGTTATTAGGGTGACCTTTAGAATCACTCCAAGTTTTTCTGTTTCGACTACTTTATCGTATTTACTTGACTTCACGAACATCGCATGGGATTTTACAAACTAAATGAATCCCACTAATCAGAAAGGTCAGAGGTAAAGCAGAGGAACAGCCAACAGGAAAGTCTATGCAGTCAACGACACAATAATCGAAGGAAACAACCAATCACAGACCACACCGTCAGAGCAAGCCACTAAATCACTCACAGACAGATATTAACAGCTCACTTCATACTGAAGTTAGTGCTGATGATGTCGTCCAGAAAGACGATGGCAACCTCACGATTAAACAACCCAGCTTAGGGAACACAACACAACCAAGAATTTTTACCTAAGTTCATAAAAGTCAATCAGCCTAGATTTTAAATGATCCGTAACTGGACCTAGTGTGATCAGTGAATGTTTAGATAGTTTGAAAGCTCCGGTGTTTCTGAAATCTACTATAGGTCTAAAAGGAAAACCTGGTTTGAGAACCATTACAGTACCATAATTCTCGATGGGATTATTCGTTTTAGGCAGTAAATTAAACCACTGAGACCAACCTAGAGATGGTTTCATTCACCGTAGGAAATCCACTGTGGATTGCTTGATCTCCTTCATAATAGTTTTAACTGGTACAGTAATTTCTCCATTTGAACCTATTTGTATATTTTCATTCACGTTTCCAATGTATCAGGTATGTCCAATACTAACGGTGAATTATCAACATCCAATTTAACATCTACTAGATTGTTAATTTAGTATTCATCAAAGGCTGACCATCAGTTGGAGAATCATTGAAAACCTGCAAGCACTGAAAAGTCGTTTTGTACTAGTATGGGATTCCTCAACAGTACGCACCCATGACCCATATGGAGATCGTACCGAGGACCTTCATGTTTCACGACGAACGCGCTAACCATTCAGCCACTGGGTCGAAGTTCAGTGGTCCACAGTTCCCTACTTCTGTCATTTTGCAACATAGCGCCGGTATCCATCGAGGCCTTTAGTTGGAATCCACTTTATTGCGAACTGAGAGAAGTAGGAAACTGCAGGTCATTGAACTCCGACCAAGTAGGTGGATGGTTAACACATTTTATCGTGAAAACGATAGGTCCTGAGTTCGAATCCTGGCAGGGTTGTGGGTGCAGCTTACTGAGAAGTTCCATACTAGGACTAAATAAATGTCCAGTGCTCCCAGGTTTCCAACGCCTCTGCAACTAATGTTATTTCGTGATGAATACAACCTTCAAAATAAAATACCCATAAACCACAAACTACATTAATATATTGTTGTCATTTTGAAGGCTTTCAAGAGCTTCCATTTCTGGTTTTGTCAAATTTCTTTCAACTTTCTTCTATCGTTTCAGTATTAGGGTACATTGTGCTCTCATCTCTTCTGTGTTTGTCTTGCCTACCGGCATTAGAGTTATTTCTATGTTAGGAATGATGTCTTCAGAAAGATACGCAGGAGCAACACATTAGTAACTTTCCCCGAAAATCTTCAATTCAAGTTCAGTATATGGAGAACAGTTCTGACACAACATTTTCAATTTTCACTCAGTTAATTGCTTTTTACCACAATGCCTTATATATGCGTATACTTTGTTGTCATTATACACACATAAATCTTCTTTTTTAGTGGAACGGAAAAAGAAAACAATTCTGCTTTGTGGGCTGAACGTTTCTGGGTACACCAGTGAGAATTATTTTGATCTGCCTAATGAAACATCCAGATCAAGAGATGTAGTCTTCAACTACTAATGTCATTCAGTAGCATATTTTCCTACGTTAACAGTTACTGTGTGAGGATGAGATATACTGCTGACAATCAAATTAGAAAAGTTGTTCTGGTCAGAAAAGTCCCTCAATCACTGAACACTAGAACACTGCAGGCTCAACAAGATTCCTGTTTATTGCCATAAAGAAATCAATCCAAAGTCAAAACTACAATCAATAAACTCTTTATATTAGCAGGAAACTCACTTTTAATATCAAACGGCATAAATCAATCTGTACCATAGTTGAAAGGTTAGCAGCCTTAGCAATAGTAACAATTCCTACTTGTGGTCCAAAATAGGCAATATCAAATCCTTTGGAGCATGTAGTAATAATGCTCTGTTTTATCTCCATCAAGTCTATTTTATTGCCTTGGTTTGTAATAGTAGGTTTCATTCTACTAAATATACCTACTTGATGACTTAGTGAGTGGACTAACTGCATTTCATATAACTTTTCTCCTGTATCAACTACAATTCTCCATACTGCTAGTTGACCAGAGGTATCCGATGTGTATAAGTAAAGACCACAAGGTGAATACAACAAACCTATTTTGATAAAAGAATCCAGAAGAATAAAAAAATTCATGGAATTTATGGAAAACAAAACAAGGTACACCAGTCAATATAATCAATAATACCTGGGACATTCATTACGCTTGAAAATATTGCTTGAGCTATTTAACTACTTACAAGTAGTCAAACCGATATAATGAAGTAATTGCTTTAGTGGTGTTAAGGAAATTATCATTTAAATTGCGTTGGCTCTACGCATGGAACTGACGGTAACGCCTGTAACAGAATAAAAATGATACCAGGAGTCTAACTTAAAGTCTTTATTTCCACTATCACATGATTAATTAGAAAATACCTTTTCGATACTCAGGGAATACCTTCAATAAAACATTTCCCTTAAAAGCTACTATATTGAAGAGACTCCGTAAAGATGCAAGGCCTTAAAAAAGAGAAACCATAAGTACCTTAAGGCTTTTGTTCCAATAACTGAGATAACTATGATTTAAAGTCAACTAATCGGCCTAATTTTGCTTCTAAGTTTCGCAAAAAGGTAGGTATGATCATACATGTAAACATCAGATGACTTTGAAGAGGTGAAATCAGAAGGGTAGATTCTTCCAGAAAGGATCAGAAATATAAAGTTTATTTCGTTTGAAATTTGACGTTGCAATACACCTTTTTTATCTTACAGACTTTCCCAACTTTCTAAGGAATTGAGCAACTATCAAGAATGGAACGTAAAGGCTATTTTTCAAGTATCCATATGGATAACCAGGTTATTTTAAAATCATACAATAATGATAAATACTTTGGCAGCCCCCAACTTGGTTTTCACTATGTAGAGCATAAATGTCGAACAACAACGCAAAAAAAGGCTTATCTTTTTTATTCATCTTCATACAAGGATGGGAAAATAATTGTCGATGTGATATGAAGAAGTCCAGAAGAATATTTATCAATAGTAAGATATACTATACAAAGTTTTCCTGAAAATATAAAAACGAATACGATCCAGTAGCAGGGAGCAAATCGTTCACAATAATATATCAATCAAGGGTCACTCTTAGTTATGAGTAATATTGTTAATATCATCATTCACTATTAGCGATAATATTATTTACTGGAATGAATAATAAAACACGAAACTTCAGTTCGTAGGCTTGTGGGAATTTTATTGATTTCAGGTTGGTATTCATCATGCATTGACATCAGTTAGAGAAACATTGGAAACCTGAGGGCACTGGACAACTAAATGAGACTCACCAGCAGTGCAAATCCATGACCTTTCCAGGGATTGAACCCAAGACCTCCAAGTTCTGTGGCCAGCACTTTACGATTGAGCCATTGGGTCAGAATCCAATTCAAGGGTCAGAATAGAATGATCTCTGGCAAGGTCATGGGTGCGCACCACTGAAGGGTCCTATACTAGAAAGAAACAACTGCGCTCCCAGTGCTCCCAGGTTTCCAATCTTTCTTCAACTGATATCAGTCCATGATGAAAACCAACCTGAAATAGAAAACTTGTTTTTACATCCCAATGAGTTTTAGAAAATTCTATAGAAGCCTTACCTGTTATATCATAACCTTTATGATAATCCAGTTCTTTCAACATTCTTGTATTCGATGGACAGAAAACACGAATTAGTCCACTGTTAGGATAACCACACGCAATATGAATCCAACAGATATCATCAGTTAAACTTCTGGTTATTGTTGATGTTGACCGATCTAATCTCGGTTGGATAGCAATATGTGATGGTGTTTCATCGGATATAATCAAGTCAATTAATGGATTCTCTGTGATTCCATCAAAACTGGAATCTTCTGTAGTACATCCTGTTTTCAATATTTCATCATTTTTATGTTGTCCGGTTGAAGAAGCATTCAACGAAATATTTCGAAATCTAAGAACACTTCAGAAAAACATATACCACATCATTCATATGTAGATTATAATGCACAATATTATTCAGACATTTAAGGGGCATAGATTTAGGTCATTCGCCTGGAAAAAAGCGTCTTTAATACTTCTTACATCTGGAAACATACAAAGATGGTTTAAGTTTCGCTGGTGCGGATTAATAGAAACCCCTCAACCACTAAAGTTTATTGTTATAAATAAATAGTTCTAGTCCTTTAATGAGTTCATTCATCTTTAGTGAGATGTATAAGATATTCACATGTACAAAGAGAACCATGACCACTAGTTTTTATTTGCCTTAATCAAAAGACTCAAGAACTCCCTCTTTATGGAGGAGCTGACAATATGCAAAGTTTTCTGAATACTGTGAACAGTAATTCAAAAATATTTAGGATATATTTCTCACCTGTTGAATGAAAATGTTTCTTCTAAGAACAGGTGTGCATTAACGCTTTTTCTGTCAACATGAATTGTAATGATGACTTGAGATGTTGGTAAAATACCTGAGTACTTATTAATGACCGACCATACTACATAACCATATAAACCACATTTCGAATTTATGAAGTTACGTTGATATGACTTCAGTCAATGGATACCATTTCATTGTGTGTAGTTGTTGTTTCGGTAGAGTCGCTCGGCTTCCAATCAGTGGATCATGAGTTCAAACCTTACTCCACCTACCGAGGTTTAGAAGAGCTAAGTAGTATCACTAGTCTTCATACAATAAGTGTCATTTTTTGCTTACTGCACAAATGTGTAGTAAGGCTGATGAGTGCATATCGAAGTCGGTTAAATGAACTAAAGTGAATATATTCCGTTTACATTGTTGTTAACGAATTCAATGTACTCAGTGTGAAACCGACATACTACGTTAGTTTTGCAATATGTTGATTTATAAAACTGTTTATCAGTAATATTTCACTATCTTTCCTTTTTCACACAATGAACAGACAATTTTACTAGTTTCTTGTTAATGAATTTCACTTATTTGTGACAGTTGGTTTTGCAGCTCATAAGATATATCGTTTGTTTTAGATTTCTTGTTTTGTTAGCCTCATCTTTGTTTCGATATAAAATTACAATGGTATTAATGAATTTTTGCATAAATATATGTGTAGACTATCCCTTTTATTCAATCTATGAAGTTACGGGAAGGTGAAAGTCATCGTGAGGATTTGTAGTGAAAGTAATGGGCAACTTGAGAAAACTAAGGAACTCGATTGGACATTATTGAGAATCAGGACTTAATAATTTGGTAGCCGAATATTTTTCAATCAAAAGGGCTCTGCAAACGTCGTCTGATATATTCTACCTGTTGGCCCGAATAGCTCAGTGGTAACATCACTAACTACAACATTGAGAGACATGGGTACAAATCTCAGAAGGGCTATCAGTTTCCTGGAGGTTGCAGATACGCCTTACTGACGAGTATCAACAAGCACGGAAACTAGGTTCAAGGCTTCCTGTCAATTCCATCCAGCCAACTAACGCCTGCTGCAATTTTATAAACTATATATTTTCAGCAGATTGGTTCATGCTGAAATCGTTTGTATTAAAACAATCGCATGAAACAGGTGATTGGTTCAATGTTAATACTACTTACCCATCAGCACTCAAGGTAACTAATATACACTGTGATCCTAATTTATCTGATTGAACAAAATCTGCGGCTATGACGGCACTGTAAGCTTGCCATGATAAAATACGTCTGGGAGAACAATTTGATAAGGTGAATTCATTCATAATTTCCCATTTATCGGAGTTAATAACATTTTTATGAATATTACATTTAAAATTTAGATCAAGACAAGCAAGACCTCCAGAACATGTTGCTATAGCAACATATACTTGATGTAATGATTTAACGCTTTTACTATCTTCATTATTCCAACATGAGTGGAGAGCAGAAATCATCGATGAGTATTTTACTGAAAGTATAACTGGATCTCTTGAATTACTAAATTCCCATAAAAGAAGACAGCCATCTCTTGTGCATACTGCTAACCAGCCTAAAGAAAAATTACTTCCAGGAAATATCCAATGAAGTCCTGTGAGAGGAACAAGGTTAACTCTTGAGTTATTCGATATTTCTTGGAAGTTCAAACCCACTGATCATTTATAAACTCTCTGGACGCTAAAAGTTGTAATTCAACTGTGTTTGAATAGTCTGATGAGTTTTCTTCTTGTAAACTTCGAGTTAACTGGTATACGTTTGAAATGCAAAAGAGATTTGGATCTAGCTAAAGAAGGAGAAAATTTACAAAGCCTTTTATTCGTATTGTGTTATACGAAATATTTCAGAATATACAAAAAAACAGAATCACTCTAAAGGCCACGCTAACAACGAAAGATATAAACAATTAGGTCTCTTTATTTCAGTTGCAATGGTAGTCTCACATGAAGACACCTATTTGGCTATTTCAGTAGTTACTAGTCAGTCGAAAAATATAGTCCTATCTAAAGAGGCTACTGATTAACCTTGGACATTTGAGAACAACATGAAGAAGCAGCAGAAAACTGTCCCCAACATGAGTAAGTAGGTTGTAATATATATGGCTGTTGGATACCCTTTTAAGCGCTACCGTGACAATGTTGTTGTGAAAAAAGTTATTTACTGTGGGATTGAGATTGCTTGAAATGATTTTGCGATCTGTTTTGAACCACTTCAAATTGATTCTTCGTATGAATATATAAATAAGTTACGACTTCAATTCTTGTCTTCCTGCATGGCATTCAGAATTCTAGTCCTAGTTAATATGAATTGTGAATTCCAACTATAGTACTGCATGATTCAATATTACAAAAATAGTGCGATATACATACACATTTATTTGTAGAATTCTTATCTACTGCTGAGTGGTGTAATCTGTTTATCACATTATCAAGTAGTTCAAAAATATGACGAGGACTCAGTGTAAATAAGCTGTACAATACTATGAAACCTGATGGTGAAATTTTGCCCCCCTTGAACGATCGCCATACGTCTTTCAACGTACTAATAATGAATTAAACGTTTCTTTCAAGTTTTCAAAACAGAAATAAAAACAAATTACATTGCATATGGTTTTTTATCGGTGTTTAAGAACCTATCTGCGTTTCCAACTGCTTTTTTACTGCTCAAAGTAAAAATATGTACGATAAAGATATTCATCCATCTGACTATTAAACATCAAACCACCTTAAATGTGATATGGATATAAATAAGCTTAAAACTACCCACCAATCACCTCTAAATTATTCATATGAAACCCTGTCGAAGGAATTAGAGTAGGAAAATTTAAAAAAGACAAAAGGTTTGTGACATTGGATATTATATAACGGTCTACAGATTTCAAAGTACAAAACTTGAAGATCATGTCATAAAGCAAGAAAACACACAGAGAATAGGACCTCTTTTCATCATGGGCTTTCAGAAATCACTTAGAATTAAATGGCATAGTTTAGTGAGTTAAAAGGAAGTTTATGCTTAGGTTTCAAGGTGTACTCCAGTGGGAACTGTTTGCCTATAATTTGTTTATTATTTGAAATGTAGGCATATAAAAAAACCTCAGAACTAGCAAATACTGATAGACTAATTCCCTCCGATTTATCCGAACTTATCATAATCTAAATTGTGCATCATCACATCTATAATCAGCAACATTTTTTCAATAACTTAAAGCTTTCCAGAACGAAAATATAGTCATCTTCAACTTCGTTGGCTACTTCAAGGACCTTGGCAACCGCTAAAGAATGGTAACATTTTACAATTCCACCAATCTAATTCATCTTAGAATATTTCTAGACTGAAAAGTGTGGAACAATGTTTAGAATTTTATTGATGTTTACAAATTCCTGAGTGCTGACCAGATTCTATTGATTATTTTGCAATGTAGTCATCAAGCTAGGAGGCTCACGACCACACTGCCTTCAACCAACTAACGTATATCAAAATGCAGCGTATCGGTGAGCCTCCTAGTTTGATGATCACACCGCAAAATAATCGGTAGAATTCGGTTAGCACCTAGGACTAGACCAAACAATGTATCTAATTCAGTCCTGCAAGAGGTGGGTTGAGGCTTGAATAGCTCAGTGGTAAGGTCGCTGACTGCAATACTAGCTGACGTGAATTAAAATCTCAGAGGGAACATCAGTTCCTACCAGGTTGCAGATAAACCTTGTTGACGAGTGCCATAAAATACCAAACCTTGGTATAGCAGGGGTTCCTTCCGATCGCCTCCAACCAACTAGCAGTTTTATTTCCTTAGTCAGCTGATTCATCGCCAATCTGATGTTCTGTAATTTATCAGAGTAGCCTTCGTAAAGTAGACATGATATCAAGTGCATTAGTTAATGCAAAAATACTAGGAACTAAGGTAACCCACTGCAAAGATAATTTCATCGCTTATCTCAGTATCATAGGAGAGATTTACAAGAACGATTCGCTTGTGACCGATATTTAACTCTAGTGTGTTTCGCACCATAATGACTGCTTTAATGTGGCAAAAAAAGATTTCAATGTGACAATAACAGTTCTTAGGTTTTTCTTTTGAAATGTTCACAACACAGCCTCCATCGAAATCCCAAATAATCTGTCGAATAATTCTATTTTTTGTTTGCAAAACACTTTCCCTAAAACAGGATAACAAAAGGATTAAACTGATTATCACTGATCACTTTCAAGTCAAAGCAAGAGTTCCACAGCTCCACCCTTTACAAATTCTTTCCTCTCCCTAAAAGCTATTCGTTAATCATCTAACCAAAACGTTGGCAACAATTACCAACAAATACTGATGAATTAAAAAGGTAATAATTACCTCTAAAATATGTCCAGTTGATGAGCCGATTAATACAGAATAATTCAGTCGATCACAAAACTGATCAGATTCTAATATTTGAGGTTTAATACAACAACTAATAAAATTTAATGTTTGACGAAGAGATGAAACCAGAACTGAAGTCAATGGGACAATAGAAGACGATAAATGGTATTTATTTTTCATTGATACATTTAATCCTTTAATTGACTCTTGTTTATATGATGGATATTTAAAGCGCCAAAATCGAATTTCACTAGATGTTTTCTTTTTTACACATTGATATTTCTTTAAATCGGTGGTTTCATGAGAAACATTAACTCCAGAAACGGTTGCAAAACGAATAAAAGAATCTGATATGTCATTTCGATTGAATCCATCAGGAAAAAGGCATAAGCACAGAATTGTACTGTCGATTGTTGAACGAGCTAGTAACGGTAATATGCTACTTTGACATAAATTCTTGATTTAAAAAAAAGGAGAGAAAAAAAAACAAAAAAGGAAATACATTCAGTGAACTCAATTGAAATATTGTCTGGTTTTTAAAAATCATACTTTAGTCTTTCTTCTTTAGTCTAAAAAACAAAATAAAACATGAAAAGAACAAGTAAAGAAAATACTAGTGAACAACTATTCCAAACTACCCAATACGGAATTCTTTACAATTGAATCCACTGAGAGGAAAATTCAGAATAAAAAGAGAAGACTTTTTGGTAGTATTTCTTAATTGTTGGTAGTATAATGTTCTGATGAAGTTGGCTGGAATGAAAATGAAAGTCATATGGTTAAACCAGCCAGCTCAGTGAAAATACTATCACAATCTCCTGAGCTAAAAATATTCTCCACTTCTTAAACTCTAATATACACCATCGTAAAACACAAATCAGAACCATTTCTCTATTCGGCATTATATTCGTATTTATCCTCGAGATATTAGATAAGCAAACTGGATGCAGTTTCACAGTGCGTTTAGTCTAGAAAGACGTGAAGGTAGCCAGACATAAACTTAACATCAGCTTGAAATGTCATAGTTGTGTTGCATTCACTCAGCTGGATGTTTTAATAGTAAAGCTTTGAGCGTCTCTCTGGACAACATTATCAACGCTAACTTGAATGTGTCGTGAGCTGTCAGGATATCTGCGTCAATGATTCAGTAGCCTGCCCTGACGAAGTGTTGAGTGATTGGTAGTTTTTATAGATTTTAGTGTAAAAGACTGCATAGATTTTCCTGTTGGTCATTTCTCTACTTGCTATGTTCAAAGACAATGAAAGCTTCAGTATTAAACCACTCAGTTCAGAGAACGCAGCATAAGCAACATCATCCACCTCGGGTGCAAATATTCTCCATAATTTCAGTCTGTAAAATCTCTGACTATTGGTTTGAGCAGAGTGGAGAAATTTAGACTTTCTCCTTGAGGTCTATTTGACAATTTCAATTATAATTTTCTTATTTCTCTATCTAGCATCTTAATGCCTTGCTTTTTGATGTGCTGATATGAGGCGTACCAATCTGTACCGTTGCACAGGAATGTCAAATCTCATGTTGATATTGACTGACAGATTGATTAAAATAAATCCAATCACTTCAGCATAAGATATTATCTTTTCATACTTAAAAATCTCACTTTCCTTAAGAAGGGTAATCAATCCTAAGGTGCATTCATTAACAAGTTTTAATTAAAACTTTTCTTTAAGAATCCTACTCACCAATTTACGCAAACAACCAAAAATAAAATTCTACAAGTATTTCCTTACAAATTCTTCATTTATTTGAAAGCTCCCTTCTATTCTCATTCATAATAATGGCACAAAAAAAAAAAAATTCATTCATATAATCTAATGAACGTTCAAATGCACAGCCACTAACAAGAAACCTAACATCTGAATAAATCATTATATCAAAAATGACTTCTATGCTATAAACTACTTAGAAGTAAACATTTTATTGGATACTGAGTGATGATTTAGGTATCGGCGGGGTTCGAATCAGCGACCATCGAGTTTCTGGCTCAATGCTCTACTAACTGAACTACGAGACCCAGGCTGAAAACCCAGTTGTCGCTGGTTCAAATCCTGCTGCGGCCCAAATTTTTGTTTCATTTTCAATCATCACCTAGTATCAATACTAGTCTGCCAAACCATGGTTATCTTAAATTGTCAAAATGATAATTCTACTAGATAAAATTCCTAAAGTGATATAACCAAACTTGTCTTTAAAAACATAACAATTTTGTTTCCCTGAGTTCAGTTCCATACAAAATAAGCATTCACACTAAGCTAAAAACTAATAACAGAGTAGACTGTAGTTTTGCTTTGAATGCATTCCAAGTCACTGGTCAATCAGAACCAGTTAACCTGATAGTATTGAGTGACGACAGGTATACTTTAATGAGTTCATACATCCAACCGTTGATGTTGACGATGATTCTATGGATTATTTACCATGTACGCATTCTGTATATGAATCAAAAAAATGCCTATCATTCTAATTAAAATCAAATAAACTTAAAGGTAACTCAAACTACTTAAATAAATAAATGGATTTCTGCATTTCTGTAAAAAACTATGTTATCTGCGGAAATGAGGAAAGTTGATTGGTTCTTTCACTAGTTGCTACTGTGCTCTCTCCTCTCTCTCTCCTAAAATTCGCTCTAATAATTGGATATATGTGACATAAATGCGTTATCACAATTCAACTGGTTGTTTTCTTAGTAACTATAATACTTAAGAGTATATTCTTATAAATATTAGGTGATTCTTACACTCGATTCCATTCCGTTCTTTCCTATTACTTGAACTGCTCCAGTTGTGATGTACAAATATTGCTATTTCAATTCTAAATCTTTCTACGCGAATGCGTTAGTACATGTTCCAGATATTCAAAGTTGTAAATCTTAACTATACGGTGATGATATTGATTGGCAATAGAATCCAGGAAGCGTGTTTCGTCCTACTTGAAAATCGTCAGCTGGATGTACTCGCCTTTTAGTGGGAGCAACATTAATCACTGAGAGGCAACTACATCCAGCTAAAGCGTCCCAGGTAGGACGAAATATGCATTCTGGCTTCCACTGCTAGACACTATCCCCCATACATATCAAATTCCGAAATACCGGCAATATTGAGGCATTCGCATAGAAGTCCATATGCTTGTAGTGGTCGATCAACTTGGTCCGATCAACGACGCAGATTCACAAGTTATAACATTAAAGTAGTTGTGTAGTCGTGTGCTTACGGCGAGATTCATAGGTTCTGGATTCTGCTTTCTATTAGGCCACGCGTGCGATTCCGAAGAGTCTTATGGTTTGACCAAACTATCTGATGCTGTCCCCGTTTCAAAGATTCACTAACTTATTTCAATCTCCGTGGATTTCGAATTATATTTAAACTGTATATAAAACAATAAGTTTATTCCACTTCTCTCCTAAGATGTTCATTTATATTTAATCTCAACATACATTTATATAGTATTGCTTTTCTGATATGGAGAGAAAACTGAACGATTGATCACTGCATGTTTAGCTTGAATCATCTTAAAATATCATAAGAAGATAGTTTTATGAACTAAAACAATGATCGTGCGGGGTAAAGAATATTTTCGGACTATTGCAGTATGTACCTTTTCATTTCGATAATAGATTGATAGCCGAATGCAATGTTAAACTGATTACAATTTACCTAATTCTGTTGGTCAGGAGGTTCAAAGTGTATTACAGATCACAATGTATGATGGGTACGCCATTTCGCATATTGATAGAGTTTGGCAACGAAGATTTGAACCCAGTGACTGCATGACAACATACCGCGAAACTTTAAAATCCTAAGCTGGGTTACATGCATGGTTGCATGTTCACACTGCTAAGAAGTCTTGAATAAGGACATGAAGGTGACATTTCGCTCTCAGGTTTTAATACGTCTCCAACTCTATTCATCTGCGATGGTTATAAAGACACATGCTGTCCGTATTTCAATACTAATTAGAATCGTATCTCTCTTTATCCAGAGGCTATTCATTACAACATACCAATGGAATTCATATATAAGATTGTAATGGAAATATTCTCTGTCAGAATACTCTAATTCCCTAGTTTTCAAATTAAGCCATCTTTTTGGTAACTGTTCAGCTTCTTGTAGGAAATTTAACCATTAAATCTCCCACTTATTTGTTACCCTCATACCGATAGACATAATAAGGTAGAAAGTTGCACAAAAATGGATCATTTCAAATTGTCACATAACTAAATAAAGTCGAACGAGAATATTAACTAAAGCTGATACTCCATTTAAGATTAGACAAAGAATCGGCTTACATATTTAATGTCCCATTAAACTTAACCGGTATAAATTCACAACTGCAATAGACTAACCTATCTTCACTGTTCAAAACTAAACATCTAACGTTAGAATTGCTCACTGAGTGGTTTAATCATACATGAGCTTTTCTTCAAATAAGTCTAAGATCTCATTCGACCACAGTGCCCAAGTTTTACACTTATATTAAGATAAATCAAAGTGGGTTGTCAATCTCTCAAGTAGAGTCCTAAGCTCAACAGAAGTGAAAGTGCTAGAGAAGGGTCTTAACTTCAATGTAGTAGTTAATGAGTTGAAACCAGAAGATGTCATTCCCAAAATAGGAATAGCGTTAGGTTCAATAGATAAGACAATTGCAGATAAGGTAAGAGCACAGTGTGCTCTAACACTGAAACGACAGAAGAAAATGAAATCTGATCTACCCAAGTCAGAGAGGGGAGCTCTCAGGAACCTTCAAAATGATAACAATATAGTGATCACCAAATCGGATAAAGGCAACTCAATAGTTGTAATGAACAAATCTGACTACATCTACAAGGTGAACGAGCATATAGAAACAGGACCATATGCGGGAATTAAGAAGTCAGTGGATACTATTATGAATAAGGTCAAGAAATCGACAGGGGATCTGATACGCCGGATGAAGCCATTTCTAGGTGAGTCAAAGTGGTTTAATTTAATGCCAAAAACTAATAATCCCAGTAGAATGTATGGTACTATTAAGATTCATAAGCCAGGTTATCCCATCAGGCCTATAGTAGATTTTAGAAACACTCCGACTTATGAGTTGTCTAAATATTTAGCAATGGCGTTGGGTCCAATAAGAAATCACTCAAAGTCTCGACTTACCAACTCTTACGAATTAAAGCATAGGTTAGACGACATACACTTAGACAACAGTGAAAAAATGGTTAGTTTTGACATAACTAGCCTTTACACAAATATACCGATTGACATGGCTCTGAAGGCAGTTCGAAATGGGCTTAAGGATGACAAAGAACTTACGCAGCGAACTAAGCTGCCGATCGAGGAAATCATACTAGGAGTACGATTGTGCCTAACATCTACAGTTTTTAAGTTTCAAAATAAAATATATAAACAAACTGAAGGTGTTGCCATGGGATCATCAATATCCCCTATCGTCGCAGACATATTTATGGATAGTTGGGAACAGGTAGCCCTTCAAACATTTAGTCCTACTCCAAAAATATGGTTTCAATATGTAGATGATACGTTTACAGTACTGAAATCAGAACACATCAATAGGTTCTTGGCACATATAAATCCAGAAGTAAATGCAATCCAATTTACCTGTAACTTAGAAAGTGAAGAAGGTGAGCTAGCAGTGTTGAATTGCAAGATTAAACGAACACAAGAAGAAAATCTAGAGACTAGTGTCTATAGGAAACCTACCCATTCGAATCTCTACTTAGACTTCGAATCCTCCCACCCCATTTCAGTTAAAGTAGGCCTAGTTAAGTGCTTAAGTGATAGAGCGAAAAAGCTTCCTAATAGATAGGAAAATCTGCGACAAGAAATCAGACACATCAAGAATACCCTACGTCTCAATAATTAACCACCAAAATTTATAAATTCATAAGAAATGGAAAGAAAAATATTAGCAGTGGTAGTAGTAGTAATACAGATGTTACTAATAATAATCCCAGTACTAGTGGTAATAATGGCTACAGGGTTAAGAGAGAATTCAAAGCCTCTGCTGTGTTACCATACAAGGAAGGCACCTCAGAAGCACTACGAAGAATTCTCAATAAGGCTGGGATTAAAGTGGCATTCAAACCAACAAACTCACTTAGAAACAAGCTTTTTAAGTTAGAAGATCCTATCCATGCAATTAAGCAAAATAATCTGGTTTACCAGATCCCTTGCAATGACTGCGAGGTCAAGTACATAGGTCAAAGCAGTCGACCAGGGTCGATTAGAACAACAACACAAAAACTTAGCTAAATCAAGATTAGTAGATCCTAATAAGATAAGAAATCTAGAGAAAAACTCGGCTATAGTTCTGCATGCGATGACACATAATCACACAGTAGGGTGGGATAGGGCAACAGTGTTGAAAACTAACTTAGTTGGATGTAGGGAGAGATTGATAACCGAATCTTTGTTTATGGAATCAACACTAAACACATGTAATCGAAATGATGCTGCACCTGTCCCAGATATATGAAAAATTATACTGCTCTTGTCATCACAGAGAAGGAGAAAAAACTAGGAATATATAAAGACTGTCTCGAAGTTGTGGAGTTACCTGATATGAATATGGACAATAAATTATGTCCGAAACGTTATCCAGTAAATGCTACTGTCCCATCACTGTGTGATATTTCTAATAAACAGACTAAAATGGAATTGCAATCGACCATAGTGCCCATGTTTTCCTCTTATATTAAGTCTAAGATCTAATTAGACTTATAAAGTATTATAAACATCTTTTGGTATGCAGTAAAACATTTGCGTCATTGTAACTTTGTAGCTAGTTACTCAGAATCTTCAGGTATTGGGTTAATAGCATCTTATGAACCTCAAACACTTAGCCTGCATGGCTCTGACTAACAAAGACTTAATTCTTTCAATGATGCTATGCCTTTGTTCGATAAAATGAAATGACACACTTCTGCACAAGATTTCACTTTGCTTCTTTTGGTTATCTAGCCTAATTACTATTTGGTTATTTATGAACATATTACTGTTCGAGTTAGTATCTCAGTGCAAAAGATAACACCAGTTAGCAGTTCATGACACTTTTTCGCATCAAAACTCATTTTAAATCTTTTCTGTTTTTATATGAAGGTGTGAATATTCTATTTGGCAATTCAAATAGTTGTCTAAGTGAACATTCTTAGACAATGTGTATGTATAGCAGTAATCTGGATGAATTTTATTTCGTCCTCTAAACATAATTAACTGAAGCCATCAATTTATTTGACTTATCTACTTAACTTAACAATACAACCCAAACTTGACTTTTCAGTTATCGAATTTGAATGTTGTCATTATTTACCCATTTCATAGTTAGTATTTGTGTATATCTATCTGCTGTTGCATTGCATGAGAGCACGATAGCCTTTAAAAGACAGAATTCATATGAGCTTTGATTATAAAATAAACAGGAATTATGTATAATTAAAACTTTTGAATATAGCGCATAAATGACACAACGAAGATAGTCACTTATTTATCAACTATCTTCAAAAGCAAGTAACTAATGAAAAGCCTTAGAATGGTTTGAAAATCGCATTACGTCCATTATTTACAGACATATTTTGGTAAAATTGGAAAATGGTTCTTTTGAAAAACCAAATTATTAACATAGAGTTGTACTGTCGATACATGAATGATACTTTTTTAGTCTTCGATAGGTGCATTTGTATTGATTCCATTCTGAACCATTTCAATAGTGTTGATCCATCAATTTATTTTAAATATGAAAATGAAATCAATGATTCGATGCATTTTCTTGATGTGTTAATGACTAGAAACAAAGATGGCTCTATACTGAGAAGCATTTATAGAAAATTAACGTTTCAGCTTCACACCGATGAAGTATAAAGTCAATATAATCAGGTGCCTGGCTTTTAGAGTAAGATCGATTTGTTCCAAGGAGTGCATGGAAAAAGAACTACTGTGTATCCATGATACTCTACGTGACAACAGATATTCGAATAAGTTCATCAAAACAAACGTCAACTACATCGGTCCCAAACAACAACTGATGATAGTGGAGAAGAAGCCTTCGTTTCTGTGCTCACAACTCAATGGAAATGTCGCAAGGGAAATTCTTTCATAATGCCTAGCTAGAGAAGTCAATAGGACGTTTTATGCAGGTTGGCTTTGTATATCACTCAATAGTCGGCCAATGTTCATTCCAAGACTACAGGATAGTCTACCTAATCTTAGCTCTTCATCTTGCATATATCAGCTTAACTGTTCCTGTGAAACTAGTTACATGGGCGTACGATTAACCAGGTGCGTCTTCAGATACGAGAACATTTACCAGCTTGGTTTGGAAGGGGTGCAGTGAAAGTGGTGAAAAGTTTAGTCCTAGTGCATCTAGTTGACACAGGGCATCACACAGATATGAATAAAACTTTCAGTGTCATTCATCATGTTCCGAAAATGACACCACGTGAAGCTTGCTAACGTCTGCTCAACATAGCGGAGGCTGTTGCAATAAGATTGACGAAGCCTGGACTCTGCATTCAGAAAGAACATGTCCAAGTGTTACTTCTCCCTTGGCCTTCAGTTAACTAAAGACCATTCGTGGCATCTTATTCATTAGGTTTTAGTTCACCATTGTATCATTCTTCTGTATATGTGTCATCCCAATATTGAACAAAGAAATGTATTCCTTTTCAATTAGGTCCTCATCTTGGGCTCTACAATCCCTATATTTCTTTCCATTTTTTGAAAATGTAACCCCCCATAACATGGCTTATTTTTTACTCTGTACAAATACGTTTTATAACTGTAGAACCCGAAGAGAAGTTTTTGTAAAGAATGTTCTTCGTTCAGATTGTTGCTTTTTATAAATCACATATTATTCCTTACCAATTTGTTTAAATATGAATACCTTGTTAGCACATGTAATTGAAGATTAAAATAGATAGTATCACTCAAGAGAATAATCAACTGATTGAAGAACTTTAAACAGTAATTCACAAATCAGGTGGGATATCTTTGGGATCCAGGCATAAATGGAAAAGATAAATGCATAATTGATATTTTTAATCTGAATATTCAATAACTTACACGTAAATCCCATATGACTACCATACCTCGTGAACGAATATCCAATCCATAAGCAATTAGAAATTCATCTCTGTCTGAAACGCATATACCTTTAAATGACTGGATATTTTGAACTCTTCCTGTTCCCAGTGGATTTTGAATACGTCGAGAAGAGTAAGGCAGGTTAGGCATACGCCATAAGTGAACAACAGCAGAATATGATTTCATACTATCGCATACCGGAGACTGACAGGAAGCAATAAGTCTTCCAGCTGCATCTTGGCAAATACTGCTTATTTCTGTAGTATGACCTAGTGTAGAAATAAAAGTACATTTAATGTATTTGGTGTTGATTCGATAAAAAAGGATTTGATCATCAATCTCTTCCTCCATTCAACTAAGCCAGTTCTTAATACTGTCATTGTATCCTACTCTACTGTGGAACTGTGTGCAATTGTGTGCATAGACATAGCCAAGCTTCCCTGTATATTTCTTATCTTGTTACTATCTACTAAAATTGATTTAGTTAAGTTTTTGTGCTCTGTTATGCTAACTGACCCGATGGATTACTTTGACCTAAATATTTAACTTCGCAATCAACACAAGGGATTTGGCAAACTAAATTATTTTGCCTAACTCAATCTATAGGATTTTTTTAACTGATAAAGCTTGTTTCTAAGCGAATTTGTTGGTTTAAATGCCACTTTAATCTCAGCTCAAGTTTTACTTCTACAAAAAAAAGTCCATTTAGATCTAATTACTTGAAATAAAGCTGTCTTCTGAAACTGAGCAGAAAGTTACCTTAAATATTCATTTGTTTCTAAAATGTTTTTATCAAGTTATAGGTATCACCTAATTCAATTTCTGATCACTTAATCTTTGGTATACACGATTGGCTTGCAACCAGCAATTCAAACTTTCATATCCCGTTTTATTTATCATACTTTGAGAAGTTAAATAGTGTTATAAATGCTCAAGTAGTAGTTTTAACTTAATGTTTTCAATACTAGCCGACATTTGATTGCTAAGTTACATTCTTTATTTGATTAACTACTTCGATAAATAATTGGACTTCATAATGAAAACGATGACAGAAGCAATACTAAGTCTTAAAATGATATACACTTACCTTCTAAGAAACATTGCTGTTTACTATCCAAATCCATAACAATAATGAATGCAGCACATGGGAAAATAATAATGTGACCATTTTGAGTAATAATTATACTTGTACAGTATGATGGACAGGAAGCTACATACACCAGATCTAAAGAATCATTGTTGACATAAGTTTCAGAATTTTGTTGAGTATTAATTGCGTTGGATATGATATTACTGTTAAGTTGTAGAACATCTTCACTTTCACTCTTCTGTTGATATTTATTTGACATCTATGATAATTTGATTTTGGCAAAAAGAAGGTGAATTTCATTTATATTACAACAGTTAACATACAATTCATTCAGTAGTTTCATGAGCTCAATTCTTTTAGGGACACCTACTTTAATGAACTGAAATCTAATAAACAATACCTCAACATGATAGTTCCGAAATGAATAGGAATTTTATGTCATGTTGAAATATTTAAAAGTATGATGAAATAAACTTTAGGTGGTTTCCAGTTTTTGTTGTTTTTTTAAAAATATATCTGAACTTTAAATCAACATCTACACAATCATTGTGCTGATACTATCGTGCTCTAGAGGCTTTGAAGCGAAGATTACTGGATTCGAACCTCAGTGGAAACATCACTCACCAGGGTCCAGGCATATCCAGCTGGCAAAACGTGCATTTTTGATTTCTCTACTAGTCACCAAGGCTAATCTGGACAACCAGTTTAACAAATAGGGTTATTGGGGATAAAGTAATAATGATTTCTGTTCAACCTCATCTATGCCTGTATGTGATGCAGGCATTTCAAGTAGATGACGAAAACTAACTTGACTGATATTTTTAAGTGTTCAGGCTACACCTGTTGTGTGAATGTTGATGATACCATGCGGCGATCAACAATTCAGTCACTGAAGTTGGATCCAAAAAGATTAATCAATAGTTGACAATCAAGTGCCTAGGCCAATGAACAACAACCTCACTTTACTTTAGTCCCTAAGAGTTTTATCTCACTACCACGTGAGTGACTGATTTATTACTACTTATTTATCATTACACTATCTAATTATTTAGTTCCTACCACAGCTATTCATAGCAATTTTTAATACTAACTAATGGAAAAAACAAAGGGAATACAATTAATAATAATCAACTTAAATGGGATGCTTTTGGATACCAGACAACAGTGACATATTTTTAAATGACACATAGATCATACGGACATTCACCTAATGTATAACTTTACAAGAATCTTTACCAGTTCATCTTGCTACATGTAGTGTCAAGAAGAATAAATCAACAAAAGTAGCGAAATATTCAAATAAAAAGATGTGTGATGGTGAAGTGTAAGTGAATCTGGTTTATAAAATGTCTAAGATCGTAGAAACAGTTCATACATGAGGCTTCAACTGCTAGTTTAATATGTTTCAAAAGTGTTAGGCATGCAGTTTACACCTCACTAGACATGAGATCAATAGTCACTAATTTCATAGAATACTTTCGTGTCTTGGTTTGATCACTCTTAGTAATAATAAGACAAAACAAAAATTACTTACATCTACCTCACAGTTTTCTTCCTCACTATGATTTTCAATAGTTTCTACTTCTTCCAATGTTCTTGAGATCGATGAATCGATTAATTTGTCCAAATTATTATCTTGGTTATCTGATGATAAAGTGATATTCTCAGAAGTATTAACATTTACTTCACCTGTTTTAAAGAATAGAAATTCAACACTGAATCTAAACAAACAATCCTGAAAATAGGCTGACGAAGTCAACACTAAAAGATAATTCCAACTTTAACAGATTCTAAAATATAGATAGTTTTTTTGCCAAGTTTCATGAAACTAATCGCCATATACCGTTTTATTAACTAGCCTTTGTGATCTTATAGAAATTAACTTTTGATAAATCATTTATGCATCTACAAATACAATTACAAACTATGGACTGTTTTTGGAGAAAATGTTCAGGCTTCGGTTTTATTGATGTTCATTTATTCAACAACAATAAAACTATGGAATATAACTAAAATGGATGAATTCTTGGTTCAACTAAACGTTCAAGTATGCACTGAGCAATCACAGTCGAAAATATGAAAGACAAAGTAGTTAGTGAGGGAAATGGTTCTTCTCCACTAAACTTCACATCCAACCTGAAAATTATTTAGGAGCATATATCTTAGTAGTTCTGATGTCATTGCATTGAAGGAACTTCATAGACGTATGTCAGAGCTCTGGCTGATATTAAAGGCGTTTCAACAACCCGATAATCATAATTTGTTGTAGAGTTAACTGAGGTCCTTTAAAAAATGATCTTCTCAGGGATTTCTTCTTGTAGCAGGCAGCAGAGTGAAAGATGAAACCACCTCTTTTCTATTCGGAGGATTTTTAGGATATATTTATTGATTTCAGGTTGGTATTCATCATGTGCTGACACCAACTGGGGGAACATTGGAAACCTGGGAGCACTAGACAGCTGTTTCGTCCTAGTACGAGACTCGTTAGCAGTGTGCACTCATGACTCCGACTCGCCATGCTAGGAATAGAACCCAGAAACTTTAGGTTCCATGGCCGGGACGTTACCATTGGGCTACTGACTCGGAATCCTATGATCCGTATTTCCTACTTCTGTCAGTTCACGATATAGCGTAACCTCCCTCCAGTGCGGTTATTAAGTAGCTGCCAAATAGTCACAGCACTAAGGGTGGATAAGGATGATAAAAGTGCCAAGTTTTCAAAGTGGCTTTGAGTAATAATCATCCTTGACGTCTAAGTGCATTGCACACATTAAATTAGCCATTAAGTGGGGAAACCAAGCTTTTCAAATCAAATAATGAGACATACTTTTTGAGGGTAAGAACTTATGACATTATGCGTTATTTTTCCAGGTACATGTCTGTCTATGTTTTGTAGGCAACTACACTTATGTAAACATTTATTTTTTAAAACCTTTAATTATCACATCTGTGTGTCCTAAGTAGTATAACTTTTGTGGTAAAAACATTTAAGTATTGGCGGTATACTAGTAAAACTTTAATGACTGCCATGAAGGAATGAATTATGATATGACAAAGTTACATAATCCTTCAGCAACAATTCCTCTTTACCACTCATTCTTGTCAAACTATAGAAATAGTCTATAAAATTACTGTGTCCAAGAATGACCTTGCAAAAAAATATGCCCCAGCTAAAAGTGAAATACATCCTCATACCAGAACACTGACTTAATGCTTCAAGTGAATATGACAAAACGTCTGGGTTTACTGTAAACTTTGACAAACGGTTCGATGGAACCATGGGTACTTCTATCGCTTTAGAAATAGGTAGCTAAGTTGTAAGATCTAACAGAAGTAAGTTCACACCTGTTTTTGCAGTTAAAGTAGTTGCGAAATGCATATATTCCAATTTCATGCGTACTTATTTCCTTACGTTACCAGCCGGTTATTGAATCCCATCGAGGATACAGAATACTCCAATAGCATAACTCCGAGAATAGTTAAGGAAATGACGAGCAGTGAGGTCTGGATAGAATAATTTATATGAGTATTACTTTCGAAAACTGCAACTGTTTTGGAGTTGAATTCTACTTAGGAAAGAATAATTTCGAGGAACGGATGCTAAAACACGGCATCAGCCAGTGTACCTAGCGTATATCTGTAAAATCTGTGTGACTGAGAAAAAGCCCATTTAGAGCAGAATCCTCTCGATTTTAGAAAACAAACATTTGCATTCCTTTTTAAATTAAGCATTCTTAACTGTCTCCTAATTTTTGCTGATACTTGTAATCCTCCATTTTATACTGGATCGAATTTATCAACCTCTGTTGGTATATGGGCTCCTATGTGGATACATCAATATTGCCCGACTATTTATTGTTATACTTGACTTGGTTATGGCTAGCAGCGATCAACTATGACCAATATTCAGGGAATATCGAGGCATTCTCATAGGAGTCCACATATCAACGGGGGGAGATCAATTAGATCCAGTGTCACAACAAAAGATTACAAGTACCAATAAACAATAGTATCTAATACCCATTGTACGAGAGGGGGCTATCATGCCTCAGTGGCTTAGTGGATAACGCTTTGGTACTTTGAGTAATGGGCATGAGGTTCGAGTTCCAGTGAGAATAATATCACTCACAAGTGTGCAGATATATCCAGCTGACGATTCTCGAGTGGGGTGAAACTCTCGTCTCTTAATGTTTTTGAATTTTTAACCACTTTTACCAGCTGTATATTTTTCATTTAATTCTTCCTGTTTTGTCAAGAAGTCTAGAACCTTAAGTCAGAGAGTGAGGAGCTCTTGTAAGTCCTTGATCCCAATCCTACATTAATTGCACAACTTTTACTGACACATCCCGGAAGCACTTATTGGTATTTTGTAAAGTAACACCGAGTGATATAATTCATAACAAGCGATTGGTATAACATCATAGCTTCATACTACATTTAAAGTTATACTACGTTTTATCTTGTTTGACACTTGAAAGCGAAATCGTCCCAACAAAACCCTAAGCTTACATACAACTAATAAAACTCAAGAGCTCACGGGTTCTAATATATATGGCAGAGAAGGAAATGAATAATTACAATGAATTTCGGCAACTACACTGACTGAAATCTTTCATACTAAAGAGCTATTATCTTATGTGAGGGAAAGATGTTGTTGTTCAAAAGATGTCAGTACCACACAAACCTTTGATAAATAACTAATTTAATGACTTTACAACTCCACATTACCCAAACTATCAATATGGAAATCAATATTGTGGAAGCCTCTCAAATAAACTGTTTTAATCTTTCGTAGAATATCTTAACTAGACAAGCATTTCACTGTCAGCAAATAACAGAACACATGAGAGATCATGGTTTATTCTAAATATAATTGATAAGAGGAGGATGCATTCTATTTTTGTAACAATGTATCTAATTAGTCATCATAAACTTTTATACAAGATCAAGAGGTCTATAGTCAGTGAATCTCTGAACACTTACTTCAGGATAAAAATGACTGAAAGTGGAGGCTACTAGAAATGCATTTTTGATGTTACAAAAGTCAGTAATAACCTTTCAGTAAGATAACATTCTCAGATTTCTCGTAAAGAGTTATCAGAAGTTCAGAAAACGACAAAGACCTTATGCAAACTAGTCAATAACACATGGGTAGTGATGCTTGGATACATATAAGAATCGTTTTTAAAATAAAAGTATGTCATGCTGGGTTAATCAGATACTAGGCTCTACTAAATTACTTTCTAATGCTCGAATATTGAGTCGTAGTCCAAATCTTATAACTAGATTAAAGTTAAATAGAAGACTTAATCAAACTGAATTCACTAAATATAAAGTCTACCACTTTCTTATTCAGGTGAATTTTAATCGCAAAGATTATAAACCCATGGTTATCCGACGTCTAATTTGAACTCGAGAACGATCTCGAGGAAACCAAGCAGGTTTTAGACTTTGACAAGGGTATATTGGTCAAATTTTCATTGGCATACTTACCGGCTATAGATACTGGTCATATTTACCACCCTGAAGGTGGTATTCAAATCTGTCGACCATGAGGTGCTGTGGCAGTGGTGACTGGAAGGTGGACCTATTGTGATAATCTAAGCCTTCTACTCCAGCTCACATGGCTGCGTGAGGAATTATGGAGAGTTACCACTTAAATTGATGACAAATAATGGTGTCCACCAAGAACTTCCACTGTCAGCGTTCTTATTTAACTTCGTCATAGACGTATTAATGGACATAACCCTAAATATCTCCAACCTTGAAGAGACTGACCAACTCCCTGGATGTCAGCTGATTGATTTGAAGCATGCAGACGATATTGTCCTGCGAGATGAAGAAGCTGACAAAATCCAGGGTCTTCTTGACGCATTGAGCAGGAATCTGAATATGTTTGGTATGCGTTTCTCACCTGTCAAATTTAAGATGGTGCTCCAACACTGGTCTGAACCCACTCCTAGTTTAATGACAGGGAGTGAAGTAGTGGAATATACCAACTGCTTCATTTACTTGGGGAGTTGCATCACCTCGGACGCTCTGGTTGCTGACGAAAAGTCAGCTCATGTGGCATCTGCCATCTTGCGTCGACTTTGGTGGCGACTGGTGAGATATCTGACCACCTATCAACAGATGAGTGTACATCGCTGCAGTCTGTTCTGTCCCTTTATACGGCTGTGAGACATGGTCACTGAAAGTGGAAGACATGAAGCGGTTACAAAGTTTAGATCATAGGTGTCTTTGTAGCATTGCTCACGTTTAGTGGAGTCACAATGTGAACAATGTCGAGGTCAAGTGAAGGGTGGTAGGCAAGAAACGAAATCGGTCAGTTATTTTTTGAACCTTCACTGACTGATGTAGCTTAAACATGTGCCGCCCATGCCAAGCCATCGCCTGCGTCAATGTGCAATGACAGAGGAAATAGAATCAGTTTGGAAAGGGTTCTTGGTGGTCAGACTAAGATGTGGTGCCAATACCTGAAATTTCTGAGTCTTGGTCTGGGCCACATATAGACTTCCTAGCTGGAGTCCAAGAGATGATAGGAATCAGTGATTGAGGAATCTTAGTGACGTCACTGAAAATCGGTCGTAATGGCGCCGAAGTATTCACTCTTTGATGTCTTCTGAAGCTTGAATATTTTAACAACAGTGTTAACAACAGTTCCCCCTCCTTCCATACACATTCCTTGATTTTATTATCAGTCCTCTCTGTTCACTCGTTCTCTGTATACTACCACGAACTGTGGCAACTTGGATCGATGAACTAATGTACGTGGTTATAAGTTGATTTTGTCTGAGCAACTTGCAAACAATTCGACCACGTAACCCAAAAGGATCAGGAAAATCGATAATATCCCCGTCACTAAGAACTGATGGGATCACTTATCCAGGAACTTCTTGATAAATCTCACAGTTTAAGTAATAGGAGGTTAGCAGTTATGGTCAAAATATTTGATAGAGACAGTAACTTCAATAAATGCCAACTTCTTACGGTGGCGTTAGGTGCCGAAGAAAATTCGAGCCAGCTATCATATAGAGTATGTACAATGCTTAATTCTAATCAAACATTAAGGTTTAACTGGTCATTGAAGGATAAAGTAAAAAGAAGATAGGTGCTAGCAAAACTAGAAACTAAATGTTAAAATAGGAAAAATAACATTCAACTAGTGGAAACACAATTCTCGTCCAAAGTTGGGAACTATCGAAACTATCTACCGTAGCACTCTGTTTAAATACTTTCACAGTTACTTCTGATCACCACCGTACTAATACTAGTAAGGATTACTGAAAATCATGAGAGGTGAGAAAATGCCCTTATTCGATGCAGTTGGTGAAAGTGAGAGAAAAAGATGCAGCTGCTTGAGACAGTGGACTTTTTGGGAATACAGTGTTCGGTAACATCAGCAGCTTTCTATCATGTGGATATCAACCAGACCACATATATACCTACGTAAAATAAGGAGGCAAACATTAGGCCATAATATTGAACTAAGTACATGGATGCAGATGCACAAAACTTGGTAGGTTCAAATAATTACCAGCAGAGAAATCGCCTATATCTTCAGGTATCATCAGGAAACTGAACACAGAAGACAAATTTTTCAAAGTATGAAAAGGTTGAAATTCATTTGGAAATGGGGAGACAATTCTCTCTGAATGCTTCTGAACAACATTCTTTCTACTCAGAGCAAACGGTGAGTATTCATTGTCTGATGAAAACGCAGCATACAACAGCAGACTACAACATAATTGCAATCGACTCAGACTGTGATATCGGTAGGCGGAGTATTCACGGATGGTCCTCCGAAGATCCAAACGCAAAGTACACCATTTCTGTTCTTCAAAACATGATGGTGAAGTAAGTGACGATAGCGGTAGGTACAATGAGAGGTTGGAAGACTTGAGCTTACTTAAAGCATTCGATATTGTGATTCGAAATCTGACAGTCTTATCAGTTTTGCACTCAATTCTCAGCAGAAACTGTTTGCTTTCCACAGGCTTAATAACCAAATACAGATATCTGCCAGTCAGTTGTAGACTGAACTTTGTTGATCTAGGAATCGTGATGTGATTCACTGCTGTTGCTAAACCATCTATTAACAAAACTTTGTGTTTGATATATGAGTCCTGTAAGCACAATACACATGAACCAGTGTTAAAGCTTACCAATACAAAATGAATGTCATCTGGACTACCATATTTATTCCATTTTTCTGGTGGGAAATGCTTCAATATATTGAAGTATGGACTTTGACTTAATTTCACATGGCACTCTGACCTTCCCATAACTTGACAACCGACTACAACCTTGTTGACATAATTGTAATATTTACGTGTTTTGAGGGTCACTAGCTTTGGTGCATTATAACAACTCTCAGAACTCCAAGCTGTGGACATAAGAAACCGAAATATCGCGCGTAAATAACACCATATTTTGAGTTCTCCGTCTACGGTTAGTAAATTAACAATTATTTTGTTACTTTGGGCAATATATCTTGTTGCATTCACTATTACACATAACTGATACCGGTATCAAGTGATTTCATTCCGCCACAGTAGTTCATTGTGTTCTGTTACGTCTTCCCAAAAAACGAATTTTTCCTATTTATATCTCATCACATTTTGAAAATAAATGAGGGATAACGGCGGTTATGACTATACACTGACTGTAGCAATCACTGAGGACTGCTTCCAGAGATCTTTCAACTAGAAGGCTCTCCCATACCAGTCATACAGCTGCCAGAGATATTGAGATATAGCTCCAAAGTCCCAGAAGAAGCAAAATCGACTTGAAAAACATAATCTTTTACGGTCATGCACTTCCCCGGAATCAATTACCTGGGCTCCGACGGGATTCAACATTGATCCTGACCTTCATAGTACAACGGACTCGGTGAGCTGAAAGCACTTAGTCAAGCATCAGCGCCATCTGATAGGCTGTTGTGCTACGTTGCACTACGCGGAATCGATTCTCCAGTCAAATAGTTGGAACGCATCGGCATCCTAGTACCATCTAGCAAAATATAAAATTCCTTCCCACTACGCTGTTGTGTTCTTTCTCGGTCTCATATTCGTGGGTATATAACAAGTGCAACTAGTGACTGGCCTCTGTGTCTCTCAAGTTCACGCCAGGTTAATTTTTAAACTCCTGGGAAAATTCGCACTCATTCCACCCAGTAGCAGTCCAAACGTAAGAATACGATTAGTTTCTAAAGAGTGATGATCGCAACAACGGAGCTGCCGTTGCGCAGCTAGGTGAACAGAAATCTATTCAGCATGTCTTCTGGTATGAAAATAAACGTTTTCCCAATTAAGATGTTCACTTAAGACCAATTCTGTGTAAAATGCCTAATTTTCTTAAAATACGGTTTGGGTAACTGCTTTCATCCGATAGATTTTCGTTTCCACTTTGATACTACGTATTTCTTGTGCTCGTTGTTCGTTTGACCGTTAGGAATGTAATAACTCTCGCTTCACTCTCTGTTTTCATCAAGTGATCTATCTTGCAACTGCTCCTGGAGTCTCTCGTAAGGCAATTAAAAAGGAACTAGACAGCGTTAATCACTTTGAGGTTGATATGACGACAGTGTCGTAATTTTGTCCACTTGGTGCAAACTTGTCGTACTTCGAACATCCCCAAATACCACCGAGTCAGCCAGCTATAATTGGTTGGCATAGAGAGGCTGATCATAAGTCACAAAAGAATGTCATCCTGAATACTGATGGAATATCATGAAAAAGTAAGCTGAACAACATTTAGAAAAAACTTCTTCAAAGGCAGTTACAACATGGAGCAAAGCGCATACACTTTGGCATCTTGGACACATATTCCATACCAGTCACTGTCACAAACTGATTTCCTGAAAAGCTATTGGTGGGCTTTTATAAGCTGATGTTAGATCTGACGAGTGTCATGTAACGTTATCGTATTATGAAACAAAGCTAGTGTTCAGAGGAAGAATGAAGGTAGCGCAAGTGTCATGAAATGAGTAACATCAGCATCCTACAGTGCGCGACTCTGCGAAAGAAACGGTTTGGCTGGAGGTAAACGACCGTATATCTCACTGAACTAGGATTGCGAGAGAAAATAGGTTTTGCTGCTCATTAGTAGGGAGCAGCACAAAGCTGGAGAATAAAAAAGGTTTATCAGAAAGGAATGAAATAGATACATTGTAAAATTGTAAATAACCGTGGGAAATGGCTACTGATATGGTGATTTTCGGGATTCTTCGAGAATGACGAACGTCTCTGAAGACACTGAAGACCAGCCAACACTCCTGGCTTCCATGAGGAGACGTGCGGTCAACCTTGCTTATGTAAGCAAGCCAGAATGACATTCGCTGCAGGCAAGGCCTTGGAATGAATAGTTTCAGTAGAGCTCCGTATGAGCTGCAGTATTTTTGAAGGTATGTAGCTTGTAGTGTTCAGTACGTCAACATGCTGCCTTTTCTTTTCCCGACGAATAATGCCCAGTTCAACGGCAGAATCGATAAGCCATTGCGTATATTAGCGGAACATATACTATCCGGATACTATTTCCTTCGATCGAAAGTACTGCGGTATAGTTTTGAGGGAGTGAAGTTTCGCGTGACGCTTGAATTTAACGTTTTTCACTTCCACTGTCGTTGGTGAAAAGTGGGTCTGAGCAATCAGGCCTTGGCTAACTGGTTGCGCAACTTCAAATGAGTAGCGCAGCATAACACAGCGATGTGCCACTTGCTGCAAGCTTTTGGTCACTTGCTTTCAGCTCAATTAACTCGTCAGGAATGTGAAAGGCCACATCAGTGCTGAATCGCATGGAACCTCAGGCCAATGATTTTGCACAGTCGTTTGCTGCTATACTAGTAGACTATCAACCTTCACCATTCTTTAGCGGTCTTCGAGAAGCTCACTCACTATTTACCGATACGTTATCTAGACCACCATCCTCGAGCTTGCTATTGATCATGAGACGTTTGATACTCATTCCGCTACCAAAGTGGCATACTGTGAACAATTTTACCCCGAGATAAGCGAAAAAACCGCGAACAGTGTGTTTACGTCCAGAGTAGCATTACGCTTCACCCCCACTGTGATAGACAGAGGCAGGCAAAAATGGCAAACTGGTTGAGAATTTGTCTTTGTGCGGACTTGACAGACGCAAAGAGCAGTCACTAATTATTCGGATTGGTTATATACCAAGGAAGAACACGATAGCGTAGTCGGATGGAATAGTATATTTGGATGGTTGTGCCAAGATACCGATGCGTTCTAACTAACTGGCTAAAGAGTCGAATACAAGCAGTGCAACGTAACAAGACAGCGCGCCAAGTGACGAGGATGCTTGACCGAGTGCCTTCAGCTTGGCGAGTCCAGTTAAACTATCAAGGTCGGTATCAATGTCGAAAGTCGTCAAACCCTGGGCTATTGATTTTGGGGAAGTGTGTGACGCTACAGATCACTCCCCCCTAGTGAGTTCGTGAGGATCCCAAGGCGATACCAGCCAGAAGTAAAAACCCAGTGGTTTCTTCACTAGTAAAACTCTTCCGATGGGCTCACTGCGTGAAGTGGCCCCTGGTTGTCTGAACTTATTCTAGAGCATCGGGGCAAGTGAAAAATAAAATACAATGAATCTGATTGTATGTCGATCGCGGTCCTTAGTTTCCTTTGACGTTCCGTCCAGCGCTCGTTGCACCTGGAATGTAAATAAAGTCTTTAATATCATGAAAACGCTTTGTAAAAATGGGAAATATATATGTACAAATATATCGAAAATAAAGTTTACGCTTATTTTCACCGTTTTTAAAAAAAATGTTTCGTTATATTGTTATAAAAAAACTGACATAAAAAGGCGAAATGTGCGAGGATTTGCGCATTGTCGGTAAGTAAGAAAAATAGTGCCCCAGAAAAAAATTGCAAGTAAAATGAAAAATATGGTTGGCACATCTTATCTCACACCACTACGTTGAATACGACTTCAAATACTCCGAGAACCTGACGGTCCGACCTGACCGTGTTTTCTATTGCGCCGATGGTTGTTGTAACTGTGCATTACCAGGCACATCGTCGAGAATTCCAATAATTGGGTTATCCACCGGTGTTGTTTTGGCATTAAGCCTTTCGGCAACAACCGGTTGGACGCCAGTCGTTGCTGTCCTTCTTGGGAACCATGTACATTGGTGGTGCCCAAGGACTGTTTGACGGTCTGATAATGCCCAGTTCGAGCATGTGGTCGTATCCACTCTTCGCCGTTTCGAGCTTATCAGGGGCTAGACGGCGAGCTTTGGATGCCACAGGTGGACCTGTGGTTGTGACGTGATGCATAAAATTGCCGGTTATGCCTGGTAGGACGCGTCCCCTGATTGGTTGGTTCCAACGAGAGCTAAACTCGGACCTATACAGGTGGTGCCGCCAATAGATAACTTTGTGTTGTTATCAATCGGACGTCGACGGCGAGCATCTACGAGTAGATCGTAATGGTTTAGCAAATGTATGCCAATGATGGGCATAGAAACGTCAGCAAGGAGGAAGATCCAGTGGATAGGTTTACGTAAACCTAAGTTGAGGTAGGCATACTGTCTTCCAAACCTCGCGATTGCCTTGCCGTTGGCTGCTTGGAGATTGAAGGATGAGTCGTGATGATGCTCCTTTGTCGATGCGGGAAGAACGCTAACTTCCGCGCCGGTATTGACGAGGTAGCGAACTTTCATCTTAATATCCGTGACGTAGAGCGAACGGCTGTTTCCGCCGGCTACGGTTGCCGTGAACAGGTGCCGGCGTGGCCGTTTCCAGAGTTTGTGTCCTCGTTAAAACGGCATGGTTTCCGACATTTTCTGGCTTCGTCTCCGAAAGTATTACGAAACCAGCACCATTCAGGGTTTTCCACCCTGTTAGGTTTGGTTTTGGGGCAACCACAAGAGTTGCTGCGATGCGCTAAGATGCGTTTCTCCGAGGTTCTAAGTGAACTAGGACTTCGAGATCGTAGCAACTGTTCAACAAAGCTGCACAGCTTTGTCACCTCTGAATCCTGGCTCTCTGGTTTGTCGCAGACAGAACATACGTCGGAGACGGGTCTGCTAGAAATTTCCAGTATTTTATCTGCCAAGGCTGCCAGGTTATCGAGTGGGACTGACTGGAGTGTCACCAACACGGTTTGCACCGGCTGTGGTAGTTCTGAGGGAAATAGTTCTCGGAAAAGGCGATTGTCAAATGTTCGTGCGCCGATTACTTCTCGCATGCGTGCGAGGGGTTCAGTAGCTGAGTTGCTGCGATGCTTCGAAATAATTCGTCTAGGCGCTGGCGATCTGTGGGATAGCTTTTCTTCAAGAGCGCGGCCTTGAGAAGTACATAGGGATCACTTACTTCAGGATTAAACATGTGTGCTGCAACACACCTGCTTAATTCCCGTGGTAGTGAACGTATGACAGCAAGAAATAGAGGATGAGGATCTGAGACACCCTGTTGTCGAAAATCTGCCTCGGCATACAGAAACCGTGTTTCCGCATTGTCTGGCCAATACGGCACGAGTTGGATAGCGTTCGTCACCGGCTTAATGCGAATAAGCTTGGGAGTGTTGTCGGACATGAGGAAGTGTAGTAAATGGATGTATAAATGTTGTCTAAACGAAAACAGTACACAAGTATAAGATGGAAGAGGCTCACCAATTCAATATTTGTTAATGGTCGGGATATGAGATCACGTCGGGCTCACCAATTTAGGATCTGTCCTGGTGCGAACTTGACAGACGCAAAGAGCAGTCACTGATTATTCGGATTGGTTATATACCAAGGAAGAACACGATAGCGTAGTCGGATGGAATAGTATATTTGGATGGTTGTGCCAAGATACCGATGCGTTCTAACTAACTGGCTAAAGAGTCGAATACAAGCAGTGCAACGTAACAAGACAGCGCGCCAAGTGACGAGGATGCTTGACCGAGTGCCTTCAGCTTGGCGAGTCCAGTTAAACTATCAAGGTCGGTATCAATGTCGAAAGTCGTCAAACCCTGGGCTATTGATTTTGGGGAAGTGTGTGACGCTACACTGGTAACCTGTGGCATACCATAGTTTGCATTTCATCAGATTAGATTCGCATCAAGAAATGGCATTCTGCCTTTTTTCCCGGACCCTTGAGAGGTAAACAGATCAAAGCGATGCGGTAATATTGGGTCATCTTTTATCTATGATCTCTTGTACAGGCTGAATAAATAATGGCATCAATTATAGTCCCCTCACACTTTTGTTTTCTTTTTGGAACAGTATAGTCAGAGCTTCAGAGGTTGATCTTATGCATGTTTATTACGCACGGTCATAGGCTGATCTGTGTGGCTGAACTTTCCGAGATTGAGAGTTTGGCTGACTGTCATCAATGATACTAGTTTTCTGGAAGTATTTCCTTTCCTTGGAGACAGACGATGTGGGCAGCTCATGAATACTAAGAGAAGCTTATTCAGATCATTGCAACGGAGCTTCAGTCTCTGAAGAATTATTATGGACTACTTCTTCGAGCTATGGTAGGGCTGGAATGCTGTTGTCCCCCTTATCGGTTTTCGATGTAAGAAAAAACCTTTTGTTTCATCCTGAAAAATTTCGACATGTTTCATCTAATACGTTACCAAAACTTCTACTATGGTAGTCCTACCGAAGCCTTTAGGCCCACAGTTCCTGATTTCTAGTTGATAAAAAAAGTATATAAATGTAGTGCTTACCCAATCCTCTTCCACAGAACACTACCTACTTTAATTGTCTGGTCATAAATGCAAAGTAAATTCTAGTCATATAAATAGACAGCAAATGTCTACGGAAAGCCAAATGTGCTCATTTGCACTAAAAATCTATCCAGTGGTGTCTGGTTAGTTCAAACATGTTCATCCTCAACTCATTGGGAACTGCACACAAAATCGTTTGTTTTAACCACTGTTTCGGGTTCGTTTAGATCCCTTAGTCTGTCTTTTCGAACACAGTATCAGTCATCAAGGATATGATGTCTTTCTGCCAGCCCAATGAGTCTTTAAATCATCCATGGGTCAACAAGGGGTTAAACAGGTGTTTTGTCAACACGTTTTCATCTAGTTTGCTGTGTATCTTGTTTTTGATTCCTGGGATTATTCAGGTCTATGTCTATCGTAAGCAAGGTCAACGCATTACGGCAAATCTGAGATCGAAATCAGCCTTCCTATACGTACACTTATTCTTATCCTTTCTTGTTCCTTTCCTTTTCTCGCCCAAGTCATGGTTTTTGCTCTAATGAACAGATTAGAACATGTATACGGATATATGACATACTCCATTGTAATAATGTGGATTCTTTGGCCCCTATCTGCACTTATTTTGCATACTGAATGCTCTTATATTCTTTTCAACGATAGGGGCAGAGGTCATGGTCTATTACTTCTATGCTTTTGGACAACATCTTTCCTGCTCGCATATTTGCCTGTTGCTTCTATTGCCAGTGAAGACTGGTGGTGGAGATTATCCAGGTTGGTTTTTCTTTTACGGCGTGATTTTTGAATGATGTAGGTGAAGAAATATTGTGTTGTTTTTGCAAAAGGGTTTTAGATGCAATTCATGTCAGTCAGCTTAAGTCTTGTTTTCGAAAGTTGGCTAGACTTTATATATTTTTAGTAGTCTCTTAATTCAACCACTGTTTTTCAAAGTAAACCTAAATCACCGCCTTAGTAACTTGGAATAGTTTGGTATTTGTGCCTTCGACGATGAAGTTATTTGCTTCTCATAAAGTTAATTGGTGTGACTGAAGTTAGATCTTGTCCTTTTTCCGAAGTTGTTTCTGAGGTTGTAACTGAAAGCTTGTACTTCCTTTGAGTGTATACTCATCATTGACTCCGAGGATACTTCACGAAATTTGACATTCTTCGGTTCACAATGCCATTAATTCTTAACTCACGTTTTCATGTAACTCCAAGTAGGTCTGAGGAACCACATGGGAAAACCTAAATATTAAAACTCGTGACGATCCTGTGGCATTTTGTCTTCTGAATAAAAAACATAGGATATTTGAAAATGTAGTCGACGCGAACAAATTGCCTTCTATTTTTAATCAAAAAACATCATTTTTATTTTCATTATAACTGCTCATGGCTGTCTTCCGATAATTTCACATAGCTGATAGTTTTTTTGGCAGCACTTTCCCCAGTGTATTATAGTTGCACGACCTAAATGTTGAAAACCATAAATGATAACAAGAGATTCAATGTAATTTCTTGTGAGGATATTCTGAAAAATCCCCCAGGTACATTTTCCAAGCGGTCAACTTTATCTTAGAAGACTTACCTATGTGGACCACAATACTGCTAACCTATGACCAGAAACTTTCGAAATGTGCAGATTTAAATTGGTAGTTCATTAGCCAAAGGTATTCATGCTGACAAAAACGCACCAAAGCACCATTTTTTAATTATCTGATTGTTTATCTGAACAAAAAGAATGTTTTCCTGTTAGTATAGTTACTTTCTAAAGTTAGAGTATTCGATCCTTAAAAGATTAATAAATGGGCGGAAAATCAAAATAAACACACAGAAATTCAAGGGTTGAACTAATTGCAATACGTAGCACCATGCAAAAAAACATTGAAAAACTGTATAGTTCGACGTTTCAGAAAATCCTGGTTAGTGAGAATGTTAGAACATAAGATGAATCCAATGAGTGGCTACGTCTGTCTCATTGCCACTGATTTTCTGTAATTGATTTCTACCATCTCAAGAAACTCAACCAGGCAGTTTTGGTTGACAGTCTTATTCGAGAAATTTACCTAGTTTCGATATGCTTTTGTTCTAAATCCTGCCGTAGGCGGAAGATTTGGTCGATTCATCAACCACCAGATATGAAGCCCAGCTTGATTCCTCGAGTTTGTTGTTCTAAAGCTCAAGTTAAGCTTTAGATCCTAGGCACGATGTGAGTCAAACTGATTACTCTGTATTTGTCACACAATCACTTCTCTATTCTCTTATGAACCACAATAATTGGCGATCTAGACAACTTTGTTCGGACTATATCGGATTCCCATACTCTACCAGCTATCTCCATTACTCCCCTCGCAGCGCTGTGGCTCATTGATTTAGGCAGATGACTTTCAACCACTGGGTCATGGGCTTGCACCCTGCTCCACCTACCGAGGTTTGGAAAGCCACGTATTATTATTAGCCCTAACACCGTGTGTGGCTCATTGCCTATTACACGAATATACACAAAGTTAATGAGTGCATTCCGACTGTGAATTACTCTACTTAGTAACTTTATACCACCTCTCTTGGAAGCTTCTGGTGACGAACCGTCATCTGTTGCATTGGATCGTTTCAAGTTTGAAATGGCCTTGTCATCTTGAGAGTTGAAAAACCAACATATGCATCCCATTCAGTTTTGGGTTGCACCCTTGGTAACTTCAGCGTTTCTATCGGTCAGCTGGACTATTCTTCAAAGTGTTTTGCCAAACTTTCTAACCGTTAGTTCTGAGAGGCTATCAAGAACCTTTTTTTCCCAGTAATCATCGTCTTCTTTGTGCCGGTATCCTCAATAAGCTTGCATACTTGCCGAATGTTAGCTATTTCCAATGTCTTCTCCATCGCTTTCGCATTCTTCACCCACCACTTCTCACTATTATTGAAAAGATTATAAGTTGTTACGTTCAGGCTGGCTTCACTGTTTATTGTGGTCAGGGACCACTAAGATGAATCTTGTCACATCAGTCAGTTTGGATGAAGTTGTGGAAGTCCGCTGATTTCTATTCTCTGGTGGATTTAGATTATCAAATGTTTCTACCACTGTCTTTACAGTAGACTACATTATGCCAGGTCTCATCAGACGGAGAATCCCTATGTTCAGATGAATGCTTAGATATCCCATCTCTAAATACAAACTCGAGGTTCCCACCTCCCACGGGTTTGACTACTGTCTGTTTCCTACCATCAGTAAGGCACGAAAATACACATGCTTGCACTAACGCGTGATTGGAGTTCAAGCAGTTTTTCAGTAGAGTGAGAATATTTTATCACTCATGTGCAACGATGATTTATCGTAATATGATCTGTCTGTCCATATCATTGGTTGAATTTCCATGGATATCAAGTGAGACAGCGTCTCTCCTTATACCTGAAGTTAGCACTGGCCAGAAACAAGTTGCTGCCGGGACAAAACTATGAGATAACCCATTGTTGTCAGTTCACTGATTTGTGATACCATAGATATCTTCAAGATTCTTTTCGATTGCCTTAGCCTCCTTACATGAGCATCAACTTCACCTGCTATTGTAAAAGTATCTGGAAGTTTTGCGTTTATATCGAAATTAACAGCTTTTGGTAGAATTTATTCTTTTATCATCTGAACTGCCTTTGGTGAGTGTATAGACGAGGCTACAAATAGACATCTCACAATTATAAATTTTTGGAAAGCAAGAACAGCAAATTCTGTGGGATGAATCGGATTCATTTCGTGTGCTCTAAATCTTCCACATACGCACTAAATGTCATTGAGAGGTGGAAGGGCACTAACCAGCGCCATTGGCAAGCATATACTCTATACAGGTCATGCTGTCGACTCAAACAGCTTTTAAGGTAATAAATAGACAAAGATATAGTAGGTTTCTACTTTGTGCAGAAGCAGCAACGATCCGTCGACTGAAACTAGACTTGTGTGTACAAAAGGAGTTTGTTGTTCACCTTGCGTTGCGTTGTTCTATTCCTACAGCTTTATTTACTATTTTATTCTTTCATCTTATTGTCTTACATATTGTTCTCAAACATTATTCATATTCCCATCATTTTTTGATTTATTTTAAACCATTATATTTTATGATGTTTGTTAGCACATTCTTTTCTGTACGTCTACCATTAACTCATATACTTTGCTTACTGTCATTCTTGTTCTCCTCCTTCCATTAGAATTCTTACCATCTTGAGCTGTAATCACATTCCTGTACTACTATCACGTCGTATTTTGCTTTGTGTTTACTGATCGATTTTAAAGTCTGACTTGTAACTTATTCCCTGTATTGGTTGTTTAGATCGTGAACTTTGTCATTCATCCATGTTCCCGTGTATATGTATTGATGTTTAGGTTTAAAAGTTGTATTTGGTGTTGTTTACTACTGAAATGTATCAAATGACATGCTGAATACTGATAGTTTACTGTACAAAATTTTAAATTTAGTGCGTATGTGGAAGATTAAGAGCACACGAAATGAATCTGATTCTTCCCACAATATCTGTTGTTCTTGCTTTTCAAAAATAGACATCTGCAAGTTTCAAAAGCCATTTTAACTTATGCAGACTCATTCAGTCAGACGGCCAACAGACTTCTGCTAACTGGTATCCAGTCAAAAAGCGCGTCTCCCGTTCTAGTAAATGATTCACTACCTACACTATTGGGTCTACGAGGACTAGTTATTGAATTTGCAGACAATCAATAGGTGAATTCTGCAGATTCACCATGTTAGTTGGGTGAGGTCAAGCGTATAACAGTATAGCTACTGTATGCATGTCTCAGAAACTTAACATACACTCACGGTTCGAGATCACAGTGTTTTGGCCAGAGACCTCCGTTGTCTAGTTTTGCACTGGGTTCGAAAGTAGGACTTTGCAATGTGACATTGGTAGCGTGGTTTTTAGCGAACTATGGATAACGTTTTAGTAGCGTAGGTCGTTTGTAATGGTTTCGAGGTGGGAAGTTCAGGAAACTATATGAGGCCTAATGTTTGTATCGGTAACTGAAAGCAAAGAAGGGAACGAGAGTTAGGAATGTAGTTCATCTTCAGTTGTGTTTTGTATGCTACTGGAATTGTGTAAAATATTGACATTTTCTTGCTTTTCATATCGTGGAAGTTGTTTTTTATGCGAGGTAATCGTTAGACAAAATGGGTTAGTTTAGTGCGACCGCAGAGTCCATGTGATATCTGCTTGAGACCTGTCATACTCGACTTTTGAAGAGTGTTGGTTTAAGGATTGATTGAGCTAACGGTGGGAAAGAAAAATCCCTACGGTTGGACCCGAAATACAACAGGGCAAAGGGTAGACTATTATTTTCGGGACCAACATTTTCTAACATCCTTGCTCATAGGGAGGGCAGAATCAGTGTGGTTCTGCTGGTTATCTATGGGAAACACCCTATTGTTGTCACACCTTGTCCAACCAATAGCATGACTTTACCCTCGTACCTCCCTTATAACGTAGCTGGTTAAAATATGTAACCGGTTTTTGTCTTATAAATATTCAACTGACCTTTCTGGTATTGTACTACCTCAAGGGAACAAATTTCCCACTAGCATAACCCGTTGGATCGTTGTGATATGCCAACATGACCACTATATCAGCGTATCATTTATAGGTACAGGCACTGATATGACGACAACCCCATTGGAAAAGTCATTCAAAAATTGGTTCACACTAACCAGTTGCCTGATGGTAGTCAATGTAGATTTCAAGTCATAAGTGTTACCACTATCAGGCGGTTAAGTATGCAATACGGTCACTCACCTAAATGACAGAACACTGACGCACAATTTGTTTGTTAACAGGTTCTAAGAGTCAGTCACTTTGAAGTTGTGACCTCAAGTTTCTAATGTTTTGAGACTACACATAACTGTCTACGAAAATTCGAATACAGTGAGGTTGCCTCTCATCCGTATGTAACAGTATACGTAACTAAGATGTTGAGATTATAAGGAATATTTTTGGCTCGCAGTGGAAATGAGTATGGTTTGGTGCTCTTTGACGTGTGATATTTGGTCGTCAAAGTTCCATAATGAGGCTCAGTGAAGTTATTACTAATAACCTCTCTATGAAGTTAGTGTAACTGAACCTTGCTCTTACTATTTGCATACTGCTTGGTAAAATCTCTGAGAAGTTTGGCAGAAATAGTCTTACGATTCTTTAGAACAGTAGATATCATTGGTGAATTTCTTGTCTGATTACCAATTTCTCACTCTGCTGTTGTTGTTTCAGTGACTCTAACGTAGTGGAATTCACCTTGTGGGTTTCATATGCTATCTGTGTATCGTTTGTCTTCATTTTGGGTATATGGGCTCCTGGACTACCAAGCTACTATGCAATTTATGAGTTTCTACAATCTAGTGGTCAAAGTACACTAATTTCCGAAAATGTATGGGTAAGACGTATCCGACGATTGAAAATCGTGTCACCTTTTATCTGGCCAAGACACCAAAAGACCATACAACTCAGAGTTTTCGCCTGTTTTCTGCTATTGATTATTGGCCGAGGTGTCAATTTGTACTCCCCCATTTTGTACAAGGATATAGGTAAGTTGTAGAGGTAAAATTATTTTTTTTTATATAATTTCCACGATTTGACATTATTACGAAGCAATAGTGAACCGTATTTCAGTAGGACATTATGTATTTTTAGAAGGGTTCTAAATTGTGTATTTTGGAATTCTGTCGCTTTTACTCGAATGGTTTCAATTGCAGTTTTTTGTTGTTATTTTCATCAAATAAGATAAAATGTTCGCATTTTTCACGGTTATAAATTGTTTATGAGTACTAACGCCCACGTACACTCTCCCCACTTAATTATTGTTTAAATTTCTTACTGTTAAGCGTCTAGACTGTTCTGTAGGGTGCATTTCAGTATAGTTAATTGCAGTCAGCTTAAAAACTCTTCATAGCTTTCAAAAGTTTGTTCAGAAAAGTTTTGACATGTCCTCATGAAATTGAGGGGGGACTGGTTGTGTTGATATTACGTAACGCTTGACCAACCCTACTTAATTCGGTGTGCTGTAGAACCTGCTTAACCATTGCCTCATCTAATTTGTAAGTACTGATAGCAGAACACAAATTAAAAGGACTGGTATTCAGGAATATGTTCAGAGGAGCAATGTATCTAATTAGAATAAATGTGATAGTAATTATTATGGGCAAAGTTTATCAAATTTATCCGGATAGTATGGCTGAACTGAGAACTCTGAGGATGTGGGTGCTAACCAGCACAAAGAGAGCGCAAAATGGCGTCGAAGTTTATTCGGATCAATGCTCGTTGAAACAAAACTTGAAACACCTTTAGCATCCGTAGGCAAGCTAAAAGTTTATTTAGTTAATTCAATTGATTCTATTTATTTTATCCTTAGTTGCATTTTGGTGCCAGGAAGATGCACTACAAAATACTTAACGAAATGTCTACTCACTCTTGGCCATCGGCACATTGTTCTTGCATAACTGAATTTTCACATGTGATGTCATTTGCCTAGTTAAATTTCCATACGAGGCGTTATTTGGTTACAGCATCAAATGCATTTTGGGTGTCCTGAAAGCAGATCAGTAGTTGTTTGTCAGGTTATTCGTGTTTTGGCTGGTATAATGATTTAGCTTCACTTTTGGGGGATTATAAAAAGCTATAGATTTATTTTCGACCTGGTCATCAGATACACATTTATTTGTTGACGTTTATGAGGAAATGAGTGTATGCTGCACTCTTTTTGAAATTTAGTCACTAATAGTGAACTAGATAGTTCATATTTGAAGGAAAAATCTTTTTTCCGGTTTACTGAGAGATTACTCATTACTGAAAGACTAGAATTTGTGATTTCAGATTACTTTGTTTGGAAGTATAACTAATATAAGACAACAAACACCAGTATCTGTAAAGTAGCACTACATCAATTGAGATTCTGTGTTGAATGTAAGCATGACAACTGTGTGGACAGTTAAGTTAACTCATGTTTCTTGCGATGAAATGTTCTCCACCAAACATCCGGTTCTATAAAACATCAAATAACTATTATGGATTGAATGGTTTGCGAAAATTTAACTTTGATGAAGCTATTATGTAGTACTAAGTAGAGAAGCGTCAGTTAAAACAAAGTTATTTTGTTTTTCATTAGGAAATACAAATACCAAACAAATGAAATGTTTTGGATTTTCGAGATTTAACGTGTTATTAACTTTGTATCTTGCCAATGATTATTAGTGACTACCATCTTCCAGCATATTGCGTGTTCCATTTACAAAACACGCACCTTCCCTTTTCATTGATACCAGAAGTTAGTGATCACATGTAGTTCCTGATTATCATTAAGCTTCTATTTCACCTCTGTTCCAATTCATACAAAACCAGTCGATGTATAAATGTACGCAGTATACATCAACATCGAACTCATTTCCTCTGAGACTGCATAGTATAGATTATGAAATTGTTTTTAAAAACTTATGGTAAAGATCATTGAAGGATGGATTAACAAGATTCCTTTATACTTTATTGTTAACAATACAGTAACTCTTGTAGTTTCATCGTCTTTTATTCTACGGTTAGTGTTAACTTTTTAAGCTTACTGCACTCCAAACTCCATTTAGTGCTCTCAGCATTCAAAACGTGCGTTAAATTAAAAATCAGGCTTCACCAGGTAAACTGTAATATCCATCATCTTAGATCTTCGTCACGTTCAGATGTTATGATTGTAAGCGTTTTTCTCCCTTAGTTTCTGGAAATTCCACGAGCAACTTACAAACGACAGTAAGGGATTGCATTCCAGATGAGAAACTCAACCATTTAACCCTCTAAATAAAATTCTCATATATCCTCTTCGACTAGGTGGTTTTTTGAAGAACATGATGAAGTGATATCTACTGAAAATTATTTCCAAACTGCCTACTGCTAATATTTCAAATGGTACGAGTGAAATTCGTTTAAAAGCTGTTGTATCTGCTCCAAATACTAAAGATTCAATTGTAGTAATAGTAGCTGGTAATCTCAGCTGACGATTTCGGAAGCTGGGAGAAGTAAAATGGAGTCCTGAGGGTTTCTTTGATTGGCAAGGATGGTAATTATATCCTACAGCTCCGTTCTGATAGCCACCTATTCAAAGCTAGTTAGCATTCACTGTTTACTGAGTGTTTGTTAGGAGTGAGTTGATAGATCATTCAATATAAGTGGAAAAAGAATCAAGGTTATTATTAGGAACAGAAGATTTTCAGAAATTCGTGGTCGGAATCCTGCTTAAAAGAAGCAATAAGTTTATGATAAAGCCATTTGTAAGTTAGAGAGGAAAACATAATACAATACGTGTCAAACTGTGTTATAGGCTGAAATTATGCTTCTGTGTTGTGATCCTGGAGTATGCTTATTAGTTCCCTGTCGTAGCTACACACGATTGAGATTAGGACAGAAGATGGACTAATACCAACGAATATATTAGCCACTAGGGTGACTAACAAAAGAGACTAAAAACACATGGTATTTGTAACGTCTTTTATGGAATCAATAAGATAACTAAAAACAACCTAATAATCGTTTTGTTGATTTGTAGTAATGGGAATACAGTTGAATAGTTCTAATTATGGTAAAGCGAAATAATGCGACTACAAAATGTTACTACTTGTCATGCATTAGGTTTTCATTTATGACTGGTTTCGAGAGGTGATTCCCAAAGTTACAATGAGAAGTCGTGACCAATGGAGTCAACCAAATTGAAGATGAAGACAGTTACTCAACGACGACATTGGATGTAGGTCGCGCTATATCGTGAAATGACAGAAGTAGGAAATGTGGTTCACTGGGTTCCGACCCTGTGACCCAATGGCCATGGAACCTCAAGGTCCTGGGTGCACACTGCTAAGGATTCCGATGCTAGGACGAAACACCTGTTCAGTGCTCCCAGGTTTCCAATGTTCCTCCAACTGATGTCAGTCTATGATGAATTCCAACCTAAAATCAACTAGTAAACCTCCACAAACCTTCAGATAGAATTATCGTATTATTCAACAAAATGGTTACCAGAGTAGCTAATAGAAGTCTTGGTGTTGGCTTTTTCCGCATTACAGTAGACCGTTTTACACTATTCACTTTATGTTCCAGTTTTTTGAATGGTATTTCATTGCGCTGTTTTCAGTTCACAGCTTAGAATAAAATACATTTTGTAAAGTTCTATGTTATTTTATTTCAGTTGAACATGCATAAACACCCGGTTTATTATTTTATAAATTCAATTAACACTTCTCCCATCGTGTGTTTAAATTTAACTAGGTTCAGATTAATTCTTTTCAAAATCTATTTATTCCTAAGTATCATTGTTTTGCTCACTTTTGAATTACAGTGAATAGTTTGTCTGTGGTTGACAATTCTACTGAAACTGTGTCTTCTGAACAGAATCTTGTTATGAGTCAGTCACCGTATATGATATTCAACAGTGTGTCTATCAAGAGTGGATTGGTTTATCGTTGGGACTATGTTCTCTTATTTGCCTTATTACGATTGCTTCAAGGATTGGGTGGTATGGGTGCAGGTCTTATATCTTCCTTACGTTCTCAGTTATGGATAGCAGTTGATCAATTCTCAACAAGGGGATTAAGCGTAATGCTTTTTGCACATATTCATAGGTAAATTTTTAAAAGGTCTTCTGCATATACATACATTTTTGTACTGTTTTTCAACAAGTCACTACCACTGACATTATCTGGTTTGTATGAAATCGGTAAGTTTATAAGACAACAAGAATAAGAGTAGCTACAAACATTAAAAAATCCATTATTTTATCGAGTTCATATCTCTGAATATACTGAAGTGTATGGGAGACAAGTTAATTCTATCTGATGATCAACATTTGCAACATATGGGTGGCAAGTGTCACATTTCATTGTCAGAAGGGAAATTAATGTGATGGATGTTTAAAATTATGTTACAATGTGACATTCTGAGCTACTTTTTTAGGTAGTCTACTATCGATTGAAGTTATTTCATCAGTTTTTTGAGAAATGACTTTGAGATGTCAATCAAACTACTTATACTCCACAAATTTTTTTTCTGGGAAACAAATTTGAAGTGAATCAGACATCAGTTAGATGTCTTTTTGTTCCTCTTTGTAAAGATGATAAGTTAAAAATACCAGTCATCAAATGCAAGTTCGATGCAAATTCATTTTGTTAATCCTTCATGACGTCTAGAATCCTTCTGCGGTAGATTGAGAAGACTTACTTTTAGTTTCCAGTTTGCCTGATTATTATTCAGCTTCTATATAGTTTTCTTACTTGTTCTCAAATTAAAATCATAGTGTTTAGCGTTTTAATCCGGTTCCCATAGTTGTATTTCCCTGACAAAAGGTTCAGTTTTATCGATTATCGGTCTAGAAAACTGCTTCTGTTTTATAGTAAGTTGACTATTCTCACTAAAGTTTCTCAGGCTTCATCTTTTGCTTCATATTTGTTAGTTTGTTGGGATGTCACAACAGACATCAGTATGCGAGATATATCACATTTCTTGCACCTTCATATCATAAATGATTGTCAGTTTCTGCTACGATCCGCGATATGTAAAACGATACAGTGCTCCGATGCGATACGATTAACGATAGAACAATGACTTCTCAACTCGACATTCAGCTGACATCAGAGGAAGACGATGGGATTGAAAGTATATTTACTTCAATCAAATAATAATAGCTGAAAACTTGGTCGTTTATATATCCTCAGATGACATTGGTCAGGAAAAACAAAATAGTATATTAAAAGTGTAAAATGGATCAATCAGCATTTAGTATCCTAAAGTGCGGTAAAAATAAATAACAGCATGGCGCAAAAAGGGCCCGAAAATAAGGTTTAAACTTTTCAATGATAATATAAACATAAGTTAGTTTTCCTTAGGAATTAGGCATCTTTAACAGTTTTCGCAATGTAAAACAAGTCACTACTAACCAAAGGCACTGGTATGTATACTACTTAAAGAAAACAATAATCTGATTGATGCTTTTCTATCACTTACGCTTCAGATAATAGGTGCAAGGTAGTTACATGTGATCTGAGATATATTTTAGGCAGGGGAAACGTAGGAAATAAAGTCTGTTAGCAAGCATAAATTTGTCTTAAAGATGTTGGATATGAGTTACATACGCTGTGTGAACGACAGGGTTGCTCTGTTAAATTAACGCGGTATTATGGTAGATAAATAATGTATCATAGTGAAAGATTATCAACAGATAATGGAATTGTTATGCGTATATTGTAGTTTAACCCTAACATTTTTTGTAAATTCAAACAGGATTTCTCTGAACATTTCGCTGTGCAAGCCACAGCTTCTTCAGCAGGATATCCTGTCAGAATTTTTATAATCTTAAACAATGCAATTGTTGTAATTGCATATATGTCTTCATAAAAGTGTTAGTTAATATATCACTGGTATATACTTGTATTTCGTAGTGAGATATAAATGAACGCATTAAAAATATGAGAGGCTGACTTTCTGTATTAGTCAGTGCAGGAATTAGTTTGAACATGTCTCCTAATAGCGTTTTACACTTTATTCTTGTAGTTTAAAAATGAGCTTAAAGCACACTAAAATGCAAAGTTTTGAGTGTCTAAAACGAAATGGAAATACTGACTACTTATCTGTAGCTGATTTTTCACTTAAACATTTTCATATAGAGCAGGTGGAGTATGAAGACAAATACACGTCTATGGCGTTAGAAAACGGTCACCTTACATCACGAGTTGACAGAAGTTGAAAAACGTGACTCGTTTGATTCCGATCCTGTTACTGAGTGATACGGTACTCACCCTGAGACCTATTTAGTGTAGGCTATATCTCTCATGGGGTTATGGGTGCACAATGTTGAAGGGTCTCAAAATAGGATGAAACTATTGTCCAGTACTTCCAGGTTTTCAGACGTTCTCTGACTGATTTCGATCAGTGACCCGTTTAAAGTTCTAATCAGACTACATGATAAGATAATTTTATATTCTGAGCTGTATTTAGATGACGATTCATATTTCATTTAAATCGTGTATTCATGGACGAATACACTGTGCTATTAGCTATTAATGTTTCTTTTTTAAGGAAATCTAATCCAATTTCTTTTGTTTTGTAAGGCTTTCTTTAAAGTGGCATTTATCAAGAAAAACCGGAGAAGTGTTGAGAGTTATGGATCGTGGGACAGCTAGTATTTCAAATATTCTATCATATCTTGTTTTCAATATTCTTCCTACAGTACTAGACGTTATTATTGGTGTAGTGTATTTCATCACAGCTTTCAATGTTTGGTATGGACTGTTAGTTTTTATTACCATGCTTGTATATATTGGTAAGTTGTATCTCTTTTTTTTTAATTGATCGTTCGCAATTAACTCCTTATTATACAAGTTTTCAACTGTGGCGATTACGTAATAACATATTTCTATGGCCAATGTCACTTTTCGCTACCAAGTTTACCATAAATATGCCCTAGAAAATCAAAGTCATGATATCAAATGCTTGTACCAAATATGCGCGTCTATTACGTGTACTAGTATTTGAAATATCTGAAGTAGCTTTATTGTTGACGGTTGGATTTCAAAATAACACTATCAGTAGTCTCTGAAAAATTTTCGGATATTCAGTTGACTAAATGACAATCAAGTGATAACAAAATCTTAATTTGAGTTCACTCACCGAATACCATATGAATGTAACGTAAACATCTGTATACTTTTTTATTTAAGTTTCACCTAGACCCAGATCTTGTTATCTGAATCTAAATCTATGGTCAGAAAAAGTGCTAAAATTGAAGTAGAATGTATAGTGAAACTGCTCTTGTCACCAAACTTTACAGTGGCGGTATCTTGAATAGTAGGGGATAACCTTCTCATATTAGTTGTTGGAAAGTATCGCTATTTCTCAAAAATTCAACCTAAAGATTTTGGAAATTTAATTATCTTCAACTATATCTTTCACAAAACTTGGTATTGCACGGAATTTTTAATCTTGCCCCACTTATTCTCTATGTAAGTGGCTAATTTCAAATGTTATCCTGGGAAAATCTTTATAGATAAACATGAGATTTCACTCTGTTCACCGTCTGTTTAGAGTAAGAATAAATGCATCTCATTTCCTCAAGCTCTTTTTTGTACTTACTTGCTAGTCGTTGGGTAAGGAGTTTAATTCGTGTTGACTGATTGCTAATGTGTTCATTGTTGAATCGTATTGTGCTTTCAAATCCGAATCATGTCATCAGTGGACAGAATAATCCAACAGGCAGAAGAAGGCTACACCAATTTTGTTTCTTTGATGTTCATACTGAAGTCTGATGCTTATATTGCTGCTTTCATTACCATGTTTTACTTCATAACTTTTAGACCGAGGTTGTCAGTCAGTTAAATCATCTATTTGGAGTACTATTTATTATATTCATCTGATATGTTTCTTCTTCTAAACTGACTGATTAGCAATCAATCATTTCTACAAAGATAATTAAGCTAATCCTAAAGACTGTATTTTCGAACTGAATTCTTACCACAGGTCATAATATTAATTATTCTGTTTCATAAGAACAGGATTCACTTACTGACGGAAATGAGACTGGAACTATCTGACAGTTACGTTTCATAGCTTAAATAGTAGCTCACCTGATATGGTATGAGTGTTAATGGTTCGAAACTTGACCAAGAATCCAATTTTCTTTCCATCTGAACCATTCTTTCTTGTTTATTGATAACTTCACTAAAACATTGAAAATAAGAAACCATTGAGCGTTGTAAGAACTTTACTTTATTCTGGAAAACCACCACTGAAACCTTGTAATTGTCGTTTATACAGAAAGGTGTTGTTTCCTCTGCGTCATGCTTGTCCACTACTGACCTGTTTTAGTTTTCCTTGTAAAATGTATACATTAGGTGTAATCAAAGTATTTCGATTGTCAAACGGAACACTTCTAAAAATATGTCTGTTAAATTTAGTTTTTTTCCATGATCTAAAAAGTTCCGTTTACCGCTTATTTTAAACATATAATGGGCGTCGACTGTTGCAATACCGAATACCTTTTAACCCTGGTTTTTCCACCTAATACCCCGTCATTAAAAAAAGATCGTAAACAAGTATTTTGGAAATAACACTCAATTTTTTGTTTATAAATCATATACTTTTCATCTTCTTCATTTACTAACTTGCTTGATCTAAATGTTTTTGCCTGTTTTTTCACCATTGTACTAGTTTCCACAGTATTGATTACTGAATGGAGAGCAAAGCACCGACGTGAAATGAACAATTTAGACAATCAAAAAAGTACTAAAGCTGTTGATGCTGTATTAAATTTTGAAACGGTAAGTTATACTGTTCGAGAAAATATGAAGTAATTATGACGAGTATGTTTTCTGTCTAACAATAAAACCAATAAATTTTTAAATCACTCCCATCAAAAATAAAAATGTTAAAGCTGTAAATATGAGTGTGACTAGAATTCTCTAATGATGGATGACAAACACGGTTTGCTCCTTAGTTAGGCGATTAGTATGCGATAGAATTAAACTTTAGTGACGACCAATCACGTTTAAGTATCCACTATCTAATCATAACCAAAATTATGAAGGACAACGTAATTATTAAAGTAAATGCTGTCTTACAACTGATCAATTTTACTTGAGAAAACAAGATATCTAGATTCTAACTAGGTTTGTCATCTTTGAAACGATACCATTGTCTTCATTGCCACTAATCTATGTGAGACAATATCATCTGCATGATATTGGGGAAATTTCCTCTCATGATCCCGTTCAAGGTCTTAAAAATCTTCTAAAATGACTCCATATATTTTGAAAGTTGTTTGTATGCACCCCAGTCGTCTGATCAATAAAGTGCTTTTTGGCGAAAAAAATTTTTTCTTTTCGACTAAGTCATTTACTAAGCTATACATTCGTGAATATATGTTACAGTGGGTAGAACGTTCTACAATTGTTTCCGGTCAGGGAGCAAAATATACTGAGTAACTAAGGGAAGTTAACTTATACACATTTGTGTTTAGAGTGGGAAAATAGACAGGGGATTATGAAATTAAGTGTAATTGCGTAATGTAGGATGAATGTATGGCAAAGTAGGAAACTGAACGAAGGGTTATGAAGATAAAATTGCTATTGTGTAGTACCGGATAAACCTGTGATAGAGTATCAAAATAAATAGGGGATCATGAAAACGAGATTGTGATTACATAATACGGGTTAAGTCTGTGACAGAGTAGAAAAATGAATAAGGTATACATGTGTTGTTACCTGATACAAAATGAATACATGGCAGACAAGGCTTTATGGATGGCCACTCTAAACAAAAATGTGTATAAGTTAACTTCGCTTGGTTACTCAATATATTTTGGCCCCGACCGGGAACAATTCTGGAACGTTCTACCCACTGTAACATATATTCACGAACGTACAGCTTAGTAAATGACTTCCTCTAAAAGAATAAATTTTCTTCACTGAAATCACATCTTGTCTTTTCCTATGATCAAATGGGTGTATTCCGCTTTTTGAAATGGATGTAACGCATTTCAGAAAGTGGTATAAATGACTTCCAAGGATCTATGCATATTGTGGTACCCAGTGTCACGCGTTTATTCATGACTAATAGGATATATTTTTCTGATCTATCGTTTGCCCACTGAAAACGTTCTTTCTTCATATCTTGGTTGTATATATCAAGAATCCGTGGTTTGTATATGTACATATATTGGGTGAGATTTAACTTACCCAGTCCTGTTTAAGTTATCTCCCTAGGTTATATTTAGATTTCTGAACAAGACATTTATTTATTTCAACCATATTACCTACTCTACCGAATTTCGCATACAACCTGCAACCTAATCTTCGTCATAATTTATCAAAGGTTTATGCAACATCACCAACACGGTAAACGGACATGATGAATGCTTTGAATAAATCATCTCTGACCTCATTGGTTGTACCCAAGGTTTCGCAATTACAAGTGATTTGCATAAAGTCACAAACAAAAATCAAGTATCTATAGGATTGACTATTATTTGTCTTACTGTTGAGGAATATGTTTGCTACATGCATTTATCTATCGTTGTGTTTGAAATTTATCTGTTATGATTTGTTAAAAGTTTATGTTACAGCAAAATAAACGTATTAGTTGAATGTTGGTGAAGTAAGTACTTAGCAGGAACCTGATTGCAATGAACTGATTAGTTGATAGAGCTGTATCGGTTTCAGACAGCAAACATTGGTATATTGCCCCTTTTCCCATTTATCTTTAGAAGATGAACTGACTCGATCATTGTTTTGACATTGAAGTTAGGTAAATTAGTTTTTCCATGTATATGTTGCTATATCACTTACTGTCGACGGATATTATGAATCTAATGCATGTGAAGCAGAATAAATTACTCCCAAATTTTGTCACTGAGTGTAAACTTGTTGTCCTCGATCATATTTCTAGTTTCTGTTCAAACGTTTACATGTAACGCGAATGATGTAAGTCACTTCTGTCTTATATTGTTTAATATGTTTTCGAATGGCTCATCGATTGTCTTTGTTGATTAATATCATATACTGAGCATTTGAAGAAAAAAAACCGAACTAGTTTATTGATTGCAATTTTACCAATATGTACTTGCTTTATTCGATAAGTTTGATATAGCGCTCTTCCATAACAGACTGTATTTCACCACTGATAGTCTATTTTGGAAATTTTCTGTCACCAACAAATAATAAATGATGTTTCTATCCAGTTTGAAACAACCTACTGTTATCCTAACCTTCCCAACGTAGTCGACATTTGGTAGTATTCGCTACCATATTTCAGTCCTTTTCTTTTTTTCTTTCTTCCATTGATTGACCTTTTTGAAGTAATATTTTGGATTAGGTTGACGTCAAGTGTTTCCTTAGCATTTCCACTCTGTCACTTCCGTTAGCGTTATGTAAAGTGATTCAGTAGTCTGCACAAGCTGAGTCTGGTGAATGATGTTCAATAATCCAAATCAATCCCTGTTGGAGGAATTGGAGTTTCAAGGAATATTGTCATGATTTAACCAAATAGGAATAGAGATAGCATACGACCTTAGAGAACACTATTTGAAGTAGACACCCGGAAAGTTGGCTCAACGAAAATTGTGGTGTGACTACTAGTATTCAAGTAAAGAACTTTGAGTACGGCTGTATATTTGCTAGATACCCAGTTCATTGTTAGACCACTTGCTAAGTACTGTAAATTAAACTATTGTGATATGATCGTCTGATGCGCTTAGAGCGTTCCTGTCAAAGTTATCTATCCAAGATTACTAAAGGAGATAGACGAAACGAATCAACAGGCTAATTAACCGTTGGGACTTTACTTCTATTTGTTTTGTAATATGTCTTCATGAGGTTTTTTCGTATAATCAACAACAGACTGAAAATGTATAGTATCTACAGCATTACTCTTGGTATTCATTAGGTAGTCATTGAAATGATATAAAGTAGCCTGATTATTAATAAACCAATTCGTAGTGGTAATGATACACTTGAGTAAATCTAACTACAGATACAAAATAATAAAACGAAATAATATATCGAACAAATAATACTACTAATTATGCAGTAGGCTCCTGGAAAGTAATCTTATTTCCCAACACTAATGCCTAGGTTAAATGTTGTTTTCGGGTCAAATAGTACTTTTAGATTTTGCATGGAGTATATTTCCCATAACTACACCAACAATCAGACCTGAGACATTTCTTAACCTGTTGGGTTTGTTGTCCGTGAATTCTGTCTAGGCGTTACATGATTAGGAATGAAAAAATCTTAGAAACTCATTTTGCTAAGCTAATCCACTTATGGTCATCATAAGAAGACTTCTGCTTTTTACACATCTAAAGAATCAAGATTGATGAAAATAAATCATATCTCACTCTCATATTCCGAATCATGAGCTGATAAGATGAACTAGTAGTTCTTGATTACTATCATTGAATACCTTCGATGTAGGTCATCAGAACGTAGTCCTCTCTCACCTAAAGCAATCTCAATTTCTGTGCAAGTTGAGGGCTATAAGTGATTGTCGCATTCGAACTCCTGTTAGATAGCAGTCAGGTGAAGAACAAATGCTGTTCCAAGTTCTCAGCTGATTGTTCGTGTCCCAATATAGTTACCTTCATTTGAATCTTGAAAATCCTATTTTCGTAAACATCTTTGCACGTGTCACCTTTCTTTATGTTAAAGATTTTTGAAGCTTCTATCATGATTTTCATTTTTAAGTTGTCATTCTTGCTGTTACGGTTGTCGCACTCTGATATGTCGAGTTACAACGTGATCTAGTATGTGATATGATGAGCTTTCGTGGCGTATCTGTCAGTTTGTGTACCTGTGTGGTTGTGAACGGATTCCCTTACATTTTTTTCTCCGGCAATATTTTAACTGGATACTGTCCTCGTCTACTCTTACGAACCGTTGGTACTTTTCCCATATGTTTTTTCACCAATCCAAGTCATTATGAAAGCTTTTCTTTCTACCCTTCATTGTTCTTTAAATCCACTAGGATGTCTTACCATAAATCAAATATTACTGTGATACACCTTGGAGCTTATTATACCTATGTGATCTGTAAATGGTGATCACAGCTTTTACCGCTGCCTTTTAAGGAAACTGAAGGGGAAATTGAATTACCCCAGAATCTGAGAGTTTGATGAAGAACATTAGTAGCTCAGGAGGATAATTTTGGTAGTGTTATATTCTATGACCCGAGTGATATAATCGTGGAGCTTGTGTTGTCATTCTAGACAATATCAACACAAACTTCAAAAAGAAAGAGGTTTCTGCTAATGATGTTGGCTAGAGTGACAACGAAAGCTCCACAATTAAACCAAGGAGCTCAGAGGACACAACGCTATCATAAAAACGCTTCTAATACCCCAGAAAGTGTCTGCCTTTTCACTTTTACAGTTTGTGTTGCTAAGATGAAAAATGAATATGAAACTCTTGTCTTCAAGGATGACTTCTCACCACTTAACGTAACTTTACAATCTGAAGTTTCATTCACTGATAATTCAACTGGTCAGTTATCTCCACTATGGCGGTATGCAAACAAAGTTTTCTGGTTTCTTCAGCGTGACAAAACTTTTTGAGGATCGAATGGTATTTCAGTTACTCCTATGATGCACTAGCTGGATGCTTCTTCATTTAATAGAGTTTACTGATCAATACTGCTATTTTCTTTTGTCGATGTATCTTTTGAGATAGCCGTGGCCTGGTTGACAATTAGTAGACACATCAACACAGACAATTAACGTAGGGTGTGGAGCAGAAGTGCATGGTTTTAACTTGCCATACCTCACAGCAGGATGCAAAGAAGAAGTGAGTTAAAAAGAGTGACATCAAAGTAGATGAAGGTTTATATGGGGGGGGGGGGGGAGAAAGAATTTGAAAATGAAGGTTAGTAAGAGCATTCAAGCTACAGAAGACGTCAACGAGCGAATATATCTGTGCTGTTGTGATCGATTTCCACCCATGTCACTGAGGGTCTCCAACTATTGGTTACTATCATCTCGAGGAACCCAACCAGTCAGTCTACACCTCCCTACATGACTCAGACCAACAGTCATATACTTCAGGGACTGATGTCACATCTTGGTGTGATCATCATAAACCCTCTTCCAATCCATTCCTACTTCAGGTAACAATGTATTTGGGAGTGGGCAGTGACTCAGCATGCTTAACACATATCCAAGCCACCTCAGTCGGTGAAGGTTCCTAACCCCATCGATGAACTTTTTTCGTGCTTGGTACCCTTTGTCGAACTTTGACATTGCACACACGGTGATTTCACCATACGTAAGAAATGCTGTGAAGACACGTGTGGTCAAAAAAATGTAGTCTCATCATATCTCCTACTTTCAATGGCGATATCTTACAGCCACATAACAGTACAGAACCGACTGCAGCGCAGTATACTCGCCCTCCAACAGGTATTCAGATTTCTCACCGGGGCCGGAAGTAACGCAGGTTGATAGATGTTAAACGACCTTCTGTATCTGAACTGAGATTTTGTCAGTGATCAGCCCTTGTTAGCTTCCCAAGTAGGTGAAGCAGTCAGCACATCAAATCGCTTCACTTCGTATCATTTATAAGTAAAAGTTGGGGTAGACTGGTGCGTAAGCATCGTCTTACATTTGACAGGTGCGAAACCTATGCCAAGCATACTAGGACTTCCGTTAAGTGTGTTCAGCAGATACTGCGTTTTATCTGCATCTTTGCGTAACATGACAATGTCGTCTGTTTACTACAAGTTCACCAAGTGCCGCACATGCAGTAGGTTGATACTTGTGAAGTGTGAGGTACCTAGGCTTACATCCATCGGTATCCCTACTACGAAGTTAAATAGGAGCGATGACATTGGACATATCTGATTGACACCACTGTCTGTCATCAAGCCAGATGATGCCACTACACAGCAGCATGAGTTTGAGTAGAGAGCTTTGATTAGCATTACGTAACTACTCGTTACTCCTTTTATAGTCAGACACTACCCAAGCACCCCACGGCTGACAGAATTGGATGCCGCCGTCGGGTTGAGAGGTGCAACAAGTATCAGCCACTGGTAACTGTGCATATGTTCCAGAACGTATCGTAGTATAAGGGTTTAATAAATGCACCAACAACCAAGTTTGAAACCTGTCTGATTTTTTCGAGTTTACTGTTCGCGAGCGGCGGTTAAGCGTCAGGTAATTATGAACCCAAGGATCTTGAAAATGATGTTAGTTAAACTGATTCTCTATTTTTGTTATAAGTAGAATTCTCTCATTTTTGTAGACTGAAATGGTCAGTTTGACCGAACTACACGAATAGCAGTAATGTTATGCACGATGAGATTCTAGGTAAAATAGAAACCTGGGTTGTGGCAGGATTCAAACCAGACGCTTACGGATACTGACCCTCTGCTAGTCAGACAGATACTGAGACTATTAGGTATAGATTGTTAGGTGACACAGGATCATGTAACAACCGGGCAAAACTCTCGATGATTGAGGTGAAAAAAACGTCAGCAGCTGGGTCTGTTTGCTCAACTGTTAGAGCACCGGGCAGGTATAGTAATCCTCTGTTTGAAATCCTACCACCACGCGGGTTTTCAGTTAACTTCAGTCATCATGTAAAGGATGCACTGGATTCAAAACTACGACCGGAACAGGCTGGCTGACTGGATTCAAGAAGTACAAATCATGTGCGGACCAAATTACAACTCTTTGCATCATAACAGAACAGAGTATGGAATGGCAGTCAACTCTCTACCTCAACTTCATCGACTTTGAGAAGGCCTTTGACAGCGTCAACCGAGAGGTAATTTGGAAACTGCTTCAATACTACGGAATACTGCAAACCTTTATCAGCCTCATTCAACAACTATATGAAGACGCCATATGCCAAGTAATTCACAATGGGAAGCTCAGTGATGCTTTCGAAGTGAAGACAGGAGTGAAACAAGGTTGCCTACTATCCCCCATGATATTCCATATTGTGGTGGACTGGATCATGCAACAAACAGTGGGGAGCGAAAAGAGGGGGATACGCTGGCTGCACTGGGGAAAAGAACCTAGAAGACTTAGATTTCGCCGATGACTTATGTCTGACGTCGCACAAACTTGAAGATGTACAGGCGAAAACAAACGATTTGGCAGAAGAGGCAAGGCAGGGCAAACGGGACTTCCAGTGAATATAGAGAAGACAGAAGTGATGAAGATACCGCACCAACAACTCCAACAACAACAACAAACTCCAATCACCATGAACAGGAGGAACTTAAAGGAAGTAACCTCCTTCACTTATCTAGGAAGCACTGTTTCAACTACAGGTGGCACAGACGAGGATGTCAAAGTCAGAATCGAAAAAGCAGGACAGGCATTCATTAGCCTGAAACCAGTGTGGAGATCTTCTGCACTGAACTCAGCATATGGAACAAGATCCGGATTTTGAACACCAACGTCAAGTCAAGTCAGTGCTTCTATATGGTTCAGAGACTTGGCGGGTTACGAAAGGGATTTCCAACAAACTACAGACATTCATAAACAACTGCCTACGCTGGCTCGTTACTGAAGATCAGATGACCAGAATAGTAAGAATAAGCAACAAGGAACTCTGGCTGGTAACGAACCAACCGAGAAGCTATCGCTCAACAAATATGCAGAAGAAAGTGGAGATGGATTGGGGATACACTGAGAAGGCCGACTGGGGACATCACACGTCAGGCCAGGCCCTTGAATGGGACCCAGATGGGAAGCGACGAGTTGAGCGTCCGTGGTGAGGGTGATATGGAGGAGATCGTGCGAGGAAGAAATGATAGCTTCTGGGCTGTCGTGGAGCCAGGTTCAAAAGATTTCAGAGGACAGAGTACACTGGAGACGTGCTACTGAAGCCGTATGTTCCATTAGGAACCCAAGGGACAAATAATAATCATGTGGTATTTTTTTTGCTGTTTAGTGGTCATATTTTTGTCATCATAGCTAATTTTTCAGTCAAGTGTATTTCTCTGATGGCTCATCTGCTTCAAAAATATTATGGATCTTCTTATAGTTTTCCAAGCGTTTATCTGAGCAAATGTATTTTTAGATTATGCAACTATAACGGTAGATGTACTACATATATATTTACTATCTAATCATTTGCAGGTTAAATATTATAATGCTGAACAATTTGAAGTGAATCGTTATAACCAAGCATTTATAGAGTATCAAAAAGCTGATTGGCGGAATTCGTTTTCACTGAATATCCTCAATTCTGTACAGAATGTGACTATCAGTATTGGATTTATGTGCGGCGTTCTATTATGTGCCCGAGATGTTGTTAATCAGACGTTGACAGTTGGACATTTTGTTTTATTTTGTACATACATAATTCAACTCTATTCACCACTTAGCATTTTCGGTACATATTACAGGTAAGTCGAAGTCTGTCATCGGTTTGTATATTATCCTGATAATCATTTATATCAGGATAATTCAATAAAAATCTTAATGTATTTTGTTATTAGCTAAAATTTCAATCCAGAACTCATGTTTTATCGTTTTTCGAGACTCAATAGGTGGATGTAACTGTTTTCGTGTTCTTCTTAGTTTAACTTATAAAGTACTGTCTATTACGTTACTGAGTTTATAAAACTATTCTTCGTGGAGCGCATGTTAGAGATTAATGAATACATTGCCTAGGATATTTGACATGAGAATCCCTCCATATAAAATTCAAACAATTTAGCAAAAGTGGTATTGATATAGCTAATTTGAACTCTTTGTATGTCAAAAACTAATTAAATGAGTTGGCTATCAGTATGTAAGAATAAACATGTTTTACACACGGAACCTTAAAATGCTTACTTTTTACTCTGGTAAGAATAGAAGTTCATTTGTGAAAATTGTACACTGAACTTTCTTAAAGCTTGAAATTAAATGCTATTTAGTGTAAACACTTGCGAAAAAGTAAACTGTATATATTCATACACAACGTTACTGTTTATCATTTATGTCATAAAATATTGAAAGTGGTTGCACCAGTAAAGCAGACTATCTGATACATGTTCGATGCTCATCCTTGTTTAAATGAATTTCAGATACGGTCAGTTTCATACTTCCCAGAATGGTGTCTGTTTGTTACAAAATTTGAAAATGATTTTTTATAAAAGCTGTTGAATAAATTGTATGTTTTATGAATTTATATAGAAACAATAGTTAAGCCCATCCAATAAAGTCATAACGTGCGACATTATCTCTTCATTTTGAAGTGTACCTTTCTTAGGTCTTATTTAGTTTGTATCAAAAAGCGATAGAAATCTTTTTATTGAAGAATAAACTAGTGTCTTTTATTTGTTTGCACTTAAGACATTCAATTTAAATTGAACAAGATTTTACGTTGACAAGACAAAGTAACCCACCTAGGATAAGAAATCACCGATATCTTCATGCAACACGTAAAAGAACGACATCTTTTATCGATTAATGTGTGGGTAATACTGATGTTAACTGAACTGTTGCACACGATCTTGTGTTACATATTCACCGTTAATTTTACCACTTTTACTTTCCAACTGTTTATCTTGTTACCCTCTTCGTGTCTCCTCGTAACATAAATCATGTGGTGCCTGTTCCTGAAAACCCAATTCATGCTTGTTTCTCAGTGAAAATTGCATTAGTAATTTATTTGCTCTGGATCAGGAAGACTAAATGTTCATGTAGGATTAAATATTATGTAACTTGAAGTACTTCACTTCTTTGTGAAGTAAGTGGTGTTATAGTTACCTAATATGGCGATAAAGTGTTCAAGGAAAAAAGAAAATCCATGGAAAATGCCTACTTATTTTAATTAGAAGTTACTCCAAACTAAAATGTTATCAACTTCTATTGGAAAAATGTTATGTGTGAGATTTTTGGACTTCAATTTATTGCTTCTACCTTGCAGCATTTTACCGTGATATCAAAAATGTACGCGTAAAAAGTATTTTGGATGTCACTGATGATTTGTTGAGAATTTCCAAACCAACTCGATACATTATTCACTATCCAAACTCAAGAATTCAACTACCTTCAGATATTTCCTAATATTATTTACGAAGTAAACTGTAAACACCATTTGGTTGATAGGAGTGATCAGCTTCCTATTCTTCAACTATTAGATTACTGATTTGTAGTTAAGCGATTCGATGCATCATCGTAAATTTTGATATTCATGGAAACTGTAGGGCCATACTCAGAATACTCTGACAATCTAGGATCTTACCAAAGGTCCACAAGCCTAGAATTTCACTGCATCCAATTTTAGGCATATTGAACTCTCCTTATCACTCAACAGGAAAATGGTTAGTTAGTACAAGCTCTAGAGCCTTTGAATCGCAAATTGGTGAGATTTAGCTCTATTCAGCTTCGTGGAACATGTCAAAACATGAATGTTAAAGATAGGAAGATGATTTCATTGGATGTAACATCATTATTTTACAAATGTCCCGCTTATAGAAACAACCGACTACATTCACACTGAGTTACAGCGACAGATAGACGTAGGAGTTCCACCTAGAAGAATCAAGGAATCGTTGCTAAATTGCACCATGAATGTTCACTTTATGTTTTACTAAGCAATTCTATTGACAAGTAGATGAGGTTACAATGACCTCTCCTTTGGATCCTATGCTAGAGGATATCTTTCTGACTAAACTTGGAAATGACCCGCTTAAGGATACACTTGATAAACTAGACTATTATTGCCTGTATATAGACTATACGCTCATCCTTTGTAACAGTAACTCTGACAGAGAAGATCTTTTGAATGCCTTCAATACTGTCCACCCAGCCATGAAGTTCACCTGTGAGGAAGAACAGGGGAATAGTATTTTTTTTGTAGATATTCTCTTCACCAGGAAAACGGATGGATATATTTAGAGGAATATTTTTCAAAAGAAAACGTGGACTGGTTAAAACATTTTATCTTCATTGCTTCATACCAATTCAGTATGAAAGAAACTTGGTTAAATAGCTGAGTTACAGAATAACAAACATATGTTCCGACGACTGTATTAAAAAAGAAATGAATAAGTTGAAGATAACATTGCAGCGAAATGGTTATCAGCTAAAATTCATAAAGAAATACATGTTAAGACCTAGATAGATCAAGAAAGATAATGTTGTTAAGATGCCTTTATATCTTAAATTAAGCTTCAAAGGTGATATTGCTTCTGATAACATACAGACTAAATAGATCAACCAAAAGGATATTCACTGCAGCGAAACTGTCTGTCAGCTTATCAACGAAAGCCACTACTGACACAGCGAACCAAGGATAGGTTACCAATGATGACCACTTCAATGTGCATTTATAAGTTCAGCTGCTCCTGTGGAGCTAGTTACATGAGCCGTACTCAAAGGGGTCCATTCATGCGCCCCCGTGAACAAGTATCAGCTTGGTTAGGGAAAGGAATGACAAAGTGTGTCAACAGTGCAGTCCTCTTTCATCTAGTAGATACCAGACACTAAACTGAGGTAGTTGACACCTTTTTGTTTCTCTTGTAATCTCCCCAAAGAGGGCATGACTACGCATTTTATCCATACCCGAAGCCGTAGGTTTCAACTTAATAAAACCTGATCTATGTGTTTAAAAGAAATATGTACACCCATTTTCTCTACCTTGGGCCAAAATAGGGTTAACATGTTTCTTATTTCACATTTTAACCCCCCACCACTTTCTTCTACATTATGTCATTACATTGATATGCATTCATTTTCATATGTTATTAGAGGTTAGCATTCAAACAAAGTAGGGATCAGTGAATACTGAAAAATCTAATGTGTAATCTATTTAAACCGCTTACAAAACTAAATCACCTTATGAATATCAGGAATATTCTACAGCGGAAGCACTTCTACCACTTAAGGGAGGAGAAGTGTTGACGTGTCACTTTCTTTGAAATTCGCTCTGGAATCGTTATTTGCAATGACAATGTAAGCTTTACAGTTATTTTATTCCAAGTAAAGAGTGCAAATCTATCAGTTTATGACGTAATACAAAAACATGTATACTTTTCAAAGGAGTGAAGTAGAAAACTTCTTTTTTAATTGGAGTACATATCTAATATAAATGACAGATGGTAAAGACAAAATAATTTTATTATTAACATTTTGGTTTATTTTATGAACTTCTCTCTAACGTAAATCAATTTTTAAATGAAGTTTGTAACTTTTAATGCTTTCGAATGCGTTCTGTTATTATTTGGTTTTTTAAGTCATAATGCACTTTTCATAGGATTGTGGAATATTTGGCATTTACTTTTTGCATAAAAGCCAGCTAGATATTTGTTAATTACTTAAACGGATAGCTATATGATCGAATCAGTATGGAGGGTTGGAAAAAAGTATGTCGTCTCATAGCTATTTCATGAAACTTATCAGCTTTAAGAGTTCGAAACATAGTGATATGGTTTATGGTGTAGCAATATAACTTCGAAACCACCTTTCTTATTTGTTCCAAATAGATACAGCCAACATAATTTCAGGTGTGTTTCTGCTGTTTGTGGTTAGTTTATATCGGTATTTGGTGAATTGAACATTTCCATAGGGAACATGTTACTTGGAAATGTTGAGGACTTAAAGATCCAGCCTAAAAAAGACTGATATGAAGCGGTTACGCTTTCAACTTACTTTACATATACATTCGCAAAATTCACATCTTTAAGTCTTATCTGAAACTTCGATAATATTTGAACAAACTTTATTTTAAGTCACTGAGATGCTGCTCTACTGGCTGCTCATTGGCTTTAAATTAGGTGAAAACTTACTGTCGTTTCAAACATCAATATTTGGGATTAGATGTTTATCAGTTAGTTTAAAATTTATTAAGAACACTTAGTTGAATTAGTCTTTGATAGTCATTAAGAACTATTTTAGTCATGTTTTGTGCTTCTTTGAAGTTAACAGTAATATACGGAGGTTTACACTCTTGAGGTCTCATGTATTGCATGTTGATGAGTGTCAGTAAGCACCAAACCTAAGTTAAATAATTCCTGATGATGAATTCCTAACATAAAACACTGTCAAGTTGTCCTAGTGTAATCATGTCTTATCAATAATAAACATCTTTACAAAAAGTTTATATCACCTTAATGCTAATGCCAAAAAGTCATTTAGAAGTCATCCTTTTGATTTCATATTTCTTGTCCTCGTTCTCATATTCCAACATTTAGTGGATCTACAGCTCCTCTATATGTTTATATTTCAGCTTTTTTCAATCTTTATTCATTGATCTGCAGCATAAGGCCCTTGGCATGATCGGAAGTTTGACCTGTGTATACGGCTTCTGATCGTTCGTGTTTTATCATAAGTTTTCCGAAATCTTTCTTGCTGATCATTTAGGCATCACTTCATTACAGTTGGTGCGATAAGTACTTACCTACCTTTCATTTACATTCTCCATTTCCTGATCACGTTTCAAATTTTTTCCATGAAAAAGTGGGAATTTTAATGACTTGAATGCAAACTCTTGAATATTTTCTGTTTTCCCTAAACATGAATTATTGATTCAACACATCAAAACTTGAAAATACCATTTTAAAAATGGCTAGTCAACAAATTGGAAAGACCATTACTAACTTCCATCCACTTGCATTACTGCCTGTAAACTTAATTGGTTGTTTACCTATAAACATAAGTAGTAAACGTTTATTCGTCAGTGCACAAGTAACATATTTAATGTAATTTAAAATGTATTTGGGAGTTATGCGCCTTTAATGTTGTTGATTGTATTAAAAGCATACCTCTCACACAAGAAATTGCTATCATAGCTTGGTGGTATAGTGGATAACTCTCTGGCGTTGGATGTGATCGGTTCTGAGTTCGAGTCCCAGTGAGAACAACACCACTTACTAGGAGGCAGGCACAACCAGCTGAAGAGTCCCAAATGAGACGAGATGCGGATCCTGGATTCCACTGCTAGCAACTATCCATCATTAAGTTACGCGTTTTTACTATTTCTGATGTCAGCAAAATAGGTATATATGTGTAACCTGATTTCCGGTTAAGTTAGCCATAGATTTTTTCTTGAAGTAATTGGTCTAAATACTTCCAGCCTTTCTATCCACCAATTAAAATGTATTTTTGTTTCTCTCCTTTTTTTTCCTTTCATTTTAACTAGGTTATTACAAACTAGTTTTATTGATATGGAGAATATGTTTGAATTATTGGAAAAAGAATTAGATGTTTCAGATGCACCAAATGCACCAGCTTTAATTATTAAAGAAAGTGAGGTTGAATTTAGGAATGTGTGCTTCTCTTATAATCCAGAGTAAGTTTATGATGGTTTTTCTCACTTTTTCCCTTCCATGAAAATGTTTTGATTAGGTCAATATGTAACTTAAAGTTATCGCTAGCACACACATCGGTTAACTGACTAAATAAAACAACATAGAACCCAGTATGACATTGAACCGTTTCAAGTTACTACACAAATATAGTGATCATTAATAAACGGAATAAAATGCTTAAAAAACACATGAACGAGCAAGGAATTATAAATTGGTCGTCATTAGAAAAGAGATACACCCGTATTCACTTGCCCAAATTTTTGCTGAAGATGAGTGTTATGGTACATTATGCCTAAGAGATTTCAGATAAGTGATCAGTTTCACCAAAACATGATGCATCACGTGATAAAAATATTGGCAGCAATAAGTATTGTAGAATGAGGATAGATTTATTTAATATCACTGGTACACCTGTCAAGTATGCACCGAATATTAGCTTCGTATTCCATATCTGCAGAATGTTCCTAGGAGTCAAGATATTATTGTATATTGTAATGCTGGTGATTCTCAAAGAGCCTCCTCGAAATCTCAATGCTTCCTACCCCCTGAAGCGTGTTATCATAAAAGCCAACTGTGTTATTTTAATCATTCACTAGTCAACCTGTTAGGGTGACTTAGTTATCTAGACGAAAGTTCAGGTCCAATTTATTCATCTTAGAATGGTTAATTATCACCGTCACTTTTCTTCCGTGATTCCGGTACCGTTTTTGTATTTCAGTAATCAAAGGTAACATGGTATTTGTCTGTGAAATTACCCTAAAGCGGTATTCCATTAGGGAAGGTATACTGTCTTTCAAAATGTGATTTGTAATCATTTTCTATTTGATTACTTTGATGAAAACATTAGTTCTTCATAGAGTTTTAAATGGCTATCCGTTGTTTAGTGGACTTTCCTGGTGCTGTGTTACTCATGGGTAGAAGCAAAGTGGCAGCAATACATAAGTATACTCTTTCATACATGTCAACGTATTGAAAGGACACTTTTCACAATACTTAATAAAAGGCATATATAAGATCAGTACAAAGTTTACATGTGCTCCTAAATCGCTACCGTTCTTTGAAAAATACTTGAGTAATTATCGTTGTAATTGAGTCACTCACTATTGAAAATGTCATTCAAACTACACTTTACTGAAAGCTCAAATGAGCTTAGCAAAGAGTTTTAAAATTAAAAAATGAAACGGAACTTGGTGCTACTATTGACGTGAATTATTATATTTTTGGTCTTTGAAGCTTAGCTATAAAGCTAAATAATTTCCAACGATTTAGCATTTATAACGTTCATTCTCATAAACTAAATTTTTATGCATTCAGTACATTCCTTCCTAAATTAGAAAAATACATATTCTACCTTTCGATCATATTTTATAGGAATAAGGTCTTTTCCAAAATAAGTAGTCTAAAAGTTGTTTGAACTTGGGGGTTTGTGGGGATTTTGTGGTTTTTCAAGTTGGTATTCATCATGGACTGACATTAGTTGGAGGAACATTGGAAACATGGGAACACTGAGCAGCCATTTCGTCCTAGTATGGGACGTGAACTGACAGAAGTATGAAATATAGACCGTTAGATGCCGACCCAGTGGCTCAGTGACAACTTGCTGACCACAGAACCTAAAGATTTTGGGTTCGATCCCTTGCGGGGTGGGGTCGTGGGTGCGCACTGCTGAAGAGTCCCATAGTAGAATGGAACAGATGTCCAGTGCTCCCAGGTTTCCATTGTTCCTCCAACTCATGTCAGTCCATGGTGAATGATAACTTAAAAGTTGTTTTTTGTCAGTTTCCATTCAAACAATTGACAGCTAGCTATACATGTAAGCGCAGTGTTCTTAGAACTGTATGACATTAAATATCTGGCAACAAAACAGTTGAAGACTTTCATTCTAGTGAAATCAGCAGAATAATTGTATAATGTCTAAGTCGTCAAACTGTTTATTATCCGGAAGTTAATCTAGCCCATGCTACCTGGTTATCAGTATTGATGGAATTCTGTCAATTAAGTCTGAAATACCACCAATAAACCAGGTGTCTCAGTATCTCAGTGCTCTGATTATTAATAGTTAAATGGCTGGAGGAAAATGACAGTCACCTAGTTTGGTGTCTGAATTACTAAATTGATCAATAAAGTTCAGTAAGCACAGATATGTAGACAACATTCCATCATTAACAATTACCAGCTGAATAATCACACAAGAGTTCAGTCACTGCTTCGGTAGTTTACTGGTACCTTTTCTCACTGTGATATCAAGCTATTTCAGTTTCACTCTATCGGAAAGCATTAGTTACCTTAACGTTTTAGATTTCCTTACTAAGGGTCAGCATGCTTAAGACTTGAACTAGTACCTTTCTGCCGACTAAGTGCAACCACCAAACACCTTATTTGCCTTCACTACGGCTTCCGGCCAATGAACGTGCTAGAGAATCTGTCGTGATTTTAACCAACTAGTTTGCGACATACATTCAGCCTCAAGGCTTGTCATCTACTTTTATGTTACCCCACTCAGTTATGAAGAAATCATACATACTTGTATGTAAATGGTCTAACTACTGACAAATCCATAACATACCAACTCATCAGTTTCCGTTGAGTTACGCATATATGTTGATAGCAGTACAGGATATAATTAAGCTACATATTATCTAAGTCCTAGTTTTAGTTTGGCATAAAATGTCCATCTTTCATAAGGTTATTTGTATTATCACAGTGTTGTTTTTTGTTTCGGTTTATAGATGTTTGTGTGGTTTTTATTGTTATTGAAATATTTATCACATAGTAAAGTTAATGACTGTTATACATTAAATGTTTATTTCAACGGTCAGTTCACATACCCTACTTACTAAATATGATGATTTTCTATCTGCTTTCATTCACTGTATGTATTTTAGACATATTTTTGTTCAAACATATAGGTTATTCAAACTCTTGGCTATTAATTTTGACATACATAATTTTGTTGTCGGAATAATTTTGAAAAAACTGAATAATTCAATACATATCACCTTTGGAAGGGCATATAGAACATAGCATGCAATTAACAATAGGATAGCTGAAATACTTCATTGGAAACAGACAAGCTTTTTACAAAGAGTAACTTCAAAGGCCGACCTAACAACTGTTGAGATAACTAATTACTTTTCTTTATTTTATGAAAAACTACGTTCTCAGCTGAAATACCGAGATCTCATTGATTATTTCAGCAGTCGCTAGAATTGCGTATGAGACTACTTTTTACAAACAGGCAAGTATCAAAATAAATGAGCGTAATGTTTTGTATGCAAACCTCCTAGTCAAATCTACCATTACGGCGTGGGAAATAAACCTCTAGATATAATAGTTGTAGCTGTTTGAATGTAACTTCATTCGGTAATCTTTGCTAGTGAGTTATTTGATCACAGCTAATTGAATGCAGTTTTGTGAAGAGAGTTGAGTAACCTTTTAACCCAGCTCACACAGTTATAATCCGTTCTCTGTTTGATTGCAAGTGTCAAGGCAGTTCTGGAAACATATTTAAACATATCATAAAATCATCTATGTTATGCATATTGCATTTTTGTTAGATGACAAAAAATTCTTCAATAAACCATTTCTGTATCAGTGTGAACCACTGATTATCAGGTATCTGAAGCGAAATATAAACAATTTCACAGTTTTTCAAAAAGGTTTAAGTAAATCACCAGAGAAAGGATAGTGTTATGTAAGGAATGCTACTCGTTTTTTAACGGAAAACAGGTTAGGGTGTGAATGAGAGAAGATGGATACGTTAAGAACATTCGTGGACATAATAGGGATCGAACGCATGAATGGAGATAAATTTTGTTGATTTTCCCTTCTTTCTTTCTCATTTTGCATCTTGTCACTAAGTGTCTTCAGATGTTGCGTTCTGACTTCACAACGACCCTTGAAAGATGGCTGATGCATTGAGACTAAAGTCAAACGCTTTATGAATTGGTGCCATTCGCTATGTTTCCATGGCAAGTATTCTTGCCACTTTATACTAGCACTGATCATCGGAATTAGTGTTACTTGGTATATGCGTGTCCATACCATCTCACTCGGTACAGGTTAACAAACTTATCAATTTGTTACCCTGCATTACCCCTAACACTTCACCTAAAGTCTAAACAGCACTACGAAAAATCCATGTGCAGAAAGCCTTTACCTTACTCCTGCTTTCTGACGTCAGTTATATTGTTTTACGCGGCGTAGATTAGAATAATGTAGAGTGTTTTGCAGTAAACCTTTTGATTTGATGTCGTATACTTGGTTGATGCCATAGATGGTTAAGGTTAGTAAATCTCAAAAAAATCTTTTGTATTCAATCTACGCTTTTGTAAGTAACCAACCCACTAAACGTCATCCGAGTTAACAAATAAGTGAAGTAACAGAGGTGGGAAATATGGAGCGTTGGATGCCAACCCAGTGGTTCAGTGGTAACGGGTTGACCACGTAACCTGAAGGTCCTGGGTTCGATCCCTGATGGGATGGGGTCGTAAGTGCGCATACTGGGACGAAACTGTTGTCCAGTGCTCCCAGATTTCCAATGTTCCTTCAACTTATGTCAGTCCATGATGAATCCCAACCTAAAAAATCAGAGAAGCGTCAGCATTAGTCCCTATCCTTAAACTAGGAGTTAGTGTAGACTGGTTGCGAAACATCACCTTACATGTTAGACGTATAAAACACGTACAATGTCACACTCTGATTATGACTGGAGATTGCCTTATTTACAAAATAACTAGATCTATTAATTTAATTTTGTCATGCAAAAGCTTAATTTTTTTATGCTAGTGTTGTACATTTCTCAACTGTTTTGTGCATAAACTAATACCGCATATTCATACAAATCAACTTGTAGGATGAGTAGAATTCTTTGTAAATGGATGGGTATAATAATTTCCATTAGATCTGTTTCCTAGCCATCGATGTAAGTGACTGTAACCAAATGCTGAGGTGTCTAGTGAAGCTTTAAAATTTTTCCATACGCCTCTGCTGGTCGCTTGCACGTTTTCTCATTCACGGTACTGTGCCCGAAATGAAAACAAGTGGTAAACAGTTTGACTGCTGTCGTCTGACTACATAGTGTCTCTGTGGCTCGTACCCGAACACTGTGACAAGCTTATGTAGTACAGTTAGAAGTGGAGGGTGAGATACTTACAGATGACAGTTTCTTCATTGTTTAGTGAAATAGTTGAAGTTAATAGTCAGCAGTACCATGGTCTATGTCCACATCTGTTTATATTCTTCATATTTTGTAGAATTAGTCACACTAAAGCTTATCAATTGTGACTTTGTTTTGAACGGTTTCCCTAGCTACAATTAGGCGCTCTTTGCTTGTTTTCATAGAATTTCTCCAGTCATCTAAAACCACATATTTCTAGTTAGCATGATAAACGTTTTTTAATCACTCCTTAATCGAATCAATGAGTGAATCAATAATGCTTTTTCATCTCATTTCTTATTCGTCTAGACGTCCAATTCTCAAGAATGTGTCATTCAAAATACCCAGTGGTCAAACGGTTGCGTTGGTAAGTTGAACTTAATAACCTGTCAATATTGTAAATTGTATTCACCGTTTATTGTTGCATAAAAAGCAAGTAAGATAACTCTAAGTGGTTTTCGGTGCTAAGCAGTTGATAAAAATCATAATATTGATACGGATATTATCTTACTAGATATTACATAGAATGTGTGCAACATACCAATTGCAAATATTAAAACCTGTATGACACGCAACATGGATCACTCTTTTTCATCTTCAACATAAACCAACTATAAAAGGTTACCTAATCGAATATCTTCCGTCATTCACATCTTGCCAGTTATCAGTTGTGAAGGATAATGAAACGTTTTCATATGAATTGACGACAACTGGTGGTGTTCACCAGGGATCTCCACTATCACTGTCTCTATTTAGCTTTGTTATTGATGTACTAACAGACACAACCCTACGTACATCTGACTTCACATGGATTGACCTCATCCCTGGAAGTCATCTGGTTGGCTTGGAGTATGCAGACGATATTATCCTGCTAGGTGGAGACGATGGTAAAATCCAGGGTTTTCTGGACACATTGGGCAGAAATCTGAGTATGTTTGACATACGTTTCCCACCTTTCAAATGTAAGATAATGCTCCGTGACTGGTCTGCAACCACTTTCAGTTTAGTGATAGTGAAGTAATGAAATGCGTTGTCCACTTCATCACTTAAGGAGCTGCATCAGCGTGAACGGGCTCGTTGCTAATGAAATCTCAGCTTGGATGGACTCAACACGTCTGGCACTTACCAACTTGCGTCACCTGTGGCGTGAGTGAGACATCCAGCTATCTATCAAAGGATGAATATAGTACACTGCAGTCCATTCTGTCCTTTTGTACAGCTGTGGGACATAACCGTTAGAAGTAGAAGATATTAAACGATTACATGTTTCTGATCATAGATGTCTTCATAGCATTGCTCGCGTTTGGTGGAATCACCCTGTGAGCAATATTGTGTTCACGCGAAGGGTGCTAGGCGAGACAGGCAAGTCGATTGGTGAAGTTGTGAACCTTAGTCGACTAAGTTGGCTTGGACATGTACCGAGCATGCCGAGTCATTGCCTACCTCGACGTGCTATACTAGGAGAAATTGGATTAGGTGGGAAGAGGGTTCAGGGTGACCAGATCGAGACCAGGCCACCAATCGATGAAGTTTCTCACTGTTGGTCTGAGCCATGTGGGGTGATGCATATTGCTTGGCTGGAGTCACTGAGGCGAAAGGAATGAGTGTTTGGAGACTATTAGTGACGTAACTAAAAATCGGTCACAGTAGTGTTCAGGTGTATTCACTCCTTGATATCTTCTAAAGCTTGGATGTTTGCCTTAACCCTCAACTTCAGATTGTCTATTCTCTCACACAACTTTGTTTACGTTGATATTCTTCTTTTTCTATGAACCTGTTCTTTGTATACTGCTGTGAAGTGCAGCAACTCGAGCCGATGAACTTGCGTGCAAGGTTCTACGTTAATTTTTTCAGTCAGTCATGGTGACTGACTTGCAAGAAAGGAACATAAATCCAGCTTGAAAACTAATGGAAAGATGTAGAGCTTATCGTAGGTCATCTGTGTTGTAAAACCAATGTATTGTTGCGACTAACTTCCACGTGTGCTTGAGCAGTAGGCAATAAACCATACTTACTGCATGAAGGCCAACGATATTACTTGACTTCCAAGACGTCGGTAGGTGGTGTGGGGTTCGAGCTCATGGGTCATCGGTTGAAAGTCAAGTGCCAAAACCTATGAGTCACAGCTGTAGAGCTGACAAACATGAAAACTCTTGAAGTTTATTTGTGTTAGTCTGAAGAATGCTACCGTATCGGTCTAAAACTGATCACAGGCGGCTTATTATGGGTAGGGGGAGTTGCTAGATATGGTCATTAATCAAAATACCATAGAATCCGAAAATCCTGTCAAGCTTGAGCGATCCGCTCAGTAACTCTGAACTGTCCATAACATTACTGAACCGTCCTATACTTAGCTTATTTGTATTATTTAAATATGCATTCGCCATAATGGGCATAAATTAACTTTTATGCAATAGTTTCACTTTAATTATCATCAAGTTTATAAGATTTTCTAAGCATTTTTTATCCAAAACAGTCAACGAATGTGAAAATAGGACAATTTAATTCATTCATAAATTATATATATATATATATATATATATATATATATATATATATATATATATATATATATATATATATATATATATATATATATATATATCATTAAACCATGCAAGAGGGTAGACATGCATTCACGTATAACATGGAGTGAGATATCTATTAAAGTCTAACAACGTAAAAATAAAGTTTCTTCAGTTCGATGACTATTTTTCTATGAACTGAAGAATTTTTCAAGTTTCTGCTCCTGAAATTGTTGGTTGAGTTTAAACGTAATGACAGTTTTTCTGTAGTTAGTGTTCGTCAAGTCTGATGTATTTTGTTGGTACTATCGTTGAGGTACGGTTTAAAGCCGATTCTAACAGCTCCACCTACCTTAATCTGAATGAATTCAATGTTAACCTTACAACTACTGAAATGACCAACTAGACATCCGTATCTTGACTTTTTCATCAAATGCTGAAACCTAATTGGCTAATTGGTGGCCTTTTAAGTTGAATAACTCTAAAGTTCACTCCAGCAACTACGAAAATAACCGGTTAATTATGGTTATTTTACGAAAAGCCACCTGTTCTGTCGAAACAGAGAAGCCTAATTGTTAATCACAGTCGTTGCTACGGTGGTCTTTAGAGTCACCCTTTAAAGCCACTTCGTACTCTAAATAACATGATAGTATTTTAGTAGACACGATGATTTATTTTAACTTCATTTCTTTTTCTTTTGACTTAGAAATCTCATGTAATCTGAAGTCCTTAGTCTTCCAGACTAAGTTATTGAGGTTTACTTTACTTTAAAAACCGCTTAAATGTAGTTACTAAGGTGTTGTTGAAATAACCGACTGTGGATGTAATTTGGCAAGCAAAACTGACTATATTAATATTTGAATGAAGCTAAAATGTTTATTTTGTGAACTTATCAGAAATATCATCATCCAGTTTTCCCTCACACTTTTGCCAGCAAAGCCATTAAAATCAAGTATGAGCTGCACACCGACCGTATAATTAAACTGGTATTTTCGCCTACATTAATTCATTAAGATGAAATGATGGGTAACTGATTGGTTAACTAACGATTTATATTATTCAGTGGTCATAAAATAAATAAATAGTCACTGGTATGATGTGTGACTGAAACAACTATCAGCTTATTTATAGGATGGCAAATAGTTAATTTAAGATAATGAGATCAACTAACATCAAAAAAATTCTTACCAAAAGATGTAAAACTGGCATTCTCTCCGTTATATTATGATATCAATAACACTCAAATACTTCAATTGTACCATGAAACTTTAAAGGCTTCTATCCTATGCTGATCATATAAACATCTAGTACTACTATTCTCAGATTTCTACCCAGTTTGTCACTAATTTTCACTGACTAAAACACTTTCATATCTAGTTATAGACCTGTTTTCAAAATTGAATAACAGCTATTTGTAAGTTTAAATCCTGAGTCATCGTTTCAATTTCAGATGGCTTATAAGTCTGCTAGTTTGGCAACTTCGTTAGAACTTAAACTCAATCTACACATATCATACCAATACTTCATTTTAATGTTTGATTGTTCCCATGACATTTCACTCAAATGCTGTTACCCATTGCTGTTACTTAAGTTTATTAAAGCTGTTCGATCGATCAGTCATCGTAATATTTTTTTAAGGAGACACAGCGATTTAGAATAGGCCGTAAGCGTTATGTGTGTTAGCAATAACTTTACTCAAACACTTTCTTCACATGGGTTTAAATTGTATTTCAGAACGGCACTTTTCTTGGTGTTTTCTTACAGCGAAAGAAAATCGTAAGCATTCATTGACCTGACCTGACCTTTACAAGTCTTATAATAATTATTTTTGTTGAAGTTCGTTCCGTAGTTGGTTTTCTCTGCTTTTGGACGACCATAGATTTATTTAGTTGATAATCTTTGTTACAATATATCAATTCTGTAGGACTCTTTCAAAACAGGTTCATAGTCATTAAACAGCGTATGATGAACCACCCCAAATATCACACAAAGTGGTGATCACTATGATAGCCCAGTTAATTCAATTCCGTTTATTAGCACTCTTGACGTCCACTCAATAACAGTGAAGGTTAATGGGTAGGTTGACATAAGCTTTAAAATATGTAGCTGTATTCTGCTGAGGCAGTTAGCACTTTTATCAGGTTTCATAACAGAAACGGAAGGAATGCCAATGGCTGTTGTTTATCATCCGTGACATTTACTTGTCGCTTATATTTTCATCAGGGTTAGGCATAGATTGTGAATAAATATTGTTAGCTACCACACACCTAAAGCTCAGTCTTTGAGTTAGCGAAAAAACAGATGATTCCCGTTGAAATACAATGATTCCGTATTATCTTCATCCAAAAGACTCCCTGGACCTTATCTCTTTCAGTCCCATTCAGGATCACTAACTATTTTCATCATAAGGGTGTGGTGTGGTGCTCATAATGAGCCTCTAATTCTCCTTAATTGTTAACTCTAAAATAGCGATTAATTGACGCGTCAGTGACGCGAAAACCCCGAAATTCCAGAACAAAATTAGTGAGGTAGATTAACAAGGCGATTCTGCTAGTGAGGATTATTACCAGACTAATAACAATCAGCACCTTCAGCTATGGCGCTTCCGTGGACAAAATCTCCGAGCCAATCACAAAGAAAGCCAACCAGATCCAGACAAATAATCTACAATTAATGTGTAGTCAAAACCCGAATCTCACCTTCCCAACAAGCGAGTGATTTTAATGACCACCTTAACAATCATCTAAATGACTAACTAAATATCTATATTTTGACTGGAAGGGGGGGTTTTCAACAAAGAGAAATCTAATTGACTATTTCAGTAGTTGCTATGGTGGCCTTT